ATATTTCTCAATATACAATCAAAAGTTGCTTACATTCTATTTATTTATTTATTTTAGTAACCGTAATGTAATTGTTTACAGCTGGCTTGTCAGTACAGTACAGTTCTACTTTCAGCATATAGATTTCCATAGCTTCCCACACTTTCTTGCTTTTGTGGAGGTCATAAAGGAACATGACGCGGCTGGCCATGACTCATCAGTACTTATTATCAAACAACAGTCACAAAGCACCTGTACACTAGGCCACCAAATGCAATCAACTTATGCAGTTATAAGTGTAAATGACATTTGTCATCAAGTTGGTCTGGTCCAATACCCACTGAATGGAAATCAGTTTTATGTAATTGTACCCTATTATATCTTTAACAATAACATGCATATTACTAAAGGCAAACTTTCCATTCTGTAATCCTTTTTATTTTTACCTTATTTTTCTATATGCTCTATATCCTTATATCTTTTATATTTTTTATATCCTCCTTGTATCTTATATTTCTTTTTTATTTTTCTCTATTTCTTATGTTTTTTTTTAATTTCTATATGCCCCGTCTTTCTTTTCTTCTTTATATAATCCGGTTTTTTTCTATTCTCTATACATCTTATGCTTTTCTCTTCATTTCCTATATGCTCTATACGCCATTACTCGATTTAAATAAAATCAAATTGCCAATTTATCAAGATAAAAAGAATACCTAATAAAAAAGAACATAGTTTAAAAAATAAAAAAATGGTAGTTCTGTTACCATTTTGTTCATACATTCCAAAAATTATTAATCTTAATAATTGTTGACATCTTTGATATTTAATAAAACATATATTTCAATACTCAAAATAGTCATTACAGTTTACAAACATTTTTTACAGTATTGAAAATATCATACAGCAACAAAAAAAGTGTTTTCATGTTACTTTTTTGAATTGCTACGAATGACATTACCATCTTACAACAAATGGCAGAGATTTTATTGGGTTTTGACCAAAAAAATGGCAGTTATGTGCCTACTTTTGGTCCAACTGCCATTCATCCCGCCATAATGAAATCTACTCAGCCATTATAAATGTCTGTTTCAGTTTCTATTCTACTTTTGTTAAGCTATGTGCTTTCTAATTCTTTTGTGAGCAAAAGGAAATCACTTCGGTTATCATTCTCAAAAGAGAATTCTGTGTAATCGTCATCTTGATTGGCTGACAAGAATTTGGGCATTACACAATAGTATCGTTCCCAATCTGGGTTGGTCTTCCTTTTACTATAACAAAGTCAAAAGATCAAACTCACTGGGGATCAAGGAGTATACATAAAATCAAAGAGAGGATAAAATATACTTTTTATTGATATGAATTGAATTATCTTATACAGTTTTTTAGACTAATACTGCGCATTATCTGCAGTAGCTATTATATTATATATAAATAAAAGAAGAGTCATTATACTGCGATTAACCATCTTCAGATTTTATGGATTCATCAAAATAATGTCCGACATCAGGAACGCCAAATTTAACAAAAAAGAAATACAGTGCCCACTACAGGGGTCGAACCTGTGGCCTTGGCGTTATTAGCACCACGCTCTAACCAACTGAGCTAAGCGGGCATAGTTGCTTGTCAGTAGAGTAAAATTGTATAACAGTCCTATAATATAAACGCGGGTTCAACCTCTGGAGGCCACCATTTATCTGGATCTGTATATCTGGTTCCCTTCTTTGCCCTTGCTATCATGGTGTCACGTCATAGGTGCTAATGCCTGAGTGCAGCCGTCGTCATACTGTCCTTTCTGTCTCCGCAAGCCATTGGATATTCTGTTCCCTGTCCAATTGAGTATTGATGCTGTTCTGGTTTGGTATGGTCTGGTTCTGATACCTATGTTATATTCAACATAATTGTAGATTTAAATTAAAAGTGCAGACACTCAATACATACATATATTGAGTTACCAACAACTAGTAACAATACTAAAATATATACCTTCCCTTATACAAGGAAATTACGTAAAGAACATACTAAGACAAATGCTAAGACTCTAGTCAATAATACTAAAAACATAAGAACTAAATCATAGAAGATAATAGTAGAGAAACAGACATTATATGATATCATGATATCATTTCCAAGCTAAATACAATGTCTATATAAATGCACAATACAAATAGCAATATAGAATGATCTCCTTTCTGATTCTTTCACTTCTTCTAATAAAACAAAGTCTCACCATACTCTTGTTTGCACTTGTTTTATTTTATATCTTATTTTTATCTCATACATAACAACTCATTTCTGGTGCAATTTATAATGCCTGTCATAAGCTTAATGAAACACGTTCTCTTCTTTATAAGTCTTTGTTAAAAAATTAGCAATAGCTAGAAATAATTTCCTTCTTCTTTCCTTCCTCTCTTATAATAAGACTTCTCATATAAGTTCTGATGACAGCTATATAATTCATAGATTATCAGCATTAAGTTATATAATAAAAAATAATCTTTAATCTGAACTAAGTGGACATCTCTCTTTTGCTGTGTTATGTTGTTGGTTTTATCGACCACAGTAACAATCCCTTTTTCAATCGATTTCAATCTTTTTAATCAGTCACAAAGTCTCAAACTCCCAATTATAATTTTTTATTTTAATTTTATTTATATTCTTTTTATTTCTTATTCTAAAATTTTGATTTTTTGTTGTTTTTATTTTTATTCCTCTCCCAATTTTCTGAAAACAAATTTTCCTTTCCTTTATTTTTTTTCAAAATTAGTTTCTCTCTCCTTTTATTTTTTTTTTACTTTTCTTATGCACTAAATGTGACGTTTTTCTCTCAACACTACTTTACCAAAATTGTTAACTGTAGTTTTTCTATTTCTTTATAATATATTTCTTTCCAATCTTTTCCATTCTCTATAGTTTTATATTATAATTTCATTTATTTTTCTTTCATGACAAATATTGATTACAATTACTTTATTTACCTTTTTTATCACCATTATCTCCTAGACATTAGTGCAATCTATTTTTGCCATAAATTGTATCCAAGAAGTAAAAAAAATAACTCTTCAAAATCAATCAATAAACAATTGTCAAGTTTTTCTGATACAAAAATTTTCTCTAATAATGCTGTCTACTTTCTCTGATCTCTCTTGTAAATTTTTCTTCCATTTACTGTTTTTTTATCAAGTCTTTATGAAAGATTAACTATTTTCTATTATTTTTCTATTATTTTTTTCCCTTCAAATTTTACAATTTTTGTTTTGTTAAATTTTCCCTTTATTTTTTATTTTAAAATTATTTTAAAAATTATATTAGTTTATTTTACATTAGCATTATTCATTTCCTTTTGCTAGTTCTAGATATTCTTTTCTTTCTAAAATTCTTTCTATTTTTCCCTTCTAGAAGTAGTTTCTCTTATTTATTTTATATTTTTATACTATTGTTTCCTAATTTAAATAACTTTACCTTATTATGGAATTCAATTCTTAGTACTGGTTTTATCCATTTAATTAATACCCATTTCCATCTAATTAAAACCCATTGATATCTTATTGGCTTCCATAAAAATTGAATTTGCATTCATTGCCAACTGAATTTGCTCCCCCCCTTTTACTATTGGTGGAAGAGTACATGACACTCAAATTTTTTATCCTTATGCCTTACAATTTTTTTTTATATAACTGTAGTATTTTTTTTGTAAACGTCGTATTTTTTATATAACCATAATATTTTTTTTTGTAAACGTAGTATTTTTTTTATATAATTGTATTATTTTTTTTGTAAACATTGTATTTTTTTTGGCATAAAACATGGATATTTTTATTGGGCATAATTAGTTGATAGAGAAATAGAACACATAATAAGAAGTAAGATATAATGAAATACAAAGTAATAAAAAAAGAAAAGCATAAAACAGTAAAACAAATTGTTGTGGGGAGAAAATAAAGCAAAATATAATATAGACGAAAGAATTTGTGAGAACTTGTGTAGGTTGTTTATTTCAAAAGAAAAGTAAAGAATGATAAAATTCGATTGTTTTTCTACATGGAACTATCTACTGATATTCATATATTTGTCTAATTTATAATTCAGTGTGTGCTTAAGTAATTTTTATTACGATGAGTCATCTTCCAGGAGTATTGTTCTTCTGAAAAGATCTGGAAAGACCAATTGATATGATACTTCTCCAGTCAGATCAGTCCAAGAGTTTTGGTAAAGAAGAGCATTTATACTATTGGTAATATTTTAGTATTCCAACCCAGATACTCGGGTAATGTTTCATAATATTAAATAGTTGTAGTTGTAGTCTCTCAATTAAGTATTTGTATAATAAAAGAAATATGTAGATGAAATATAATGATGCCATATATATAATGTATATGTATTTGTATATCCCATGTCATGATGATAATAATAAATAATCAATTATGTGTATGATGATCTGTGTATTAGATAATATCATAAAGGGAGATCCATTTGACTGGAATAGCTGAGGATATTATTTTATTCTTCAGTCTTACTCTCAGATTCAGCAGTAATCAATACTCATTCACAACACAAATAAAAGAAGAGGGACATAAAATGATAAAAAATAAGAAAAAGAGGGACATAAAGTAATAAAAAATAAAAATAAAATAAAAAAAGACATAGAGTATAAAGAGCTTAAATAAAGACATAAAAGACATACTTAAAGCTTTTGCTCTCTGTTCAAACAGCAAGAAAAAAATGAAATAACATGATTAATCCAACCCAAACAGCCGGAAAAGGTGACAGTCTTAGCTGATTCTGTAATCCTTAAGATGAGCCCGTCTGACTCTGTAATCTCTTCTCTGCAGACACCAAACTTGATCTTGGATCACATTTCCTCAATTGGATTCAGAAAAGGTGAATACACAGGAAAATATGCACACTTGTACCCACAGAAAGAAATAAAGTCTTTCACCTCATTGGTCTTATAGATAGGAGTGTTATCCATGATGAGATAACATCCTTGTATACTCTGAATGTCTAGAACATCTATTGTATGACTAAGAAAGTTGAGGTAGTGCTGGGTCCTGGTACCAATTCGGCCATTCACCAGCATTGGTATAGATGTTCAGCTTTCTCTTCTTCTTTGCTGCGACTGCAGTGAGTTTCTTCAACAAGAGGCTGACAATCCCTCTCTTGCACATTGCACCAAGGATGTTGATGGACATACCTCTCTGCATTGGGACAGTTGTCTTGGTCAGGGTGCCACTGACAGAACAGCCAAAAGTTCTCTTGATGTGCATGTTGAAGCCTGCTTCATCGATGAACACACAGTTCGACAGATAGTTGAAATCTGCAAGTTGTTGCTACTTTAAAATGCGGTCTTGTCTTATCTCAATTGTGCTGATGTCGTCTCTCTTCTCGGGCAGCTTCTCCAACTTCTTTATTGTCAGGGCACACTTCTTCACCAAGTGCTTCTGGATTGCTGATTTGGTAATCTGCAGCCCAGAGAACTCTTTCATGACAATTATCCTTGCTTGTTCCAAGGTAGCATCTGGTTTATTTTCGAAAAACTTCAAAAAAAAGCAGAGTGCGCCTGGAACAACTTTTGGTTGCCATGTTTTCGTTCTTTAGGCACAGAAACCTCCTCAACCTCCATCGTCTCCAGCCCATTGGACTCATCAGTCTCCACTGTGGCAGCATCAAAATCGGCCTGGATCTTCTCTCTGGCCAGCCTGACATAGTTCTGGGCAGTCCAGACATTGATCCCCGTTTCCCTGGCAGTGGCAGCAGCAGTCTGGTTTTCTGAGAAAACCAAGGAGAAGAGCTTGTTCACCTGGTTTTGGTTGTACTTTTGGTACGAATATTGACCTATGCTTTCTGCAGTGGGAACAGAATCAGGGTTGACCTTCTCCGGCAGATTCGTCTTTGGCTTCTGTCCAACAATGGTCTTGGTGGTGGCCTTGTTGACTTCAGTTGACAAAAAACTTCTGAGACTTAGGAGGTTTGTGACTGCTGCGTTTCCAGCCGAGATACAGGTCCATTCCATATTGGCATAGTTGACAAAGACATCTATCACAGATCAGAGTACAACTTCTCCATGCATTTTGTTGACAATCTTTTGGTTGAAATCGCATAAGGGTTGAAAGCAATTCCGGAAAACTAGGTTTGGTCTGCAGAACTGCTGTGACTGATCATTTAACAGTGCTTGTCCATAACAAATTTGAGAGAGTTGTTGGAAGTAGATATTTTTTTTTGAAAATAAAAAGGATGTTAAAATCGAAGAAGAAAGATAACTGAGAAACTTTTGTTAAAACACTGGGGTATATATACTAAAAAAATATTTTAATATCTTAAACGTTTTTACTAAGGTATATCTTTGCCCTGTTGTTTTAATATATTTGGATAAAGAATGTGTTGAAAAATAATGAATGTTTACATATTAAGCTTCTTCACACTTTAAGAACATTTATTTTATTAGCCAATTTACAGTGCTACCAGAGCCTTTCTAGTGTCCTGTCCTCTATCTCAAAGGAAGGGGTTAGATTTCTTCTCATGGGTTTGCCCAACCAAAAAAATAAATAAATAAAAAAATAGAAATAAAAAAAAAAAGTTTTTTTTTGTATAGAGTCAAGAAAAAGCTTGAAATTCAGTTATTGAGATTTTCAGTTTTTCAGAAATTTCTGTAGTTAGATACTATTTTATTTTCAGTTATTAGAGAAGGTGTTATCTAATGGAAAAAATGTGACTGCTAAAAATGAAGATTGGACAAACCTAGTAAAAAAAAATATCCCAACAGAAGTTATGGAAATGTATAAATTCAAGCAGATAATGATAAACAGATCTCTAACAATGCAAAAAAATATTTCTCTCTCTTTCTTTTTCTATAATTAATTTTACTAATAAAAAACACTTCTTTAAAAATGAATATTAACAATACTGCAGCTATTTGCTATCTTTTTTGCCACAGAAAAAGAAAACCCATTACTAAAAGAAAAAAGAGAACTGTTTACAAACGTCTTGATCTCGAGATATGGTCAGATGCAAAATGCAAGATTGAGCTTCGTTTTACTCTTCCAGAGGTAGCTTACCTTTTAGAAGCTGTGATTTTCTATAAGCCAAGTCTCAAGAAACTGTTTTTTTTATTTATGTATTTACATATTTAAATTAGATAAAGCAAATGTGTGCTTTAATGGAACTCACTTCCGTGCTAAGCTTTAAGTGTACTGTCATGAGCATGCCGTTTCTAGAATCTGAATCCTAATCTGGCCAATCCAATTCAATCCTTCTCAGAAATACTACACTTTGCTGGAAGTTTCCAATATCTGGTAACTTCTAGCAAAATCCCTTTAAGATAGTATAAATACAAATTGCTTCATCAAAATAAAACATTGTCTTTATTCTTTGGAAAAACTACTCTTGTGATATCTTCCAGCCGCTTCAAAGGCAACTTCCAATCCCAACATATAACACTTATTTTGTGGTGGAGAAGCTTTGCTTAAAAACCCCCTGAAAGATCCCAAAACCATTACTTCCTGCAATTCCTGTGCAACTACTTCCTGCAATTCCTGTGCAACTACTTCCTGCAATTCCTGTGCAACTACTTCCTGCAATTCCTGTGCAACTAATTCCTGCAATTCCTGTGCTACTACTTCCTGCGATCTCTTACTCCTGTTAATTATTTTGTTAATAATTGCCTACTATGTCCAAGTCTTCCAAAATCAATGTTAAGATAATTGAAGCCTTGAACAATATTGTCGTTCAAAACCGCTACTCTGCCCTACAGTCAATGCGCCTGATATATAATTATGATCCGTCCCAAAATATTGAACTCTGGGTGCAGTTATTTGAAGCCAAAGCCAATCGACTTAGTTTGGATACCCAAATGAAGGTGGATCAGCTACCTTCATACTTACCCGTAAATATGGCACAGTGGGTCCTGTCAAATTCAGATCTCAACACCTGGGATAAGACGAAACGTCCACTTATTGACACTTTTGACATCCCTCTTGCTCAACAGAAACTGACCTGTCATAAACGACTCAAATCGCTTCACCAAGGGAACCTACCATCGAGACAGTTCAAAGCTGTCTTCCAGTCAATCGTTCAGGATCTCCCTGAAGGGACTACAATTCCAGCAAAGGTTTTACATTTGATATACCTCAGTGTCATGAACCCTCATCTCATGGATAAAATCATTGCCCAAATTACTACTTCCTCTACCTGGAGGGACGTGGCGGACAAGGCTATCACCATGGACGAAATTCTGAACGCTGACCCTTGCCTCGCAGAAGCTTACTTATATTCCAACATTCCGGCCAACGCCTTCTCTCATCAGGGCGCCTTCACAGCTAGTGGCTCCAGTCCTGCCCCTATGGAAATCGACGCTTTCCTGCATAAGCCTACTTCCTTCGATAGAAACACGTCCCGCAACAATTCCTCAAGAAGCAAGTTCAACCAATGGGTGCGACCTGGTGTACCTCTCTGTGGCCATTGCAACAAAGAAGGCCACCTATCCAAGCATTGCCAGAAGAGACCTAGTAGATCAAACCAGGTTAATACTATTCAAGATATCACTCCTCGTGACGATTCGGTTACCCTGGCTCTTCTGTCCAATAACTGGTCCTCCTTTGAGTCCCCGCTGCCTGCTGTCCCTACTGATTCTACAGCTGCACCTCGTCCAGAAGTCAACTACTGTGCGGTTCCCATGGTTCAAGATGCTTTATATGAATCCTTCAAGGCAAACATTAGCAACATGTCAACCTCAGCCAGTCCGGCCCCCTCTCTCTCGAACAAGTCTTCCTTGTTGAGAATCTCGAGTCCTTAACTTAGCTGTACCATTAATGGCGTTACTACCACTTGTCTGATCGACACAGGGGCAAACATCTCGGCTATTCACACGGACCTAGCCAAGAAACTGGGACTCCAGGCTGATGATCTCAAGACCCTTGTGTTTTCCACTGCTGCCAATACATCAGTCTCAACCCGGGGATCCATTATGATTAACATTTGTTTTGGTAGTCTTGTCCTGGCTGTGCGTTGTCATATTGTTGACTCTCTCTCTCATCCTGTTATCTTTGGTTACAGTGCTCTTCAGGAAAACCGAGCTGTAATTGACGCCTGCACCAGCGAGGTTAAGTTCTCTCCTGGTACCCGATCTCCTGATAAAACGTCCAACACAAGTATGGCTTCTATGATCGAACCAGCTACCCCATGCCGACTCAAGAATAGCCTGATGCTTCCCAGTCATAGTCACTGTTATACAGAAATAACTGGTCCTGTCAATTCGATCTGCATGGTCTCTACTCCCTCAAACGTGGTTGCCAAAACACTTGCCTCCATTGCTGCTGGGGTGGTTTGCTTTGATGAATTGGGTCTCGCTTCAATTAAAATAGCTAACTTAGACATGAACTCACACAACCTCAATAAAAATGATGTCATTGCTTTTACACACTACTTACCTTTGTCTACACCTATTATTTCTCTGACTAGTTTGGTTCAGTCATCATCCACTGCCCAAATCGCTTCTTTGGAAGCATCTACAGTCTCATCTGCTCCCTCTGCTTCTTTGGATTTCAGTACAGTGCTAGGTTTCTGCCTTGATGCTAAACAAGCTAGTTCTATCAGTAACCTGCTCTCTGAATTCTCCAATTGCATCAACAACAAACCCAACTCCACTACGCACTTGGTGCAGCACCATATTGACACAAAGGATGAACGCCTTGTTTCGTCTCCTTCCCATCGGGCTTCCTCAGTAGAAAATAATACGATTAATGGTCTCATTGATGAAATGCTACAGCAAGGTGTTATTCATTCTAGTCGCTCTCCTTGGTCCTCTCCGGTGGTGCTAGTCCCTAAGCCTGATGGCTCCGTTCGGTTCTGTGTCAATTACCAGCAACTCAATGGCATAACCACTAAAGATGTTTATCTACTCATACACATTGATGCTGCCCTACATAGTCTTGGTTCAGCCCGTTACTTTTCAACTATGGATCTTACATCTTCCTACTGGCAGATTGAACTTGATGACGAAAGTAAACCCAAATCTGCTTTTGTCTGTTGACAAGAATTGTTTGAATTCGTCCACATGCCCTTCAGTCTCTGTTCTGCCCCTGCTACTATGCAACGTCTCATGGACTCTGTATTGGCTGGCCTCAAGTGGCAAACTTGCCTGGTATATTTGGACGGCATTATCTGTTTCAGCCCTTTGTTTGACCAACATCTTAAAGATCTTCAAGAAATCTTCGATTACCTGCGTACCGCTTCCCTCAAAGTCAAACTTAAGAAATGCTCCTTTGGAAGTGATCGCATTTCTTTCCTTGGTTATGTTCTTTCACCCGATGGTTTACACATGGATCCTGAGAAAATCCTTGCCATTTCCAAATTTCCAGTTCCTCTGTCTGCTGACAACGTTTGCTCGTTCCTTGGCCTTGCTGGCTACTACTATTGTTTTATCAGCAATTTCTCTGCAATAGCTGCTCCGTTGAATGATTTGCTTAAAAAGGACGCTGACTGGTCCTGGACGTCGGCCCATCAGAGATCTTACGAAACCCTCAAAACTGCTTTGATGTCTGCTCCAGTCCTACACTTCCCTGATTTCTCTCGGCCCTTCGAACTACATACGGATGGTGCTTGCATGGCTGGTATTGGTGTTATTCTAGGACAATGGGACCCTCGCAACAATCGTGTGTATGCTGTTGCATATGCGTCTCGTTCTCTCTCTCCCACAGAATGTAACTATGGTGTTTCCAAGGTTGAGGCACTTGCTATTGTCTGGGGAATCAAGAAATTCGCACACTACTTAACTGGTACCAAGTTTACTGTCATCACTGATCATCATGCTCTTCAGTTCCTGCGTAACTCCAAGTCCTCTGATCTTTGCGATCGTCTTGCTCAGTGGGCTCTCTCTTTACAACAGTTGGATTTCAACATCGTTTACCACCCGGGTCATCAGAATGCCAGTCCCAATGCGCTTAGTTGACACCCCATCACACGTGATTCCTCTAGGTCTCTCATTTGCGCAATTACTGCTCCTGATATTGCTTGTTCCCAAGCCACCAATCCATACTGTCAAGAACTTCATCATGCTTCCTCACTTCCCGCAGGCTATACCGTCTCGTCCAGTGTCTTTTTCTTTGGCCCCCGACCAGTCCTACCACAGTCGATATGGGAGGAAATATTCCACCTCCTCCATGCTAATTCTACTTCAGGACATCTTGGTGTTGGTCGCACTCTCCAAAGGTTCACTCGACTTTTCTATGCTCCCGGTCTACACAAGTGGGTGAAAGACAGGGTTGCTCACTGTGATACGTGCCAGCAAATTAAAGAAACTAATACAACCCTTGGTCATACCAACCTCCAACACTCAAATCCAGCAGTACATCCCTTTGACTCAGTTGCAATTGATACGTATGGACCTCTTCCAACCTCACTATCAGGCAACAGGTATATCATGGATATTCAAGACTTTTTCTCTCGATTTGTGATCCTCAATGCTGTACCTGAGAATTCTGGTAAATGGGTCACTGCCTGCCTCAACAAGGTTTTTGCCACCCATGGTATCATGCGCTCTACTATCAGTGATAATGGTCAACCATACTCTAGTACACTCATCAAAGACATGGCCGTCCAACTGGGAATTCAGCAGAAGTTTGCTCCAGCTTATCACCCCCAAGCAAATGGGCTGGTTGAATGATTCATGGCTACCCTCCGAAATATGATCGTTGCTTTCATGGACCCACAGACAAACATTACTACATGGGATGAACACTTGAATGAATTCCAACTAGCCTACAACTCTAGTCCTCACGATTCAACGAAGCTCTCTCTTTTCTCAGCTGTCTTTGGTCGTGAAGCCCATGTCCTAGCACAACACGACCTTGGTGTCAAACCTGTCTCTCTTGTTGGCTATCACTCTTCCATCAAGGAAATGCTTTCTCACGCGCACAGCCTCATTCAGCTAGAAAATCTTCGTTCACAAGCAGGAAATGCCATCACCTATAATCAACATTGTACAGCACCTAACTTCGTCATTGGCAATCAAGTTCTCATTAAGTTTCCCATACTATCAAATGCCGCTGCCGGCCGCTCAGCAAAACTGTCTCCTTCATTGCATGGCCCTTTTCTAGTGGTCAGATCTATTGGTGCTGATCGTTTTGATCTTTTAGATCCTGTCTCCAATAAGAAGCACACAAATATCCACTCGGAATGGTTGAAGAAATACTCATTTAGAAATGAAGACATTTCCTCTTCTTAACTCCCCAGATGTCATGAGCATGTCGTTCCTAGAATCTGAATTCTAATCTGGCTAATCCAATTCAATCCTTCTCAGAAATACTACACTTTGCTGAAAGTTTCCAATACCTGGTAACTTCTAGCAAAATCCCTTTAAGATAGTATAAATACAAATTGCTTCATCAAAATAAAACATTATCTTTATTCTTCTGAAAAACTACTCTTGTGACATCTTCCAGCCACTTCAAAGACAACTTCCAATCCCGACATATCACACTTATTTTAGTACTTGAACCTACAGTATCTGTGTGACACGTGAGTTTGCTTTTGCTCTTTTATTGTACTGGTATGCCTTTCTACGTCGCTTATTTTCCATGAAGACAGTTTGGGGAATGTCAAAAGGCAACATTGCTTGTATCATCAATGGCTTCTCAGTGATACTTTTGGATAAGTTTAAATATGGATTTGATTTTGACACTCAACAGTTTTCTGCAGAGAATTGCAAAAAAATTGCTGAAGCAATTTATAAGAAATGTAAATATACACACTTCAATACTCTTATAAGATATTTTCTGTTATTTTTTTTTAAAATATCTAATATAAACCTAATCCATAAATGTCTATTTTTTCTTAGCTTGGGTCTACAAGCATATAGTCGGTTTTGTGGATGGAACAATGCAAAAAATTGTCAGCCACAAGAGAAAGCAGATCAAAAGATTATATATAATGGATGGAAAGTGTTACTTTTTGATATTTAATTAAAGTATGCATCTGTGTAGTAAAATATTTGTATGTTTTTGTATTTGTCTTATGATTTGAACAGCACATCTATTGTCTTAAGTATCAGGCAATTGTGATACCTGATGATATCACCAGTAGCCTTCTCGGTCCTTTCACTTGGTCCACTCACAATATAAGAATGTTTGATAAGTCCAGGACATTGGATCATCTCATTTTGCATCTGAGTACTTTAACTCCAGAAAGGAATAGTGGTTTACACTATATAATTTATGGTAACCAAGCATATCGAAAATCACCATATGTTTATAGACCATTTACAGTATATGAGATAAAAGAGCATTGTGAGTTATTTGATATAATGCTTTTATACTTTTGATTTACAACTTCCTACTACTATGTTATATATAGCTTCTTTGAAAGAAGTTAACAGAAAGATGTCATGAACAAAAGTGCAGGTCATGATAGATTTTGGGAAGGTATCACAGTACTTTAAATACTGCAAATATCATTACTCTTTCTCAATTGAAAGAGGTACAAAGCCAGCAATGATATACATTTTATCAACTCTTTTCAAGAATATGCATACATGTATAAATGGTTCAGCAACCACGGCAATTTTTGGGCTGCCACCACCAACAATTGAGGAGTACATCACTGGACTTATGCATGAACGACAATCAAGAGACATAATCAATAATGTGAATACTATTTTAGACAATTTGCCTAACTTAGTTCAATCTTAGGGCTATATAATTAAAAAATAATAGTTATAAACCTAACAAATCTTATATATTAAATTTTATTACAGTATTTTTAATGTCTTGTCATCAACAGAAACTTTTTCTACAAGCTGTTGTAGAAGAAGCAAGCACTTGTCAAAAAAAGCCTCTTGCTTTTCCATGTGCCAGTGTTATATTTTTAGAAAAGAAAGAAAAACAAAGTGCAGACGAGAAGTACGGTGAGACTTTGTTTATTGATGAAAAGAGAGATGATCTTCTATTGCTATTTGCTATGTGAGTTTATATAGACATTGCTTGTGTATTTAGGATAATGATATGAGTATATCATGTGATGTCTGTTTTCTTATATCATAGATAATATATTGTTAAGTTATTACCCACGCTCTTGTTTGAGTGATTAGTGATGTTGACTAAGGTGTGTGACCTTGTTATCGGTATATTCTTTATTTAATGATAGTGTGAGAAATAATGTATAATTGATACTGGTCGCTTATTCAATATGTCTTTGTCTTATTGTCTGTGCGCTCTATTTGAATCTACGATTATGTTGGATACAACAGCCAGGCTTGTTTTTCAAGATAGCGGTCTTGCTTCTCCAGAAAAGATAAAATCTTTCTGTTGATGACGGCATCAGAGTAAATATTGTCACTGTTTTCCAACAGCACATCACTGCTGTCATCATCTCTCTCAACTCTCTCATTCTCTCTCTCATCTTCCTCATTTCCAGTCAAGGTTTCAGCAACAGCCTGTTGCCTGGAAGAAGAACCATCTGTGTTGAGTATCTCTGGTTCTGAGTGACCATATAATGCTATGTGCATCATTTCATCTCCTCTATCTTTGGCCGATATTGTCATTGCAAGATCCGATGCTTCCCTCAGAATTTTTTCTTCTTTAAATTTATCTTCCTTTAAATATAAGTATTAAGTTAATAATTATTTTATTGCTTTCTGTTTTACATATATGAAGTACTTACTTCTTGCATTGCCTTCTATGTAGCCCTTCCAAGTGTGATTTGCAACATGGAATCTAACTTTGTCCATCTTTTGTTATGAGGTAAACTTATAACTTCCTGGTACTCTCTGAACATTTCGTTCTTTTTGTTTCTGATACATGACTTCTTTAATTTCTTCAGGCTTTTATCACCCATGGTATTGACAGCACTTATGATTTTGTTCTATGCCTGTGTTCTATTTCTGTATAGCTGAGAGTAGAGATGGAACTCATAATAAGCCTGCATCAATACAAGCTTTCTTTTGTTATCCCATTTTCCTTGAGGTGAAACTTTCATTAGCACATAATTAGCAAGTAGTTAAAGTAAGTTTTATGAAAGCCTCTCAAATCTGATGATTTTATTCTTTACAAAATTATATATCATACAAATGCTATTATCTTTCTTTTTGATAACACCGGAATTAATAGAAGATGTATTGCGATTCATAGCTAGATAAGTATAGAGTTTATGCTAAATGTTTTCAAGAGAGATATAGTTAAGAGTATAAGAAGAGTTGATATGTGACAAAGTAAAATTAAAGGAAGATTAAAATATACTTTTATTAATGTTTTTATGTTTTTTATATTAGCAAGATATATACCATGTATTACCATCAATGAAGTGGTAAGAATAATATAATAATATATATAAAAGTCTTAATTAAATTCTGACAAAGAAGTACTTATTGAGAGGACTAAAACTGATAAATCATATCAAATATGCACCTCTTTTTTTAAATAAACTTGTTCTTTAAAGATCAAATAAATTAATTACATATACAATAGACGCCCCTGGCTACTCTATCCCTTGATTTGAGAGTAAAAGAATAGACTTAATTTTGAGGAAATAATTAATGGAAAATGTTAGTGGAAAATTAGGAAATTCATAATTTTCCACATACATTTTCCACTAAATCGCGTTAACCAAGAAAAATGTATAACAATCATTGGAAATTAAATCGCCATCTAAATTGAAAATAGATAAAATATTCAATTTTCCACTAGATAACACCCTCTCTATTAAGATTTTCATTTTTTCAGTTATTGAGCCTTTCAGTTTTTTAGTTTTTCAGAAATTTCTTGCAGTAAGATACCATTTTATTTTCAGTTATAGAGACTTTTAGTTTTTCAGAAATTATTTGTGGAAAAATAGTTATGTATATTATAAAAATTTATAAATAAAAATTCTAGTTATACTATTTGGAGAATTATTTTTAAAATTGCTATTATATTTTTCTTTTTTTATTTCTCTTTTTTTATTTCTTTTTTTTTATTTCTTTTTTTTGTCATGAGCTTGTGCTATTTTTTGTTACTGTTTTTGTGTTTGTAATATTTGTTTTTTTTTGGTATTTTGTATCATGAGGGTTTCCAAAATTGAGATCAGATAGTATTGTAAGCAAAGCATAATTCTTGGACCACTTTCAGTTGTTTAACAGATTGTTGGAAATTTACTTGTTTTGAGTGCAGACTACAAAGAGTTGTTGAGTTTGATATTAAGAAGATCAGGATTCTGACATTGTAAAATGGTTGGAGCAGGTGCTGAATAAATATAGCATTTTTGGATTCTTTTTTGTAATGGTATCAGATGCTTGTGTAGAACCAGATTCATAAGAAATACAATTGTTGTGGTAGTCAATCAGATTACTGGATATTTGAGATGAAAATCAGCAAGTTTTTGTGTGGTCAGTAGAGTGAATTCTACTGTTGGATTTCGAAAAAGTATGGTTGGTGAAATGCACTTAAAAGCATTAAGAATATGTGTAGACTGATTCCTATCGTACAGGTAGATGTTTGATCTTGTAGTTTCTTTGCAGATGGAGGGTTGAATCATTATGTTTTCTTTTCAGATTTATAGCTTTTGTTCAAAATACTATAGATTATTTACAGATTAATATCAATAACTCGGAGGTATAAGCTTTATTTACATACAGAGACATAATGTGATCTGGAAATAATAAAAAAATCCATGAGGTGTGGAGCTTTAAGCAGTGTTTTCATTGTCAGAGTAATATTTAGTTGTTGAAGTGAGCATGAAAATGAGATTTATTGCGGATTTAAGAAGAGAAATAAAGAGTTTTGATATATAAACACCAAATGGAAAGAGAGAGAATAATGATGTCTCTTTTAAAAAAAAGTTTATAATAAATTTATAGCTGTGGGTAATATATTGTCCTATTTATTTTTTATCTCCTTGAGTTCAATTTGTACTACTTTATTTAATGGACCTTGGAATATTATTTTTTGATATAAAAAGCTGAAAATATAATGACTAATACTATTTAACAATAACTTAATCTTCTTTACATCTATTCTTGCTGCTTCAACTTTTGTTCTGATTTTTATCTTGCATCTTAAGTAATTACTATTTCATTATTACTACTATATACTAGGTATAACTGTATCTATATAAAATATGTCACTTTAACATATCTTCCTATTTCTTTATTTTTTATCTTTTATTATCAGAAAACCCTACAATGTTACATGAGAAACTTGAAAAATATAACAGTGCCTTTGAAAAAATCATGGAAGAGCTTGAAGAGCCTGAAAAGCCAGAAGATCCAAAAAGTTCTGCCCCGTCAACAACAGACGGAACCCCCAAAAAAAGTAGAGGGCAATATCAAAAGCCTACGAATAAAGATATAAAAAAGCTACTTTATCTCTACTTCATAAGGAAATTAACTATCAAAAAAGCTAGCAAGATAGTAAATATGAAACAAACAACTGCTGGTGACTATATTTTGAAGTAGAGAAAGTCTTCAGTTGTTTTTTTCATTAAAAACAACAAGGAGGCTACAAGTAACAAAAAATGAATCTTTTATTCGAAACTTACTCTGCAATAAAGAAAGAATACAAATAATATCATTGCATTTTCAATTTTAACATAATTATTATAATGAGATACTTGCTTTATTATCTTATAACTGGAGTAAGGTATTTAACTTCAACAAAGTAATCTGGAGAAAAGTTTGCATATTCTGTTAGTTCTCTTTATAGATATTTTCTATGACGTATCTTTGTAGAAAGATCTACATATATTGAAGTGCTATTACATTAGACGTTTGATACTTATATAAAAAAATATGGCAGTTATATAAAAAAATACGACGTTTGCAAAAAAAAATTCTATGGTTATATAAAAAAATACAACGTTTACAAAAAAAAAGTATGACGTTTACAAAAAAAAGTACGACGTTTACAAAAAAAAAATACTACGGTTATATAAAAAAAATTGTAAGGCGTAAGAATAAAAAATTTGAGTGCCATGTACCCTTCCACCAATAGTAAAAGGGGGGGGAGCAAATTCAGATGGCAATGGGAGCAAATTCAGATGGCAATGGGAGCAAATTCAGATGGCAATGGGAGCAAATTCAGTTGGCAATGGATGCAAATTCAATTTCTATGGAAGCCAATCAGATGTCAATGGGTTCTAATTAGATGGAAACAGATGCTAATTAGATGGAAATGGGCGCCAATTGAATGGATAAAACCAGTATTCAATTCACGATTATAGAAAGAAAAATTCTCTAGGCCAATAATATTGTTTGGATACCATATCTTACCATATTTGGCTTCCAATTTTTGTGGTGGTGGAATTTTTTGTTTTATTTTGATTTTCTTAGTGATTTTTTAATTATCATAGACCAAAAATGAAGTCAAAATTACAAAAAACAGCTCTTTTTTCTCGTAGTGTTACATTTTTAGACAATGAACTACTTTCTGAGTTGACATTTCTATATTTGAATTGAAAAACTATTCTACTTGGAACGAGTTTGCTCTGTATACTGGAGAACACCATTAGATAGTTTTTTATTGTTTTATATATATATCAGTTAATTTATTATATATAGTATAAAACTTTAAGTATATAATTATATATAAGATAACACTCTTATATTTAGTCAAAGCTATTTTTTGTATGAGAATATTTTTTATTATTATTTTGCCTAAAAACAAGTCCTACCTCCTAAAGAAGGAGAGATACACTACAAGAAAAAAAGTAGTCTTTTGGTGGTCTTTTAGGTAGTCTTTTGGTGGGCAGTTTTGATAAAACCAGCAAAAAGATCACCCCTATTTTTGGAAATATAATTAGATCTCAATTGACTGGTAGATGTTAGGTTTTATTCATATCCCGATATTTAAATTTATGTATTATTCTTCTTGTTCTATTGGTAGAAAGAAAATAAAAAAGAGCTTTCTTATTGGTATAGATGGAAAAAAAGAATCTTTGTATTGTTACTCATAAAATACTTTTGTTATACTGCTACTTTTAATTGGATAGTATAAGCTTTATTGCAGTATGCACATTGATAGTATTGGTCATTTAAATAAAAGCATTCTCTCAATTGGTTCTCATATATATATTCTGATTCATTCACGGTTTTAATTGAGCAAAAAAGTTTTATTTCATAGAAGATTATTATTTAAAAATGTTTTTATTGGTTGTTATAATAGAAATAATATTTTATTCATGAATTGTACTGGCTAAAATTCCTTCAGATTATTACATATTCTCACATTAATTACACAATTTATTGTACCTACCAGATATGAACTTACCAGAGTATTCTCACTTCTTACGCCCTCTCCAGAGCTGGCTAACCCTTGCAATTGATGCCCAGTTTCTGTGGCATCTGGTAAAATCGATTCCATTGTCTCTGAGTATGATGGAATGATTGATACACAGCCTGTTTTTATTCTCTTGAGGAAGCAATGACCAGGCAGGGTTTGTTCCAAGATGCTGAACAGATGGAAGAGCTGCCAGTTGATCACATATGATCTTGGTACATGTGTTAACAATTCTCTTGGTTTCCTCGGTCAATTCTATTCTAAGATTGTCTGTTATCATCTTGTATATATGCTTTAAAGTTATATCGTTGATTTTTGATACAGGTCTTGGAATGATGCCAGTAAGAGTCTCTTATGTTTGACATTAATTGAAAGGACTTTAGTTGTTATAGTATTTGCTTACACTGGTAGAGGTTATAATAGTTCTATCTGGAAATTCCCGATCTTTAAATTCATTGTAAAAACTTGTCATTTGAAGTTGCATCGCATCTTGTTTTTTTTCTAATGCTTCTTGATGGCCTAGCAATGCTTCTTGACCACTCTTTAGGGAAATAAGTGCAGCTTGTATTCCTTGAAGCAACTGAATCACTGTATTGTCTGTATTGTTTCTAATTGTAAAAAAAAATCAGTTACGTGTTTGTTATAGAAAAAGAAAGAAAGAGAAATTTTTTTACCAGAAACTATTATTAGTTTCAAATCTTTAGCTTCAATTTTTTAGCTTCAAATTATTAGTTTCAAATTATTTGTACAAATCTATTGATTACTCCTGAAGAAACATTGATCTAGTAACTTCACTGATGACATACAGATACTTCTTTAAGATCCCGAGCATATATTCAGAATGCATATAACATCACTGTCTTTATATAATTAAGTATAAAGCTATACATTCAGAAAGTAATTAATTCTATTCTTACTTATATAACAAAGTTTTTTTTTACCTACCTCAAACATGTCCATAATTACAAAAGCCCCTTGTTACCAATGCTGTACTTGCAAGTCGACCTTTAATAACAGTCGAACATATAAAAGATGTCTCAAACGATGCATGACAAATAGGGCAGAATTACTTGCTAATGGCAAAGTTTCCCAAACTGTCTCTCTTCCTGATCAAAGCCAGTTTACATCAGCAATGGTTTCTAACTTGGTTTTTGGGTAAGCTTATCAAAAGCAAAAACACAAAACGATAGACAGTATATTAATTAGCTGTATACTTTGATAAACAAACAAAGAAAACATCAACACAAGCAGTAGTGAGAATATGGATATCATTGACAGTACTGAAGATGATGAGTTCATGGTGAGATACATAAATACATATATTATGATAATAATACTTATTGTTGTTTATCTTACTATAGTACAATTTTGGAGAAGAATGCGAGAATGTCATTGACAAAATTGAAGGCACCACACCCTCGCTAGTCTTTGATTTTAGCCAGCCTCTTCCTGTTCCCAGCAACAATGATAAAAAGAATCTCGCGTTCATGCAGTTGATCCAAGAGTTCGGAATTTCTCATCGAGCCCACGAAAAGATTGTAGAGCACCTCAACCAGATCCTTGATTGTTCTATCAATATTACGTACTGAGCATGCAGCCCACACCTTGGAAACAAGCTTCTTGAGCACTTCTTGGGTATCAAAGCAGACAGATACGACATTTGCATCAGAGGTTGTATGCAGTTCAACAATGAGAATGATATTGCATGCATAAAATGCGGTGAAGCAAGATACAAAAATGGCCAAACTAGTGAAAGTGACACCAGGATTCCTGTGAGATTGATCGTACAGCTTCCTTTGGCCAGACAGCTTGCTTTGTGCTTGGCTGATGACAAGACCAGGGCTGAAATGCTCTATCGTCATAACCACCAATCCAGTCAAGACGGGCAGAAAGCAGATGTTTTCGATGGTCATGTATACCAATCCATGAAGCATCTGTTTTCTGGTGAAAATGATATTGCGATTTCGTTGTCCATGGATGGGTTCAACCCACACAATGTACCTGGATCAGTAACCATTGTTCATGCAACTGTCTTGAACTTGAATCCGACGATCAGTTATGAGAAAAACAGGATGATCCAAATAGCAATGCTTCCTGGTTGCACTGGTCCCAGTGACATCTGGTCTTTTCTTGAGCCAATGCTGAGAGATCTCTGTTTGCTCCAGACAGAAGGCATGGAAGTAAAGACACTGATGACAACGATCAGGGCAAAGGTACATGTCCTCATGGCCACTGGCAATATTCCGGCTCTGGCAAGGCTGGCATGCCATGTTGGCCACACGAGTAAGAATGGCTGTCGTATTTGTCATGTAGTGGGCCAAACTCCTAAACATGGCCAGTACTTCCGCATGTTGCCTGGAACCCAGACGCGCTCACTGGAGAGTTTCAGAAACTACAATCTGGCAAGCAGTGAAGACAGAAAGGGGCTCAATGGTCAGTCACCATTAGCCTGAATGGAAACATTCTATTGCCCTTTTTTTCGCATTAGATGAGTTGCATGGTCTGTGCCACTGAATTGGTAAACAGGTATGGGGACTTGTATGTGGAAAGTATGGAATCAAGCATCCTCTATGTCTTTCTCTTGCCACTCAAAGGGAGATTGGTGCTGCAATGGTAGCCGCAAAATCCACAATCCCTATATCGTTGCATGGTGTCTGGAGAGACATGACAAAGAATGCTGGTTTCTTTAGAGCTGTGGATTGCGCAGACTTTTTACTCTTTGTTATCCCCACGTTGGTTACAGAGCATGTCCAAGACTCAGTTGCCCAAAAGGCATTACTTGGTCTGGTTCAAACATGCAATTTACTCATGAGCTGGGAGTTATCAGCAGAGGATCAAACCTTGATAAGAAGGTATGTTTAATGTCATATTTTATTTCATTTTTCATAGTAATTTACTTTTATCTTTTTTCTTAGTAATCTTGTAGAATGGAACTTATTCCTAGAGAGTCTTCTTTCTACAGCAGATATTGACATTGGCGTATTCACAATTAAGCAACACATTATTCAGCATTATTCTCAGATGATTGATCTATATGGTCCACCAAGAGCATATAGCACACAATCCGTAGAAAGAGCCATTGGTGAGTACTCCAGATCCATCAAGAGTAACTCCCAAGTCAATGTCAATGCTGGAAACATCATGATCAGACTGGCACAATCCCAGTGTGTAGCAGAACTGACAACCATTGCAAACACAAAAACTCCACCAGCTAACCTTCTAGTTTACAGTGCATATACCAATGGGTGGCCTGTTACAGAAGGAGGTGATCCTGCCAATGCTGAGTATGAGATTGATTTCTGGGGGCCTTTGAAGAATTTAACAATTTTTGATAGCTTTGAAGATGGATCTCATCTTTCATTGCTTCTTAAAACATTTTATGATTTGAAGGGGAAAGAATGTAGTATGCTTGAGCCTTCCATAAAGACAAGCTGCAAGGCCTATCTTAATGGTTGTGTTATTGACGCTGCATTCAACCAAAGTTCTACAAGAGAGGCATGTCATGTTCATGTGCAGCTACAAGTGGACATGAACTCCAGAAGATCCCGCTCTTACCATCCAGGATATATGCATTTCTTCGGAAAGGTAGTTATATTCTTTCAACATGTACACAACTCGAAGAGATGGCCACTAGCTCTCATAACCATATATAGTGTGCATTTGAAAAACGGATTGCCTATTACATCTGTAGTAAAGTCAAAGACTATAGTGATTCATACTAGTGACATTGTAGAGTTGGTTAGCTTGGTGCCATCAAATGTCAATGGTAGCCATTACATCATTTGGTCAAGCCTTAAACATAGCCCAAAATTGACACTTGGTGTCTTAAGTAATATACAGGATTTTCAGACCCAAATAAGCTTTTTTTGCAAACTTTTGACTTTTGGTGATAATTAAATGGGCAAAGTTGAAGTATTGAAATGATGATATAAGACTGGATTTAAAATGACATTAATTCCTGAGAGTAGATCTTTACCTTGTCATGATTTGGAGTCACAAATGTATTTCTTGCAGCAGTAAAGAATTATTGCAAGCAGGTACATGCATCTGCATAAAAACATTCTTCTTCTTCTATCCATCTGTATCTCTATCCATAGTTCTCTCATATAAATAGCTTCAAATTCTCTTGAATAAACATTATCTTTCACAAGCTCAACTTCTCTATATTTCTCTTTCATATTCAATCTGGTTGCGTAAGCAGTACTATCCCATCTCAAGCTCCATTTACATTACAATCTCTTAGTTAATCTTTCACTCAAACACAACTCAAGCACCTAAAAATAAAGCCACTAATATTGGTAAAATGTCAGGATCCAGAATACCATCTGCCAATAATCAGAACAAAAAGATTGTCAAGAGATCTGGGCACCCACAGCTCACCAGGTCTACACACATTCATGATCTTATTATTGAAAAGAGTGCAAACTATTTGAAGACTCCCACGCAGATTTCCTGAGAGCTTGATATTCCCAGACAGACAGTCTGTGGAATTATAAATAGGTTTAAAAAGACAGGAACAATTGAATATCAGTCATTAGGTGGTGACCTTAGAAATATCATCCAGAACCATCATCAACAATTTATTGTCAACGCTGTCGATGAAAACAACACTATCACCCTAGAGAAATTAAATATTCTACTTTTGGAAGAGTTTGATAACATTCAGAGCATCAGTGTATCCACTCTATACAATTTTCTAAATAATGTTGAAAGAATTACACTGAAGAGGTCGGTTTTGATAGAAGAGAAGAGAAACAATAAAGAGACCTGTTGCAAAAGAAAGGATTTTATATTAAGCCTTCAATCTGAGGGGATTTTGTACAATCATAATTGTATTTTTATTGACAAGACAGGGTTTAATATCAACATAATTAAAGGTCATGCTCGATCAAAAGCTGGCTCACCAGCTTTTGTTAAAACTAAAACCAAGAGAGCAATGAACGTGACGATTCTATTTGCTCTTTCAGCAGAAGACGTTGAATCATGCCATGCAAAGATTGTGAAAGGCGGCACTACAGGTAAGCGCTCAAAAGAGCAATATAAAGCATCTTTTTATCTATGTTTTTTCTATAAAAGTAGCAACTAAACTTAATGTTTTACAAACCCAATCTTTAAAGAGTTTGTCCAGCAATTAGTTGAGAAGCTGGATAATGCAAATGCTGGCCCTTATCACCTGGTCATGGACAATGCCAGGATTCACTATAATCCCTCTCTCTGTAACTGGCTGCAAGAAAGGAACAAGCACACACTCAAGTTTCTGCCTCCGTACTATCCTTTCTTGAATCCTGTTGAGGAATGCTTTTCAAAGTTAAAGAACTTTGTCAAAAATCATCCTTTGAATACTGAAGAAACCTTGCGTGAGAGAATACAGTCTAGTAGCTATCAAATAACTAAGCAGGATTGTGAAAGTTGGGTTAGACATTCAATCTCGTTTCATCAAAAGTGTTTAGACATGGAAATAAATATTTGATTTTTTTTTATTTTTAAATATCACCATTTCGATACTTGAACTTTGCCCATTTAATTTTCACCAAAAGCCAAAAGTTAGCAAAAAAAGCTCATTTGGGTCCGAAAATCTTGTATAATTGTTTTTTTTTTCGTTTTGTAATAAATTTTTCTTTTTTTCAAATTGTCTGAACAAATTTTATCCAAGCAGCAGAAAGTTTAGATATTTTCTTTTCTTTATTTCTGACATCCAATATTTCTCAATTCCAATCTATATTTACCAAAAATGTAAGATATTTAATTAGAATAGACATTTGTCCCTACTGAGATTTAATTTTAAGTGATTCATTTGCTTTTTATCAACCATTTCAAAGAACAAAGATTTTCTTGTTTCAATTTGCATTTTTGGTGATTTTTTGATTATTATATGCCAAAAATGAAGTCACAAATTCAAAAAAGATCACCTTTTTCCCAGTGATATACAGGACCCTCGCCAGGCCCCTCCCGAATGGCTTAACTTTATTTCTAACCATTTCGTGGATTGTGTCACATTGAGTGGTGAAGTCCCTGCCCCAACCTTCCACCGACAACTTTGCTCCTCCTCCATAGATTATGTATTTGCTTCTTCCGACCTTGCCCCGTGCCGTCAGTCCTCTTCTGTGTCCTATATACATCCGAATTGGTCCGATCATTGTCTAGTAGCCACTACTTTTAAGTTTACCGCCAACCATACAACAGGAAAGGGAATGTGGCGCGCCAACCCTCGTCTTGCCCGCAACCACACTTTTTGCACTGAATTTGACGCCTATATTTCTATCTCCGTATTTCTACTTTCTCCCTATATGTCCCCACAAGACCAATGGGATAGATTAAAACATATGCTTACAAAATTCATTAAGTCCTTTACTAGGCGCCGCACACAAACACTCACTACACTGGAGGCCAGACTTCAAAGTAAACGTGACAAGTTAATCCACAAGTTCAGACAACAACCCGCCCAAAACTTCCAATTGCCCATTATTGAAAGACAGTTGCAACAAGTCCAGCTGGAGAGAGTGGAAATTCTTGCCCTGCGTGCAGGCAAACATTGGCGAGAGAATGGAGAGATCTCCGCAGGATACCTCAAGCGAACAGTTGCAGAACGCCAAGCCCGAAAGAACATTACCAAACTACGCCATCCCATCACTGACCACTTACACACTGAGCCTGATGGCATGACTGAAGCTGCCGCTTCTTTCTACGAAGGCCTGTATACACCTGAACCAATAGATCAACTAGCCATAGACGATTTACTTCGCCACCTTCCCAACGATCTCTGCCTCTCTGATACCGTATGTTCCTCTCTGACTGCTGAACTTTGCATCGAAGACATACGAGAAGGCGTGTCTCGCTCTCCACGAACAAGTAGCCCAGGACCGGACGGCCTCCCTTATGAGATCCTCCAACTCATTTTTCATCACCATTCTTGCTCCCAGTTGCTGACACAAGTGTACAATGATGCTCTTAGTAGTGGCCAATTCCCTTCATCCTGGCAAACAACATGTGTTTCTCTGTTGCCCAAGAAAGGCGATCTCTCATCCCTGAAGAATTGGCGACCGATTGCTCTGATCAACGCCGATGCCAAGATTTTCACTCGGCTTCTCAACGCTCGAATGGTCAAAGCTGCTGGAGTGCTTGTATCTCCGTATCAAACAGGATTTGTCCGTGGTCGCTTCATTGCTGATAACGGTATACTTACGAAGCTGGTTATGGATCATGCCAATTCTACTGGTCACTCTGGAATCGGTCTTCTCTTGGATCAGGAAAAGGCTTACGATCGGGTTCACCCTGACTATCTTCAACAAGTTCTTGTTAAATTCGGTTTTCCTCCTTCAATTATAACCTGCACCACTAATCTTTTCTTCTCTTCCGACCTTAAGATTAATGTGAACGGTTTTCTCTCTCGTCCTCTTTGTCAAGCACGTGGACTCAGACAGGGTGACCCCATGTCCCCTGTTCTGTTTAACCTGGCCTTTGAACCACTTTTGCGCCGACTCATACACGACCCTCAGTTTCCTGGATTTGAGATCCAAAGTACGCCTGAACATCCCGCACCTCCACCCATAAAGCTACTCGCTTATGCCGACGATCTTCTGGTTTTCCTCCCGCAGATCCAGGACATGTCCCGATTGCAGCACCACCTCGCCACCTATGCCTCTGCTTCCAACGCACGCATCAACCTTCACAAGACCCAAGCTTTCTCTCTGTCAGGCAGACCTCATCCTCACTGGGCGGACACCCTTCACAGCTTGCAGATTGTCGATTGGCATGATAGTCGCTCTCCAGAACCTCTCCGCTACCTTGGCTTTCCGATCATCTCCTCCCTCACCCAACGCAACTCCTTCTGCTCACAAATCTTGTCTAAGATAGAGCGAGCTTCACATATCCACCTCTCCCGCGCCTTGTCCTTCCGTGGCCGTGCTACTGTCCTAAACTCTCTTATATTGTCAAAGCTCTGGCACGTTCTTCGTGTTGTATCTGTTCCCGGCACATTCTTTACAAAAGTTCGCTCTCTCATGGGTCGCTTTCTTCAGCATCGAAGCTTCCCACCGATTAGACTTGACACTCTATGTCTCCCCACAAAAATGGGCGGTTTAGGGGTTTTGAATCCAAAACTGCAACAAGGTGCCCTTCAGCTCCGTTGGCTTCGACCTCTATTCCAATCCACTTCGTCTCCTTCTGGTCTGGTGTTGCCTTGGCTGCTATATCTTCTTCGGCATTATCTACCTGATGTCCATCCCCATCTTCCTTTCATTTTTCCTGACCTCAGACACCCTCGATTCCGAACTTATACCAGTCCTTTCTTTAACCTTTTTGCTGCCTGCGATCTCTTGCCTCACGATTTTGACTCTACTGTGATAAATCTACCGACTTGTCTGGACATTCCTCTCGCCTCTGCAGTTGTGGTTCCACATGGTCTCCCTGCTTTTCCTGCTTCTTGGCGTCACCTCCGGATCCGGGATGCCTACGAGATCAACACCACTTTGGATATCCTTTCTCGCCGCTTACCTTCTTCCTTTCCTCGTTCACCACGCATCCTCCGCAAAGTCCTTCAGCGGGTGGATGATCACTCTCTTTTCCTTCACGCATTCGTCATTCGCGCTTGCCTGCCTCAAAGTATCTTGACCGAACAATTCCCTGACTTGATGGCTCGCACGGGCACTGAGGTTGACCCTTCCACACTCCTGTCGGCCCTCTCTCCTACCTTTCCTTGGAAACGCTTGTCTACACGCCAATTCCGTTCCTCCTGTGAAGTCGTCACTTCTTCTATCGAGGATGTACCGCACAACATACGAGACATCAAATGGCGTCAATTCTGGTCTTTTATCCTTCCGTATGCCTCTCGCAACATTTGGTTCCGGCTGCTTCACCACAAGATCTCATGTCAATCCGTGCTGCATAACCGTATTCCCACCTCATTTCCCTCCCCTAATTGTTCGCTGTGTGGAACTGAAATTGACTCTCAAGACCATTTTCTCTACGCATGCCCACTCAAGCTTCCTCTCTGGCACACACTCTGGCTCGCGCATTTCGGCTTTTCCCCCCAATCCTCTGACATTCACAATGCGCTATACAAGTTTTCCTTCCCTCTCCCCCTTGATCCCACTTCACATCCTGCCTCAATCCTTGGCTCTGTTCTTTTAGCCTTGTGGAGACATCACTGGGCTTTCATATTCGATCAATCACCTTTCGTTGCCGCTAATGCCACTACCACTGCCAATTCCCTGCTTTCCCGTTTACAATCCGAAAAACACCTTGATCAACGCCCTTTTTCTGTCTAAGTTCATCGCGTTTCTTCGTTTCCACATTTTTTTTTACATTACATTTACAACTTAAAACACAAAATCCCCAAAAACATTTAAATAATAGAAAAACCAAAAACAAGTTGTGGCGCCTCTTAAACCTTTTGGACAAGAGTCCCACCAATAAACCAGAGCTCCGCTCCATACAAACAAAAAACAGTGATATACAGGATTTTCATATCAAATTCGCCATATGGGACAAAAATTTAGATGCAACCACAGAAAAAAAATCGTCACAAATACACCATCAAATTCGCCAAAAATACAGTATCAAATTCGCTACATGCAGTATTGAAATAGCCATGGATGCAAATTAAAAAAAAACATTTATTATAGATTTTTCTTCATATTGATACATCTACTGTGGGATGAGATGCTGTGTCTCACCCAACCTTTGCAATCTTGCTTGGTTATTGTGTTGCTTCCATCTTTGATTCTTTCTACAAGCATTTCCTGGCCATCCAGAGGGTGTTTTTTAACAAAAATTTTTAATTTTGAAAAACACTCCTCTACTGAGTTAAGGAAAGGAGAATAAGGAGGAAGAAACTTTAGCTTGTGGGTGTTTCTTTGCTCCAACCACTCTCTAAGACCAGGGTTGAAGTGGATTCTTGCATTATTCAAAACAAGATGATATGGTCTAGCATTGACCGCATCCAACTTTTCAACCAACTGTTGAACAAATTCTTTGAAAATTGGGCCTGTAAATTAGTGTTAGTAAAATGATGAAGATACTCATAAGCATGTATATAAGATATACAGCAAAGCAATACTTGTGCTAGAAATTTTTACCAGTTGTTCCACCTTCCACTATCTTTGCATGACACGATTCAACTCCCTCAGATGACAAAGCAAAAAGAATTGTCACATTTTTGGCTCTTTTGGACTTTGTTGGCACAAGAGCACACTCTCCTGCCTTTGCTCTGGCACGTCCCTTGATCAAGTTAAAATTAAAGCTGGCCTCATTGATAAAAATACAGTTTTGACTGTACAAGATTTCTTCCGGCTACAGACTTAAGATAAAGTTGTGTCTTTTTATAAGAGTCACTTCGTCGTTCTTCTTCTCCTCAATTGGTGTTGCTCTTTTGAGAGTGATTCTCTCAATGTAGCAGAGGTGATTACACAGGGTGAGATACTTATTTTCTCTAGGTCATCGAAGTGATTTACTAGCTCTTGCTGTAGCTCTGCTAGAGTGATAGTATTGTTGCTATCAATCATATCCAGAATAAACTGTTTGTGATGATCTTTGATGATTGTTCTAAAATCACCACCCAGAGACTTGTACTCCACACTTCCAGTTCTCTCAAATCTTCCAATTATTGAGTTCATGGTCGAATGCAGAATGTTGAGCTCCTTGGCAATTTCTGATGGAGCTTTCAACTGGTTCTTGCTCTTTTCAATTATCAGATGGCGGATGTAAGTTGAATGAGTGGCATCACTGTATTTCATCCCCTTTCTGGATTTTGTATGCAGGACTGGAGTTCTTTCTGTATCAGATATTGTAAGCTTTTTGAGGGATAGGTGTAGAGTTGGTTTTTGAATATAAAAAGAAAAAAGATATGAAGGTTGTACAGATTTTTATTTATGCTTCTTGTATGTCTTTTATATTAGTAAAACATATACTATTCACTGTAAATTACGTAAGGCATGAAGAGAATAATATACTTTACACATCTTTTTATTCGTTTGAATTTTCAATTGTAAATCAAATCAAATTAACAAACTTGCATATCATAAATTTGCATTCATGGCTATTTCAATACTGCATGTGGCGAATTTGATACTGTATTTTTGACGAATTTGATAGTGTATTTGTGGCGATTTTTTTTTGCGGTTGTGTCTAAATTTTTGTCCCATACAGCGAATTTGATATGAAAATCCTGTAAGAATTAATCCTTAGGGACCAGATATAATTATTTGATACCGGACAGCAAGTCACAATTTGTGGTCTGGTAAAATCAAAACGTTTCCCATCAAAAAGGTAGTGCCCCATCCTGAAAATGTCGTCCCCCTAATATTAGCGTTTTTAAAAAAGACAAGGCAAATGGAAGCCTACCAAGTACCAGCAAGACAATACCAAAGTTCCTATGCTTGTGTTTGGAAGCGGGATGTTTAGTAAAGATGGTGTCAAATTAAGAGGGCATAGATGTGGTGTTGTCGGCAAACTGTATAAGGTGTTAAAGAAACAAGAGACTGAAGGTCAGTTGATTGTTATTACAATCAGCGAATTTAAAGCCTCAAAAACATGTAGCCTCTGTTTCTTTGGTGACAAGAAGATTATAAAACAAAATCGTTTAAAGGTGTTGCCGTTGTATCTGGAAAATAACAACATGATATCGATTTCCAAGTCAATTTGGTCAGGAGAAGGAAGACCAGATGTCTTTATACCAAAGAAAAAATAATCGCCGTATCAAACACGGTTATCCTTTCTTTTTTTTTGGGATTTAGATGGTTACAGGTAGAGAAGTCTTATATTTATTTCCAAATTATCTGAAAACCAACTCTTTTTTGTCTCAATTTTATTTTCTCTTTGTCTAAAAAAGGTAACCAAAATGGCTAGAGATTAATTTTGATTCGTCTAAACCATTTTCTAATTTGTTTCAATGTCAAGTAGAAATACTGAGTGGGTACCTTACTCTTCCGTGTAACCTTTTCTTTCCACTTTCACTTCTACCTCCTCCTCCTCCTCCTCTTCCTCTTTCTCCTTTTTTTTTAAAAAAAAATTCTTCATGTCCCACATTAATGCCAAAAAACAAGAAGAGCTGTGTGTCCAGTGAGTTGGAAAGTTCCTGCAATCAAACAAAGCAAGACTAGGAACTCACATAATTTCAAATTTATTTTAGAAAAGTGAAAGATCTACTTGCATTACCCGAGAACAAGAAGTGTTTCGATTGTCCGACCAGAGTAAAAAAAAAAAAGCAGAGAAATGATCATTGATTGCCATCATCCATTGATTTCATGTCTTACTTCTTCTTTTTTTATTAGAGCCCTTTTTTTGTCAATGTCAGTATACAGACATTCGTTTGCACACGATGTTCAGGTTTAGTGTAGGTGAATGATCTACATTAAATAAATATAATGAGCCAAAAAAAAAGCATAAACAAATCTCATAAAGTTTTAAGTCGCGAGGTGGGGCATCGTGTTAAGTCTATATCGGCAAGCAAGTTTTCCGGACCAGAGATCTTGTCTCTTCAACAAGGAGGAAATGGGATAGCCCAGAGGATTTGGCTCAGCAAGTATAAAATGACTGATTCACCAGAAGCCGAATCTGATAACGATGTTCGACTATTTATGCGTCAAAAGTATTATGAGCAAAAATGGCTTGATCCATTGCTGCTAAAGGAACACGTAGAGCATGTTACTGGATTAGTTAAATCCATGTTTACAGAGGTTAGAGTATTGATACTAGATTATAGAGCACGTATTTATCATTATCATTATTATTATTATGAAGGAGGGTCAGAGAAGGGCACGAATTAGCTCACCTCCACTACCACGTTCTTCCACAGATCTGTTTAATGGAAAAGGGCTCGGAATTCAGTCTATTCAAAGCCCTCCTCTTAACAGCGATCATATCAAGAGCCCTACTTCAACTAGTCATCAACAATCAGGAAGCCCCTTGACAATTAATCCTATCCAACCTTACTCTCACCAGCCATATTCCGTTCAACAAAGCTCTCCTGTAGAGCCATCATCTGGCCAGTCATTTATTCGCCCGGCAATCATGAGTCCATCCAAGTCTTGGATGGACGACAACTTGCCGATTGGCTTGACGCCAGTCGGGCAGAGCCTCCGGAATGCATTAAAACCGTTAAAAACACAAACCGAGGATATATTTTCTGATGAGGTATACGTAGTTTACATTTTATTGTTCAGTTAATATATTTACGCAACACATACATGCATCCACGCATACGCGCACACATATATATACGTACGTACGTATTTAAAAAGGGTATATAACTATTTGTAGGCTGCACATACCAGTCCTCTTCCTTCTGGTGGTAATATTCATAAGAGTTTTGTATATTAGAACTATCATTAACTATATGATGTATAGCAAAACGTCTTTCACTCTCTTCACCAACTCCGTTATCACCAAGCACTACGACAAATAAATTTCTGTCCGAATTAGAAGGACTCGAGTCACACCAACATAACAAACCCACGTACAATGGTGGATTCCTTGTACCCAGTTCCCCAGGTGGAAATAATGGAACTCCCGTCGCATCTAACTTTGCCTTACCTTTAACGTACTCTGCAAAAAGTAAATGAAAAGAATGGGAATAAATAATCGATTACAAAGACATGATTGTACTCATTTAATACATTATTGACATATTAGGTACCCAAGAAAGGGATTCTATGAGGTCCAACAGTGTAGATCTCGATCCCTATGCCGCTTTACGTGGACTGTCAATCAGTAGTACAAAACAGACATCGACTCACCCAAAGACTCTAAATGAAAGGCAACGACCGCAATCCTATCAATTCGGAAGCTCAGATTCATATGGATCATTGCATGGTAAATGGGTTCAATTGTGTTTTTTTTTCTTTAAAGAAAAAGAACCCAATAATGGTCCAATCATCTAATCACTCCTAACGTTACATTGTTTGTTTCTGATTCTTATCTCTTTATCTCTTTCCAGCTCCAGAATCAAGCAAGTCTTCTAATCTTTTTGGTGACTTTGATCCTTTGGCACAGTTTAAAAAATAGAAAGCATAGGTTAAGATGAAATAATTATAAAGAAAAAGGTACAAGCAAATCTGTCTTCATATCCATGCTATGGTGCTTTCAAAATCTTAGCTAGTTTCTTTTTTTTATTTGTTGAACTTTTGGTACAAATAAGGATTGATAGTATTCTATACTGTCGTTAAGTATAATTCGAGTATTTTCTTTGTTTAGATAAATAATAAACAGCATATAGTACTTTCTTCTTGGAAGACTTGGATAATTAACTTGTGTATTCAAGCAGACTTGGTGTGTATGGACTGAAATGATTAGTCAAAGGTGAAACAAGGATCAAAAATTCAAGCTGTATGTATTGCTGGATTAAACTTTTTTTTCCAAATAAAAATATTAAAAGATTCTTATTGGCTAGAATTATTCTCTTGAGAATTGCATTGAGAGGATCGTGTTTTTGATGGAAGGGATGTGCCATAGTACACATCATCTAGAAAATTGTCAATATTATATTTATGGCTGATGGAAGATATAATATTATGAGCACTTAATTTTATCTGACCTACATTAGAACTAAGATCAATCCTTTTTTTTTTCTTTAGAAATAAGATACAGGTCTGCACAGGTGTTATTTATTTCGAGATTACTGGCTTACATTTTCTGTTTTGACCATTTCTTTTGATGTGTAAGAAATCCAATAGACATGGAAAATAATAGGGGTATTCAGGTAAAAATGTTTTCATTTTTGGGCTATTCAAGGTCTTGTGCGCTTTGACTTTTAGACTCCCCGATGAGAGCTGTGCTATAATTGAGAAGAAATAAAAGCCAACACCCTAAATATAAAGAAAATTATTTGACAAGGTATGACAAGAGATTGGGCAGCAGAAATTAAGAGATCATGGAATATACCCCTATTGTGTGGGAGAAACAATGCCTTTAATAAAGATTAGACAAAGATATACCATACAACTGGTAAAAATCAGTCGTACTAGGCACAGTTTTGGGAGGACACAAATTGTAGGCATTGACGGGAGACTGAGGAAAATTCGAGCATAAGAAGAGTATGAATATCACGGGAGACCGGTTCTCTAGGTAGTTTTGTGCTTCGAAGAGCACTAGTTTGCATTTTAAGATAATATTCTGCCACAAGGTCGAGAATGCTTTGAATATGAACTTTTTCTTCCGGAAGTTTATAGGATGACAAGCAATAGGATTGTGTACAAGATAATTAGGAGGATCTGAAGAGATGGCTGATAGCGTGATCGATTAGATGATCATCTAAAAAGGAGCAATATTTTGCAAGAACCAAGGTTTTTGGATGAAAGAGATAATAACTGGGTATATAAGAAACATGCAGATTAAATTGGCAAACTTTCATTCGATGTAGATTCTTTTTAGTCAATAGTTCACTAAGTTGAACCTCTGCTTGTCCGCATTTACGGATATAATTAAAGGAAGAGAGTTTATCAGAAAACTAAATATTTCTAAAAGATGATATGAGAGCTATGTATATAATTGGAATAGCTGTCTTTTGATTAGCTGGCTTGATGATAGTCTGATTAATATCTTTTCAATATATTGAGCTGTATAGAATAAAGGATTTTAAGAGAGGTTTCTTGTTTTTCGATTTAAGTAGCCTAGGGAAATCTTTGGGCTTTTGGAAATAAAAGAAAAACGACTGGAAGTATAAGAATTATAAGAAGTATAACTTAATAGAAATACACATATATTATATACTGCAATACTGGTAATAGTATTACGGCTTCATATTATTGGGCCATTGTGCTCGACATTAGAGCTAGTGTATAAAATATACCACAAAATGTATACATGTGAGTTTGTTGGTTACTACAACAGCTTTACTTTCCTCTGTGTTTCTGATTACTTATAGTCGTATTCCAATAGTTTTTTATTGTTTCTTAAATGTGCATGTAACGTTGGTACTGATTCCCTCACACCATTTCTATCTTGACTTATAGGGCTAACTATTATATATTAGTAGAGCATCCACCGCGGTTTGCCTAGTTAGAATATTAAGGTTAAACAAAAAAGAAACAAATTCAAATGGGATAATTTAAACCATGCACAGCAGTTTATCTAAACCTGGAGTGACATTTTTTTTCATTGCTTAAATATTTAAGTGGAATGGTAAATTTATATATTCGTTAAATAATTGTCTATAAGAATCGGTTAAAACATTGATTTAACCAAATCGCTATGGATACTACTAAAAGATATTTTAGATATTGATATAATTTGTCCAATAAAGATAGTATTTCATTTCTTAGTGAGCCAAGAAACTATACAGTGAGAAATATTATATGTACATAGGGCTCAGGAAGCATAAAAAAAAGAGAGAGAAAGAAAGAATTTTCGCCAAAGAAATTAACATAATTATATTAGATATACAAATATCTCTACCTACCTTCAGCGTTTCATATATTCTTTGAGGTATCTTCAAAGAGCAATGGGATTATATGGTTCTCCTACAACAGAATGCTACTTTACTTTATACCAAGAGACACGAAGAGCTAGAAAATAAATGGCTAACGTTCTGATCAACGGTGGTAAGAGCATATATTAAGTTTAGGAGAGAGAGAGAGAGAAAGAGAGAGAGAGAGAAATAAATTACAGGAAAATGAAAACAAAGAGCACACAGTTAAAGAAGATATAATTAGTTTGATTGCCATACCCAATTGGTCTTTATTTTTAGGAGGTAACAAATATTGGAAGCCATCAAACGTGTTTCATGATATGGACAAGCTACCCAACATGTCATTTGGAATTTAAATGTTTGGGAAAGTGTTCACCGAGATTCACAGTTTACTAGTCGGTCTTACAGCTGTACTTTGGTAATAGTTCAAATATAGACAGATGTCTGGCGATATGTTACTCGTTCCTGTTGATAAATATTGGATGTCCAAAGTACTAGAAGTTAAACTAATTTTATTTTATGATTGAATCTAATGATTTTATAAATACAGACTTGGCATTCGCGCAACGAGATGGCTTTTACTGAAAGTTAAATCGGTTCAAAGAGTGTTATCGCTTGCAAAAGTTGCGGAATGATATTGAAACAGAATGTCGATCCCTTAAAGAATGTTTTTAAATTACAAATGATACTATCAGTACCCATAGTCGTCCTAAAGAACTTTGCGCAACCAAGCAACAATTGTATTTAATATACATCGTTGTCTTTAGCTTATTTTTTTCATCCAAAATTATTTAGCTTTATATATTTTGCTTTTACAAAACTTGTTGCAAGCTTAGATTTATTTAGGCAAAGTCTCTGAAGTGGTAAATTAAGAGAAGTTACACTATTTTTTTTGATAGTTATGTTTGTTATATAATGTATTTTTTTTGGCGAGTTTCTTGCATTTTTGTATTTGTGTGTGTTATTGGTAATATGGCGTTGTTATGCAAAAGACGAGTTCATAGAATCTAGAGAAAGCTCAGAGCAGAGGCGAGAAACGGATTTATGGGCAGTACTGAGAGCGGAAGGTGGTTGTAAAGGAATAGAGAAAAAGTGGAAATCTCGGTGGTAAATCCCAAATGAGAACAATGATTAACCCAAAGACTGAAGAAGTAGGGATATTAGGGTCTAGTGTCTGATGGAAGACAGTGTAAAGTGCAAAGTGAGAAAGGTCGAGGAACATCGACAAAGAATTCTGACCAAATTCCGATCCAGATTACCGATCTCAGAGTACATCCAAAGAATAAGTGCGCTTGTAACTCGATAGATCGATGGAAAATATTGCAGAGGTGTGGATACACAGTTGGAAACATGATGCAGTGTATAAGTGTAGAACAAGAGATCTTGTAGTATAAGCCTCAAAATCAAACGTTATGGGTCCTGTGGGCTAAGAAGAGGGTGTGTTTGAAGAGCATGGATATGTTGATGAGAGCAGGCTTAACTGGTAAGATCGTGTGGATAATCATGACCATGGTCGGTTGAGGACCAAAGCGGATAAAACATGAGTCAAGCCAACGGGGGATCAATCTCAAAAAATCATATCCAGCTAATCGTGTTTTGGGGATTGAAGTAGAAGTAAATGCTTGTAAAAAAGACGAGGGGTTACAGTTATGACAAGCCAGTGATTGTGTGTGTTTATAAGTGAGTAGACCAGTATGGCAAGGGCGAGCCCGGAAGTAAAGAGAAAAAAGCGTGTGTGTTTGTGAAGAAATATTCGGACATGGGAAGCTGCGGGATACATGATGAGGTGAGTGTGGGGACAAGACAACTGACCAGGGTCGGAAATAAAAACAAGCAAATCATCGGCATATTCAAGGAGTTTAATCAGTGGCAAAAGGGTAAGACCAACGGGGAAGAAAAGCCAAAATGCTATGAAATAATGGCCGTAGTAATGGCTTTCATTCCAGCTTGAAAATAAAAAAACGGAAAAGGGATAATGCCTTTGTGAAATACTCGAGTTTGAGGTAGAGAACGCGAGAGGAGACCATTCACTTTGATTTACAATTAAGTGGAGAAGAAACGATGATATATCAAAGTTGGGGTTTATGAGTAGTTCAACACCAGTTGAGTGTTATTTTGCTGTTTGTGCCATGACTAGCCTGGATAGTATCGTCGTCTGTTATGAAACGATCCTTAAAAGCTCTTTCTGGTATAAGGTTCCAAAAAATGTGACAGTGGGAATCATGTATACATTCAACAAATGAGTAAAGTTTTTGGCATAGGTGTTGATTAAAGCGATAGGACTCCAGTTAATCAGAGAGTCAGGATCGCCACAGACAGGATGAGGCAGAATCAGACAAAGGATCTTGCAAGGCAGACCATCGGTATCTGTACTGCTGGAGGTTGGAGTTCGAGAAGCATTGGATAGATTTATAGAGGTGCAAAATATTCTACAAAATGATCTTTATTTGTAAAAACTAGGGAAGTGGATTTGTCTCAATTTTATTTTTTATTTTCGTCTAAAACCGCATTCTTATTGGTCTAAAAAAATCATAATTTGTCTCGATCTCAAGTTTAAATATTCTATACACACGCAACTCAAAAAAACAACAACAACAATAAATAAATAAATAATAAAATAGAGTTATTTTGTTCCTATTTAAACCATGAATGTCGCTCGTCAAGTTTTGTCAACAATCACCCCAAAACCCTCCGTCTTTTCCAAAGGAGGACACAATCTCTATGAGACCTTGAGCGTTCTCCCTAATTATGGCGTTGGTAGCCGAGTGGTGAGTTTTTGAGACGTACTTGTAACATTCAAGCATTTATGAATTGTCATTATTATTATTATTTTCTTATTTGGTTGATAATTTCAGGTACCAAACAAGTTTCTCAACAACCCCACATTAAACGACAGTTATTATGAGGTTACAAAGGTTCACTTAAAGCCTGTAAGTAATTATGATCCAAAATGGTGCAACTTTTTTTTTCTTTTTTTTTTAGTTTGTACATGTGTATATGTATAGATTTGATGCTGAAATGTATGGGGTTTATTAGGGATTAGCACATGGCCGTGCTTGGGGCGTTCAGGTTCTCAAGGGTCGTACTATGGCTGATGGAAAACCTGTGGAGATTAGAGGTGGACTCAAGTTCAAGTGGACTCAAGCATAAAAAAAAACAAGAAATGGAGGGGAGAGTATGAATGAGCCAATAAAAAAGACAGTCCCTTACAGGTCTTCCCTATGTACTTGTCATGTGGATTTCATTTTAGAATAGATACACACAAATACATATACATATATATTATATAAATAAATACACAGATTACAAATTCTATTTTATTTGTCTTTTAATCGAGTTCACAACAACACGTCTTCTTTCTCTTCTTAAATGGCTTTACTTTCTCGTCAATTTCTCCCCTTTTCACAGTCCTGTAGGCGCATATTTGGCACCGCTTTTGTACTAAATCTTCAGCGCACAAAAAAATCAATATCATTTGAACCTGAGGAACCCACTCAGAAAGGACGCAGAAAAGAATTGATTGAAGCTGTACTCTATGGATCAAAGAAGGTTAAAGAAGAGGAGCGCCAGACTCACTCAAAGATGTTGGCCAGAGGAAAATATGTTCACGAATTACAAAGTATACTTAAAGATACCTTACGCGACTAAATCACAAACTCACCCAGTCTGTGGATCAATAGAGCACAAAGTAAAGCCAGACAAGGTTGACGCCTATATTGAGTTGATGTAAATAGTTGGACTCCTCTACATTTTCTTTATATTAACTCTAACATTAGGACGAGTCACCTTCCTTACATTGCAAACGATCCGCTTAACGATGTCCATCTTTGTGGGAGCTGGATGATAGATATAGGAGAGCAAGACACATTTGGTAAGACTCTTTAGCTTGGAAGCTAAAAGAAAATAATAATAACATCGATTTGTGTAATGTGTCGCGTCAATTGGTAAAAATCAGTACATGTGTGGGAATACAAGGGATATCCTGGTCATCTGCAAACTATGGAAAGACTGGCTAAAGATCCTGTAAGTTTCAGCCTTTGACTATTTATTATCTTGCTTTTTGAAAGAGAGAAAGGGTAACCAAATTGTCTTATCCTGGCCACAGAATCACATCAGATTCTTGAAAGAACTCGGTCCCTTGTTAAGTTCCCGAGAGAACAATATGATGCTTGAGTTTTCTTTCTGGAAAACGTCTCCCCCAAAGATCAGTAATGGCCTATTTGAGCTTCGGCGTTATAGCCTAAAGGTAAATTACACAAGAAGGTTAGAGATCAGACTAAAGCATTGTTTTTGTTTTTGTTTTGGTTCTTATTGTAGCCTGGAAGTCTTTTGGAGTGGGAAATGTATTGGTGAGTCAGTTTGCTTATCGTTGTTGATATGCATAATACAATAGTAACTGTGCCCATATTTCTATTAGGCGCAAAGGACTAGAATGTCGACGACAATTTTGTGAGCCTGTGGGTGCTTGGTTTACTCAACTTGGTTCGCTCAACACAGTCTATCACATGTGGAGTTATCCGTATGTCACTGCTGTTACTATTATTATTATTATTATTATTATTATCTGTTGGCGTGGGTTGTGTTTCTGGACTGAAAGTATTTATTATATATTCATTAGTGATTTACAAACACGAAAAACAAGTCGTGAATCTGCTTGGAGTCTTGATGAATGGCCACAGACAGTGTATAATACAGGTAATATAAAGAACTGTTTCAAAAATGGTTGTGATGGTAGAGCTTAATACCGTGTTATCATAGTACGTTTGGTGGACAATATGACTTCGTATATCTTGAAACCTTTGCCATTTAGCCCATTACGATAGGCGGCAGTAACAAAAAAGAAAAGTGATCATACTAGTAATAATAATAATAAATAGTAAACCCAATTTATGTCATTTATTTATTCGACCTTTGAAAAACACAATGTTGCATTTGTTCCACCAAACCCGAAACTGTTTGTCAATGCAGCTCTGATGGGTTTGCCTTCTTGAGGAACCAGAGGTACATAGTTGAGATTAAAGTCTTTGTTGTCTGGTCCGCCTGGTGTATGAAGGTTCAGAGTGGGAGGGAGAATGTTCTGTTTAAAGTAAAATGTGGTGAACATACTATAATACAATTGTAGTCAACACTCACCTTGTATATTGAGAGGATTGTGAAAATGGCTTCGACAGAACCAGCAGCACCTAATAAATGACCTGTGGCGCCCTTTGTAGAAGATATGGCGACATTATCCCATTGACCCTCAAATACCCGCTTAATAGCGTTGTTTTCTGCAGCATCACCTACAATAAAATTCGTAAAGCATAAATATCTCACACAGCCATCAAGATGTATATATAGTCGACTTTACCAACAGCAGTACTAGTGGCATGTGCATTAACATAATCAATATCAGCTGGTGACAGATTTGCTCTGGCCAATGCTCTTTTCATGGATTTTTCTGCACCTCTTCCATCAGATGGCGGGGCTGTCATATGGTGGGCATCTCCTGAGAGACCATAGCCTCGTAATTCACAATAGATCCGTGCACCACGTTTCTTTGCATGCTCCAGCTCTTCCAAGACGACCACGCCCGCACCTTCCCCCATAACAAATCCAGCACGATCCGAATCAAAGGGTCTCGAAGATTCTGTTGGGTTTTCTTCAAAGCCTGAAGCTAGAGACTTTGCTCTTTATGTCTGTGTCAAAACATCTTGTCTGGCTAAAAGAAAACATCGTTGGTTTACCTTGCAAATCCAGCGATAGCCAAGGGATGAATCGATGCTTCTGCACCACCTGCAACCATGACATCCGCATCATCAAATTGAATAAAGCGCATAGCATCTCCGATAGAATGAGCGCCTGTTGTGCAGGCAGTAGACACAGCATGATTAGGTCCCTACCTCAGTTAATATTTTTGTTTTTTAGTAAAATGAAAGCAGCTTCCTTAATATATGGATATAGTAGCTATTTACTTGGAATCCGTATTTCATAGTAAGATGGCCAGCTGCCATGTTGATCAATATACGAGGCACAAACATTGGAGACACCTTTCTGTGGCCCTTTGTTGTTGTTATAATAGTAGTTTTTATATAATTGTTTGATTGATGAGTACAAATCATAATAATCCTTAATTATGTAGGTATTCTATCCACTTACAGATGCGGCATAGGCAGCAGAAGTAGCTACAATATCTTCCAGACTTCCCATACCGGATCCAATGCAAACACCCTGTACATCAAATTTCAAATCCTTAATCTCATGTCTTTTGTTCTTTTTCTGCCAAATATCTAATTTACAATTTTACATTTCATAATAGAAATAATAATAAAAAAAAAAAACAATATGACTCTCACAGTTCGTTCTTTCTCAGATTCGTCGTTTGGTTTCCACTCTGCATCTTCCAATGCTTGACGAGCAGCTGCGATTGCAAACTGAGTGAACTTGGCCATTACACGGTCATCCTACACAGAATCACATTACATTGGCTTCTCATAAATAAATATATATATATATATATATATATTATGTATACAAAACAAATCAAAATAAAGTAGTATGCTTCTCTTATTAAAATTATTACAGATACACAAATGCGTGTACATATATATATATAAGCATTGTTTCTATTTATGTGTCCATATTATCCTTTTTATCCATAGCAAGCTAATAAAATTTCTTTCTTTCTTTCTTTTTCAATAAAGAAATATAAATGTGAATATGAGTGTGTATACTGGTATACATGTGCTTACACCCTTGTCTAACCATTCACTAGCTGTGAATTGACCTTGCTCTTTTGGTCCCTGCGGGACACATGCCCCAATGCGTACTGGTAATGACTCAAAACCAGGAGTATTTGACAATGAGACAATTCCACATTGACTTTTCAACAAGTTTTGCCAGGCATGATTTACACCAACACCCAAAGGAGTTACTAAACCAAGACCAGTAACTACAACACGACGAGAAGTCATGTTGAATGTAAATGCGTAAAAAGAAAAGAAAAGAAAAGAAAAGAGAAGAGAGAAGAAAAGTAAGGTGGGGTATTTGTGAGAGAGAGAGAGAGAGAGAGAGAGAGAAAACGAAAGAACAACAACAATAACAATAAAATATATGTGTTAAGGAAGCGGTATTCTAAAAATACGAATGTTAATGTGTAAAAGAGATAGAAAATAAGGATATGATAGTTTTTGGTCGCTTAATGAGACTTGATAGTTGATAGTGTAGTAGTTGAACAGGTCCATTGGCGGTACAGGAAGTATCCAAACAGAATACAGAACAATCCACAGCTCATGGCTGCATTAAGAACCACAAATAAATCAGGTAGCTTCTCGGGAGGAGCGACAGTTAAATCTATAAAATGCCATCCGATGAACCCTGCATAAACAACCTAAAAATAATAATAATAAATAAAATGGCTCCTAATTCTTTTTTATATATATTCTTACATTAATTGTGTTGCGAAGAGTAGATAACGTGGACTTGGGGTAGTCACCCAAGAGATAGTTCCACAGAAGAGTAGTTGCAACATAAGGTATCTCAAGTCCCTCTCGCTTCAAAAGAGGAAACATACTACAATACATGTACATATATACATTTGTTAGATTGCATAACCTTTATCAAACGATGTGTTTATTTACCTAAACATTGCCGTGTTTATAAAGAGACGAACGGCTACTGGATCTTCCAAGACAAGCAAAGTAACAGGTAAAGCGGGTAACAAGATTGACTTTTCATGAACCTGGAATGACAGCAAAAAGAATGCAAGAGAAGAATTCACCAACGCATACAAGAATCTGTACGGAGAAGGACGAAGATAGAGCTGAATACTGACAGGTACAACTGCCAATAATGTGGCTACTAAACTGTACACAAATATAGATATATGGATAAGTGTATTTTGCGAATCTGAATGTAAATGGATTTTTATTCCTAATTTCTTACCTCATTTTCACTGCCGCTTCAAGGCTGAGCAGTTGACGGATCTTAATAAAAATATTCAATGTACACCAGACACTAGCCACCTTGTCTTCAAATAAACCTCGTGCTACAGGAAATACACGATGGATAACCTGCAAGATACTGTCGAGAGATCCAAGCCAAGGAGAGAATAAAATTCCAAATGTCACTAATACAGTAATGCCAAGCTTACAAAACAATATCAATCTATACAATAAAATAGAATACAATGCAATGCAATGCAATATAATGTAATATAATATTAATCGGGTTTGCTCTCATAGAAACTTCTTTTGTTTTCTTCTCGTTTACCCTTGTTTGTTTTTGAAGCATTGTGCTAAGAGATAGGCAAATACAGCAGGTGAATAATACAAGGCCATCTGCTTAAATCCCAGGGATAAGCAAAAGAATATGGCACCCCATACATAATATCCAGTCAGGAAAGCGTTTATGGCCCACAGAGTTAGGCCAAGCATCACACTGTTGAATTGAAAGTGACCATGATCAATCAATAGCAAAGCAGGTTGCATAATGATCAATATAGCTCCAATGTGCTGTAGTACGTATTAGCAAGAAGCAGATTAATTGCTGTATTAAGATGCTTTTCTTTTCTTTGGGTTTTCTTTTTTTTAGTGTACCTTTTGAAAGATGTCTTTGGATCCATATTGGACCTGACAGAATACCAAAACAGCTGGGATGTAGATGATCATTTCTGACACAAATACAGCAGAGCGCATAAACAGCTTACTGCCCATTGATTCTAATCCACGTGAACTGTACAGTTCAAACCAAGAAGAATCTATCATAGATCCTCTTTGTGGAGCCAATTGAAATATTCAGTTTTTTTTATTTTGTTTGATTTCTGATACTTTTGCTGATGTTGGTACTTTCATGATCAATTCTATAAAGAAAACCTTACATGCTACCACACAACCTGCTGTGGAAGGCTGTAAGAGGTGGATAATCTAGTCCCCACCAGGTGAGGTCATGAGTATACCAATCTTTCGTTGGAAGGTTGATTGTCAACTCCATCCAGTGTCTTTGGGCCTCATAATCTCCATATTGCGGAGGTGTGTTTTGACCTATGTACTCCACTCAATAAATAAAGATTTACAAGACGCCTTATAAAATGTACATTTTTATATGTGCATAACTCGATTTTTTTATGATTCCCATTCCAAATGCATATATATATATATACATATACTCATTCCAGATTATCCTTACCCGAATAAGGATGAAGCGCAACTGCCCATCTCACTAACGATCCAAACAATAGGTACACTAAAGGAGCAGTCCATAAAGTCTCATGGCGTACCAAATGGCGTAGCCCTTGTTTTACGGGGTTGGTCATCCAAAGCCCTTCCATTGCAGTAGATTCTCTTCTTTTTTTTTTCTTTTCGTATTTCTATTGTTCCCTTTTTTTGCTAGGTGGATGTTGTGCACAAGATTGTAAATCAGAATAATAAAAAAAAAGTCGACAAGAACCTATAAAAAGAATAAAACAATTACTACTGAACACAAACTACCCAAAGGCGGAGCCACAAACTTTTTCTCCATTTTATTCCTAAATTCCCAACTCCATTCTCGTTTATTCTTTAAGCCCATTAGCATTTAAAGAGATCAAATTCCTTATTGAGCCTATTCAAAGATGCGCAATCCACTGAAGAAACGATCCAAAAGACACCAGAGACATGCTCTGCAGCAAGACAGTGGGTTTACACCCGAGCAATTTGAGTCGCCCGAAATACCAAGCAAGTTGTATTTATAGTAATAAATCTGTTGGAAATGTCTACATCATTGTGCTAATGACAAAAAACTAAAAAAAAAAAAAGTTCCTTGGAGTGCCATTGGACTTGCCACACTTTTGTTCTCATTGGGATCTTTACTGATTGTATTGGGTGTGTTAATCAAACTTGGTTACATTGTATCCGATGTAGGTTTGCATGTCACAAACAAAGAAATAGGCTTATACATTGCAATTATCTATTGTCATTTATTGTAGGTGTGGCTCGATAGAGGTATACCTTTCCTTGTCTTAGGATCAATTATGTTTATCCCAGGTTTGTAAAACAAAACAAGATAAGATAAAATAGACTGCTGTAAAATAGTCTAGGTAACTAATTGTGAATTTGTGTTTCTTTTCTTTCGTTTGTTTTATTTAAAATAATAGGTGTATACCACTTGTATCTGGCATACTACGCTTATTATCGGTACCCAGGTTACGACTTTGCAATGATTCCTGATTGGGATTAAGCAAGACAATAACACGCTTTTGTCCGTTTATATAGACGAATAATTTTAATTGTGTGTGTGTGTGTGTGTGTGTGTGTATTTAGAGGTGGGGAAGGTCTGTGGATTTCCTTGCATTGCCTTTGTACAATACCTGTTGGCTTGGTCCACTTTATACCTTTTTACAACAGATTAGGAAGATGTATTCACAAATATTAAACCAAAGAACAAATGCGTGAGAGTCTGAAAAATAAGTCAAAACAATATGAAGATGCCAATTGTGTGTGTGTATATATATTAAGTAGAGTGTAATGATGTGCAGAGTGAGATGATTATGGAGCTTGATTGTAATCAAGCAGTTTATGCTTTGCTAAGCATTTGATGTATGCCTCGATAAAAGGCTCATAGTTGTACTTCCTCCGTACTGTGTCGTCCTAAATATTAAGAATATATAAGAAGCTAGAAAGAGAGAAAGTATGGCCAGATTTGCTTACTCGGTATTCTTTATGCTTTTGATATTCTGTGCCTAGTCGCTCATATAGCCTCAATGATTCATCTTGGGTTTGCATCCACCTATCAGTCAGCTCTGCTTCTGACCACCCCCGTACGTCTGTCTTGATACTTGTTTGAATTGATATTTGCTCATCTACCGGGAGATCCTCAAATACACGGCAATAATCACGCTCTCTCACCAATTCCTTTCCAGCTTGATTTACATTCTGTATAGTTTGTGAGACTAGAGTTTCACAAAAGCTCCTACTAAACGGCTAGGGCTGCTAACTTACATGCTCCATGTGGTACTGGTACTCTTCTTCCCATCGATTAATGTTCAAAGTCACACGCCAAGCAGGATATAAGCTATCTAGCTCGTTTTCGACTGCCTGTCTCAAGTAAGCTTTGCCAACTAACTGCCGATGATATACTTGTCGTCTATCCTCTATCACAGCCCACATCGAATATGGAGTTTGATGTCGATAGAGCCTGGGCACACAAAATAAGAAGAGGGTTCGTTGGAATACGAATCTCTTGAAGATCAGAACAACGTCAGAGCCTTCTTTTTTCGGTCCATGGGGCCAAACAAAATGAACACTACTTATCTCTATTCCTACCACTGCTACCTCTCCCAGTGTTACGATGGTCTAGTTAAAGTAAAAAAAGACAAAAAGAAAAGAAAAGAGTATAGCTTACATATCTGCCTTGCGTCTCAATTCATTCTGGGCTACGCCTAACCATGTAGTTTCTGTACAAGCAACTAATGATTCATTTGACTTTTTTTATCAATATTTTCTTCAGGCCGACTTCTTCAAATTTAGACCCATTACCTAGTCTTGAAGGACTCTTTCGGCAACCATCCAACTCCCATAGAAATCCGCCATAATGAACATAGGTAATAGCATGAAAAACACCTCTACTTTCCTGTCGCCTATTGTATAAAATCAAACAATGATATCGGTAAAGTGACCTTTAAGTATATTGGAGTTTACTCACTTTGCAATATTGTTTGACGCCTCTCTGAGTACATGACTACTTGATAAACTGTGCCCTTTTTCCTAAGCCAATGTTGTTGGTGCCTGTATCTTTTTCATATATATATATATATTCTCCGCTATTCTTTCTCTCTCTCTCTCTCTTTCTCTTGTGTATATATATATATATGTAGCATCTTTACTCAGCCAAGTTCTGCTATTAAAACCTACGATTGGAGTGAATTCTCGAGTGAATTCCTTGAATTCTTTCAAGGTAGATCCAATGTCAACCATTTCGCCACAGTTCATCAATATGTTTATCAATGCATGAGTTGCATATCCTTCACGAACAATCTAATGGATTTGCATGTGTGCAAAAGTTAGTTAACTTGAGATGCACATTTATATAAAAGCTCTTACTTGATTAGAAAAGTAAATGCCATTGCTTGAAGTTTCTTCTCCATTAATAGCTGGTGGCACTTGATGAAGTAATAGGATTACGCCATGTACTGGCCTTTTTTTTTAAAATAAATAAATTAAAGTGTATTTGTATTTGTGTGGTTGCATTTTCAATTAAAACGATGGCAATATATTTATGTAAGAGGTTGTAATATGTAGTGTGTAGTGATAATAATATATACACTTTTTTTTAGCCTTTCTTGGTAAAGTACACGGCCATCTTTATTTATTCTTTGTGTACCTTTGTTCACGGATAAAGTCTCGGTTAGACGGTTGGATCTGCTCTACTTGAACACCCTTGACACCCATACTAAGGCAAAGCTTAGATAATACACCTACACAATAACAAATATATATTTATATTTACATGCAAATAAATAAGCAAACTGTGACAACAAGAAGTGTACATCGTGTGAGATTAGACTTACGGGGATCTGGGTCAATGACTAGCCATCGTTCACTTTGGTTGTCGCGTGTCATTATGATGACTTGTTCAAGTTTTTTGAAACAATAAAAAGAGGAATACTAGTAATATTGAGGAGATAATAAAAAGAAAAAGAAAAAGAAAGAAAAAGAAAAAAGAAGTGTGTGAGAGAGGGATGGAGAAAAGAAAGAGAAGAAGAAGAAGAAGAAAAACACACTCCTACTCATAGCGTACACTTTACACACACAGACACACATACACACACAAAGCGAGAGAGAGAGAGAGAGAGATCACATAGACATGTATATAAAAAAAAGATGGCCCATGGTTTTGATGACGCATAAGATAATGCATCTTTTCTCATCGAGAAGGGTTGATCAAACGTGTAAATTTCAGGGTTTATTTCCAATTTTCTTTAACATTGATCGAGATGCCAATTTTCTTTTCTCTCTCTCTCGCTTTTCTCATGGGATCATGTCATCTGCTTCTGGCTGCTACATGATTTGGTCTTGAGAATATAGTGTTGAATGAAATGATAAATAGTATATAGGAACAAAACACATGTCAACCAAGAGATCAGCGTTAGTTTCTTGCTTCAATCATAATCATAAAAAAAAGGGGAGCTTGGAAGCCCAATTCAATAATTATACGTTATATATATTATTATTGGGATTTTGATCTGTTAAGAAAACCAAATCCAAACGTATATATATATATTTGTCTTGCTGATCAAGAGTCCCAAACAGACAAACGTAAAAGAGGGGAATCTCAAGGGGAATCTTCAAGGGATAATGTTGTATGATTATTAACCCCTTCCTCCAAGTGGTTGTGATGGTGGTGGTTGTGGTGGTAGATTTATTAATTTATTTATTAAAAAAAAAGTGTAGATTTGATCTGTTAACCTTGTTGGTATCCAGGCTATTTATTAAAATATTGATGAATCCAAATATTAAACATCTTGCATGCTCATCTATAAAAGTACTTGGATATCTATAGATATAGCTAATATTAATAATATTAATAAAAGAACCGTCAGGCTATACTAGATACGATGGACTCGTTTTTGTTTTGGTTTTTTTTTGTATGTGTGTTTTACCCCCTCAATCTAACCTACCCAAATCAAAATACGCCAAAGAAAGGTCAATCTGCGCAAATGCAACAAGAGGAAGAAGAAGAATTTTTTTTAAAAAAAAGAACCTTTTTTTCTTTCCCCTTATTTAACCTCGAGGGGATATACAGGGAAACACACTACACAACATACCTTGTACATTATATATTGTATATTGTATATTGTACACTGTTCATTATTCATTATTCATTACTTACTATATAGATATCCACATAAAATGTCCTTTATTTCCACACAGGATTATAAATTGTACCTTTTTGAAGATCATTTTTTTTTGTACAAATCCAAAAATTAAAGTATTAGAGCTGATCCCAATTTTCCACACTTTTATGGTGAGTACAGAATTTCATGCAAACTTGATGGCTTTCCTATTTGGGAAAGTGGATCCTCATTGTCTGTGGACTTTACGACAGGACCCCCTTTTTCTCTCTCTCAAGAAACAATACTGTAATGTACTACAATAGAATAAAATACAATACACGCAGTTTCTCAATCATTTAGCTAAAATAGTGTTTATGTGTGTGTGTGTGTGTGTGTGTCTTATGATGACGTAAATCATTTGACTGCCAAGTATGTAGAGTTTCAACAAAACCCAAAGGTATAAATTAGTTGTATGTGTGCGAATAAATGTCACTAGTATTCTAGAATGCTGTCATGAGTATGTCTTCATTATCCCTTGTACAACATGTTCTTTTTCTCTCTTTCTTTAATTTGCACAAAAGAATTAAAATCGGATTTGGTTCATAATATTTATGAATGGTAGGTTTGGTCGGTCAGTTATTTTACCAGCCGGAATAACGGGCGGCTCTTATTTTGTCCTTTTGAAGTTTGCGGATCGTTTCCCGATATGATCCGTTCACATTTGACGGCGGCCAATGCTTACTGTACACTTCCGCAAGGATAATATAAAGACCCAAAAGTAAAGAAGACAAAGAGGGAAAAAATAAAGACCAAGAGAAAATCATTTGGCTATATAAATATTTGTGTGTATTTAGTAAATCTGCTTAAATGAAAAAAAAAAAACACTAGACGGCTTTTCAAATAACACCAATCGATCAACACCAGCTTAAGGCCACAAGCCATAATATTAGCAAGGAAGAAAAAAAAAGAGAGAAAGAGAGAAAAAAAACTATATCATTACAATCCTTTTTATTCTTTCTTTTTTTAAACATCATTGCCGCTCTATCTTCCTTCTTTCCATAGCAACCGACAAAAACCTTTGTATAGACACAAAACTAGAATCAAATAAGGCTCACCACATAATGTCCAATCCAGAATCCAAACACATTGCCTTTCCAAAAGTCACTAAAGATCTAGAGAACGTCCGGATATCGCCCATGAAATTATTTCATCACCATAGCCATAAACATCAATTCGAAAACATCCCTTTTAATGTATCCAGACCAAGCTCTCCAAAATCACCGTCCGGAACAATTGACAGTCAAAGATCATCGCCTACAATATCAGAAGCAGATCGAAACTCTTTACCTACTCCAACATCGCCTCACTTTCCCGATAATGACAATGACAATGACAACGATGATGATTTAAAGCGTAGAGCTGAGCCTATTCGAAATTCTGTGACTGAGGATCATGCAGCTGAATTGCCCGCAGTCCGCAAAACTAGTCGGCATTACTCTCTCCCGACCACGGTCGGATTGGAACACACACCAGACCAGTTCGTTTTCAAAAAACCGGAATATGGTAACCAGTACAACAGCACCCATTTCCACCACAAAGAAAAAAAAGAAACCATAATTAAGGATTTCAAGCGACTCTTCCATACGTCAAGTAACAAGAAAAAAGATTATAATGCCGATAATTCGAGTATCAGAAGCGGGTCAATATACACGACCAACAGTGATATTTCATTTGCAAACGAATTCAACAGAGATCTTGAAGGCCGGTATGGCAAATGGGGTAAGTTGTCTTGCCACATAAACTCTTATATATATATATATATATAAATCTTTTTGGTGGTTTCATTAAATTTAATCAATTACCTAGGGCGATTTGTTGGAAAGGGCTCGGGTGGTTCTGTCCGTCTAATTCGTCGCAGTACGGACAACAAGACCTTTGCCGTAAAACAGTTTCGTCAAAGGTCGCCAAATGAAAGTATCAAGGAATATACAAAAAAAGTGACGGCCGAGTTCTGTATCGGGTCAATTTTACATCACTGTAATATAATCGAGGCCCTAGATATCATTCAAGAAGGAAACTCGTTTTTTGAGATCATGGAGTTTGCCCCCAATGACATGTTTAGTATCGTGATGAGTGGCAGGATGTCTCCCAAGGAGGTCGATTGTTGCTATCGCCAATTCCTTGATGGAGTAGCCTATCTGCAATCTATGGGAATCGCACACCGAGATTTGAAACTGGACAATATGGTTTTGGATGAAAGAGGAATTGTAAAGATCATTGACTTTGGGTGTGCTACGGTCATTCGACACCCATATGAGAAGACCAATCGAATGTGCTCAGGTAGAAAGAAATAGGATACAACTGCTCTATATGGAGGGATTATCTTACTAATAATTTATTTAAAGGATTATGTGGATCTGATCCATACATTGCACCAGAGCAATATTCAAAATCAGAGTACGATGCTAGTCTAACAGATGTTTGGTCGTGTGGAATTATTTTCATTTGCATGTCCATACGTCGATTTCCATGGCGTATTGCTATTCCTGACAAGGACAAAACCTATAGTGACTATCTCAGGACGTGCTTGTCTGGAACCGGAATAGTCCAGATATTTCAACTGCTGCCTGGTTACTCAAGAAACATCATATCCCGGATGCTTGCACCCGACCCGGACAAGCGATGGACACTCGATCAGGCGTTGGGAGATTCATGGCTAGCAAACATCGATACATGCACGGTCGAACATCCAACCCAAGCTCACAAACACCATCTGCTCTTCCGACCGAGTCATGAGATAATGGAAGAGCGCGGGAACATTTCTCTTCTGCCCTCTTCATTTGGCTTACCAGCAGAGGCGGCTGATAGTTCTGGCAAGCACAAACGATTGCATATTCCTATGAAAAACAGGAATCATTAATATATATTATGCTTTATTAAGATTAACTGATTTGTGTCACTGATATTTAATAATTCTATTTAACAAAAGAAGTGACCTTGAACACCTTTTGGTTTAATCAATTAATTATTTGGAAATTTAACTTTAGCAGCTTTGAACTTCTTTATAAGTACTCCTATTGGTTAATCGTGTCCTGAATTTTAAAAGCAAGACAAAATGAAAAAAAAATTGAATGGATAATATATTTTGTGAATTGAAACAATACCAAATAGAATAAAATATATAAATAAAAAATTAAAGAAGAGGGGGAAAAATCTACTTCTTGCGGTCCCCCTTTATTTCTTTAGTTTGTTTCAAAGTAATATCTTTTAATCGCATATGTACTTGAATATTATCATTATTATTATTTTTTAAAATTCAACGAATTAAAAATAAGAATACTTTAGAACTGCTAAACATGCTTGACAACGTCCTTGCTCCATGGTATTAGCTTTGAGATTTATTCAGCAAACCTAACAAGAAATTTTAGGGCTGTTGGTATTGTAATTGCTACGTATTGAAATCCTGAAAATTACTTTTTTTGTAAAATCTTTCTTAAAGAAAAAAAAAGAACTTGTCCCATTTCGCTTTATGCGTTGGATAAAACTCCATCTCCAGCTAATCAAACTCAATAATATCGGCAGAAAGAAACTCGATTTATGATAATTATGTTTGTGTACACGGCTGCTGTTCTTTACAGCGCCTTGGAGTCAAGAGGACTATTAGGTGATTCAATAAGATCGAGTCTATACACTGTGTACGAATCCCAGGACATACGATTTTGCTCTAAAGGATTGAAAAAAAAAAAAGACACCGGATTCAGGAGAGGTGGTCAGAATTAATTAGACGAGTAAAAAAATCGTCGTGTCCCACAAGAAAATATTGTCTACCTGGGATCAACGCTTTTCTTTTTTGAAACATTTGACAAATATCAAAAAAAGATTCCCTCCCAAAAAAAAAAGAAGAGAAACAGTAATTATGAAGGAAAGCACGCCTAATTATTTAATTTGGTCTCATCAATATGTCTGTAAGGTTTCCATTTAAAAACTTGTAAATGAAAAGAAAAGGGTCTTTCTTTTGCAGTATGCCTAATAGTCAACTTGACTAGCTATAAGATTAGGTGGGTGTTTCAACAGTTCTGGATACTTGACTGTTGTGTGTATCAGTAGTTTAATTTGACACTCAAGCCTTCAAGCAAAAGGTAAGATGCCCAGACGTTCAAATGTATGATGTGTATTTGTATTTTGAGGTGTATAAAAGAAAAGAAAAAATACATATCAACCAAGGGATATTAATGGGTACTCAATGGGATTTTTCTAATATAGTGCTTATTATTGGTTGGTTCTTAAAGTACCGCTATATCCAACAGTCAAGTCTCCAGAGCTGGTGAAACCCCCCCTCCACTTCTGTAAACACCAGGGGGTGACTGCTGTGGAACATCCCAAAACTCGGATTGTCCTCCCCTCACGTTGGACCCCACATTTTTTTTTATACTAGCAATTTTTTTTTTAAAAAAAAAAAAAAAAAAAAAAAAGATACAATATGAAAAAAGTAAAATATGGAAATCACGTAAAAGAAAGGAAGAAAGGAAGAAAGAAAGAAAAGAAAAGAAAAAGAAATATTGTATAGCCAATCGATTGAAAGAGTGTGATTTGTTAGTAAGAAAAATTTTTTTGGTGTAATTTTTTTTTTTTTTTTGGAAAAAGGGAAAAAATAAAAATCTAATATAAATAATAATCTACACACAGACTTGTACAGATTCTCGGGTATGTTCTGCAGTGGAAGATCTGTTTTAGTTAAATGTGCCGGACGGAGGGAGATTTATACGTTCAAATTTTTATGTTTTTAATTTTTTACAGTGTACAGGATAAATGATGAGCCTTCGATTACGTCGGAACGTCATTTCTAAAGTCATACTTTTTCATGGCCCGGACGGCTTTTTTTCACTTTTTACTTGGCCCTGTTACGCGTGGTCTTACTATATGGCTTTGATGGATAAAACCGCTTAGCTCAGCAAACATGGCCCCTCCCACCCACCCCATCATCCCTCGTGCAGATATCTATTTTGGTCTAAAGTGTTTCATTCATTTGATCTTTTTTTTTTCTATTTTTTTTGCCCTTGTATATAAAAATTGTAAGTAGTAAAACGGGCTGTTTGGGTAAAAGAGCAGTGAAAAATAAATATAGGCGTGGAAGAGAATATATTTGGTAAGAGAAAAAAAAAAAGAAAAGTTGGAGATTATTACTATCACAGTAAAGTTCCAATCAGTTCAGTGAAACGGGGATTCGATAACTCTGCGTAATCTGAATCTATTGTGGAGCCTCAATCTTCACGTGAATCATTGGAGAGAAATATTTTTTTATTCAACTCTGTGCCACAATCCCATTCGGACTGACAGAAACCACCACAGGTCTGGATTTGCTTTATTTACCTTTCATTTTCCCAATTCACCCTTTTCTTTCTTTCTTCACCCCCCCTCTCTTCTAAAATGCTGTCTTCCAGCTCTTTCTTGAAGGCCGCCAAGGTATGCCCCTCCCCCATTCGACTTCTTTATTCTAGATCAACATCATGAACAACAACAACAACAACAACAGCAAGCAACAACAACAATTATTATTATTATTGTCTTTTCCTAACACAACCTAATCCACCACATTTCTACCTTGCTATTATTAGGCTGTTGCCCCTGCCGTTAAGACCTACGTCCCTGCCCGCACCTATGCTCAGGTTGGTACCTGGGCTAGCCAGAAGGTTGCCATGTCCAACCTCGAGAAGGACAAGTTCATCAACTACCAGAGAATCGAAGATAACCTCGAGATCGTCCGCAAGAGGTAAAAATAAATATAAATAAAAATAAATAAAAAAAAACTTTATCTTGTTAAGGTTTTGGGACGGCATTTACTAACATCATCATGCTACTACTTTAGATTGAACCGTCCCTTGACTTTGTCCGAGAAGGTCGTCTACGGCCATTTGGATGACGCCGAGAACCAGGACATCGTCCGTGGTCAGTCTTACCTCAAGTTGCGCCCTGATCGCGTTGCTTGCCAGGATGCTACCGCCCAGATGGCATTGCTGCAATTCATGTCTGCCGGTCTTCCCAGCGTCGCCGTTCCTTCCACTGTTCACTGTGACCATTTGATCGAAGCCCAGGTTGGTGGTGTTAAGGATTTGGCTCGTGCCATCGACATCAACAAGGAGGTCTACGATTTCCTTGCCACTGCCACTGCCAAGTACAACCTTGGTTTCTGGAGACCCGGATCTGGTATCATTCACCAGATTATCCTCGAGAACTATGCTTTCCCCGGTGGTCTCATGATCGGTACTGACTCCCACACTCCCAACGCTGGTGGTCTTGGTATGGTTGCCATTGGTGTCGGTGGTGCTGATGCCGTCGATGTCATGGCCGACATTCCCTGGGAACTCAAGTGCCCCAAGGTTATCGGTGTTAAGTTGACCGGCAAGCTCAACGGCTGGGTCTCGCCCAAGGATGTCATCCTCAAGGTCGCCGGTATCCTCACCGTCAAGGGTGGAACTGGTGCTATCGTCGAGTACCTCGGTGACGGTGTTGACTCCATCTCCTGCACTGGTATGGGTACCATCTGTAACATGGGTGCCGAAATCGGTGCCACCACCTCCATGTTCCCTTACAACGAGCGCATGGGTGACTACCTCCGTGCCACCAACCGTTCCGAGATTGCCCAGTACGCAAAGGCCTTCTCCCACAACCTCCGCGCTGATGAGCACGCTCAGTACGATGAGTTGATCGAGATCGACCTCAACACTCTCGAGCCCTACATCAACGGTCCCTTCACTCCCGATCTTGCCACCCCTCTCTCCAAGTTCAAGGAGACTGCCAAGGCCAACGACTGGCCCGCAGAGCTCAAGGTCGGTCTCATCGGTTCCTGCACCAACTCTTCCTACGAAGACATGGCCCGTTCCGCCTCCCTTGCCCAGCAGGCCATGGACCACGGTGTCAAGGTCAAGTCCAAGTTCACAATTACCCCTGGTTCCGAGCAGATCCGTGCCACCATCGAGCGTGACGGTATCATGGAGACCCTTACCGAAGCCGGTGGTGTCGTCCTTGCCAACGCCTGTGGCCCTTGCATTGGTCAGTGGGACCGTAAGGACATCAAGAAGGGTGACAAGAACTCCATCATCACCTCCTACAACCGTAACTTCACCGGTCGTAACGATGCCAACCCCGCCACCCATGCCTTTGTTGCCTCCCCTGAGATCGTGACTGCCCTCACTATCGCTGGTGACTTGACCTTCAACCCCCTCACTGACTCCCTCGTCGGTGCCGACGGTAAGCCCTACAAGCTCTCTCCCCCTACTGGTGATGAGTTGCCCCCTCGCGGTTACGATGCCGGTGAGAACACCTACCAGGAGCCCCCCACTGACCGCAGCAATGTCAGCGTTGCCGTCGATCCCGAATCCAACCGTCTCCAGCTCCTCAAGCCTTTCTCCAAGTGGGATGGCAAGGACATCACCGGTGTCCCAATCCTTATCAAGGTCAAGGGCAAGTGCACCACCGATCACATCTCCATGGCCGGTCCCTGGCTCAAGTACCGTGGTCACTTGGACAACATCTCCAACAACATGTTGATCGGTGCCCTCAACTCTGAGAACAACGAGGTCAACAGCATCAAGAACTGCTTCACCGGTAAGTACAACGGCGTCCCTGAGGTTGCCCGTGAGTACAAGGCCGATGGTGTCCGTTGGGTTGTTGTCGGTGACGAGAACTACGGTGAAGGTTCTTCCCGTGAGCACGCCGCTCTCGAGCCCCGTTTCTTGAACGGTGCTGCCATCATCACCAAGTCCTTTGCTCGTATCCACGAAACCAACTTGAAGAAGCAGGGTATGCTTCCCCTCACCTTCGCCAACCCCGCCGATTACGAGAAGGTCCAGCCCGCTGACAAGGTTGACATCATTGGTCTCACCGACTTCCAGGAGGGCAAGCCCCTCACCCTCCGTCTCAACCACGAGGATGGCTCCAAGGAAGACATCAAGCTTAACCACACCTTCAACCCTGGACAGATCGAATGGTTCAAGGCTGGTTCCGCTCTCAACCTTATGAGACAGAAGGCTGGTTTGGTTTAAATTTATAATATTTTTTTTAACAACTTCCAACTCTATTTTTTCTTTAAAAACAAAAAAAAAAGAAGAAAACATATACACTTTCACATTGACCACCTTTAATGGTCTTTCATTTTCTTTACCTTCTCTTACTTTTAGTCTAGTGTAAATTCTGTAAAAAATAAAAAGAAATGAGAAAAACTTATACAATTCATTACATACACAATATATGCGAAATTCCAAAAAATCAATAATATATTCAATTCAATTCAATTCAATTCAGTTCAATACACATCAACATGCTTGTACGTGTTTGTAAAAAATACTACATTCGGTAATAACAAGAAGTGTCTTGTGTTTGGAAGCTTTAATTATTATTATCATTTTTAGCTTACACAGGAAAATCTTGTACTTGATTTAATTTAAAGGGTTTATTAAAAAAAAAAAGAAAAAAGAAAAAAAAAAGATCAATCTAAAATCTTGGGACGGTCTTTTCTCGATCCCATCCTCTGTTATGCGCTTGTCTCAATTTACGCTCTGCATTAGCCTTTCTGTCCGCTCTACAAAATTGCATTATTATTATTATTATTATTGTATTACTATTTTTTTTTTGGATGCTCATTTAACCCTAAATAATTCTATATATAAAAAAGGAAACAAGGTCCTATTCACAAACTCTTACATTATATCATCTGAATAAACTTGTGACGCTATCTCTTCTTCTGTCATGGCAGGCTTTGTGGATGGATTGTGTCCATCTACCAAAGAACCAGTCTTTGAAGGATTCCGAGTGTCGTGGTCAATTGTGTTTGCCTGGTTGAATAGCTTCAAATCTCTCATCTTCTCAGCCATTGCATCTACACTCTAAACATTTTACTGTGAGTCTAAATTTCCTCTTCTTCTTTTGTCAATTTATCCTTTTATATATGTGTGAGTGAGAAGGATACTTTACTCTATCGCCCAGCATGCTGTGCTGAGGTTTTTCTTGGAAACGGCCATTCAAGTGGTGTTCCTAATATCAAAAAAGCGACAATAGAACAGCTAAAATTAACTATTGTTATACCTTTATATATGTATATATGCTAAACACTTTTATAAGATAAGATATTTATAGTATACTTACATTGACACTATTCTGATTTTTTGAAACCGGACGTGTGTCCCAAAGTGAAATAGTATTGGCTGGTTTGCTTTCAGAAGACAAAGATGAACCACTTCTCAAGTCATTCAAGCGAATTGTGCTGGTTATTGTAGATGTAGATGAAGATGAAGATCTGCTGATAGGTACAGAGTGGTCGGATTCATTCGATAAAGGTTTAGTAGTTCCAAGATCATTGAGACGGATTGTGTTGGGTTTGTCAACCTTGGTTCCATTTGCACAAAGATCACCAAATCGAATGGTAGTTGTGGGGGGAGCTTTAAGTGTAGGTCGATCGAAAATTACGGGCGATCTTGCTGGCGATGGAGCTGGTGATCGTGCGGGTGATGAGGATGCTGGGGTGAGTGATGGAGACATTATATCTGCTATGGTCATGTTAAACACAGGCCCTGTTGATGCGTGTCCGTCATTGCTAGATGCAGTAGAGCTACTGAAAGATGCAGGGACAGATCCACCAAGGATATCCGACAATTTAATACTAATGTTGGGGGTACTAGATGGTTCATGAGCAGGTTTAGCGTTTTCTTGAGCACCATTGAGCGCGCTAGAATTATGCTGATTCGAGGTTGAGGACACATAAGATTGCTTTCTTTGCTGCGGTGATGATGGCGGTTCACTGTGTTTTTTGTAAGGATTTTGTTTATGGTAAGAGCTGTGTTGCTGGGGTTGGTAGGCATTCTGATGTCTTGGGGGAGGGCTGGCTTGTTTTACTGGAGCAGGGCTTCTTGTTCTATCAACTTGGGAAGCGCTCCAAGTCTGCCATTTTGAGCCCTCAGTGGTTACAGGAGGAGTACCTTGTCTAGGCGATTGCATTGTAGGCCGATTGTAGCTCATTTTCAGAGAAGAAAAAGGGTATGAACAGCAGTGGCTTGACAATGGGGTTTTTACTTTATTTCATCTCACTTGATTTAATTTCAAAAAAAAAAACTCCTTTGTTACTCAGTCCTGCGACTTTAATTTGTTTAACCATTTCTGACGTATAGCTTTATAGCCTTCGAGTAAAATATTTATGATATATACATATTATATGCCACATGAAATAGGTTTAGCTTGTCCTGAAATTCGACTATCGGTAAAGATATATATTATGTACATTTGGGGCTATAATTGATGGTTTTATATTATAATTGAGTCCTTGTTAGCCACAATGATCACAGAATTTTATCTGGTAAGCTCTAGTTTTATATAATTAAACACGAGATACAAATTGAATCATTATTTTTCGGTGTGCTTATTTTATTATGCGATTCTTTACATAAAGATCATAAGTAACGAAAGCAGATATATTGGTATCGCAACTGCTTTCAAGATACATTTTTGCCCAAAACTAGTATTAGCCTATTAGCCTATTTTTCTAATATTTTCATATATATAATATTATATATATTTATATGTATTTATGTATTTATGTATGCATGCAATGCAGAGAAATGGTACGTCTCTAACTCACTGTTTGTATGTACGTATGTACGTAAATATGTAAGTATGTATGTATGTATGTAAGTATGTATGTATGTATGTATGTATGTATGTATGTATGTATGTATGTATGTATGTATGTATGTATGTATGTATGTATGTATGTATGTATGTGTGTATGTGTATGTGTATGTGTATGGATGTGTTTTGTTGCTGTTAGAAGAAGGAGAACAAAAAAAGGGCAGTGGAATAGAGTGGCAAAATATACGTATCCCTATAAAGAATACTATTAAAGTTCTATACATCTTCATAGTCTTTTGACTGGAACATTCTTCCCTTGCCCTTGGGTTCAACTTTCTGTTGTCGCTTTTGAACAACAATCCCAGGCTGACCAGGACTTCCGGATCGACTGCTGCCACTCCCTTCATCCGGTTCCTCACTATCTTCTGGTTCTTCAGATACGCGTTCCAGTCGCCGCCCATTGCGGATACGATCAAACTCATACTGATCACCATCCGTTTGAGGTGCACTAACATATGCAGTAGTGTCGACAGCAGACTTTGACGAATCTCTCCATTTGCGTATCAGGAGATACATTCCAATCACGCCACAAACCACCAGAAGGAGCGACCCAAACATATACACTGGTGTTAGTCGTTCTGTTTCCTGGTCTTCTTCATGTGCATAAAAGCCATCAGGTCCAAGGCTATCTGTCTCCCATCCACCTTCTTTTATAGTTGAATCAGGAATATCGGTAGCAATTTCAGCTGTAGGTGTAGGCGTAGGTAGGATTGACGTGTAGTCATCTTCTGCAATTCCTGTGCTCAGGGGAGTTTCAGTAGACTGCTCTTGGCCGTGATCTGTTTCTGAAGATATTGGTAGGATCGAGATTGGTATAAACCCAAATTTTGTTTCTCCCCACAAAGTAAGCGACCATTGAATAAGACTCCCAGTATATTGTGGATTTTTAATGTCCATCACACGCAATGTCCAATCACCAACAGGATTCTCTTCCCTAATAAGATATGAACAATAAAGAAATGAATAATAAAGTCTATGTTTTGACTGATCAGAATTTTCCAACGCAACCTCTTACCAGTGCTTTACACTCATAAATGTCCAGTTCACCAACCCATCCTTGCTGTTATCAAACTTTCTTGAAGCGCCCAACTTACTGACTACTTTATTAGGACTTTCCAAGAATACTTCCAAATCTCCTCTTCTGCCGTGTTCAATATCAACCGTAACAGTAACATGTTCCAATGTCCCAAGCCCTACACTGTCTAACCTTTCCTGGTCAATAGCAACAACACTCGTTAGTGCCTTGCTGACATCAATTCCATTCTTAAAATCTGTCAAATCTGGTATTATTCGTTTTTCCAAAAGTCCAGCTGAGGTTTCCAGAAAAGTGTGAGGTCCAACACTTTTAAAATTTTTTGCAGCCTCCACAATAGCAAACGCATCTAGTTTTCCATAACCAAACTTGTGGTTGTATTTCCGCCCAGAGGGAAGAACATCCCAGTCGTCGTCTTCGAGTGTTACGGGAACGGCTGTGCGAACACACAAGTGTTGCATATCACGCCATGTAAGATCAGGCCGCACGGAGAGAACAAGGGCAAATACTCCGGCTGCTAATGGAGCAGCTGCAGACGTTCCACCATGACGATCAGAACATGAATTGCCCCCAACGTCTGTAGTATACTGCATTTTTTTGCCAAGGAACGCATTATCATCAATAAACTATTATCCCCTTAATAAAGTCTTGAGAAAGAAAAAATATTGCTTACAATGTGTCCACCATTGCCACTTGAATAGGTGACGATAAGTTGAGCAGAGCAGCTTTCGGCATAATAGGGATGTCTGTCCAGACGATCTATCGCACCCACTGTGATTGTGTACAGGCTGTTTGTATATCCATCAAAGTTACAGTTATCGTCGTTGGCACCACCATTTCCAGATGCAAACACAAAGATAGTTCCACTACCATCACGTCCGTTATTAATACCGTTTTTTATGGCGTCCAAAACGATTCCTTTTGGTGCCTCGGCAACTTCTCCTTGGTCAGGAGGTCCCCAGGAACATGAATATATATCGTTTTGCTGGAACTTGTAATTAAGTGCTGCTGCTTCATCCGCTTCTGTAATGTCCGCAGACAATATTCGTATACCTGTCATCCAAAAATACATGTTACATAATCTATTCATAGATTTCTATATATATTTAAGCTTTTATATCTTATATATATATACGTGATTTCAATTTACCTGCTACCTTGGCACCATAAGCCATTCCAACACCACACACATCATTTTTGACTGCAGCGATTTCACCCGCACACCTTGTTCCATGGGTATCGTCAAAGAGTTTTGGTTTTGGAAGATTTGTATGGTCATTAAAGTCATAAGATCCAGGAGCAAACTACAGTAAATTATCAATTAACTCTTCGTCTTCTTAATAGAAAAAAAAACTCAGTGACAATGATTGAATACTTACAAAGTTATCCTTGAGATCCTCATTATCCATATCAAGCCCGTCATCCAATATGGCAACCACTACATTTTGACCTGTAATATCTTGTGCACAGAAAATCCGCGGGTCAGCCAACAACCAACAGCCAACAGCCAAAACTTCTCCAAATGAACAACTTACTTTGACTCCACACTCCAGCCACATTAATGTCGTGACCACGATGATCTCGATTTATCTATGCATATATACAAGAAAAGGAAAGTTAAATACAGACTCTGTACTGATTTTGCTGTAAAAGCAAACAAATGAAAAAATAAGGGCAAAAAATAAAATAAGAAGAAAAGGAGAAAACGGGAGAGATGATGGCAATAATCAATCTTACAATGTGCCACTGTTTATCAAATCCAGGATCCCTGATTTTTAATCTTTCTTTGAATGATTCATATCCTCCTGGTAAGTCAAGCATGATATTTGTACTGAATTCACCGTTTTCCTCCATCTCTTCCAATATATTCTCCTCTACTGGTGCATCTCTAAAAATGTCTTCGGGTGCCTGGCGTCTATCAATTGGGAGTGCTGAGCGTTTGAACAGCCGCCGACGGGGTACCTGGGGGTCCAATCTGTCTATGCGACGTAGGGCTTCAACATACACGTCGCGCTTAGCTGATCCGGTCACCTGAGACTTGAGTTGATTGAAGCGAGCCACGATGTGATCATTTGATGAATCTCGTTTGGTGCGGTTATTAGGAATTGGTGTGCTAATCCAGTAATAATTTGGTAATTCTCCAACTTGGCCTTCAAAACGGACCTCCATGTGCTGTGCAACAAGGAATGCAGCTTTTGAATCAGCATGAGGTGTGTAGAGAGTATAATAAAGACGTTTCTTGTAATCGCGAATCCATGATTGTTGAGTCTGTTGTGATGCATAAGCCCAGGATCGAGTGGTAAAAAACAAAATTAGCCCCAAAAGAAGAGGACGAAAAGATGACATTATAAGACAAGACTAAGAATGTATCCAGGAGGATGCCGTTTATAAGTTGATTAAGAAGTTAAGACAGGTCGTTTCAGGCTGTTAAGGTACTGTAGGCATTTAAACATGTTGGCTTAAAACACCGACAATTCACACACCAAAAAAAAAAAATTAAGGTGTCTGTTCCACAGAATTGTACAAAATTTATTTTTATATTTTGTATACACATTTCCGGTCGGTTCACAATATTATTATCTGATTCAAAGCCTGTGCCTTTATGTATTCAAATTTTACATTTGCAACGTCTGCTATTCATAAATTGAGATTGCAAGATGTTTGAAGAAAAGCCAATGGATAATTACGATCAACTGTCTCAATGCGCTTTGGAGTTTCAGCACAATCTTTACGAAATTACACTTTTTTGTAATTTAGATGAATCAGTTCTATCCGGTAAACCCAACAGACGATCGTGAATTCTGACCAGAAAATATTGCGGGCGGTCTTCTACCCTACAAATTTATTCAATTCTCATTGTTCTTGCAACAAGGAATGAAACAACAGGATCATCATAAGGTACATATAGTATACTGCTTGCGGTCATTACTCTGGCGGATCAATGGTTGTTTTCCTGATAGTGAAAAAATCAATAGTATAGCTATAGAAATACCAACTAGCCATCGCAAAGAACGCCTGCAAAAAGGCATATATATAATGAATATGAATGTAAAAGACGTATTTTATTGTGTAAAAGCTTGTAAGAAAAAAAAAACTAAATATATACCTTCTGGAGTGTGAATACACTGCGGATACTGCGGATATAGTGGTACAAGAGTAACCTCATGTTTTGTATTTTGTCCGACTATTTTCTTGAGCTTTTTTTTATATGTAACGATATTAAAGTACCAAAAGGATATCGATTATGAAATTTAATATAATTTACGTCTCCGTGTATCTTGATATTCGATTTGATTACAGTGTTTTTACTTGAGATTGAGACGATGTTAGTTTTTTTTTGGACGGATGAAAATGAATTTTTGGACAGTTTGCTTACCTTTTCTTGGATAAACAAAAAAGACAATTGAGACGAGGTAAAAATAACTAGAATATTTTTCACCGGTCAGCATCTTTAAGTTCGCCAACCAGAGTGAGGAACAACCACGTTCATTGTGGTGCTTTGTGTTGTTGTGCTTGGTCTTTGTCGATGATTGAAGATTTCTGGCCTACCATTGCCACTTCAAATCTCCTGTTCAATATGGAGCATGTTTCTTGCTGCCATGACATCCCTATTCAGAAAAATATTACAGTTGTTGCAAATTAATATGGAATGGATAGGTCTATCATTGGCATTTCGGAAATATCTTAGGCCTTTGGTCTTACAGGAGCTGCAAACCCACGCAATCAATATTGAATATAAAGAATAAAGCTTCAAAGAGAAAGTGTACAACTACATTTGACGTGTTAAATTCCTTAACGTCCTAAAGGTACAGCTATCCGATCTTTTGTTTTACAAGAAGATACTTGTAAATTTTCTCGAATACTCCATGCCGTAAACCGCAAAATGGGACACTTGATTTGTTAGTAAGCCTATCTCCAAAGACAATTAAGGGCATTTTATAAATGTCTCTGGCTTGAAAGACACGTCGGTGAGAGTTTCTGTAATATTTTAAATTATTTTAAATGAAATGGGATACAAGCAATAAGTAATTGGCTTAATACCTTGGTTGGACAGGTTGGTGTGTACTCCCAGGATTCCGTATGTTTTCCCTGCATATTGGTATTTATCTACGTTGAGTATTAAATATAATACTATATTTTACCAAGAACTTTGGTAAAATCTGTTGAATGCATACTTGTAAAAAATATTCCTAAAAAAAAAACCAATATTGTATCAATCTCAAGTAAAAACACTGTATTTAGATTGAGCATTATCTTAAATTTACAACACACAATTGTATATTAAGGAAAATGGTGGTGTCAAGGACACTTTAATCAAATCTAATATCTGTAGTAGGAATTGCCCTTCATTAAATTTCTATATAGAACTTTGCAAATATTTGATTCACAAAACTGTCTTTTTTTTTAAAAAAAAATCGTATGAATTGTACAAAATACTTATCGCTTTTAGAGTTTCAGTTTATTATTACTATTGTTTGTGTATTCAATTGGTTCAGCTTTACAATGTATGTACTTGTTAATCACGTATTAAATATACTCCCGTATACTTATGCTTATTTACTAATATTAATGAGGTTTTGGTAACAAATATTAACTTTAATATTGTAATATATATATATATATATATATATATATATATATATGGTGTCAATACGACTATTTTATAAATTTTCAAAGGCCAACTTCCCTAAAGAAAGTATCTGGATTAATAGATCAATTTTTTATAGAGAAGAAAAACTAGGTATTGGCGCTCATAATATTATTATTAAATAGCATTACTTGGAAGATTTTCACATAAAATACCCTGATAAATTTCCGCTGCCAAACTTACGCCAACGCTGATCACTCTTAAGAATATTTCAAAGTTATACATATATTATGGAAGCTCAAATATTCAAGCATAATTCTTGTATTTGAGATAAAAATTAGGCAACGTTTACACATTTTTTTTTGCATTTTAATTTTATCATGAAAATACAAAAGCAAAATATATATTATGTGCTTGCTTATGTGTATGTATTTGTGAGTTTGTTCTCAAGACAATATATGTAAAAAGAGGAGAAGGGAGAAGGGTGAAGGGAGAAGGGTGAAGGGAGAAGGGAGAAGTGAGAAAAGTGAAGTGAGAAGAGGGCAAGATGGAGAGGAAAGGGATGAACGAAACATGGAAAGAGATAGAGAAAGGGAAAAAGAAAAAGGGATGTTTTTCGATTTTTTTTTCTTAGTGACTCATCTCACGACGACTATGAATGGTTTGTTTGATGTTTTCTCGTCTCTCATCAATTTTAGCCAAGATTCGGAACTGCTCCTCCCGCTCTTTTTCAATTTCTTGTGCTTGTAGCTTTTGCCAGTTTGTGTGGGCATGGCATTGCTTGCGATTTTTTTTACAGACAATTTGGGGAGGTGCTCTTTCAAGGGCATGAATATTCTCCGCAGTAAAGGTAACAACAACCCTATCATTGTCCTCTGTGTTCATTACACCATCTGCCTTCTCCCATATAGAAGCAGGCCATATCAGTCTGGAATCAAATCCACACAGGGGTTCCTCGTCTACTGTGAGCCGTTGCCTTTTCATCGTCTGGTCTTGAAGCAGTTTCTTCAGCAAAACATATTTCCGGTCAATTGCAGCTACGCGACTATTAACAGCTCTTTTTGTTTCCCTGAGTTCAGCCAAGGTATCACGGTAAGTCTTGGTTTGTGAGTTTAATTTTTCCTGTTTCTTTTCCACGACTGCTTCTAATAATGAGCGATGGCTTTTTAGAGACATCGTTGCCTGCCGACTTGATTCTGCAAGTTCTGCCTTGATACGAGCCACAAGTACACCACAACGATTACTACAATAATATGGGGAGCCGTCTTTATGAGATCCGGATTTGCCAGATTTATGACATTTTGGATTAGCACACCTTGTCTTCCATGAGATTGTCTTGCCTGTCTCTAGGTATGTAAATAAAATAAAATAAAAATAATATAACATAACATAATATGATAGAAAACATTCACACACACAGATACGTAGGCACACGCACACGCACACGCACACGCACACGCACACGCACACGCACACGCACACGCACACGCACACGCACACGCACACGCACACGCACACACACACGCACACGCAAACGCAAACGCAAACGTACACATGTATGTGTATACACAAAAATGGTAATAACGTCTTAGTATTTCAACATTGTTTGGTTCAACCAATTTGTGGTCTGTCTCTACTCAGCCCACCCCATACCATGCTATGACATCCCATCCCATCCCATTATATCATATCATATCATATCATAGCATAGCATGTCCTATTCCAGCCCGACTCAGCCTAGCCCAACACAAAACAACTCTATCCCAGCACAGCCCAGCACATATCATCCCAGTATAGTTCAGTTCAGTCCAAATTACACCGAGTCAATTCATGCCAAGTCTGCTATTAATGTACCTTTAGTGCAAGGAGTACAGATGTAGGAATCTATAAGCTCACTCTCGCTCTCTGTAAAATTGACACAGTCTCCATGGAACCATTGATCACATTCGTCACATGCAATCATAAATCTTGATGCGTCATATGGCTTTTGACAAATACAATATAATACTCTATTAGTCTGGCGACGACCACCCTTTGTTGCTGTTGTTGATGTTGTTATTGCTGTTCCTGTGGAGACTGTTTGTGTTGTTGTTATTGGTGTGGTTGTGGCTGTGGTTGTGGCTGTGTTGTTCTTTTTTCTCTTTCTGACAGGTGCTGTCGATAGCTTGATGGCTTCAGGTCGATCCATGAAGAGTATGGACTCTCCTGTAGAAATATCAAGTGAACTGGATAGTAAACTTTGCTGATTTTCAATAGTATTTGATTTTGGAATCCTTCGTTTTTTGAAGGCTGGTTCCTACATATATATATATATATATATATACGTACATATACACATACACATATACACACACACAAAAGAAAGGAAATAAATAAGATGAGATGAGATGAGATAAATATGAAATTAGGTGAATATAAGCAGCTTGGATATCTATTGTGTGTACTGTAAGCCAAGGTAAAAATTGTGGTCCTCCTGTAATCACACAGACGTACATTTGTAGAGCTATTTTTGGAGTGAGAAGGATGTGTGGAGTGAGAAAAGTCGCACTGATCTTCTCTGGATGACTATACAATGGGTTTATCGTCAGTTAGTCAGCGTAGGGCTTTGGCTGTATCAAAAAAGAGGAGTGCGCACCTCTTCTACACAATTTGGTGAGGTACCATTGTCTTGGTGACCCAGTGACAATCGTTTTGTGGTCATGATACAAGATGAATCTTCTGACGAATCTGGATGGTCTGAACCTATCCGGACATTCTTGTCTAACCAACGATAAGCTTTCTTGGATGGTTCTATTTCAGTATCAAACAATGTCTTGCAACTTCTTGTATCTTCTAAAGGTTCGTCTGGACCATCTGATAGCCTGTTGAAAGGATCAGAGGCCTGCCTTTGATGGGAGTTGAAATTAAGGACGGACATATGTCGCTGCATCAACACATTCTTCTTTCCTTCGTAAGCCTTTGATTCTGATTTGCTCCGCTTGTGCTTTGTCTGATGGGTTTCTGAAGTGGTGGGTTCTTCTGTTGAGGTGTTAAACAAAGCACCGCCATTGCACCCAGCCAGTGCGTCGGGCTCACTAATTCCTCGGATTGTTCGGCCAGACTCTACAGAATTACTACTACAAGGCGCAGAGGGTACTTGACTAGATCCTCGTTGGTCATTTGTGGTCGGTGCAGATGTATTTTTTGGAATGCGCTTCCGGAGTGGAAGATGTTTTTCATTGCCATCCATGTGGATGTGTTCGGATTTATAATGTGTAGGTGGAATTTTAAAGGAATCATTCATGGGAAAGGTATCACTGTCCTGTGGGGGAGTCAACTGCCCTTTCTCTACTATTCCATTCGCCCCTGAATGAGGTAGGACGGTGGATTTCAAGGCCTGTTTATTGCAATCCCTGAATAGTCTCATTGGATCATCACCATGAGGAGGGGTAGATGTGGAGGAGAAGTGTTGCATAGATGAGTTGTATTAAAGCTGATTTTTTTATGCCTATATGTATTTTATGTATTTTATGTATTTTATGTACACACACACACACATGTATACATGTACATATATATTCTTAAATAATATATATATATATATATAAGGTGTATAAATAGAGAGATGAAATAGATAAAGTATACAAAGTAGATATTTATATATTCAAGTGTACAAAAGTCTAGATATCTGGTTTGTGTCTGTAGAGGAGGTCTATGTCAGTATTACAAAAGGTAGAGTTCGTCTTATGGTAAGCTCGATTGCAAACGAAGAAAAGGGCATGAAATCGCGTTCTTTTTTTTTCTTTCTATGCAAGTTATCACACAGCCCATTTTCATTTTCCGATGGCCAATTTTGCACAGTGATGTCGGAAATTATATATATATTTTTCTTTCTATATATATATATATTATTTTATTTTATTTTTGCGAAATCCCTGGACTGATTTTGACCGACTTGACTTAATTATATGCAAAAATATACTTACATATACGTACATAAACCAACAAGATCTCTTCTGCTTCTGCTTAATACTTTATTTATTTTTGGTTCTTTGTACAATACACAATATATATCTTCTTTTTTGTTGTTGCCGTTGTTATTATTGTTATTACTTTTATTACAAAGTCTTGACCTTGCCACGGAAATCCTCTAGGGACTTATAACCCTTGGCTACCATGATATCCTCCAACTCCTTCTTCACACGGCTGAAGAGCTTGGGGCCCTCCTCTTTCAGCTGAGTACCGATTTGGACAGCGCTAGCACCAGCAAGAACATGCAAAAATGCTTCCTTTCCTGAAGTAACACCACCGACACCAATGATCTTTTTGTTGGGGCAACGACGGTAGAAGGCATTGACATTTGCAAGTGCAGTGTTGAGAACCATCAGGCCACCAAGACCACCGAAACCATCCTTGGGTTTGATAAGTGCAGTCTCAGTCTCAAAGTCAATAGCAAGTCCATTACCGACAGAGTTGATGCAGGTCAGGTAAGCAAGGTTGTCAAACTTGTTAAAGATTGCAGCAGCGGTGTCAAAGTGAGCAATGTCAAAGTAGGGCGGGAGCTTGATACCAAAAGGCTTCTTGATGATGGGTGCCAATACGTTTAATGCACTCTCCATGGCTTCCATATCGTAACCGAGCTGGGGTTTTCCGGGAACATTTGGGCAGGAGAAGTTGATCTCGAGAACGCAGGGAAGGTTGGCAGCAACGAATCCCTCGACCATCTTCTTGTTGTCGGCAACAGATAGACCAGACAAAGAGACAAACAAAGGTTTGGGGTTGCTGTAGTCGTATTTCTTGGCATAGGCGAGGTAGTACTCATAACCTTCGTTGGGAAGACCCATGGAGTTGATGCTGCTCTGAATTGCAGGCAAGGGGACATAACGCGGAGAAGGGTTTCCCTCGCGCATCTCGTATGTGGCCGACTTGGTAATCAATGAGCCAGAGTCACTTTCCAAAAGCTGCTTGAGCTCGTGCTCGTGTTGACAGCACACACCAGAGGCATTGAAGAAAAGGTTGGGCAAATGGAGTCCGGCGATGTTGGTGGAGAGATTGGCCATGATGAAATGAGCAGAGAAGTTTACCTGTCAATAGTGTATACCTTGTACAACAAAACAAAAAACAAAAACAAAAATAAAAAAATAATAAAATAATAATTGCCCAGTCACCCTTTCCCTTCTCATTTCCCCCCGCTTGACTGGTACAGCTGTTTCTTTCCGTGTGTGTGTGTGTGTGTATGTGTGTGTATGTGTGTGTATTTTCCCTTTTAAACGTTCGGACTCAATTCATTTGATTTTATTATGAATATTATTTGAGCGTATATGATGTTAAATAAGCAACCCTTAAAAAGGAAGCTAAATCCGAAGCTAACAAATAGAGGTAGAGACCATAGTTTTACTATAGAGCTGCAAGGTATATGAACTATATTTATCTACAACCCCAGGTAAGATTATTAACTGCGGTGCTTATGAAATGGGATGATTTCTTATTCCTTGACAGAAATAAATTTCATAAAAAATGAAAACAAGCATTTATTTGTGTAACCCTGATTGCAGTGACACATTTCAAGATGATCTTGTCAGACAAAATCGATTTATGTCGGACATTGTATTATCGCTCAAAAAGATCAATGGGTTCCAGCCTCTTGGTCTCTTTGCCTCTTAGTCTCCATAGTAGCCTTGGTCTCTATAGTAACAAATGAGCTTAAGGATAATACTATTGCTAATCTCGTTAATACTACTACTTGTTATTATGATGAAGATGATGATAATAATTTATTTATTAGTACTATTATTGTTTTGTACTGATTTTCATATAGAAGAAGTTTAGATATTATCATCTTGTCTATCAAATATATGTCCCAAAAACTGCTTGTGCACAATTATATGCACGTGTGTGTGTGTGTATTTATATTTTGTTTGAGGCATTATATATGGAATTAATATCATTACTTAATGTGCCATCAATATTGAATATATATATATATATATATCATATTATATTATATTATATTCTTTTAAAACGCTGAGCAGGATTTTCTAACTAAAAGTCTCGAGAATATATATGTATATATTATAGTAATTTATCACAAAATTGAAATGTAAATTAGGTTCCTCATCTTTGCTTAGCCATGAATAAAAGCCAGCATATACTATAACTAGCAGAAAAAAAAAAGGGAATCCAAGATTTTCTTGATTCAGAATACAATATATACCCTCCTTTTCTATTTCTTTTTTTGTACTGCTATTCCAAACTTTTGAAAGATGACCGTTACACTAATGCGCACGTCCCTTTGCTGATAAAAGAATAATAATACCAAAATGAGCTTTATTCTACAGACAATGTATATATTTTCTTTTTCTTGAGAAGGGTTTTACTAGTCAACTTGGATCTGCTTATAAGGAAAAAGAAATATGAGTATATAATAAATAGGAATATATAATCAAGAATTCAATCTTGGCTTTTTTGTGTTTTGTGTTTTGTTTTAGGGTTTGTCTGTGGATAAACCACTTGCTCTAATAAAGAAATTGTTTTACTAGTATTTAATATTGTGGGTTATTACGCTATCTACACGTTACCTTTTTCTTTTTCTTTTTTTTTTTTTTTGGATGATTATGTAAGTATACAAGGATATAAGCCCTCTTACAATCATATACATATACACACATATGTATATATACAAAGAAGAAGTATGTCATATATTGGACAAATTATTTTTAAAGTGTGCGGGAATACATTTGTTATTATTAGTATTACTCTCGCAAAGGTTAGCTCTATTTCTATCTATCAGATTGCTTATTAATACACCAATATTAGCCAGGTTGACAATGATGCTTATTCATGCGTATTATAAGCTTGTACTCTTGAGCAAAATACATAGTTTTTTCTTATTGGCGGATAAGTGTTCAATACAATAGACAGCGACATCAATATTCTTGATTTTTTGTTTTCGTTTTGAGTACAACCTAAATGTGCTGCGACATACACTCGAGTGTAATAGGTCATTAGACGGTCACAGATTTTTTTGATTTTTTGATTTTTTTTATGCATTATCAAAATATTCTTTTCTTTGTAAAACCACTAAAAACTCTTAAACAAATAAAACAAAAGCACAAAATGACTCCACCAACTTCTAGCATCACAAAACCCAAAAGACAAGAGCTAGATGCGTTCATTAGGGGCCGAATTATAGGTCAATGGGAGAAGGACGCTACATATGAAGAAATCTCTAAAGCCCTTGACACGTCTAGGAAGGGAACCAAAGGTTACAAAGAGAACACAATCTGCGATGGTGCGCTCATTTCGTAGTGAGCCATTCGTGTCAATTGCGGCTCAGCATCAGAGATTAGTCGATGTGGGAATCTCCATCTGCATGACTACATTCCGTAAGAACATGGAACTTCTTGGCTTTAGTTCTCACTCAGCAGCTCGCAAGCCAGGGTTGACCGAGAAACAGAAGGAAAACAGGCTGAAATGGTGCCTTGACAAAGTGAATTGGACTGTTGAGCAGTGGAAGTCAGTTGTCTGGTCAGACGAGTTCAGATTCATGGTAGGTGGCAATGATGGAAGAGTCAGAGTCATCAGAAAGACTGGCGAGAGGTTTGACAAGAACCATATTGTCCAAACATACAAGTTTGGTAAGGGTTCCGTCATGATTTGGGGTTGTTTCTGGGGTGGGGGTCTTGGCCCCTTGGTAACATTGAAAGGAAACATCGATCAAGACAAGTACATAGACTGTTTGGCTCAGTACTTTCTTCCCTGGTACGAGGAACTGTCCAGGGATAATAACAAACAGTTTTTGTTCCAAGAGGATGGTGCACCATGCCACACGGGCGCTTATGCCACATGGTATAAAAAAGAGAGGTGTCTAATAGATAGCTTTAATTTTTGGCCTGCCCAGAGCCCAGATCTTAATCCTATCGAGCATATTTGGGCTCATCTTGCGAGGAAACTTCGCAAGAATAGAGCACAAGTAACCAATGTGGAAGAACTTGAAGCGGTAATCCACAAGACATGGTTGAAGATACCACTTCAAGTTCTGGAAACTTTGGTAGCCAGCATGCCAGATAGGCTTAAAGAAGTAATCGAGAGAGGGGGTGACACAACTCATTACTAGAGCTCATACATTTTCTCTTAAATATATATATAATAAACTATGTTTTCTCTAAGTTTTGCTTTATTCTAAGCACATTTTATTATCAACATTATTGAAAAGAAAATATCGTCCATAATATGCTTGAAAAATAATTTTGAAAATTAGAAGACCGTCCAATGACCTATTACACTCGAGTGTATATGTGTCTGCTAAAACAAAATGTGTAAATATACTGTGTATTGTATATGATTGGATTGAATTGTACTGGATTATTAGCTTTATTCTTGTTATTATTATTTTAATTGATATATTGGACGACTGGAACAGTCTTGTTTTTCATTTATATCAAGTAGAGTAAACGAATTTCCGGTAAATCCACATCAAAGTAGTAATATATCAAAAATAATTTTAAAAAATCTTTTGAGTTCATTGTTATCAAGTCATTCTATCTTACTATTATTATCGTTCTTATTATTCTTATTATTGGATAAGGGATAAAGATGATGACAATAAAAGGAAATATTTCTCACCCGGTTGAACAAAGTATTGATTTTGATTCTTTATAGTTGAATACACACACACACACACACACATGCACAAATAAATATATACTTTTTCTTATCGGTGTTATTGGTACTGGACCTCAAGAGATACTTACATTAGATGAGCAATAAAACCCGATATGTTTTGGTCTTTATGTCCTTTTGTCCTTTTGTCCTATTGGTGTTTGAAGACGCACTATTTCTATTTTCGCTCTACTCATTTCCGTTATATATATTGGTTTGTTTGTACAATTTCCTTGTAGTTTTTGTGTATCTGTTTATTTTATATACAAGTATAGATTTATTCTTCTTCTAAATATATTAAGCTTTTTATCTCAAATAAGATAAAATATAAAATAATGGTGAGTTAAAGATACGTAGCTTTGTACTCAATTATTATTATTGTTATTATTATTAACAATCAAGGGAACTAAACACCTACACAAAAATGATAAAAAATTTCCGGCAATAATTTAGATAAATGATAATATTGCTTATTGTTTAAAATGAAGGAAAAAATTACTCTAATATGTATATTTAAAGAGTGGGTTGTAATTAGGTTCGGATAGTAATTTCTTGCAACATTGTATTTTAAATGGCCTGCTCTTTCTACAGTTTGAAGATTGTGTATCAGACTTATTTTTATTAATATTATTATTATTATTTACAGTTTGCCTAAAAGTAAATCACACCTACTAAATATATCAGTGTTGTACTTCCTCTAACAATTAAAAGAAAGTAATAACACTATACAAAGTTCTAAAAATAAATAATTAAAAAAAAAGAAGTGTCGCAGCAAATAATGGCTCAGGCTGGTATGAATCTATTGCTTCGCTCTAAAAGTACCTTTTTTTTTTAAGAAAGAAAGAAGTAATGGTAAGTATTGATCTGATTTCAAGGTATCATGATTTAATAGAAACAAAAAAGCATGAGTTTGAAGAACAGCATTTAATTGATAACAAAAAGGTATTTTGTTGATATCCAAAGTATTATAGTAACAACCAAAACAGTAGTAAGAAGAAGAGGGTATCCTATATAAGAATCCCAAATGCGTATAGCCAATAATCTTTATATTAATTAGAATAACATATGTATATATATATATATACAAATAAAATTAAAATTAAAAACTTATTACTCGAAACCCCCGTTATTTTCTTTAGATTCAATACTTTTCTTTTAACAACCAATGATCTGTAAAACAGAAAAAAGAACAAGACGGTTAAAATAAGCAACAATGTGTCAAAGAAATGACCACCCCATTTTTATTTTCTGTTCTTATTCTTTTTTTTTTATTGCTTCTTCTCTTTTATGTTCTTCAACAATGCATGTAATTTGGCAGGGATTTATACTCCAGAATACTTGCTTGATACACGACGCATTTTACTACAATCTTATAATCCGATTCATTGATTGTTTATAAGTACAATGATGCTGACGCAATCATGTACATGTTTTTTTTTGAATTATACATTGTACATTTCTTAGACCAATTTGAGATTTCCATTCAAGGCGCTGAATTAGATTAGGCCCAAGCCATTTGAACCTTTGAGCCATTACGTAAAATAAAGACTATAATACTACTTATCTATTTATTCAAGTAACAATCGGACATGCTCAACATTATAACCAATGAAGCATTCATTCAATCAATTCACAAAAACTAAAAATGAAAAGAAATGAATTGACGATTGATGGAGCTGGTCTACACTAAATCTCCAGCAATAACAAAGTGATAGTGATGACAATAGTGATAATAGACCTAATGCTGCTATCATTACGGTTGATGTATTTATCTGGTCATTGATTATTACTATTATTCTCTTTCGTTTTCACTATTGATAAAAACGAAACAAATGTAGATACTGTACATATATTACATTTATCTATCTGTTTATTTAACAGTAGTATCAAATACACAAAGTCTTTACTTGTCTGTAATGTCCTTGTGTACAATTGAGACTTTCCAGGTAGCTTAATAAGCTATATATTTCCTATGATCTTATTAATTAATTTAAATTTCTTAAAAAAAAATTAAAAAGATCATTTCAGTTTCAAACTAATAATTATTTTGAAACCAAAACGATTCTCATCGGTATATTGTTGCCGAAATATTAGCAAAAAAAAAAATCTTTTTTTTAAAAAAAAAAAAAAAAACGCACGGTTCTCCAAAGATGATTTTCTGAAAGTCTTGAATAATTTATACTCTCATACTCTCAAATGATCAATTGCCTATTCTATTCTGTGTTTTTTTCTTTGTTTTTTTTTTTTTACTATAACATTGTTATATATTTATATCAATTCATGCTGCTTTATTCGTTATTGGAAGAAGTACAATACCAGAAATATCTATTCAAACAAGTGTTGAGAAAATACTTATGATTTGATTTTTTTTTCCGTGAAGTGTACAAAATTATATGAGTTTTTTTTTTTGGAGTAACATTTCCTATAAAACAAAACACAAAACACAAAAAAAAAATTGTTAGCAAAACTCACAGCCAACCATCAAATCTATCCTGAGATTCAATCCCACGTTGATACTCTAATTTTTTTTTTGTATTTTTTTTTTGTGTTCACAGTGTAACTTTATAATTTTTTTTGTTACTCTTCTTTCTTTGTTTCTATTAGCCTTTCCATCATCTTCTTATTTTTACTCTTCTTAGGGGCTTCTCAAGCACCCGCCAAGGTCCTAAATGTTGGCGGTGATTTCCATATACGGATTGGCGAGAGCTTCTTAAATTAGTAACCTTCGCCAACAAAATTGGCTAAATTCGGAAATCTTCGCTAATATTTGGATTTCAACGCCAACTTTTAGGTCTTTGGCGAGTGCTTGAGAAGGCCCTTAGTCTTCCTACACCTATTACTATTCTTGTAATTGAATGACAGAAATATAACACAAGCCTTGATCTTTTCTCTCGTTTTCTTTTCTTTTTATTAATAGACAAACGCTACACCAACTTTGTGTTCATTTTCCTATTATATCCATTTCTTATTATTATTATTATTTGCTCAGCAGGCAAATGAGATGATAATGAGAATAGCAAATAACTAAAAGAAAGAAAAAACGGGGTGGTAATAGGCTTTGATTTATGTATTCAATTGTTTGTTTTTTCTTTTCTTTTTCTAAATATGAGGGAAAAATGTCATTTAATGTAACACGTTTAATGGCTTTTATATAATTTATTAGGTTTATGTTTTTAGTACATGTCTATTTTGCCAATTATTTGTACTGCGCAAACCTATCAAGTATACTATTATTATTTTATATAAACGGAATTATCAAGAAAAATTGGTGTCTTTCACGTTTCAAAAATTAAAAAAGAAACAAGTCATTCAACGGAATTAGCATGAATTATAAGTATTAAAAAAAATAAGTAAAGTAAGAAGCAGAAGAAGAAAAACAAGTGTTTACTTTAAAAAATATATAATTTCCAGGTTCCAGACAATTGAAGCAAAATAATAGTATCAGCACCAGTATAATTATTAGGACTAGTACTAGTACTAGTAAAAGAAATAGGATCAGTATCTGCAACTGCAACTGCAACTGTAACAATATGAATAGCAGCATGATTAATACACTTTTACCTAGACTACATTTACAGAGTGTCCATAATATAATATGATAGTACTATTATTTTAGATAGACAGAGGGACAAAGAAAGTATTATGAAGACTTTGTACTGTGTTTTGGCCGAGTTCGCGGACTGGTAGACTGATTTGGCAAGCCATTTAGAATATAGACATGTTCCCCAAAGTATAAAAAAAGAAATAAAAAGCTAAAAAAAGGGTACCCATTTCTAGTTGGAGACAAACAAAGGAAGAACAGAAAAGTAAAGTGAAAAAAAACAGTACAGTGCAGTACAATATAGTACAATACATTGAAGCAAGATAAAAGAAAACAGTTAAGTGACTGGGCTTGGCAATGAGACCCATTAACTGGGTTCTCTTGATTGGATTAGACTAGTGTACAGAAACTAAATAATTCAGTTAATTGACTGACTGGCTGGCTGGCTGTTTGGTTGATTGGTTGATTGGTTATCTATTTTCCGTTATTTCTTTATTTATTTTTTTATTGCTCCAAATAATAATATCAATATTAATAGTAGTAGCAATATCAAAAATGATGGCGATAATAATCATGGGAATGGAATGTGGACTGTGGGGCTGAAATCGGATTTAACCGACATATTGGGTGCCTGGATATTCGGTATTCCCATATATATATATGTGTGTGTAATAGATACGTATATATTATTTACAAGGATGTTTCAAAAAGGTGCACAAATACTTTCAATATCTGATACTGGTCCGTGTGAGTTGACTGGATCAGTCAAGTCCCTGCTCTCGGACAGGATTTCAGACAGCAAGATTATTGAACTGCCTTGAACAATTGTGAGATTAGGGTGAATGATGAGCACAACAAGAAACCATATTAAGATATTACTTGTACTAACTGGTATTGTTTATATGTATATGTATATGTATATGTATATAGACATATAGAGACAAAGAGAGCGAAAGAAAAAGAGAAAGTGTTTTAGCGTGGAATAACCAGAAATAAGATGCTGTACCAGGGAATTGACTTACTATTACAGATGAGAAAATCTGATATAAATTTGTGTGAGATTGGTGACTGCCCCATTAGACCATCACAGTAGAGTGCAATGTGAGCTGCAGAGGAAATGAATAGTGCAAATGTCAAGAGGATATTGAGTTGCTTGAAAAAATGTATTATTATTTTTTTAGATAATTCATTAATGGATAAATTACTTGGTTCATTAATACATTGGCTGGCTTTGTATAGATTTGTTCAAAGTAAAAGTAGTATTATTATAGAATACCTGAAAGTGGCGAACGACATATTCAATTGGACCCAAGTTTTCCAAAGAAGTACTGTTCCGTAAAAGATTTTCGAATCTGAGGTGAGAATTGAGTCCTACAAAGGCTAATACCATGATTTCTAGAAATGTTGTTTCAATTAGATATATAAATAAAAGATCGTATGTTGTCGGGAACGGAAGTAGATTACCAATGCCGTAGATTAGATTCGGGATAGATTCTCTCCACATGTAATCTGAAGATATCTGGGAAAGAAACCACTGTAGCATGGGAAAGACAATAAGGTTGGAGATTGCCCTGTAAATGGTTTTTATTAAGTTAATAGTAGTTAGTAGCTAGCAGTAGTCATAAAATAAAGACCAAGAATAAGACATAATTATATGGCAATTATGAGTCACAATTCACGGAATCCTTTTTTACAGGTCTGGATATTTTAGATAATTCGTTCAAAATAAAATAAAATTACCAGATCATGTAGAATAGATTCTCGGTATTTTTCATAAAATTGAATCTAATCAGTGACTTTGATAGGTAGTCCCAGTAGCATTGTAAGAGTATGATTGCGCACCTAAAAAGATGGTTAAAGTCTTAGTCCGAATCTGTATAGTATGTGCGTGTGTATATGGAATACTTCTTTCTCTCTCTCTCTCTCTGTGTGTGTGTACAAATATAAAACACACACACACACAGAGAGAGAGAAGTATGGATATATACAAAATAAAAAGAACCTAACATTTGCGTGGATAAAACAACTGATGAACCATAGTCTAAAAATAATCAAATACACATTTGGTTTGTTTGAATAGATATAAAATATATAAAGTGTATAAAGCCAAATAAAGAATGATTTGGATTGAAAAATTTATTCTTCTTACATGTCGGTGTAACTAGCATCTGGTTTGAAGGTGTCCATAAATGTTCTGGTTTTGAGATTATTGTGCCAGATGAGCCGAAAAGTCCTTCTTGGTACTTGATCTTGCACGATGTTGTGTCTACAAAGGATATCCTTTTTTCTACTTAGTCACACAAGAAGGAAATAGAACGAAATGAAGAAGAATAAGAATAAGACACATTGGCCTCTTTCTATAACTATAACTATATATATATATAAATCTTCGGGTGTACCGATTGCCAATTGGATTGGGATCATCAGGAAAACCAATAGACTAATCATGTTCTTCACCTCCGCCAGTTTGACTCTTTTCGAAAAGTAGTATGAGAAGTAGTTCATTGTCAAAAGACGGTAGAGATACCAAACGTAGAGATATCCCATCATTACGACCCTCTCTTATTATCGTTATCATTATCATTATCATTATATTTTTATTCCCAAAAACAATACATGAATTCAATTCAATTCAATTCACTTTTTTAGTTTCTTGTTTTTCCTATATATGTTTTTTTTCGGGTACGTACGCAAGAAGCTAAAATCGCTTAAATGGGTCATTCTACAGGGTCTTGAGAAGAAAGAACGAGATTGATATTCAAAAAAGAAGAGGGCGGACTAGTTTTATTCTTTCCTTTTTTTTTCTGTTAAGGAGACAACTAAGGAGAGCCTGGGTTTTGCCAAAATAAGGAGAAGTTGCAGAACTGTTGGACAATATATTTTGTCTTTTTTTCTTCTTCTACAAAAATTATCACATGTTGAAGCATATTCTTCCTTCCTTCCTTTCTTTCTCTCTTTCTATCTATATGTGTATCTGTGTATCTGTGTATATATTATATTTAATATTTACATAATTGGTATTTTACACAAGACACAAATTAAAAATATCGAAGAAGAAAAAATAATAATACAAAAGAGATGTCGGCATTGACCAATTGACAGTTGTATTTGATTTCTATTGTAGTCATTGTGTATTTATAAGCATTCACACATACAAGCTTGGGACTTTTGGTGGATTCGGATAACCAAAAGTCTAACGAGTAATATGAATAATGAATTGCATTTAATACAGTTCATAACAGAAAGCTATTAAATTATTGATAGTATTACTGTTTAAAGACAATATATTTGTATGTATTTGTATAAATTTTGTGGGCAGAATGATAGTATTAAAAGTTAAAAGAAAAAATTACGATTATAAATGCGTGTTTTTTTTTGTTCGGTTTATTTGTTTTCTAGGCCATAGAATATATATATAAAAGAGAGAAAGAAATGGAGATAATCATAAATTTGAATAATTACACATTTTTTCTTCCTATTTAAATATAATGGTAATAATAATATTGAACAAATCCTGTGCCTCTATTGCCGAAATTACTGAGTTAATCCGTATCACTTGTACAAATATGTAAATACATATATTATTATTTTTGCAAAGGTAAATTTTGCACGAGTAATAACTTCTTACCAATTAGATAACTATCCTGGATAACCGACGGGATTCTCGAGATAAAAAGCACTACATGTGCTTCTAAACTATTTATCCTATTTGTTTGGGTCAATTGATGTTACAATTGGCTTCTAGCAAAAACACACATATACATATCTATACACATATCTATACACCACATACTTATATACACACTGCACACTACACAGTAGAATTGATTGATTTTGATTCTGATTTTGATTAAATATATATTCTAGTTTAGATGTGTATATATAAATAAATATATATATTTGAATGAGTTTCTGTAACCGAGTTTCTGGAACCAAAATTATATTGTTGTGTATATTTGTGTGTGTGTGCTTTTTTTTGATCGGTTGTCAAGGTACAAAAAAATAGGCGCAAATACAATGAAACTTTTCAACTCAATTTTTTTTATTAGTATTATGATGAGTCCTTAATTGAATATGATAGGGTTTTGTGTATCGAATTTCTGGATAGATTTATGATGATGAATATGAATATGATTATAATTGTATATATATGTGTGAATCTGTGTATATATAAAAATAATATTCTCTATTTGGTTTCAAGTGTCACTGATATTGCTCCAAAATAATTACCAAAAACAAGTCTTTATATATATATATATAATATAGATTTTAATTTATATATATAAACATAAATACATAAATATATAGAATATATATATATATATATATATATCTCAATCTCTGATAAGATAAAATATAATATAATGATAATAAGGAAATATAAGGACGACTCTGATTGGATAAGCGTATTCCTATTCCTTGGAACCAAAATAAGAATACAATAAAAATATAAAAAAAACCTAAAAAAAAATATCGTTGTAAAATATCGTTCTCTAACTTGCACATGTCTATTCGCTTTATTTATTTATTCACTTATTCATTCTATTGTTAATACATATATATAAAGTTACGAGAATCTTCTTTATTTGGCAAGAGAAGAAAAAAGAAAAAATACCCTCTGTACTTAAAGACGTCACTTACTTGGCCTGGTAACAAAAATCCTTTCTATTCAACCATTTTATTTTATTTTATTTTCTCTTATTCTTATTCTTATTTCTTCAAACACTCTTTTTTATTTTATTTTATTTTATTTTATTTTTTATTATATTATATTATATTTATGAATCAATAGTAGCTATTCATAAACTTCAACCATATACCCTGCAGATCTGTCAATCCAACGTTCACTGGCCCTGCAATATATATACATATATACACATCTATATATCTACATTATACATTATACATAAATACATACATTTTTATATACACACACAAATATATAAATATACATAAATATAATAACCATATCACTTTCATAAAGAGCTCATAACAATTCATTACAAATCATTTCAATTATATCGAATACAATATATCAATCCCTCTCTTTTCATTTTCATTTTCATTTTCATTTTCATTTTCATTTTCATTTTATTTTTATTTTATTTTTATTTTTATTTTACATTTTCATTTTATTTTTATTTTTATTTTACATTTTTTTTTACACTTTTATTTTTTTTTAATTTTTTAGCTTTTATATATATTCACCATAGCAACAATATTATCATAATTATCAACCGTTACTACTACTTCCTTATTTGTTGCCATGGATATCATCGAACTTATTCACAGCGAAAAGTCCAGTGCAAAACTACGCTATCCATGCGATTGGCCAGGTTGCGAGAAATCCTTTGGTAACGACGATCAGCTACCACAAATTCGATATAAAAGACTAACGATATATATATATATATGTTTTCTTATAACTGTAGCTCGCCCATCTGATATTGTCCGTCATCACCGCACCCATACAAATGACAGGTATGAAAAATACAGATAGATATAATATCAATTTATTCTTTTTTGTTGAATACATATAATTTTATGTACCACTTTTCTTTTATTGTGGGGGAGAAGAAGCAAAATCAAAATCAAAATCAAAATCAAAGAAAAAAAAAGATATATATATATATATGTGTGTGTGTGTGTATATCCAAAGGCAGACGTTTTGGCTGATAGTGAATAATGAATAATGATCTCTGTTTTATTTCTTCAAAATCAATATTTATTTATATATTATTATTAAAATTTTAACTATTATTTAGGCCCTTTGCTTGCAACGTCCAGTCTTGCGAAAAGCGGTTTATACAGGTACAAAGCTATAACCCAAAAAGAGACAAAAAGAAGAAAAAGAAGAAAAGGAAAAAGGAAAAGAAAAAAAAAGCAAAAAAGCAAATTCATTTCTTTTATATTGTGTTGTATTGTATTGTATTATATTATACTAGATGGCTTTGCTCAGCAAATAGTTTAATATAATACAGTAGCAAAATAACCTACAATAAAAAAATAGATTTAAGGATAATTAAATAGATAACTAATTATTGTTTATTAGAGATCTGCCCTTACTGTTCATCTACGGACACACTCCGGGGAACGCCCGCACGCGTGTGAATTCGATGGCTGCGAGAAACGGTTTAGTGACAGCAGTGCCTTGGCACGTCATAGGCAAGTCTCATAAACAGACACATAAATAGACATATATATATATATGTACTTGTGTACTTGTGTACACAAAAACACAAAAGAAACCATAACAACAACAAATATATATAAAGAACTGGCGGAATTATATACATATATTTTGGGTTCACAGCACTGTATTACCCAATATATATAACTAATAGTAATAATCAATTCTGGCCCCGGGAGTGTCATATATTATATATAAATTGTTACTTTATCTTTGCTAATATATATATATATATATATATATACAATCATTATTATTACGATTTTAATTACTATAGGCGAATACACACTGGTAACCGCCCGTACAAGTGTCAAACAAAACATTGCGAAAAAAGGTTAGTAACCAGAAAATATTTATATATCATAATCATAATCATAACCATAACCATAATTATAATTATAATTATAATCCTAATAATTATATTGTTATTATCTCTGCCTCTATTTTATTTTTGTTTTTGTTTTAGCTACACCAAAAAGCGTTTCTTGGCCCGTCATATCAGAACCACACATGGACCCAAAGGATACTTTCAGGCCCTGCCAGAAAACTACAACAAAGGCCAATTAATTAAGCGCAAGCCTTCAATTATTCCAGAGGAACAGCCTCAATATCAATACCTTCTATCGCCTCCTTCTAGTCAATGCAGCACTACGATCTCTCCTCAAAACTCGCCTACTTTTTCGCTATCTCCCTTGTCTCAGCCATCTCATGGGCCGCCTTCCTCCGAGTCACTATCTCAATACCTTTTTCATTAACTTTCTCTCTTTTTTATTCTTTCTTTTTATCTTTTCTCTCTCTTTTCTCTTACGTATGTGATCGTTAAGCTTCCGCGGATATGCTATTTCTTTTTATTCTCTCTCTCTATATATTTCTTTAGTAACATTACCATCACCATCACCATTGCTATCGCTATCATTATCATCATTATCGTTTCTTCTACTATTTCTTTTTATACTTCTTCTACTACTTCTTCGCCTTCTTTATTACCTTCTTTTATGAACCCGACTAACAAACAGTAAGAATATGCACAAACACACACACACCAAGCTCACACCAAAAACAAACATACAAACAAACAAATATTATGAAAATTAATCACAAAATATGCCAATTTATTTCTATTTTACCTTTATCTCACACAAACACACGTCTATGTATTTGATTATTCTGTTGCTATTTTTTTAAGAAAAATTATCATTTTACTATTATATTATATTATATTATATTATATTATAATAAAATAAAAAGTGCTTTATCTTTGAACTATGATCACGTAGGTTGTACATGTGCCTCTAGTTTACAACAATATCACTTTCCTATTTAAATTTTGTACACCAAATTAAAGACAATGCCGATCGTGCGAGCTCTACAAATATAAGAAAGGCCCTTTGACTTGGAGTCCATTGACCATAAAAATCTAAATAAATAAATATAGAAAGAAACTTGAGCACAGCTTACTATTATATACTTTTATATTTTTTCACATATTTACCCACAAATAGAGAGAGAGAGAGAGAAAGTGTGTGTGTGTATGTGAAATGTATAGTATTTTAGAAATAATTAATATAAATTTTGTATTTTTGTACTTTAAATATACAAAAAAAAAATCATAAAAATGTATCGTAAAAATACAAAGCAGAAATAAAAAATAACAAGTTCAAGGGAATTGAACTCCTTAAGGATATCCAAAACAACAATAATTAATAACAAACACACAAAAATATCATGTGTAGAATCATCCAATATTCTTGAATATTGCGCAGTATATTATATTATATACTTTATATATATATATATACATTTTTGTGTGTGTGTGTAGAATGTGTAGGTGTGTAGGTATATAGGTATGTAGTTAAATATTTAAATCCTAGACTTCATACACCAAATACATTTACTTTCCTTTTTCTTAATAACAATAGTAGCCAAAAAATAAGCATTAATGCTGTGTTATATTGATAGTACTTCTTTGGATAACAAATTCTAATACCTCTTGCGCACAGATACGGATATTTGGTTTTGTGTTATCAATATAGTTAATATAGTGTATTGTAGCTTACTAATATAAAAAAAACATGCGTTTCGGTTATATACAAGTAGCTGTATCAGTATCTGTAGGAGCAAAGGGATCGATATCGATTTTTTTTTTGAGAAAATAAAATGGCCGAAAAGTATACTCCATAGCCTTGGGCTAAGAACCATCGGTTTTGGCTAGACCACCTTTCAGTTGTAATCGGATACTGATTCACTTTATATTTATTTATCATAGAGATTTATTTCAGGGACACCAATAATACCTGCCAGGTGCGGACAAAAGGATGTGAATCGGTAACCGCTTATTTGTGAATCGATGAACAATTCGATCCAATCCATTTCAATACAATACAGTTCTATTATATTCATTTATATTATTTTGTTTTTTCGGGTCTTTATTTCCTGTTGTTATCATTGTATGAATCAATAGATTGCATTATTGTCTACTGTCAACCAGTAGATAGGTAGACTGTTAGGCAAGTACTACATCTTTGAGCTGCTTTCCAACTTAAACTGTATCGGTGTACGGACCGGCAGGTATCTCTTATTCTATAATTTTATATATACTTTTTTTTTTTAAAAAAAAGGACCAAGGGTGATTTCAGCTCAGACATCAGCAGCTCGTTCTTCTTATAGTACATTAAAGGCTTCTTCTTTATTGTATTCTTTTCTTTTACTAATGTACTGAGCTTGAGGCTTGAAGATGCTTCCTTTTTTTTACCACACACACAAGTACACAATAGTTTCACACCAACTTTTTGCGACAAAATATTTATATATTTATATCTCCGACACTCAATACATTCTCTTTTACATATTAAATTATACTCCGATATAAAGAGAGCCAATGACTCCCTTACCAAACGCAGTTCGAATGCTACTAGAAGAAGAAGAAAAGGCTGCACAAAAAGCATACAAAAAAAATGTAATAAAATGTAGTATTCTTCGGACACAGACACATCATTCCGTCTGACAAAGTGCCTGTAGCAAGATACAAAGCAAGTTAGAGATATTGATTAAGCTTTTGTGGTTGCTGTTATTGATGTTGTTGTTGCAAGGGGGGGGGGGGGGGGGGGGGGCGGTTTGTTTTGTTTTGTTTTGTTTTGTTTTATCATCATCATCATCGAAAGTAGTTCATTAGTAAGACTATATCTGTTCCACAATAACTAGTATTCACACCCTGTTGCCCTGTTTTATCTAAATTTCCTACATATTTTCTTTTTTTTTAAAAAAAAAAATGCAGATTTAGTATTTTATACTGATACATGATTAATAACCATTGGCTATGGATGTCAAGTTCAGTCAATACTATATTGATATATTGCTATCGTTTTCAAATACTCGATCTGAAATCCATTCTCGTAAAGGATGTGTTGAATTCCCTGAATCTGATAGACTTTCATAAGTCAAGATAGAGGTATCATTGCAGTGTGTACAAAGAATTTTTTTCTGGGAAGAGGGGTGAAATAATTGCCATGTTCGTTGTAAAAGCGAGTATATGATGATGATATATACATATGCCACTTCACTCTAGCTTGCGTAATATTGAATACAGGTAACATAGTATTTTTTCTTCTTACAGAAAAAATATTCCCCAAATATAATATTACTTATAGAAAGGAGCGGTACACTTCTCCCTTCTCGTCCCATCCCATTTCATCCCATCCAATTTTATCTCGTTCTAGCTTTGCCATCTCTGTTGTCTTCTGACTTTATAACTTCCGCGATTTTCTGGAAGAGATATATCGAGTGAAAATGAGGTCATCTTGATTGTCGTATAGGCCTATGCTTGTTTGTTTAACTTTGTCATCTAATGAAGGTTTAGTGCTTTCTGGAAGATGCTTAACCTTATCACCAAATTTGGTGTCAAGGTCAATAGTTCTCTCTTGCTCTCTCTCTAGCCACAAATTATATACATGGTCCTCCTGTCCTTCTGGGAGAACCTCAGGCTCGAGATGTAAGCCGGTCCTTGTCTAATAAGAAAAATAAAAAAAATGGGTTATTATACTTGCTTTGTTTTATCACCGATTAGAATATTGATTTCTCAAGCGTACCTGAAGCGTGTATTAAAAAAAGGGGGGAGCATTTTTTAGCTTGGAAAATACTCTAATTTTAAGCAAGATGGAGCTCGTACAGTACTACGGTTTTTTTCTTTTCTTTGTAAAAAAAAAAGAAACAACATAGATATGCTACCACTAAAGGTGTTTCATAGTGATAAAAGTAATTCTTGATAATGCGCTTGTTAATGATGAAATCTGCCTTGTAGATTAGAATCATCAATTATAGTCTTTCAGCTGTTTCTTCATTAACGCATAAAAGAAAGACCATGAGTTTGTTCCCAGAGTGATAGTTACAATGATTCAAAGTATATTAAGGAATTGAATCTAAATCCAATTCTACAGCTGATGAAATGTAGATGCCCAAAGACTTTCCTTCTTTGATTTTACTTTCAAAAGAAACATCTGTAGCAATTACATTTCAGACAATATAAAAGTAGACGTAATTGTCAATATTTAAAGTCAGAATAGCCTTGCGTAACTGAAATTTGAATTGTTTATTTATTTATTTATATACTTTTTATTAAATCATCAATGTGGCTTAATCTTTATTTATTTCTACATGTATATAAATTTGAAATGTAATAGGTAAAGGTGGTTTAAATACAGAGGTCTAAATGAAAAATAATGAACAAAAATAGAAAATCAATAGCTTATTACTATACTCGACTGGCATTTTAGAGAGTTATGTAGGAGGTGCACATAAATATCGGGTTGCTTTATTATAATGCTTGAATGTGGGACAATCTGTTATAAGATATATATATATATAAGAAAGATGAAGGATTAAAGGGTGGAATGTGATTTTACTTGAAGTTTCTTGCCCTTTTTTTAATTAGGTGAAGCAGTAATGCATTGTACAAAAAGCAAAACCTTAGAGATGTTTGGCAATAGTAACACCAAAGAAGAAGTACCTTTTTTCTATAATTTATGATACTTTTTTTTTGTGGGGGATGCAAGTCTCAAAACAGTGACTTGCGTAGTTTTGAAAAAATTGTGAATGCAGCATTTTCTGCAAATGATGATAAATGATACATGACCAAAATGTAGCCACGGTAGCTGTAGCAGCATTAGTATCAGTAACGGGGGGGCTACAGCAACAGTAGTGGAGATAGCAGCGGTACTTATGGTAGTGGCTGCAAAAAATTATTACTTTGTATAGATACACCAAGAAAGTTAAACCTGAAGTTAAAAGTCCGGAAATACTTCTTGACACCAATTGTTTAAATTTTCTTGTAAGCACTTTACAATATCTACACAGCGAAAAAACCTTTTAAAGAGAAAGAAATAGAGTTGCACATGCATATGTTTATGAACAAGCTATCGACTAGTAATGTATATATGTTTGGATTGCACAGATCAGGTTTGCTCATTGCTGAAATGGAGTAACGTATAAACAAATGTATAATTCTTTGCTGTATGGTAGCATAAAAAAATAAAGAAAAAACCAAACAAACAGAAAGAGCAACAGCACAATCAACAACAAAAATATATTCTTTAAAATAAATATGAAAGCTTTATCTAGAGGATACTTGTAACACTTGCAATAGGTCATTGATGAAGATTTCAAAAAAGATGCCAGTTTGACAGACTCATTTAGGAGAACAGAGCATTCTTCAAAGTACTGCTCGGCTTCCAAGTTTGAGCGGGCCATTGAACGTATTGTGATTTCTTTTCAACATTTAGCATTCAATCCCTGAAATCGGCATTCTTTTTCCAAAACGGATAAATTTTACTAGCTGCACTGTAGTAAGATAAATAGGAAGGTTAGACCAAGAAAACTTGTTGGACGTCTTGCTAAACTAAATAGTCACACGAGTACCAAAAACCCAAGAAATAATTTTAAAAAAAAAGTATATTTAAAGTCTCGCAGGATTTCAATGCATGTACTATGAAATGTTACCAGATAAGGATACTTTGAACTACCATTTCCAAAAACGATAATGCGACAACACACAAGGTGGTCGTGTCAAGAGAATAGACATCTATTAAACTATCAAAGTATCAAACCAACGGACAAAAAAAACTGGGTACAGCCTTGGACATTTGCAAAAAAGGAAAAGTACTTGTGCATACATAGTAGATTAAATAGTTTTCAATACATTAATAGTAATTATTTCACAATAAATAGGAAACCTATATATGTATGTATGCATGGTTGGCCTAAGCTTCATGACGATTCTGTTCCAGATCTATTAATTTTTAGTATAAATAACAAGGAAAGGCGTAAAGAGGTTTGATTTCAACTTGTGCTTTTGGGATTAGATCCAAAATCCATTTTCGGTGGGTTTATTTTTATTTTTAACCTTACTTACAACAAGATCACCAGGCTCACACATACATATACACATACACATACACATATCATCCGATCATCCGATCATTCGATCATTATATTATTAGATAGTTAGCAATCATTTAGCCTGTTCTTGGGCAAGATGGGTCTTGAGAAGTTCAAGAGATCTGTATCGGTGGGAGATGGTATTCTTGATCTCTTTGGAAAGTTCAGCGTATCTATTAAACACACACATACACACACACATAAAGTGTTAATTAATTATACTGTGTGCACATTCGCGATTTTAAGCATAAAATGAAACTAACGTTTGATCGAACCCATCTGGTTGAAAAATAGCGTCCCACCCGAATTTGCCAGATCCACGAGGTGGCACAATTTTTCCCTATTAAACAAAAAATATGTATTGAGTATCCTGTTTTGACATTTTTCTTTCTTTCTAAATAAATAAATAAATAACCAACAATAACACAAATAAAATAGAGTCAGCAATGATGATTACATTGGTTTTTCCTTCAAATATAATGGGCTCGTGCCCAGGACCCTTGCAAAATCCAATAGTACAGAGTGCATAGGCCGACTTATCTTCAAAGCCTTCAAGCATCTTATTCAAGCCATCGTGTCCAAGAGCATCAAAGAACCATTTACTACAAAATCAATGTTAGTCGAATGACATCATTTATTCCCATTATATATATATGTATACATGTACACAAATAAATGAGAATAGTCTTAAAACATACATGTATGGTCCAGGAAGACCTTTCATTGCATTGAAGCACAAGCTTGTATCTTCAGTAATACAAGGTCCATTGAGCTAATAAGGTTGAATCGAATACATCATAAATAACACCAGAAATAAATAAAGATGTATAATGTATATTAGAAATATCAACAAATTATAATTTACAATTTCTGCTGCCATCTTGCATTTCTCCTTGGCAATATCCTGTGACGTCCCTTGAAGTTCGGGCACTAGGGAGTGAATAATGATTAGACTTTATATAATTAGATATACGTATGTTAACAGCAATAAAAATAAAGGCTATTTATTAGTCTATTTTTATACCAGATAAATGTCTTGCTATATTAATATTAATTTCTCATGGCTGTCTATCAAGACAATGTATACATACAATCAACCTTGTGCGAAACTACATTCACAGTATCAGCCAGAATGGCCTGGACTTCAATGAGCTTGTTTTTGTTTCCAGAAACAAATACTAGAAATAAAGATAAAGAAAGACAAATGACATATATATTGGGTTTCGGTTTTTGAATCAGTTGGATCCATCATAATCAGCACATTCAATAGCATGCTTATAATTTTACCTAAATTACGCAATTCCTTTGCTGCCATTATATAATGTCGATTATGAAAAACCTTAAAATTCTATAGTTTTCTCTTTTGCTCTCTCTGTGTGTGTGCGTAGTTACTATATTTCATCGTTAAAGTCCCGATTTGCTTATTGCGTCACAGTACGCGGCTTATCTCTTTATCTTAAGAGACTTAAGTGTAAAGGTGTATACTTTCATTATTCTTATTAAAGGCGTTTGGGTCTAGATTTGATTTTTGTTTCATTAATTAGTTACATACATACATATATGCATACACAATATATATATATACGCGTATAAATATATAAATATATATATGTATATATATAATATCTAAAGGAAATGATTTGTTCTTTATAGCTACACAGATATGTTGTTTTTGGTGAATTGTAAATTACTTTAATTGATATATGTATATATAGATATATATATCCAAGAAAGAGTTAAAAAAATAGAGGTCTATTGGACTCTGTTTTTTATCTATTTATCTATGAAAATAATACTAATCTTCGTATTATAGATATATGGGCAGGCCTCTTTTTATTAATCTTCTGTCATTTGTTTTGCTTTGTATCAGACTTGTTTGAAAATGAATGAAATATTAATTACATATTTGTATTTTATTTCAAGTATACTGTATCAGTTATTGGGTAAATAACGCACCCTATTAGAATAACTTTGATTATCAAGCAAACACGCACGCGCACACGCACACAAATAGGAACAAAACAAGAGAAAGAGATACAAAGTATCATAATAGTAAATATTCAACTGTTCCTCCATTGAGACAAGTATTAATAACTGAATGGTTTAAATTATATATACTTAATAAAATTAAAATCAAATTGATTGATATACTGTATTAAAGTATATTAAAATGCCTGAAAATTTGGACGTCTGGAAACAGCACCTGGTTACCATTATATATCAATAGCAGCTACAGCTTTAACTACAACTTCAGCTACAGCTCCAAAATCATGAATATTTTTGGAATAATTTTGTTAAATAAACCCGAATACATGTACATACATACACATAATAAACAACTTTAGGACTTCAATGATTGGCCTTATTTATTTACCAAGAAAGCAACTTGAGTCTTCAAAAAATAAAAGGAAAAACAGCAGTCAACTTGTACCTTGATTTATTACATATTCTATCAAGCCCTTGTTTACAGGTTACTCGCGTTGTAGTTGTGGAAAATAAAAAGAGATAAAATAAATTCAATAATAGTTTCTTTTCCAAGACCTAATTATTCATCATACATCTCATGCCACAAAAACAAAAACAAAAACAAAATCAAAAGGACTTTCTAGACTCACCCCATTCTTTTCTTCCTTCCATTACTACTACTTCTCCAAAAACAGCGCTATTTCCGTAAGCTTGTTCCCTTTTAGCTTCTCTTTAATTACATATCTCTACTCGTACTAAGTTTTTTTTTGCTTCATTTGGATTACCCGAACCAGCACCTTTTTCTTTTTCTTTCTGTCACCCAGATTTACCCTCAGCCAGTCTTGGTACACGGCAGCTAAGCCGTTTGATTTTTATTGGCGGAAAAAACCTACTTTGGCTCTGTATTGCTAAAATAAAAAATAAAAAATAAATAAATGAAACCACTACCACAACTCGATGCATTTATAATGCTTAATAATATTGCAGTAAAATTAGTATATGTACCATATCAACGTAACCTTACTTCAGGCACAATATATTCTCTATATTCTATAGTACCACTGTCCGATAAAAAACGTTCTTGTCTTTAAGATATCCCAAGACAGTTGCAGAGCATAAAGACCTCGTGTGTGCGAAAAAAAAGAAAAAAAGGAGATGGAACCTTGTAAAGAATAGCACTCAAATAGATATAACCTTAATTCCTATATAGTTTCTGGACTTCTTGTCACTCTGATCTGAATAAATGTTAGTTCTAAGTCCAGTGACCTATCAAAGTATGATGCACTACTAGTATTGTTATCTATGTATTATAGGCTTACATTTTTAGGGAAAAAAGAGTAATAGATAAAAATTTAATAGATATATGTATAAATAAATAAAACCTTTTATTTGTGCTCATTATCAATGCAATATTTTGATCGATATAAGCTTGATTGCATACATAGCTTTTTTGGCGGACTTTCTCTCTGTTCATTTCTTCCTTCCCTTTATTGAAAATATCTTCCGAGAATCGCAATTGATACTTTTAATACATCTGCTTGTATATATAGCTTGAGACTACTGCAGTATCTTGGTTTTTCTCCTAAAGAAACCGGAGAAACTAAACTAGATCAGGGCTATAGAAGCTAACAGCAATTGAACATGTAGTAAGTACATGTGTAAAGAGAAGAATTCCTAGAGTCCAACCTTGTTCCTTGTTTGGAATATATAACCACACACACGTACACGTACACATACACAGAAACATGTATTTGTATATGGTTTTTTTATACGGTGTATTGTGTACTGTGTACTGTGTACTGTGTACTGTGTACTGTGTGCTGTGTGCTGTGTACTGTGTACTGTGTACTGTGTACTGTGTACTGTGTGCTGTGTGCTGTGTACTGTGTACTGTGTACTGTGTACTGTGTAATTTGTACTAATACTATATATTGTAAATTGCATACTGTGTATTGTGTATTGTGTAAAGTGTATTAGGTAAAGTGTATTGTGTAAAGTGTATTGTGTACAATATACTGTGTACTGTATTGTGTATAATGTCTGTTTGAAAGAGTACACACGTTCATTTATAATTTGACACAAATTTGCTATTTAGCTAGTATTTTCTTCTGGGAATACAATATAGTATCTCAAACAGAAATAATAAGAATACAGAGGTGAATAATAGGAAAATTCTTATATCCTTGAAGAAGAGCCAGAGTAAGTATACTACGGTTTAAGTTTTTCCTTTACATGTATTCAACGCGTGAAGGAAATGACTGTGAGGATTACGCTCTTATTTTCTCTACATTTATTTATGTGCCGAGTCGAATACAGCTAGTGTACACATATCTAGACACTCTACGCGTATTAATTCTAGGCGTATATAACTAGTGAAACATGTTCTTCTTTTTTATGAATATTCATTCAGTTTAATTCACACACCGTGCATAAATTCACGGTGGTAGCATGTCACAGAGTGTGGCGAGCATATACAATACCCATAGGAAAGCAAAATATCTATACCGATCTCAAAATTTATGGTTCGCCAATCTAAATCTAAGATAAACAAGAAAGAAAGGAAAGAAAAAGGATACGAAGGATATATGCAGGCTAAAATATCGGTTGTTCTAATGAGGTATAATATAAAAACCAGTTAGAAATATCATTTTATGTACAATCTCCCCCAAATCCCACCCCAGAATATCTGTTTTTTTTTAGGAGCCGGTGATACATAAAAGATATTATACACATGTCTATTGTACAGTATAGAAACTTATATGTATACCTAAAGTATAACTAAAAGAGGTTTTGCACGAGATTGGTGTCCGAGCTTGGGCTTTTTTTTTCTCTTCTTCTTCTTACTACAATAAATATAATTCTAGCAGCTTCTTGTTTGGTTTTCTATTTTTTCTTGCTTCAAAAAAGAACAAACGGCACATTGTATATGTATATATATATACTACTATTATGTACCAATTTAATAAAAGAAAGGTTATACACCACACGTTACCTATCCTCTGATTCTCTTCCAGCACCGTATTTTGAAGAGCAGTTGTAATTTGATTTCCAAGGTGCAGATTGTTGGGTTCTTGTGTTAACTTTCTTTTGGTTCAAGTCATGCCGCTTTTCTCTCTCTTTTTCTTTAAAGTACATCACACAGTGTGACATGGTATCGTGTTGTGTGGTGCAGTGCAATTAGAATATGGCGCAATATCAAATGAGTAACGAAGAGGTTGCAGTATTTTCTCAATAGTATCTCCTACCCATCTTCTTCTTCTTCTTTATAATAAATTAACATTTCCAAGCCTACATGTAAATTAATGATATCATAATGCTACCATCTCCAGGATGCCCCTGACCATTTTTCTTTCTTTTATTATTGACCCCTCCCTACTTTTGGGTGATGCTTGTAAATGTACGACACATTCTGTCTATCGTAAATCACACAAACACATACATACATATGATAGGGTAATTTGTTTTTGGTTAGAATGATAGCAGGCTCCTCAGTATCTTGCTTCAAGCTGACTGTAAAGTAGTATAACTGTGTGTACATTCCTATAGCTCACAATCCGGCCTAATTATATTGTTTCTTTTTATTTGTCTTTCTTTTATTTTCTAAAAAAAAAACCTCAGTAACTTGTTTAGTCTAATATAATTAATGTCAACCGCACGTCTTTAAAATTAAGTAAGTTATAGCTAATTAGATTCACCTGTATGTTATACATATTTCTTAAGAAAAGTCAATTAGCTAAACACCTGTCAGAAGAATACATAGATTATACCTCAATTTTGAGAGTAAGAATAATTTAATACTATCATATATCTGTAATTTATCTACTAATAGAAGAAACTTCTGGAGTCTAAATAGCTTTGGATGGGCACAGATTGTATTATCTAGAATGGAAGTATCAAACGCAACATGGTTTATGTTAAGAAAATTCATCAACCTTATCACACACTTATCTCTATCTTTAGATAGCTTTAAAATAGCTGCATATGTAGTATGACATATGAGTGTGTATATTTATGATGTATATATATCATTTAGTTAATGAGGTGAGTAAAGAAGTATTAATGCATGTAGTACAGCTTGATTTACTACATTAAAGACAAATGAAATATATATATATATTAGATTTCTTATTAAAAATTCGCTTGTGTGGGGAGACTCTGATTAAACTTTGACAGGACAAAAAATGATGTAATGATTTTTTCCGTCCTTTAAGCTATCTGATATCTTTTTTTAAAAGAAATCGAATACATTAAATCAAAATTTACATTGTACTATAGTTAATTATATTTACTGGAAAACTATTAGTTTATATATATATATATATATTATTTCTCTGCAAAAATCATCTCTATTATTATTACGAAATCATCAGCTTCAAATCAAGATCAAAAGAATCAATATTGCGTTAAAATTAATAGCCGAATCTAGTATTTAACATAAAAGAGTTGTAATATTGGATTGTATGTTACACATGCATATCTACTCCTTTTGAGACTGATCTTAAATATATATATATATGTAAAAGGGAAGCACACTGATACTATAATCATTACTTTATATCTAAGCTCGAGTATTATATGTTACTTTACGAGCAGAATTCTTTTAAACAAACAAAGTCTAAAGCTTTATTAATATTTCTTCAAGTACTTCAAGTATTGTCTTCTTATTCTTTATATATATATATATTCAATTCATTTTTTTGGCAAGCTTGTATTTATCTGATTAATTTAGCCCGGACTCTAGGTTGACTTCTCAGGTTGTACTGTATTTTTCTTTGTGTTTTCATGTACTACTTTATGATGCCATTGAGATTCTTTCTAGTAAGATGACTTCATATACATCGGCAATTAAATAGATGGCTGAACTTGACTTTCAGTTTCATGTTCCCATCTTTAAACTACGTTTATTACAAAAGACCATGCCTTTATTTGTTTGATCTGTTTTATGAAAGAAGTAAATTCCCGTAGCTAAATTAAGGTACAAGTCAAAATAAGAAATAAAAGGAACCTTGATATTATTTTATGTGATTCGGGAATTTGGATTATATTACAAACCCTAATGTTTAGTTTGTACCAATTATAGATTTTCGACCAATAATTTCCTTCGGTAAAGGTTCGACTGACTCTTGTATTATCTATCAGTATGCATTATTGACTTTTTTTCTTAAAAATAATTTAGATATATACTATCGAATTAATTAGTGATCTATTTGGCATTCTAGTGTACTATATCGGCTAATTGAAAACCGAAGAACTTCTTTTATAGAGTAAACCTACTTAAATTGACAGCAAGATAAATGTAAAAATATTGATCAAATAAAACACATGTAATGAAGCTCAGTTAATCCAAACTTTTATGCAGATAAAAATTAGCTTATTGCAACATAAATCGATATACTTAGATTTGATAGTCTATTGAAAAAGATAGAAAAGTAATCGGGCAAAGTTCTATTAAGGGTAGGGAAAATGAAGTATTTTCTTTCCTTGGGCCATTTATAAATTATCTTACGAGAAATTCTCAGTACATTAGACTTTGAGCTTTAATAAATATAAGTCTCATAAAAAGACTCGGTGTAAGAGATACAGATAGTAAGATAAAATATGGGGTAATATCATATTTTGAGCATAAAATTATTTTGATTCAAATATAATATTAATGGGACTGTTTAGTGCTTATCCGTTATTTAGCCAGACATGTCGTGATTTCAAGAAGATGTCAATTCCACTAGAATCTACACGAATTGAGAAGGGGTAGGTAGGCTTTTTTTTTAAAAAAATAAAATAAAATAAATAAGAATGATAATAATAATAATCAGCCATTAAATATATTCCAAATATAGTATTATTATAAAAACCAAAGTAATTTTGAGGAGATGTCTGTGCCGGGGTATCAGATTTCTTGATTTGAACAATATTTATTTTACCAGATAAAGAAGGACTACCTTTCCGACTAGAGAGCTGACAAAGATTGTAATTTCACATACGCTTTATACTGCATATGAAACCCCCAAGCCCAATATTACCTAATCGTTTACGAATGATAAGAAGTTGAAGATAATTGTTAATTACAGCGGCGACGATACACAAATGAGAAGCGACATATGATTGAAAGAACAAGTCCGACAAACTTTTCAGGTGTGTTTCATAGCGATTAAAGAAATTGCATATTGATTAATGGTGTTTTAAGCTATTTAGTCGTGTACTTGATGGATCCAGATATTATTTTCCAAGTTATTTTAGAATAACTAGCTCGATTAGATTTAGAAGCAAAAAATAAACTGAAGACCTAAAAGGCCCAGAGAAGGAGATCAGAAATATAGAGTTTATATATTACTATTACTGTGACAATAAAGACTGACTGTGCTTATAGTAATAAAACCACATTTGTGAGTATATATCATTACTATAAATCAATCAGCATACGCCTACATTTAACCTTAATATATATATTATATTCATACAAAAGAATAATCTTTTACTAGATTTACTCTCATACATAAAACCTCAGGAGAATCCAAATAAAATTTGGTTTGTATAGTAAAATCATAACAAAATTAAAGAATAACATGGTATTGATATAATGTGTTTGCCAGAGACTTAGAAAGATAAGCATCAGTTGTGCTATCTTCATTAGCCACACTATGACAAAAAAACTTCCTAAAAGGGGGATTGTAATGATATTCCACTCATTACCAGGGTCTGATCACATGTCAATGAGATATGTGGGAGAGAGCTTAAAAGACTATGTGACACAGAGTCTGTGTGAGAGAGGGGAACAGCATAAAAGATGATCTGGATATAGTGAAAAACTCTTCAAACTATTGTACCTATTCCAAATGACAGATGTGCGAAAAATATATTAAATATATTGCCTTGGGATCCTAACAGTATGAACGGCATAAATGATATTAATATGAATTATCATTACGTGAGGTATATTGTATAACTTTGAAGTAGTTTAGCTTTCTACCTAGAATATCCCAGCCAATCACATTTCATAATAGAAATGTGTGGCAAAGAAAAGAAAGAAATAAAGAAAAAAGGTAAAAATGTGAGATATATGTCTCTTCTTTATAGTCACTCATTGAGTGGCTGACGTACAGCTGCTCTATATTACATCTATGTTATAAGATGCATACAGTATGTGCAAAGAGCTACCATCTTTAGGATATAAAGAAAAGAAAACACAGTTAAATTCATGCACTTGCACGATATAGGGTGAAATTTATTATCGGTGTTTAAACACGACGCTTACCTGCCTATTCTTATGCAATAAGTTACGAAAAACTATAAAATAGTTTTTTGTTTGTAGGAAGCTTTGTGCTTAAGAGGTTTGGTAAGCCTCTATTGTTGCAAAGTAAAAGAAAGCACCAAGGTTTTTGTTTTGGATTTCATTTGTTATATGACGTTTTTGAGAGTCGTATTTTCTAAAGTGAGAGATGGTGAGAGCCCAAGAAAGCACAACCCGTAACCATACCTTCGCAAAAAGATAGGATAGATCTGATGGCTTCTTGGCTCTACCAGGAGTGAAAGTAATCTAAAGGCAAACATGAAACAATGGGGAGATAGATGGAAGAACATGCTGGAGTGCAGCGAAAACGAGAAGAGATAGCGTAGATATTGACCAAGAGGGATGGAGAAGTTCTGAGCTAGACCAGAGGAAAGGATTCAAGCTCATTGTCATCACATTTTCATTAACATTGCCCACACAATGACAATAAGAGAGAGAGATTGTGTGTAGAAAATTACCGAGATGGGTGGAGAGAATGACCGAGAGAGTGGGCTGAAATAGTGACCAAGATGATGAGCGGGAACATATAGGGGGAGCTTTACATCTTGACTAACTCTTCACACTATCTTTACCGACCAAAGTGAAGTATGTGCGAAAGAGTTGGGTGCTATAAAATAATTACAAAACAATACAAAGTTTCCGTCTAAGAACACACTTCTAGTCTTAAATGGTAGTGATGCTCTTTTATTACCTTAATCCACATGTAATTCCTGTACTGAGTACTGAGTACAATTAATAAACATATAGTCTTTAAACATTTAAACCACTAAAGCTTTTCGAGTTTTTTTTTGTCTGAGTAGATATCTCTTACAAGCGTATATAAATCAAGAACTTTAACATGGTACCCTACCTGAGCGCTAACAATAAAAAAGAGTAATGCCATACGCTGGTAGTTGTATTATTACTATATACTAGAGTACTGTAAGTAACACTAATAAATATGAATTTGTTAATAAATAGTATACTGGATATATCTTTATGACAGATATTTTAAAGCTATTTTTTTTTAAAAAAAATGGTACTACAAAAGGCAAGTGTCCAAGAGTATTATCCATAATTTATTAGAGAGAAAGGGTAAAGAAGCACTGTGCATAAAGCCACAAAGCGTTCAATATAATCAACCTCAACAAGTAGAAGCAATATTAATACATAAATACTACTCAAAAAACCTTAAAAGATTAGTTAAAAAAAGAGATAAATATACGCTAAAAAAAAGTACTCATGAAGAAGAAAGTTTAAAAATTCAAATACCTGTAATATTTAGATATAATATATTGAGAGTTATCTATTAAACTATCGCATAATGAAGCTTAATTGCATAGTCAAATAAGTCTTTTGTCAACCTATGTTAAAGTCATATTTTTTAGATACCATAATCTTCAAGTAATTAAGTCTACAAGAGATTCACTTTTGGTATCCGGATGCCTTTGTACGAGTGCGTCGGGATCTAGAACATTTGTTGGAAATCTGGAATCTAAAAGGTATGCTAAGGTTTTGAGAATATCTGACCTCCACTTCAAGAGCATTCTTTAACGAGTGTATTAGTTGAATGTGACTTGAAACATTGGCAGAATGCTATAGTATATAACATTTATATAATCATTTCAATATGAAGTAAAGCAATAATCTATGGCATTTTCTTGGATGACTCCATAGACGACCAAGCCATAACTATACTTAATGTATTGAACACTATTTAAATAAGAAGATAAGAAGGTCTAACATGTAGAACATTTAGAACATATACACTTGATACAATTTTCAGAATTATTGGAAAAGGAATGGAAATATATTTCTAAAAAATATATACAAGTATTCGACTTTAATTATACACCAAAGATGTCAGACAATTATTATTATCTATTTTCTAAATAGTGGAAGATCTGTACTCAGTACGTGTGCTATATATGTTTCCCACCTGTACTCTGTATTTTACCCTGTTCATTTAAAGTTTGGTTGACTTTGAACTATTGAGCTATTTAACTACACTCAGTGTACTTTCAAAGAAATATCAAAGCATTTATAATACAAAGGGTCAGCCCCAGAGGTTGCACCGTTTTTTAGCATGTTGACTATTGTGAACACCATCTACAAAAATTTGGAGAAAATCAAATGTGAAGAAAAAGTGAATTTAGGTATCTTAAAGAGAATCACCGCACTAAAAATGTAGTCATCGCGATATTTTATATGCTAAATACAAAATGGGGATTTTTAAGAATATCCGCATTATCATATCGGCTAATTCACTTCCCAGGAGTGGGTATTTCTCCAATAGTCTAATTTCATTGCTCACATAAACTTTAAAAAGCTGCCTGACATGGATATTTTAGACCATTGTGTACTTTATGACAAATATCCTGAAGAATAGTAAGAGTATTAATCACATATTGCCAAGTACAAACCTTAGTACACCTCAAGTTCTCATTTATGAGCTGCCGTGAGAGTATAAAGCTTCATGGAGTCTTCTAATATTTCACAAGACAGCCACATTATAAAACAAAAACTTTATAATCTTCTTTGTGCTGCCTATACACATATCTTTAATTACCGACTTTGGAGGCTTTTTTCTAAGGTGATACATTCGAACATATTTTATTCTATATTGGCAGTAGACTTTTCTGCGGGGAGCAAATAATTAGGATCGATCCAACTTCCCATCCAAAAGTAACCACAATCATACACAATCTTAATTTTTATAGGTATTTAAGATACTTGAAGACGAGAGCTCGCTCCAATAATATGCCATTAAATCCTCATTAGCGGCATATAAACGGTCTATCCAAGGTCAGATTGTTAGGCTGTTTTAAAGTATTAATTATGTGTTAGAAAAGTAGTTCGTGTAGATACACACTCACATATACCTAAAAATATTAGAACCTTGATGTGTAACTTGTCTGGCGCTATATTTAACAGCTAACACAATTATATTTTCATCGGCAAGATTTAATCTAAATGTGAGCCTGTATGACTACGTCCAGGGGTGTCTCCGAAGACAACGGACAGTATATCAGTATCGATCCTGAGACACGTTTTTCACTCTCTTCAACCTACTTGATTAGTAACAGGCCTTAAATTTCGAATAGTTGAAGCTTATTACCCAAAAATTATCTCAGCAGGAAAATACAAATATCATGTCGTTCTCACCCGTTTCTTCAGGGCACTTCCACGAATCTCTATCCTCCAACAATTCTGGATGTACTCTCATTAGAAACATTTCCCCACAAGTAATTCAAAACTTCTTGCGAGTCCCTATCACAGCAATACAGTCACCATTTCTGCAGGCAAGATTTGCTCAGTGAGAGATATTTGGAATACCTGTCTGTCCCACAAACCCTATATCATCTGGTAGCGACTTATATACAACAAGATCCCTTGGTGTCAGCGGCTGTTTTTCTAGAAAACTAAAGATATTGACGGTCCCAATTACCTCTTGTGCAGCTTTCCAAAAAAAAACCGATAAGCATTCTTTCTGGGCTTGCAGATTCAAGAACATAATGCTGAGACAAACACTTTATGGTTTGCTTTCGGGCCCCATCCAGCTTCAGTAGTCTCACTTCTTTAGCCCCGCCATCCCTCCAATAATTAGACCACTCAATACCGATATCAGTCTTCTATATGTTTTATGTCGCACAATTAGCAAACTATGGAAAGTGCACTTTTGTCTGGTCTTTGTTGAGGTACCTTTCGTAATGAACCGTATATCGGCCATAATTACATAGCAAACAAGAGCTATAGAGGCGGAAGAAGCCCTTGCCCAACTATAGTCCCCTTTATTTTTTATGCTCTTAAGGTTCCTTATAAGCAATACAACCAAATCCAAGTATGAGATCTGCATATGTAAAATTTTGGATTTATTAAGTACTGATATGACCCTCTAACTTCTTGTTCTCAAGGCTATAATGTGTAAGATCAATAAAGGCATAAAGAATAACTTACTTTTTGCAGACTTATCCCTTGGATTTGATAAGATGAGCCCTCTTTAATATATTTCTTTAAAGTTATCTATAAGTCAATCACACCTGGACCTCTTATTTTACTTTATTTTGTACTTTTGACTTTGTGGAAGACCTTGATTAGATTATGAAAAATTCTTCTGTTAATTATGCCCTAAATGCAGGTTTCATGTTGGGATAGTATAATATATCGAAAACGGGTGCAAAAATACATTGCTTAATTGAGGTACTATATACATGATCGGCTAAATTATATTTTCTTACTTTTATGTTTGTCTCTCTATTCATATGTTAATTTCAGCTTGAACTCCCTCCTCCAGAATACCTTGCTTTCTGTATCGTGAGATTTTCTGTAATGAGTCATATCCCAAGAATTCAAGAGAGTTCCTTTTTATATTTGTAGTCCTTGACAAATTCGACAGGGATATACGGTATCTGCCTATATTCATACATGTAAATATTGACATATATTAATACGCTGAATAAGATACTTACGAGAGAATTTCTACAAGTATTTAGTCAAGGGTACGGATTTGGTTATAGGACACAATTTTGAATCTCTGCACTTTCTCTAGTCTAGGGGTACATTCCTGACTCTTCATTCCATTAGTTTGCTTGTCTTTTCCCTACAATACCATAATATTGCATAGTATGTTACCACACTAACTGAGTATCCACGTATTTAAAATACCTGCTTTACCAAAGATTATAACGAATTATTGTGCAAATATAAGAAAGACAGTATAAATCTTTTTCTCCAAAACCTTTTAATTTGTATATATATATATACTGTTTAGGATTTCACCATTTCGGAAATTAAAAATTTTTATGACAAAAGTCTATAGGCTATGTATGTAATTTGTGATTACTTAAACACTCTGATCATGGGCACTTGATATTTGTACCAGAAAGTTTTTTAACAGCTTTGAAATAACTATACTACCAAAGAAAAAACAGAGTACCTAACTTTTGGTATCTTAGCACGCTATGAGATATATTATACGCTTTTATTATTATTAGATATTTATTTATTACCGTATAAAATGATTTAGTTTTTGCTCTTAATGCTTTTAAAGAAGTTTGAGATAGTTAGAGCCGTAATTTTATTAAGTCCATACTATTTTAGTACTCTTTTAATAGCTGGTATAGAGATGTAATGAAAATATCTTTTATGAAGACAGCCCAATTTTATTATAGAATCAGATACCTGTGTGGTATACACACCACAATTGAGTGAAGAACAGACCATACAACCAAACACTGGTTCTTTCTTGCTAATAAACCTGACAAGTTAACAATCTCCGGAACTGTTACACACCAAGCACACGTACACTACACACTCATACAGTGTAAACCAGCCATTACACATCAGGGATTTGAATTACAGGGATTTGAATAGTAGCAGATATAAACAATATTATTTTGTCTCTTTAATAAATAGCACTCTCACAGTAAAAAATGAGGTATTCGAGATTGTATATGGGTTAGTATCTACTTTTCCTATTATTGAGATACTAACCCATACACAATCCCGAATACCTCAACCTGAACCCTGATACAAACATAAACTCTTGGAAAATTGCACTTTCCTATATTCTATTTATACCAAGAGTTTATATAAAGGTTATTTTAATCTTAATGCAATCCACTTTCTTAAATTTGTGTATCCTTTTTTTTTACCCTCACTTAAGACGCTGCCTTAAGAATTGCCAAATCTTCTCGTCTATACATCTTAACTAGATATACGGCCTATAGCTTACTAAATTACTTAAGTCTATATATATGAGACTTAAATATTAAAATATCTCGCTACATATTACGTTTAGATAAAGACAAAATACATAGCTCTTTTTTATACTCACCAAGTAATAATATACACCTCAGACTATATGAGATAATGAATTGCCGTTGGAAAATGAAAGTAAAGATTTGTAGTAGTACGTTAACAAGTATCACATGAGAAACGTTCTATAGTATTTTAACAATGTTAAATATATATACATTGCATTTATACTAAGCATATGTGATACTTAAAGTATAAATTCGCTTATAAACATTATGTCAATTGAATTAAACACCACATATAAGCCTGTCTTACTAGATGTTTTTTTTTACCTTTTTGTTGGCCCTGAAAAAGTATCTATTTTATATTGCGTAACGTGCTCTCATATCTGGTAATCTTAGACACGTTATGACAGTTGTACAGTTCAGTAAAAGGCAATTGAAAGGTTTTTACAGACACTTTTTTATAGCGCCCTTCCCCCTAATTTTGTTGATAGAAACGTTAACTATATATATAACATAAAAAATATTGAAGTATTCTCTGATATTTATATCTAAATAAAATATGTGTAATTTTATTATGTCCTAGTTGTGTTTATACTGAATACTGACTAATATTGTCAAAAGTAATCTTAAGTTATAAGAGATAATTTTATTACATAAGAATATTTATGGTAGCTCAAGAAAAGATGGAGCAGCTATTGTGGTTTTACTATGAATAGCAAATAATTGTTTTTTTGGTAGAATAGCTGTTAAATACTTGCCAGGTATATACTATATTACTCAAGTCACTGTTTATAAGTAAAGCTTATTCATTTATACTGGATATATTAAGTCAGTCAGTTGGTGTTGTACAGTATGCTAATTAAAAAATGCAAACAGATATTATTTTTAAAATATAGTATCATAAATTGGGTCTTTATCCGTGTAACATTAGTGCCCATAAAGAACTAGAGAAAACTTTAAAGATTTCAGAAGGCAAGGCATTTGTCAGTTTTATAAAAGACGTCGATTCCCAGAAATATCTGCTCTAAATCTAATCCTCATTAAGTTATTACTTATATATTATACAGTACCCTTTTGTATATACGTGTTTATAGTACTATTGAAAGGAAGTTATAATAATGAATTTCAATTAGAGTTGAACTGTAATTTCGATCTTTGTTAATGGGATATATTTTGAAAGAAATAATACATGATAGCAACATAAGACAATATCCGGTATGGTTGTATTTTTCAGCATATTATATTTTAATGAATATCCATTAGTTAATAATAATTCTTTATGCTTTCAGTATAAGATAGTATATTATTTCCTTGGCTAATAATGATATACAAAGATTATGTAAAAATATGTCAGATATTAATTTATATAATATTACGATTACGGTCAGTACTACTTAATACATCTTTTAAAATTTAACTATTGGAGAAAACATAATATATCTTTTAAAATTAATAGCTTAATAAATGGTCAAATCAAAGACTTTGTATCTAGGGAAACAAAGGCCAGTATGCTTATTTAAACTTCACATAAGAAAAGGAGTAACTATATTATTATGATATTATGTTACAAACTCGAGTGTGCGTAGATTACTAACAAGGTCTTACGTACACATGTCTCTAAAACATTGTCTTGTGAATTCGGAAATTAATTCATTTTATTTCTTTTAAAATTTGATCTTCATATTGTATAAGATATGTGTGATAGTTAATATTTTTTAATCAAACTTTTAAAAGTAGAGTATTATTATTTATATAAAGTATAAGTTCCATTATATCAGCGCCCATATCTCTACTATTTTCTTATCCAGCTATACTGGTTATTGGCCCATAAAAGCCTAAATCATCTAAGAATTCACTCTAAAAAAGCTGACGATGTTAAAATAAAGATTTGAGTAATGAGTATCTTAACAGAAGTAGCTATAATAACTTGTAGACAAAAACTCTCCCTTGTTTTTGGAAATTAGACTTAGCTTATAGTATAGATTGATCCTCTTATAAAATATCTCTTAAATATATCACTGGTCTTTATATATATATATATATATATTTGTCGCTGTAAACTCATGCTACTTTAAATAAGAATAGTAAGTATACTTAATATAAACTGTTACTGTTCGAACATTAGATTTAGTTATATTACTAATACCTTAATCCTGGTAGAATCAAATTTTTAGCTTATTTAAGAGCTATTTTTTATAATATACTGTTATTTTGAAATATACAAAGGCCTTGTATTTTTGCTACTAAGTCTTAAGAAGTTATATTCACTTAATCAAGCTGTTGGTGGAGATACGAATATTTTCATTTCAACATGTTAAAGAAATTTTATCATTTTTTATCAAATGTACTAGATCACACTGATTGTGACTGTATCATTGTAAAGATAACTTTAATAGGTATATGCAAACGCAAAATTATTTTAAATGTAATTAATTATATTTTTAATATTTCTTTTATTTTAACTACGATTTCATGGCTACAAAGTATATTGAGTAAGTTTTTATAGACTTTGAGTTAATGGGATATATTTCAAAACAGAAAATGAGTATTTCCCTTATGGCGGCTCGACGTTAAAGCTATACTAGTTAGTATAGAAACAAATGGTACAATCTGGTAAACATTATGGTCTACGATTATTTTAAAGATTTTGTCATTACAACCATTTTCGCGCCTTTTCTAGCTTTACTTTAATGTGATATATATATATATGCTTAACACTCAATAATAACGTAGAAGTATGTATTATAGAATATTGTATTTATAAATTGTACATTTTATGTCTAATTGGAATAATGTTTGAGACTTACTACGTACTTTTATTTTAAAACATTACAATATTTATTCTTTACTTTCAATTTGTTATTGGTTTGTTTTATGAGGGATATATATGAGTTAGTTTTTCTGAAAACAAGCTAGTAATAATAATAATATTGGTTTGTAAAGTACTTATTTTTTGTGGACTAATAGATATTATTTGTATTAGAATTTTGGCGATTACAAAATATCAAATTGTTATCGGGCGCAAAAATACACCATTAGCAGATATAACTAGCGACGAGAATAAATTTCAGCCAAGATAGCCACTTATCCTAAAATTTCGAATATTAAATGTGGCAAGTGTTTTTTATGGAGTGTAAGCTAGTTTATATTGATAGCTTTAATTAAGATTCTATAATTCTCTTGGTGATTGCTTCCATGTGCCTGAACTAGAATTGAGTAAACTATAGTCTATAAAGTAACTTGATCCTTTAAGTTTATACTATTATGTTCATTTATGTCTACCGAAAGACCTGACACTTGTAATATTAAGTCTGTGGTGTCTAAGAATAAGTATAACTGTCTCAGTATATGTATAGAATATATTAACTCTAAATCAAGTATAATACATTGATATATCCAAGTATTATATGTCAGATCATTTTATATTTTAACGCGTATTATTTTCATCAATTCCGACTCAATATCTTTAATTGATTTATAAAAACAGTTTGTTCATTTATATCTCTATTTAATATTAGTTTTTTTAAATACGTTCAACATGATTTGGAAATACTGAAAGTTAATCTGGTTCTCCCAGTACAGATGGTATTTTAAAGAGCCTAGCTAGACTATATTATAATAATAGGGCTCAAACCAACAGACAAAAAAAAAAGCTAAAGCTTTAATATAAAATCGAATGATTCTATTTGGAGATAAAAATAACAAGATAAGTAACTCGCAATAAGATAAATGTATTTGACCCAATTTAACTAATGATAATAACATAAGAACCTTACAAAGTATAGAGTATATATATATTTTGCACTGGCTCATGCTTTTTGTATATGCACTTTGAGGCTTGAGACGTGATATTCTTGTTTCAAGGGATATTTAAGATATGCCCTTATAGACCAAGGCAAAACGTTTACTTTATGATTCTTTAGCATGCGGTGTATTTCTTAAGCAGCTTACTCTATGCTAATCATCTTCTATTTTGTAGCGTAAAATATTACAATTCTATTGGCTTAAAGATGTCAGGTCAGCTATATATAATGCAGCTAGTTTCACGAAATTTTATTGGTTATTTTCTATTGTTTTTATACACTCTGATAGACAAACTCTGTTACATGAGCTACAAATAAACATATGCTATAATAGACTAGTAAGGGGATACAAAGCTCACTTAAAAGGAGGAAAAGTCATGGCCCTGAGATACTAGCCAGTTTGGTATTGCCAAATTCGTTAATTTTTGTCCAGAAAATCTGCACTTAAACAACGTCACAGAACTTATAGAACTTGGAAATTACAACCCTGACCTCTAGGCCTCTCTTTCCTTTCACCTCCTTAGTTACAACACGCCTTGTCTCATTCCAACCAAAATTGCTTTTTTTTTGCCAATCTCGCAATCACACATAAAAAAATACAAAAGTCTACTAAATGTACACAGACGATCAGCACAAATGGTCATCTCAATCGATGTCGCCGGCTCATCTACCATCGCAATATACTCAGCGAAGTTTGAAGTCAAACTCACACCAGTCTCACCAAACTTATTACGAAGAGCAATATATGCCTATCACATATTATGAAAATAATGAAAACTATGATTATATGGATGAAGAACAATATTATTCAGACTGGATTGAGCCAGAAGGCTTTGACACCTCTTATATGTACCAAGAGGATGAATATGAGCAAGACTGGTATGATGATTATAATTTGGGGCAAGACAATTACAATGATAGTAGTATGTCGTATGCTCCACAATATAATAATCCCTACAGCTCTCATACTTCCCAATGGGATCACAACGAAGCGCATGAATATCCATATTATTCAGAATCTCAATTCTCGGATTACAGTTATAATAATAACGTCCATCACACTTACAAAGATTACTACGGAAATTATAACTATGACGAAAATGAGGCGTACGAAAAATCTTGGCGAAGTAATTCCAATAATAGCCAAACTACGTACAAAGAAAAAGAGTCCAACAAGCGTAGCTACCCATTTACACCTGCTTCTCTATCCACACACACACAACATATTCAAAAATTCAAAAAACAAGACTACAAAAAGGATCTTATAATTCCTTCAAGTGGCTCTGAAATCGAAACTTCTTTATCTTCTGATAACCCAGAAGAAACATGTGTTTTAAAGAGAGACTATCAGATAGGTAAAATAAGAATAGTAATAATAAGAATAAGATTAAACCCACTAACTCTATATCATTAATAATTTACCAAACAAACATATATATATACATTACTATACATATCTAATGTCCAAGAAACATATTTATTTATTTACTTATTAGAAGAAGAAGAAGGAGATGATGATGATGATGAAGAAGAAGAAGAAGAAGACGACGACGACGACGACGACGACGACGATGACGATGACGACGATGAAAATGAAGATGAAGATGAAAAAGTAAAAAACGTAGAAGAAGTAAAAGAATTAGAAGAATTAGAGGTAGAAACGGTAGACGAAGATTCTACAGAGCTTTCTTCTGTTTCAAGAAAAGCAAAAGAGTATAGTATTGCGATTGGAAGCATTGAAACGAAGTTTTTAGCCTCTAAAGAGGAGTAAGCGATTCTTTTATTTTTATTTTATTTATTTTTTAAAAAGAATTTTTATTTTTTTAAGAAAAAAATAACCTCGAATTTTGGGCATTTTTTATAGAACTTACAGAAAGAAGCTATGTCTATTAAAAGAGCAGCTCGAATCAGTTCAAAAAGGTACAACCAAGCCGTCGTACCACTAAATCATTTATCAAGTCAGTGACTAACATATTTTTTTGTACAAACACGATTAAAACAGAGGAATATGAACCTTTCAAGGAACAGATAAAGAACCTTACAGACATTCGTAACAGCGCAATAAAACAAGCAAAAATATCAATGGAGTATCAACTTGCATGTATCGAGAAACAGTACGACAATGAAAGAAAGACGGTAGAAAACGAACTCTTAGTATGTTATCTAATATAAAATAAAAAAGGAAACAAGTATTCTGCTGATGACTAGATTAATTCCTTTATTTTTTTTAGACAGACAGACATGAGCTCCAAGCAGCTATAGGTAGCTTCCTTGAAGAAAAAAATAAGCGCCTAAGAATCAGTGAAAAGAATCCTGACGCAGCCAACGACAAATCCACTGAACGGTACAATAACAAAGGCACCAACAAATCTATAGAAATAGCGGAAGGTAATTAAGATAAATAAATCAATGAATATTTTAATGCTAATTTACCTTGTAACTCACATTCTTCTCCCCACAACAAACTAGCAGAGCCTATGTTTACACGAAGTCGCAACAAGCTCAGAATAGGTCAAGAGCTTCTAAACGTTGAAAAGGTTTTTGTAAAGAAAAGCGGAATGCTTCGTGCAGTAGCAAACCGCCGCCACACTGTGGATCATATCCTTTTTCTTTTTTATTCCTCTTTATAAGGCTACTTTGAACGCTTGATGTACATTATCCTTAACCTGATTTTCATCTATTACGTATGAAAGATAGAGCAAACCTTGATACTGCTCTCACAGCAATGAATGTAGCAGAACTCGATTCAGACTTGGCCTTGATACGCAAGGTAAGTTTTATTTCCTGATGTTGTAATGAAGACTCTAATATTTTTTGTCTTAGAGCATTACGAAATCAAAGGATACTCCCAAAAAACTCGGTTCTTAAAACCACACTGATTATTGGGAATCAATCACTTCGCATGTTTATTCAATATTAAAATACCTAGACGGGCAAATCTAATACATTATTTACATAGCTTATTATATACTATACTATCAAAAAAAGCACACGCCGCTGTACTTTTCTTATTATTTCCTTTTCACTTTTTCAAAAATGTACAAAAACTTGATTAAAAATTATATATGATATTTTATTTATCTCTGTAAAGATCAGCTCACGATAAATTGATATCAGAAGCTATAGATTCAAAGACATTTTATGATATATTTACACTGCCTTACTCAAAGGTATAATAGAATAATAAAAAATAAATAAAAAAGATAACGTATAACGAAGTTATCTCTTGGGTATATACTTGATAAGAGAAAATTTATATGTTTTATTGACAACAACCAAGAAAAAATCAATAAAAAAATCACCGGATTTAATGCTATTAAACGCTCAAAGTCATACGTTGCTTGATCTGCTCGATCACGTTTTTCATCATTTCAAGATTCATCAGTCTTATTCCTGACTGCTGATATTTTGCTGGCATGTAAGAAAGAGGATACACACGTTATATAAAACTGTTCTTACCTGCTCATCGCTATCATTTGAATCCTTTTTGTGTCTCTCCATAATTGTATCAATGGTTACTTCAAGATGGTGAATATACTCATTATTCATCCATACTTGCTTTTCCTGATCAAAAACGGTTGTCTAAAGAGCAATTTGGATTAGACAGGGACCAACAAAGTGAATACTTTGCTCCAATTATTTACCCTGTTTTCAGATTTATCACAAATTAACAAGAATAGATAAAGATTTAGAGCCTGCATTTGATAGCTGTAGTCGTCCCAAAACGTGTCTTCTTCTGTACACCATTTCTTGCTTGTACGGAATAGGATCGGGAAGAACTTATCGACAATAACAGGACTCGCGAATACAGATGGGGGCTATGTATAACAAGAATAAGTATTTTCTGTATAGCTAAACATTTAGCTCACCCTATCTTTTTTAGAATTAAAAGCTCCATTTATTTGGTTTTTGAATAGTCCAATAGATGCTGTCTTCATTGATGGGTAAGGGCATCTTTCAAGAAGCTCTGTAAAGGCGAACATTCGGACTTCGTCACTGCACATTTCAAGTAAGCTTGAAATGAGTTGGTGAGAAAGGAATCGAACGTTTGAAATGTCTGATAAGGAAGCTACAGAAGAAATAATCTGTAGTTCAATGTTTGGATTAAACAAAAGTAGATCGAGCATGCATTTTTTTATTACCTCTAACACTCTAGATGCCGGGAATTCTTTCTCATCGCCCAAAGGTCCCTTAATTTTCTTGTCCAGAATCTCTAATGTGAGCTGGGCCTCTACATTATCAGATAAGTATAAAAGTATCAAAAGGCCTTTGTCGATCCATGGGCCATTTGCAGAACTAATATGAAATAGAGCAATAAAACAATTGATGAATTTTCCGTTTCTGTTTTACTTAATTATACTTTACTTTGTGAGCAAGTTCATTATAATTCCTGTGAATTCTCTCGCAACCCACATAAGGTCGATCCCCAATGGGAAGACATTTAAGCAAGGATATTCCGATTTTTCATCGTAAAGACATAAATCATTGATTGCTATAGCAAGCATTGTCACAATACTATTGTAAGACAATGGAAAGCTTTCGCAATTAATCCCATCTTCATCGATTTCCATATCCTTGGATCCTTTTGTTATATAAGAATGGAAACATGAATGAAATAAAATAACTGGGATAAAATTTTTGCAGACTTTAACCTAGAACATTATTTTTACCATGTACTGAAGCTTGCGCTAGTCCTCGTCTTTCCGAAGATATCGACGGATATCGTTTAATTTGTAAGATTTCATCAAACGTAACTCCAAGTAATGTTGCGATTTTCTATGGTTGTTATGTACATTTATTTTGTTAAAAAAAGCGAAAGGATTGAAGGGCTTTTAATAGAAATTGAACGACTTTTGCTATATTATTGATATTTACTGTAGATCTGAAAATCATATCCGATACAAGAGAGCTCTTTTTCTTGGTTGAGGATTGATGAATTTCTTGGGTTTGGCTTGGAGTTCTAATATTGTATCTTGAATGGAAGCGGCTGTAGTATTTCTTTGATAATTCCATGTCAAGATTAAGAATAATCTTCTCAAACAATAAAGCCAAGAGATAAACGAACAAATAACGACGTCTCATCATATCATTACTCTCAAAAGTCTCAGGCTTGCATTGCTATTTATTTGGTTGGATTTTTATAAGCAAAGTATGTATATATGTATCGTTTATAAGAGTGAAAACTTTATAGATAAGCACAAATACCTGCATTTGATCAGTATTGAATACTAGTTTTGAGCCATACTCAATAAAATCCAATATACTGTTTGTCAACGTGAGCAGGATATCATCCCAGCGACTTTGTTTATGCTTTGATAGCCCGAAAGAAGAGAAATCGCACAATATTCTTTCAAGAAATGAAAGAGTTCTGGCGCAATATTTGACTGGATAAAGAATAAAATCATCTATACGCTTTGTTCCAGTAGCTCTCTCAAAGACTGATCAAATATATAAAGTATTATAACCTAGGACAAGTCACAAGGATATTTCATTGGGTGTATTTTTTTGTAACATGCCTTTTCCAAGTTGCTTGAATATTTCTACTGATTGTATGGCCGACTTTAAACATGCTTCTTCGTCTGGAAAGCATGTATCCCAGTCAATGAAGCTTAGTCGCTCACATACAATCATGTGTAAATCACGGAAGCTGTACACATCGCCAATATGAGAAAGTATAGAGCTAGCAACTTTCCGAACCTTGGAACATTCTTCAATACTTCCATTTGTAGAAATCAAAAATGGGTGTATGTAGTCAAAAAGCTCCCATCCAAAATCTTTGATCAGCCCGTCCTTTTTTCCATAAAAATTGAATAGAATAAATTTGTGTTAGTTCCAGTAAAGGAGCCGTGATATAGCCCCATATATCTTACCAGCAAATTTGAACTGAGAGAAAGCATAGTCTCTTCATTAGGTATCCCTCCAAGAAGTATATTATGCACAAGACTAAGTAGACTATATTGTGAAGAAGCGCAAAAGCTCTCAGCCTTTTCCAATGTAACTCTCAGAACCTCTAAAATTTTTCTTTCATCTTCAAGTAGATAATTATGTGTTCGATCGATATTCTGGCTATTCTCCATTTTTCTAAAACTCTGTTCCCCAAGTTATTTTTCTGTGTTGCTCTTTGCGCGTATATTTCATATATGTACCTCGACAAGTTGGTGGAATCCATCATTTACAATTAATTTTTGCTGTGAAAGTTCTTGCTCATTGGGAATCTCTGATTTATTTGAAACATCATGAAGAGTAAGAGAATTTGTGTTTGTAGTAAATGTTTCCATGTTCAGACCAATGTCATCAATTAGATGGATGGCATTGTCCCAACTAGCACGCATAGAGAACCAGTCACATGGTACATTCGGTACTAAACCCAAGTTTGCAGCAAGTACAGACTTTTCTTTTCCCAAAACCACAGCGCCCCTTCAAATGGGATTTGTGTAGTATATGACTTATATAATGTTAAGTATAAGTTCATACGGCTAAAACATGATATAGAGTATTGCTGCCCTGTAAATAGAGATTGTGCCTTTTACAATTGGTATCAAATGTATCAAGAACAATCAAAAGTACAATGTGTTTTTATGCACATCATTCATTTATTATATTCCTTTTGCTCTCAGTAAAGTATGTACGATTAAGAAACAATGGAATAAAAAAGATAGTAGCGTCTAGTGATAAAATCGTACCATATAAACCGTATTTAAAAAAAATGTTTGGAGCTATGAAGTCATTTAAGCAAAAAGCATTATCTGACAAACATTGACCTTGAACAGAGATTGTGTACCTGATTAATGGCACAAAATATTGACAAGTTCTATGAAGAATTTTGTGTTTCTGTTACTTTTAACTTTTATTTTTCGTTAATCGATTTGGCAATATTAAAACCTAAGATAGCTTGACCTTGCGATGGTTAATTTTCTAGTTCAAGTGCTATATTTCCATATCATTATTATATATCTCTGTCTTATTACTTTGATTCATACATTAAGTAACAAGATTACTTATTCAGATCTTAATTTTAATCAAGCTAAAATACCGGTCTTTTTTTTTTGAAATAATATACAGTTTATTTTCTATTCATGAACACCATTTTTATACATAAACTAATCTTAACTAGTCGCTTTAATCAAAATATAGTACACATGTCACAAACATCGCACACGGCTATGATACTCTCATCATTTCCGGGCTCAAGCATGTATCCTATACGACCAGAACAAACAGTGACATGCTCTTGATGGTTCTTTTGAATCATGAGCGCAGCCTATTGGATTCTTTTTTGTCAGAAATATAGGTTTGTTTCTAATATCATATCTTGCCTGTTCGGTGGCATTAAAGTTGCAATAGGTACACATTACGCCTCTGCTTTGGTTTGTTCGAATAGAAGGCTGTAGAGTGAATTGTGCACAATTGAAGCACTGCATTCTCGGTTGACACATATTATACTGTGCAAAGCTTTCTTGTGATTGAGCTTCTTCGTACATAGCAATTGCAGCTGCTATTGTGTTTTGTTCTTCTTGTAAGAAATCCTCGTAGGAAGTGTCATAACGCTCTTCTCGGAACAGAGATTATTTTTTAAAGAAAAATGGGTAAATTCACCAGCTTAAGAACTTGCTGAAATCTATACTCACTCATTGATTCATCTGACATGATTTCTTCTTCAATGTCCTGATCAGTAATGTGAACACCTTCGAATCGCATTGCTTCCTCGTTCTCTTTTTTGAAGGATTCCCATTCTTCTTTAACAATTATTTGCATCCACTGATTTTAAGATTCAGGAACCAGAATTAGTTGGTTAAAGTTATCTGTGTGGTTGCTTGCATACCGTGTCTCCTCGTCTTTTATTATCTCGTTCTTGCCTTGATGATTTCACGCGATCGACCCATTGCTGTCTAAATCTATCTTTCCATTCTTTATTCTTTTCTTTATTATTTCGCTTGATTGGCGCACGATGTGCTTCGCTTGTCCAATCCATCGTGTCCATGTTAGTTTAAGAATTGAATGAAGTGAAATAAAGAGAGGGAGAGAAAAAAACAAGCCTCGGTATTAAGCAGTACTCAATTATGAATATTCTAAGAAAAAAATATGAAATCCTAATATTAACCAATGATATTGTTTTATAATTTAGTACTCCAGATATGCTGTTCGATTATTTCTTTGAATACCTTTTTGAATATTCAAGGCTATAAGGGGTTTCTCAAGCGTACGCCAAAGCCTTGTATTAGACTTTTGTCTTGAAAAAACGTTTGGAGGCTCACCTCTAAAAACCACTAGTTTAAGGAAATCATTAAATCATATATAAAAACCCTTATTAACGTTTAGGGCTTTGGCATATGCTTGAGAAACCCCTAGTAACTCTATCATATATTAAACATCCGAAAAATAAAGGTACAAATTTGATGTGCACGGTTCAATATCTTTAAAATTATGAAATTTAAGCTGTTAAACAAGCATGGTTGTATGTATATATATATATAATGCAGGAAGTCTATTATAGATAATATTTTATAGTTTTACAAAAAAGTTTAAGTGGAATGATTGGTGACTATGTACTAACAACTTACACTTAAATTTATTTTATTTTGTATATTAAAGTATCTAGTACTCGTCATGTTAAGTATACAAGATGCTATTATATTACTAAATAATAATCTTGTAGGCTATACAATAGTAATGCTTATTACCAATAATCAAGTAAAACAAAAAAAATGTTTCGATTTAATTATTAGTATTATTATTAAAATCGAAACATTTTTATTAGTAATTTAAGATTAGAAAATAATTTAACTGTGTTCGTACCAAGTGGCTGAAACTACTTAATTGTCCATTATTTCCCGCCAAAATTCAATAGTAATACAACGAAATCATGTACCTCTGGATATATCGGAAGATTTGTACCTTAATTTCCTGTATTCATCAGACTTGTCCTGACAACTGCCATAGTTTCGATCTAGAGTCAAAATATCAATCAAGACATTATATACATATATCAAATAAAGTAATCGATCATTACTGCTGGAATTAATATGATTGTTATTGTTAGTTACAGTTCATATCTGTCTGAGAAACCTCTTTAGATTGTTTTTATAATTGAAGACAACAGGCAAATAGATTAAAAACTTCATTAGTTTTTATCCTACAACATCGGGAACTCAAATAAACCCATTGAAAGCCCTTTTTATTATTTTAAACTAACAAGGACTAGTGCTTCCTCTCTTATTCCTTGTTCATTAACTGCGAGATGACTGATTCCAAAGTAAAAGTACAAGTGTTCACTGACTTTGATGGCACATTATCCCTTGATGGTAATTACAAACAAATTTCCAAATGAGGAACTTTCCTTCATGAGTTAGACATTATGCTCATTAGTCATCCCTTTAGATACTGGCCTATTGCTTATTGACGACGAACTCTCTTTGGGACCGGAACGTAGACGTGTACTAGAACACAAAATAATGGATCATGCCCTTAGCTACAAGTAAGTTTCTATATGGCGCACAAGAATAATGTTTCAATTTAGATGCTTATCTAACATATGCTTTTTATTTATTTGTACAATTATTCTAGGGACGCCGTTCAAGAAATGTGGGATTCAGTTCATATAAGCTGGGACGAAGCCTGGGCAAAATACTTGAATGGTAAAGTATCTTTGTAAATAAAATATATAATTATAACAGAATAATCTCTGGTTCCTGTTGACTTATCCACGCATTAAATCTAGATTGCCGCATCGATCCTGGGTTCCTATCCTTTAATGATTATTGTCGTGAGCATGATATTCCGGTTACTGTCGTTAGCAGGTATACTAAAAACTAAATAAATAAATAAAAAGTGTGCTTATATTATGGCAAACTAACTAGATATCAAAAGTGGTCTTTATCCAGTTCTAGAGCGAATTATGAAGAACTTTTTAGGAGAAAAGGCTAAAGATATTGAGATTATTTGCAATAAGGGTGAAATCAAAGATAGAGATTGGAAAATTATCTGGAGAGATGACAGGTCTGTCTTTATTTCTTCTTCTATAAAATTAAGACTTAGATCTACCTACCTCAAAGTACTAAACTGTTTATTCTGGCTTATAAAATATACGTACAGTGAATATGGAAACGACAAGTCAGTTGGTAAGTAATTTTCATTTTTCTTTAAAGAAAGAGAAATATTTAGGAAATAATGACTAACATACATTTACTAGCCTTGTCAGACGCCAGAGCAAAAGCCTCCCCTGACACTATCTTTGTGTTTTGTGGTGATGGTGTGAGCGACATTAGTGCTGCTAGACATGCAGATGTTCTGTTTGCTCGTAAAGATCGTGATTTGGAAATTTACTGCAAAAGATATTCTATTCCCTTTGTAAGCTTCGATACATTTGATGATGTTCATGATGTGGTCAAACGTTTGGTAGACCGCAAGTCTGTTATTGAGAAGGATGAAAAGACAGGATTCTGTAGTGTAGTTGATGTATAGAATATTGTATTTTCTCTTAAAAAATCAGATATATATATTATACATATTATATTAGAATAAATCATTGTAGACAGAGTTGTCTTCGACTATGAAAGACAGCAAAGTAATTGAATGGCAGTTATTTTTGAGAGAAGAAAATCACTTGATTAAATTAAACCAACTTTTTGACAAGAGAATTCAACTGAATTTATTAATTATTTTTGCAAATTTTCTACTCTTAACAGACACATTTAAATATATATATATATATATATATACTCTACTAGTACTCAATATTAATCCCTTCTATATCAAACAATTATGCTGCTCACATAAAGTCTGGATCAATTTGCTCACTGGCTTAAAGCATCGTGTAACATGAAAGACAAAATAAGGTTATGAACGTCACATATTTAATGACGTAGACGAGTAAGCTGGTGCAAATAGCACTTCCCGGGCCAATATCGTCGGCTCCCCATGGCTATCTACAATCCTCCCTTTTCATAAAGATGGTATGGTACACCTAGTGTATGGATGGATGGTGGATGACAGACGACTGGATACGACGATACATACACATTGGATGGCAACACAGGATACGTGCAGCGCACTAGTTGATGGGGATGGATGCATGGATATAGATGATGTCTAGAAAAAAAAACGTCAGCCGGACCTGTATATTGGAACATATATTCACCCACGTCAACCAAAGTCGTCTCGTCTCGTCGTTACAGCTTCACTGTCGTCCACTGTCTACCAAATAGTTCTTAGAGGGAACCCTAACTAACCATTCCGGATTGCTTCTTTGATTTTCTTTCTTTAGTCGCTCGTTGTTCCTGAGAGGAATCAGGTGTGTAGAAACGAAAATAGAAATAAAAACAACTTAGAACCGTTTCCTTTCGTACGATAGTTAACTAATCACCGTGTTACACCCCTTACAGTTCCAGCACATTATCCGTCTTCTCAACACCAACGTTGACGGTAAGAACAAGATCGTCACCGCCTTGACTTCCGTCCGCGGTGTGGGTCGTCGTTTCGCCAACATTGCCTGCAAGAAGGCTGATGTTGACCTCAACAAGAGGTAAATTTTTTCTTATTGGTTTTTACTTGTTTGACCTGATTGAAATTTTGGAATACTTAATTTTTTGTATATTTGTTTATTATAATAGAGCCGGTGAATTGAGCAACGAAGAGTTGGAGCGCATTGTCACCATTCTCCAGAACCCTGCTCAGTACAAGATCCCCAACTGGTTCCTCAACAGACAGAAGGATATTGTCGATGGTAAGAACTCCCAGGTCATCTCCAACGTCTTGGACACCAAGCTCCGTGACGATCTTGAGCGCCTGAAGAAGATCCGTGCCCATCGTGGTCTCCGTCACTACTGGGGTCTCCGTGTCCGCGGTCAGCACACCAAGACCACTGGTCGTCGTGGCAGAACCGTTGGTGTCTCCAAGAAGAAGTAGTAAGTATTATTTCATTACTTAAAGCATTCGTTTGTATATATATAAAGAATATTTGATTGACATTTTTTTCTCTTTGTACTTTCTTTTTTCAGAAAAAATGCATAAACAGTATTTTCAAAATAAAGCCTCATGTTTTAACCTTCAAACCTTTTTGTACAACAATAATTTGTGAAATGTGAAATGTGATATGAAATTGTGAAATATGAAATGTGAAAAAGAGTTATGAACACTTTATTTAGCTTTTGATAATTATGTAAAAAAATGGAGATAGGTTGTTTTATGGAAGTCTCTTAACAATATCAGTAATGGATTCGTTAGTCAACTCAATGAGTTTATACAAGCTGTAAATAGACTGATCTTCATTTGTGCGTGGCGTAAGATGATGGAAAATAGAGGCATTTCTAATATACATATAAAAATCATACGTAAGAACTTGAGTGTACATAATTGAGATAAACTTACTGATCAATGTAAGCCTTGAGTCTTAAAAGTGTGCGTTGTATCGCAACTAATTCTTCCCGTGTTGCTGCACGTTTGGAAGGCTTGTTTTTAATATTGTGACTAATGTATAGAGAAAGATAAAGATAGGAAACATTGTTTTTAGGTAAGAATCAGATTTTTTAAATGGATACATGTACATATATATGTATATATTGACTTGCCTGTCAACGACCAAAGGGTGGGTTCGTACTGGTTTTATCAAACGACCAAGATAGAGAGCAAGCCCATCATGTCGGCTAGAAAATGACGGGGGGATTGGAGAAGGTGTTTGTCCCAGGGTTTCCAATAAATCGGTAACCCGCATAATCATGTCTCCTGTCACTGGGATATCGGCTGTCACTGCACACAAAATTGTAAGGTCTTCCCTCTATAAAAAAAGGCATTATTCTTCTTACGTTGAGGACAAGGGGACCAGTTGGAGAATTCTGAACAGGCTAGTTCGTAGCACAATGCTGACGAGGATGCTGGGCCGAAATGGGCAAAGAAAGTCTCGTATTCATCAGCACGAGCTCTGACATCTTTCCCCACACTAGAAAGCAATCGCTTGAGCATATCAATTGGTCGCTGTTTTTTCAGTACAGTTAATCCGAGGGATGTGAGGACCAAGAAATATCTAGAGTGGCTCTTGGAATCGGTCAACAGTTCATTCAACTCAAATGGTCCTGAAGGGATCTCTACAATTGAGAAAACCTTTCCTTGGACTTCCAATTGATCCATAAGTTCTGTCAAGCCTGACCTGGCTCCCTTGTTTTTTTTTTCGTTAATACACTAGAAACCTTTTCTTTCAAAAAAAATTACTTACCAAGTTGGCTAACTTTCCAATATCTGGAGAGGTAGACATGATTATTTCCTTTCCTTCATCAGCACCAGTGCCCACAAGGAACATCGTGCTGTCTTTGTAAATAGCTTTTTTGAACACAGTTGGGTAAAATTGTGGGTTTAGTGATGGTGGAGGTCGGCGAACATGGATGAGCTCAAGAGTGTCAGGTGGATCCGTCTTTGTGAGTTGCGTCGACGATTTAAAGTGAGTAAAGTATAAACGACAACCATCAGATGTGATTGCTATCAGCTGATACTTGGTTGACTCTTCGGGTGATGTTGCATATAGAGCGATGAATTTGAAATTCTCGCTATTTAAAGGTAGTTGTGGGCACGAATTGTGGACATCTTGAAGAATATTGCTTTTTTTGGTTTTGGTAATAAATGATTGACCATCCTCTCCAAGGTAAGTAACCTGAATACTCGAACTTTGGTGGAGTTGATATAAAACACGTCCGTCAGTGCTTGCTGAAATAGCAACACAGGGATCTGAAAAAAAAAGAGAGAGAAAGAGAGAAAAGAAAACAATGCATGCCCAACATTCCTCAGTAATTTACTCTTTAGATCAATTCCCTCGACCATATAACTATACCATGAAGAGACATAAACAAGAAGGAGAAGCTTGTAGTGGGCTGATGAAGTTGTTTGTAGCACTTTCTATTAAACCATCCTTCTGTAGACTACCGATCATAATTTTTGCTGAAAGTAAATAACAAATATCTCGCACCATATTTCTTGACAGTTTTTTTCTTGTTCTTATTTTTACCTTGTAAATTAACTCCCAAAGATTTCCGTCATTGCCAAGCATAAAGATGCGGCCAAATGGAGTGCCGACAAAGGAAGTCATATGTACATTTCCAGATGGAGTTGTGAGTCCAGATGAATAAAGAGATAAAGTATTTCCAGTGTCGGTTTTTTTTAAGGAAACAGGAACAATCTTAATTTCGTCGACAGTGGCGATGACAAGTACATGAGTAATCTCCTTGCTAAAGACATCTGGCTTTGGTTTGACAAGCTCAATGCCCACAATCTCACTCGATTCTTCAAAAACTTGTAATTCATTACTATAAAAGAAGATTTAGGAGTAAAATGAAAAATAAAAAGTTAAAGATATATAAAACTATGAATTGAATGTCTTTCTCAATTAGATTTACCTCTGAGAATAATCTACAAAATATAAACGTTTTCCAATTGCAAAGTATGCTCTATTGATCTCTGGCAATATTCCTGATGGACTGTTTGGCTTTACTAAATGATATAAAATAAGTAAAATATAAATATAAATAAATAAAATAAATAAATAAGAATTTATATCGAATATAACGAAAAATAAAATATTTCGATTGCTGCTTTTATTCTTTTTTTTTTGTCTGGCTTTTTATAATCTACTCACATCTAATCTGCTCATACGCAATTTTAGGCAATGGGAGGCTTTGTCTGACAACAATAGGTAAGACTGCGGTTCCAGCAGCTTTGAGGTAATCATTATCGCTGGGTGCTGTAGAAGATTAAGGATTATTATTATTTTAAAATAATAGCGATGCAATTTTTTTTTTTTGGAAAGGTGCGATCCATACCAGCAAATGCGTCTCCAATGTCTGGAAAACGGCGATCCAGCACCGCTCTGGTATCGAGAGCTTCAAAAGCATTTACAATTGCCTTTGAGTCGCTTTCTGAGAGGGATGTTTCCGACATTTTTTTTATATATGTATATATATATATTAGTCGCTAAAACCAAATTTGGTGGCTGATATGTTTGAATGCGATGAATGAAGAATAGACGCAGGAACAGAAAGACCACACGAGACAATAAAAAAAATGAAGGCAGGAAAATCGCGTCAAAAATAAAACGACTATATACACCACAGGCACTTTTTTGCAAAAACACTATGTGAATGACGCAGACTATTTATTTAAAATCCGATGTTGAATGCATTTTTCTTTTCCATTTTTTTTTTTACTTAAGAATTTAAGATTTTGATTAAATGCATAAAAGCTTATTCTTTAAGCAAGAAGTAAAAGCATAACATCGAGTGTATTCAACTTTGGCTTAATAGAAGAAGAAAGCACTCCTTCTTTTTTTATTGTATAAATGATGGCAGATTATATGAAATTTTATGGATCAAATAATATATGCGTGTACTTTTATATGTTCAAAATTGAACAAGACTAATATTAATTGAGCTGGTTTGACAGATCAATAATTTTTGTACAAGAAGTGGTGTACAGTGCACTTCATTTTGTACCAGTCAATGCTTGTGCATTGCTTTATTTTATATTTTTACCATCATTTAGAAAAAAAGACACAAATTCGTGGATTTTCGCTTCTCGCTGATTGAAAATGCGCTTCTTTAATGGATAACAATGCTTCCTGAATCAGATATTAAGGAACTTTATATTAAAATATATATCTATATGTATTCTCTACAACTAAAAGCCATGAGAAACAGAGGCTAGGACAAACTACAGGCAATATCATCAGCATGAACAGTTGCGCATTGACTTGAGAAAAAGACGTCACCAACCACTCTTATCCTGCTGGGTTTCAACTCTTTGGTCAAGCATTCTGGAGCACAAACGGAGGAGAAGTTTATCCTGTTGCTATTTTACACAATGGCACCTAATCCTACTTCAGACTGGATTCTACTCCATGTAAGGGCATTTGGATACTATTGCGATTCTCGGAAGAGAAATGATGTATATAAATTTACACAATTTCAATGTTTTCTCCTTAGGATCGCTTTTACAGGTACAATAAAAAGAATTGCATTCATCCTTTACCAATTCTCATCACCAATCTCTTAAATAGAAAGCAGGAAATCTACTCGCTCTCATGGAAGCAAACCGACCTTTCAAAATTTATGATTGCCAGTGCTCAATTCGGAGGTCCCATAGGTGAGTTGGTATCGTTTCGCGTTGCAAAGACAAACAACAACAACAACAACAAAAGCTAAATAAAATAAAACTTACTCTTAAAAAATGTATTTTTATCAGCCATGATTCGAGACGACAAGAAGGTTCTTCTTCTTCAGAAACAGCAGCCTATCAAACCAACGATATATATCTACAGCTCTGCTGGTATTCTTATTGAGCAAATCTTGGTAAAATAATAGCAATAATAATATAAGGGATTTGGTTTGTACACAAAGTTACGGACAGGTAGTTAACGATTGTAAAAATTATTGAAAAGTGGGACAAGGGACGGATTGTTTCATTGGGATGGACCGATCAAGAACAGTTGGTAGTAGTAACAGAGGATGGCTCTGTCAAATTATACCCTCTCTATGGCACGAATACACAATTCACTCTTGGAAAGGTAATAAATAAAGACATACATTAAGAAAATAAAATAGAGTATTTATTTATTTCACTTTATTTCATTTTATTCAGGATGCAAAAGAGTTTGGTATCATTGACTGTCAGATATGGGGAACTGGATTAGTGGCAATGACTGGAAATTATCAACTCATCTCAGTCACCAACTTTGATGAACCTCGACCCAAGCCAATGGCAGATACTGGGTTGATTGAGCCTCCTCACAGTTGGGCTGTTATTCCCCCTCAATATACCCTCAGTAGACATGTTGAAGTGCTGATTGCGACTGGAGCAACTGTTTTGGTTGTGGACAGTAAGGAGTCCCAAGATCAGGTATGCGTTATCATAGACTACAGCATATGTATATATATGTGTGTCTATGCGTCTCTTTATCATTTGTGCTGATTTGAAATGAATGCTATGTATGAAATCAAAGCTTCTTCAACAAGGTCCTTTCACCAAGATGGAGGTTTCTCCTAATGGAAAGTTCCTGGCCCTTTTTACTGTGGATGGTAAACTGTGGGTTGTTTCGACTGACTTTCAAAAGAACCTGTCGGAATACTTGACAAAGTCAAAAATACCCCCTCAGCAACTTGTCTGGTAACGTTAATGCTAGGATTGACACAAGCAATGGACACGAGAATAAGAAGAATCGAATGTTGACATGAAATTAAACGCAAATTAGGTGTGGAACAGATTCAGTGGTATTGTATTGGGACAAGATTGTATTGATGGTTGGTCCGTTTGGTGACTGGATTAAATTCACCTATGATGATCCGATTTACTTGGCTGCTGAAGTTGATGGTATACGTATCATAAGCAATGAAAAGTGTGAACTATTACAAAAAGTACCAGGTATTAACAGATAGTCCTGATTCTCAAAAGAAAGAAAACTGTAATGATGTGAAATGTAAATGTGTCTTTTTTGTTTTACTTTAGCTGCTACTGAAGAAATTTTCAAAATTGGTTCAACTTCTCCTGCTGCCATGCTGTATGATGCTCTTGATCATTACGAGGTACATAATTAAATAAATAATAATATTAAAAAACACAATCTTTAAAGACTAACTAATGAAATTAAAATTGTGGGTATATTTAGCGCAAGAGTCCAAAGGCAGATGAAAATATCCGTAGTATCAAGGCAGATTTGATTGACGCGGTTGATTGCTGTGTGGAAGCTGCCGGCTTTGAGTTTCATCATCATTACCAACGCTCTCTTTTAAAGGTAAAACAACTGTTCTTGTCTGATGTTTAAACTGCTGTTTAGTATTGACTGGGATATAAATCCAAAACCTCCACTTACACACCATACCATACTATGTCAACCTAAAATCTAGGCGGCATCATTTGGTAAATGTTTCCTTGACCACTATAATGCAGACCGATTTGTGGACATGGCACAAACAATAAGAGTGCTTAATGCAGTGCGATTCTATGATATCGGCATTCCTCTTACTTATGCACAGTAAGTAAAGCCTTCTTTCTTTGTGTGTTTAAAACAATACACATATATTTTTGGTGTATATTTGTATTTTAACTCTGGTTATAATTGTTTTTACAAAGATATAAGCGCTTGACCCCGGAAGCTCTAGTCGATCGACTTGTTCAGCGAAATCATCATTTGCTAGCATATCGTATTGCCGAATATCTACACGTCAGAACAGACAAGGTCTTGATTCACTGGGCATGTGCAAAGGTATTTTGAGCTTCTTTTTGCTTGACTTATTTTGCGTGTATTTGTATGGGAATATGATTATGAATATATACAAGATGCATGTTCTTTTCAATAATTATTCTTTTCTCTAAAAAAAACAATCTAAATTCTTAGATCAAATCTTCGTCTGATGATGATGACACTTTGTGCCGGACAATCGTTGATAAACTTGCCAAGAAACCTGGATTGTCCTACGCAGAGATTGCAACAACCGCTTATAACTCAGGGCAGACACGATTGGCCACCAAGGTGTGAAATAATTGGATTTTTTATATTAGATATATAAAAAAAAGAAACATCTTTACGCTTTATGCCCCCAACGAAAAGATTCTAAAAACAGTTTTGTATGTACTATGGATTATGTTTAGTTATTAGATTATGAGTCCAGAGCTGCCGACCAAGTCCAACTGCTGATGTCTATGGAAGAAGATGAGACTGCACTCATAAAAGCCATTGAGAGTGGAGATACTGATATGGGTAAGTTTAAGTTTCGATACTGTTTGTTTGTTTGTTTTTTATTATTACTATTATTATTATTTTAAAAAAGAAAGGTTGTCCGTTCCTTTCAAGACACAAGAAAATACTCAGTGACTTGCCATAGTTTATTTGGTTATCTTCCACCTGAAACGAAAGCTTCCTTTGGGCGAATTCTTCCGTGCAATTAATAACAAGCCATTGGCATGTAACCTTTTGGAGGTTTATTGTAAAGAGCAAGACAAAGAACTCCTCAAGGACTTTTATTACCAAGATGACCGAAGGATAGAGAGTGCGAATGTGATACTCTCGGAAGGCTTTGATATGGACGTAAGTGGTCTAATAAAGAATTATTATAGGGGTAGAGAGCGTGGTGATATAAATAAAGAATATATTAATAATATACTATACTCATGTCATGCCTCAGGTTGCTACTGAAAGGATTAGCAAGCTAAAGGTAGCTGGTAAGACATATCATGAAGATCGTGAACATGTATTTGAAGCCAAGGTATGAAATATGAAATATGAAATATGAATACAAAATCTTAATATGTAGTTACTGACAAATAAGCTCATATATATATATATATATATATGTATATTTACTTTTGGTTGGGGTTAGTCTGTTGATGAGGCTGTAAAACTGCTTCAATTCCAGGTTCAGCTCGAAAAGGATACCAACCAACCTTTTACTGGACTTTCTGTAAGCGAGACCATATACAAATGTACCGTTCTTGGTCAACACGCAAAGGCAACCAAGATTAGGGGAGACTTCAAAGTGCCAGACAAGAGGTGAGATAAGAGCAAAATAAACCCCGAAATTCCGAATATGCGAGTTTTATAACTGATGTTTCTCTGAATAAGATTCTGGTGGGTGAAGCTTCGGGCATTGGTGGAAGTGAGGGATTGGGAAAATCTCGAGAAACTTGCGAAAAGCAAGTCTCCTATCGGATACGAGGTATTTAATGTGTGCTTAGAATTACCGCTCTTGTACTTCGTTACTAATCTATCGTCTTTGGAAGCCATTTGTTGAGGAGTGTATCAAAGCCAAGCAATACCAAGAAGCGTCAAAGTATATCTTAAAATGTGATCCTCCAGTGCGTCCCATGCTGTTTATAAAGATTGGAGCATTTAAGGAAGCAGGAGAACAGGCGTTCCTGAACAAGGATATGGAGGGGCTAAGGTAAGGGTTATCAATAGCTGGTATGGAAGGGGAGTGTGATGGAGAATGAGCTAATAAGTAATTGCCTATTGTATTCTCTATTCAGGCAAGTGCGAGCCAAATGTACAAATCATATCGTTGCTCAGGAGCTAGATTCCTTACTTGCACAACTTAACGCAAAATAAAAAAATAAAAGAGAGATGATGACTTGTAATGTTCCATAACTTTTAGTGGCTTGTCACAATGCCCTCATACAAAGTTGAAAGTCGGCCTAAATCTGATAACCAACTTAATTTAATTAACTTTCTCTTGCTTGCTTGCTTCTTTTTTTTTTCTTCTTCTTCTTCTTCTTTCCTTTTTTATGCTCTTTATACAATGATGACTCTAGACTTCAGCCTCTGTCTCCCACAGCTCACAATGCTACTATCCTTTATAATACTCATAACTCTCTCTATTCCTCCTCAACGTCAACCACTTGTTCTCTCAAAACTTGGCAAGATTGCAAAAGCGTCATTACCGAGATTCCATTCCTACTCATCGCTTATTGCTAATTTTTTAATACGACTTGGTTCTTACTGGACTCATGCCCTCAAGGTAATTGACCAGAATTTTGTCTTGCACGTGTGGGTTGTGCGGAGCCCTATTAGACTTTTGGTTTTTTTTTGGTTTTTTTTTTTTAGTTTTTGTGCCTATTTTATTTTATATTTCTTCTTCTTTTGCTTTATTTTACTTTATTTCTATACTACATGTAACGTAACACAGGCCAAGAAACATGTTAATAACCTTTAAAGCAGACATCCTTCAGCTCTTCCCTCCCGGATACGGAAGAAACAGCATTTGAAGAACAATTCAAATATTTTATTGTCACATCTTCGCTTCTTAGTGACACACCTATCACGCAAACCACAGACCTCACGCCTGCTGACACCAATGACCTTCCAGCATTAAAACAAAGCGAAAAGACTTACGGAGTATGGAAAAAGATCATATTAATATCATCTGTGCTCTCCTTTTTGTGGGTGGCAGGAGGCATGGCTATAAGTTCGTTTGGTTCACAGCCTGACACAAGTTATTCCCACCAGCTGCTTATTATCAGCGTGTGCATTGGTCATCTAATTGGCTACTTTATTATCCGTCGCTCTCATCGGCGAACGATAATCCGGCGTCTACACAGAACGGCGCTAGTTAAACTCTGCCAGATTGTCGATTTGTTCCAGAATAGTGATACTAGCCTCCTGCGTCTTCTGGACAGTATTCGACAAGTAGATCTCATTTCGCAAGGATACACTCTTGCCTCAGCGTGTTCGGCGCCAAGACCACTACGAGAACAGCCCAACAATAAACCACGGCAAATTACAGAAATTTGTCGTGAAACAAGCGAATTGTTGCACGCGCTATTTGAACCCTTGGCCACTTGTATCACACAACTACAACCTCTGACCCACCAAGCCAATTTGTTGCGTTTAAGAGAGATGTACAATGTCGAAGAACTCCCAAAGAACTTTGTAGACACGGCCGATATCAGAAAGTCTGTAATGCCGACCGATAGACTGGACCACATCTCTTATGCGGTCCGATGCAGACGACGAGAGACGTTGATGTATCTCTTGGCGTTAGATATTATGACCAGTGGACATGATTCCGAACGCGATGACTATGAGCAAAAATGGGAGAATGCGGTGAATATCATGTCAAATCTGATTTCAACGTATACCGAATTTAATGCAAATATTAATAAATTACTTGATGCTGCCATATGTAAGACTCTAAGGGTATCTCTATATACACAATTGAAAATGTTTATCTAATGATTATCATTATTGTATATAGTTCAAGATGGTCTTAGTCGTGAGTATGATTGTGGAGGAAGAAGCTTTGACCCCAGAGCTCAGACCCTCTTGCATCGGTTCAATGTTCTTGAGAATTATATACGAAACATTCAATCGAAAATATTCCTTTGCAAGCACGACACAAAAACATTTACTTCAGGTCGAGGTAAGATTCCTTTGGCAAAAATTATATTTAAAAAAAAAAGAATCCTCGACTATTTTTAAAAGCAAACAAATAATAAAGATTCGTATTAATTAAAAATTAAAAATATATTATATTATTATCATTTCGATTATTAAATTATACTATTATAGGCTCAGCATATTCAATTGAACGTATTGGAGAAAGATTTGGAACGATTGATCAAGACTTTTCCCACATGTTATCTCAATGGGAAGAAACCAAAGAAACATTATTAGGATTCACACGCCAGGAGATTTCACCTCGAACCAGCCAACTTCCTTCACCTCCCACTTCACCTCGTCAGACTGGTATTAGAAGTAGTGGTACCATCAAGCGTCTCTCCTACATACAACAATCTAGACAAAAACCAAGTCCTGTCACACGCCATTCATTGATGACTGCAGCCGCTGTTGCCTCTTTTCTTGAAAACAAGCGAGTCCATAGACTTCAAGCTCGTCAACAGGTTAATAGCAATAGCAATAAAATCTTTATAGGAAATTATTATTAACAAGTATTATTAGATTGCTTCCGAAGGAATCGTGAATGATTATAAAGACGTTCCAGCCCTCCCTCATTCCATCAGACGTCCTTCCACTCCTATATCGACACATTCTACCGACGATGAATGAGTTCCATATATATATACTGTGTTTATCTATCAAGACTTTTGAGTTACCTCTGCTTGTTTTTCTTTTTCTTTTTTAACTGTAAAATATCCTTCTTTATCTATTTACCTAGTCACCCCTTTTAACTCCAATGTATATCTTCTCTTACTTAGACTCTTCTACTCTTTATCCCCTTTCCAAACAATGATAACCAAGACCACATCAATATATTTAACATCTTTTAATTTGTGAAATCAATTTGTTTCTTATATGTATATATCCTAGTCAGTTCAAAAGTGAACCCAAAGTGAGCAACCTGAGAAGAGAAAATGCTCCGGAAATATTATATATACACATGAAAATGGGTTAATTTGTTTTTTTTTTCATTTTTTTTTTTTCATTTGGACATTTTATTCAACCTTGTTCTTCTTAATATTATATTTTAAATTATAGAATTATATATATATATAAGATCTATACAATAATACCAATAATGATCTATGTATCTCGATCAAAAATACTCACGATTGCAAATCTCACCTTCAATGTACTTAACGTGCTCACATATACGCTGGTGTTTGCGGCTGCGATAGTAAAGGGTATAGACGGTACTCTGAGTGAAATTGTCCAGACAATATATTGCACGTAAAGTCTCATATTATATTAGCTTGTGTGTTTCTAAGATTTCTTTCTTTCTTTCTTATTTATATTAATTAATTAATTAATTAATATACTTGTATATACATTTTAGAATTATCAGTATATTGTTAATTATCAACGAATTCAAGACGTCAATAGTTGCTGAAAAGTATTTTGGATTTCTTGGCACACATCAAGGCAAAGGCACGCTTTCCATAATGTAAGTCATCTTGTACTCACTATATATATATATGTGTGTGTGCGTGTGTGTGTGTATAAAATATAAAAGAAAGAAAAAGAATAAGGTTTTAACTTGTAACCATTTACACAAGTCTAGGGTGCTTGATAATGTGTAATACGGCATTTAATACCATTGTCACCATCCTTTGCTTTACGGTTGGGTTTACTTTTATAATCATTTCGATTTTACCTAGAATGACGCCTCCTTGTCCATTCTGGAGAAACTACCGACTCTACAAGGAGTTTTGTGCAGAGGGTTTAGATCTTGCTCAGCCTGATATCCAGAACTACAACCAACATCAAAAGCATAAACAAATCGAAGGATCTTGTACAATGATGATAGAGAATCACCACTATCACAACAATAACAACCAAAACCCACACGCCTCGATTCTCCCGTTTCATGTATCACAGCCTTGTGTGAATTGTTTTGAATCCAGCTCGAATCCGGCATATTTTGGAACACAAGCCCTAGTACCAGCACCAACAGCACCAGCAGCAGCAGAAGGAGGAGGAGGAAGAGTGTGTGGTGTGAATGGTGATCGCATACATCTAAATAGTGGTTACTATTGAGTTGACAGAGTCAGGCTGTTTAAATGTATATATGATTATGATATAATTTGGTGTTAATGATATACCACTATTTACACCTTTGCTGTTAATCAACCAATCAAGCAAACAAGCAAACAAACAAGTGGATATGTGTATGTGTATATGATTTGTTAGTAGATTTATAGCTTTACTTGGTTTTGATCAGCAACTTGAATAACTTGAGCTCCACCTGTCTTTCCCTTTATCTCTTTTGTGTGTATTGTTAATGGTTATGGTAACGAACCAAAGAATAGGTTTTTTTTAGCGTTAAATAAGAGTAATGGTATGAAGAAGTAAAGGAAGAAAGAGAGAAAATACAATAGAAATATCAGATTGTTTTGAAATCATAGTTGAATTAGAGTTCAATCAGATAACAACATTTTGGAAAAAAGTTACTCCCATCAAATATAGTCATATGAGAATAGTTTCTTTTTTTTTTCTTCTTTTAGTTTACTCATCACCCTTTCATGTTTCTACCCCTTCTCCTTCCAGAATTTTTCAAACCATTGCCGTTCTTACTACCACCACTGCTGCCACTACTAGGATCCTATCTTATTCACTTCAAACCATGACTCACTTTTATCTCTCTGGAGGAAGAGCTCTGACAGGCGTCCTTTTATCTGACAGTCATTCATTCTCGATGGGTGTCAGACATGAGACTCCTAACGTCAACAGCTCTGAGCCTTTTTGCATTGGCAACATCGGGTCTCTGGGTACCCACAACACCGAGTCGTTTTCTCCAATTGAGCGTAGTGAGCACTGCCTCGAGATGGATGAAACGCCATCAAGGCTGTCGAATGATTCTTCTTTGTCGTCGTCTTCTTCTTTATCTTCTTCTTCTTCTTCTGACGGCAGTGACGAGGGACTTGCTCTTAACCTTGCAAGACACGGGGTAAAGAGTTCCAACCTCAACAAGTCTATTGCGGCGGCAGTTGTGAATTATCGCGGGCCAGTCAAAAAACGTCTTGAACACTCTGTCTTGCCTCAACGACTTGCCGAACATTTTCCGTCGGATGAGTATCCCAATATCAATCGCAGACTGACCGTGATTGAATCGTTTTTGGACAATCTAAATGTACTCAAGCTATCGACAAACGCTCTGTGTGAGTTTGACCTTCAGATTCCGATACCTCAGCTCAAGAAACTGCTGCTGTCGAACAATAGACTGACAGACGTTAGCCACTTACCTGCTCTGCTACCAAATCTTGAAATGCTGCACCTGGATAACAATTTGCTTGAAAGGCTACCAGAAAACATGGGCGACTGGAAGAAGATGCGTCAGCTAAGACTGGGGTCTGTAATTGGTGGAAACAGGATCGTATCTCTGCCACAGTCTATTTCGGAAATGGCGTGTCTTGAGATACTGGAAATAAACGACAATCGTTTGGTCTGTCTGCCATCTGACATGTACATACCCCAGCTTACTTTCATCAATCTATCCAACAACCAGCTCAGGTTTATACCTAAATCTTTGGCGCGGTGCCCACATCTAGAGTCCGTCATGGCCTCAAGGAATCAGCTAGTGTCAATATCGTCTGATTTTGCAGGGGCAAAGAAACTCAAGATACTAGATATCAGTTTCAATAGGATCTGTATTACACCAAACGAGCTTCTGGAACGTCAAGGCCTCACAGTTCACATCACAGCAAATCCAATGATTCTACTGCCTAACACAGATAACAGTACGCTCTATGAGGAGTTGATTGAAAGCATGGCAGACGAGAAAAGGGTTTTTGTACAGGTGCCCAGAACACAGCCAGGCGTAAAAATACGTACGTACGTGTATATAGTGTGTATAGCAATGTGTGCATGTACGACAAATGGTTAAAAAATTTTCTCTTCCTTTCTTTCTGTGTGTGTGTGTGTGTGTGTTTTTATATATATATATATTTGATTTTGATTTTGATTTTGGTTTTGGTTTTGGTTTTTAATTATTGAACCTTAAGTTCCAATACAGGAAGATCAGGATGAGGATTGGTATTTTGACGCCAGACTTGAACAGGAGGAGATAAGGCTGAATGGGCAGGTTGTAAATAGAAATGCGAACCCAAATCATAGACCAACAACCCCATGGGAGACTGAGCGTGCTTTAGTATTAAAGAGGCTAAGGTCAGAAAGCGATTTGTTCCTGTCGACCCTCGGTTCTTTGCCCCACTACCCTGTGACTTCATTAAGAGAGATCACAGCCAAGGACACGATTAGATTAAAGATACCTCTACAGGATGAGTTCCTGCCGCGTGGGATTACAGATGATCTGGAATTCAAGAGTCATCAAAGGTGCTATGGATGCAAGGGCCCTTATGTCAACACATGGATTACATACATTCTTGTCAGAGGCTACCACGGTCACCCCCGAGTCGTCCGGAAGATCCGATGCTGCTCTCGTAGGTGCTGGGATATATGCCATGAGAAGTATTTCCATTGGAAGATACTGCAGCTCGAAAGGCTTCTCAACGTAGAGATGCCGCGTGGGATACCTTGGATTGATGAGTATGGTGTTCGGCCTGATCATGGAACATTTGAGTGGATTATAGCTGCAGCGCATGCAGCCGATGAGCAGAATTCGTCTCTCTACATATTGTAGACCAAGAGATAGGTGGAGAAGGCGGATATTGAAGATTATGCATTTATTAACAAGCAAATGAATAAAGTAAGGTAGATCAGCTTTCTCTCATAAAACGAGAATTGTGCATATTATTCAGAATCATGATTCTCATATAAGAACAATTACCCTTTATGTACCTTGCCATCCTTTTGACTATTATTTCTCTTGGCTGTATGTTTTTATATATAAATAAATAATTCTAACTACAGGTTTGAGATTTTCCATATGGTTTACACAAATTAGGGGTACGTTATTTTGGAATTCCCATTCCTATTTATGTGTTCTTTTTGTTTTCTTAGGAGACGTTTCACATTACTATACTATAGTATAATGCACTATGTTCTGTAGCTGTTTTGTAACAAGACAAAGCAGGTATGTTGACCATGTCAAAAATAAATTTTTACTAATGCTTGATCCAAATTAAAACAAAACAAGATAAAATACATCATTATGAGGTTAATGCCTATAAAAATATCTCGCACACACATACACACACAGGCACAGGCACAGGCACTTGGGCTAGTATGCTTTTGTAATATAGGCGTGTATTTTTAGATGCTTTTCCAATAGACGTTTTGCTGTTATAAATCAAGACAATCTGTTTATTGATTCTTGTAAGAGTTCTTTTTAAAGATCTTTATAGTCAAAATATAGTATAACAATCACAATAATAGTAATAGTAAATCATTAAAAATAGCTTTTTTTATTATTATTATTTAGATATTTTAAATAAGCTCTTAGTGTCTACAATAGACTATTGTCCTATCATTGATAGCAAGAGTTATTAAGATGACTTGCAACAGTCCTTGGTATGATTATAATCATCAGTATTTACTATCCAGAATCATAAGAAGCGCAAGTGACATAATATAATTCTTTCGATTGGTTTTTCTCTATGTGTGTATGTAAAGGAATAATGATGATAGAAAAAGAAAAATAGATTCTCGGACGCACAAAGAGAATAAGCTTCATCATCTGTACTGTGATTATTAAGGAAGATATTTTTATTTGAGTTATCCGCTGCATGATTTCTTGTACGATATCGGAAATTAATCAAAAAATAAGAAGGTAACAAATATATATATATATATATATGTATATTATATGGTTTGCATTTTTGTATATAGATGTTTTGTTTTGTTTTGTTTTTTTATTGGTGGGTAAGATGTACTACTATCGGAACGGGGTCCATTTGGACTACAAGTTCAGTTCGCTTTAAGTATCTATTTGTACATTTGTGTGATTTCACTTACTTTCTGATGCCCATAGATGTACAGATATGTATAATGGAAATTGCTCAATGTTCTCAAGGGTCTATCTATCAATTGATTGCCATTCTATATGCTATATGATATATACTTTTGCATACATATATATAATCATGCACATGTGTACCTACTACATTATGCTATATGTATGAATGATGTTAAAGAAGAATAAACATAAGAAATAAAGAAAGAAACAAGGATCCTGTTAGCAATTTGACACATGGAAAGGGAGGTGATTAAAAATAGCAAATGAGTTTCCGAGTAGGTTGTAGGCGGAAAACCCCGGTTTTATTCCCTTTCTCATTAATAAAATTATATATATATATATATAAATAATAAGTAAGTTTGTGTGTAAAGGGATTTAGAGCCTTGTAAGTTAACAGCCGACTTTTTTTTGTTACAACTTTTGAAAAGAAAGATCTTACTTGACTAGCTCGAAATATTGAAATCTTTAAAGGCTACAAAACAACAATAGCCAAATCCAAGTAAATAAATAAAGATGTATCTACGCCCACATTATCATTATATTGGTATTTGATAGTCAGTAAATAAAAATAAATAAAATAAAAGTAAATTGTATAGAATATTATGATGGTTGCCATGGTTATTGTGGAATAGCTGGTACTTTATATTTCAAAAAGTCTACATAAAAGAATCATCTATACACTTTAAACACCTGAATATTTGCTTAATTTGATCCTCTATCCCCTCCCCTCTCTAACCCCTCCTCTCCTTCTCACCTCACCTCACCTTTGTCTTCACTCTCCCCTCTCCTTTTCTTTTCCTTCTTAGTAATAAGAGAATAAATTAACTTGCAAGAAAGAGAATTAAGCAGTACAGAACCTTTATCCCCTTGATAATTTAATACCATTAATAATCATAAGTCTAGAAAATAGATGTAATATAGATATAGATATAGGCTTGTATTGAACAGGTTATTTTTGGGGGCAAGACACAAAGCATAAATATATATATTTAAAAGGGTTGAGATAATAATAGATTTTCTTTATTTATTTATTTTTATATATAAAAGTATTACTTATATATTTTATATAATATATATACAGACACAATATTACTTGACTCTTTCTTCTTCTTCTTTTTCTTCTTTATATATATATATATATACAAAGACAATTTCTTTAAAGCACCTTAGTTTTTTTTTTCTTACCATGCACACTGTATCTTATCCACCGTCTTCTACTTACAATGCTCCAAGAGATGTCAGTCTTGGTCCACCAGACATCAGATCATTACTACTCACAGTGGTCAATACAACACACGACCTCTACAGCATGGAGTGTCGTGATCGACCAAATGTACTTGCCCGTCTATTAGTCAGTCTTTATGAACTAGGTGGTAAGTTACTCTTTTTTTTCTTTCTTTTCGGCTGTTGCTATGGAAATGAAAATATATATATAGATCTTATCTTTAATAACAAAATAAACTCAATCAACCTTTTTTTTTGTATTTATATTATATATAAAATATTACAGCCGATAAAGAACGTTTGAGCAAGGCCTATCTGACCGAAATAGCTGATTTGGAATTACTTCGATCGTCGGTGTCACCAACTATCACAAAGACTAATTGGCAAGATCATCTCGGAAAGCAAAAGTAAAATATCCAAAACATTTATATCTTCTTTAAATTAAATTTTTTTTAAAAAAAAAATTGAAAGGAAGTGAGAGAAGTTGGTAGGAAGGAGGGAGATCTATTCGACAAACTGTTATCAATAATCATTCTTGTCAATACTCATTTTGTTTTTTCTTCTTCTTTTCTTTATTAGCTGTTATCGTGCATATCTCGACTTCTTTGACAAACAAGTCACTCTTAACGGTCTCGAAACAGTTCTCGAAACATATTTCTACACCAGTGTATTACATCAGTCCATTGGATCTCAGCTTCAGCCTCTAGTTCATATCGCATTTGGCTTAGAGCAAAATCTGTCCCCTGTAGTTGTTCAAGGCCTTGCTTATTTGGCAAGCACCTTTTGGGATGTTGGTGATTTCCTCGACGCAGCCGAAACAGCAGCAGCAGCAGAAGCAGCAGAAGCAGAAGCAGAAAAGATTAAGGCAGCAGGTGTTGCTGCACGTTCACCTCAACAAGAACGCCCATTGGACCCAGAAGGACTCCTGTTGGACCTAGTCCTGTCCGACCAGAGATTCGATGGCAAGATTGAAGGCACAAACACGTTTGGATCGGCTGTACGACTGTTGTTGAAAAGCAAGAGTGATCTACTGGGAACTTATGTGACGGAATGGGCAACCGCTGGACAGCAACTGAAGGCTGAAGATTGTTCTACTGATGATGACAACGATAATAAAGGCAATAATGGCTCGGGATCGGGAAAACGCTTGAGTAGCCTGACTCGATTGGCAGTCCGCCTCATGGCGACCAGTGCACGAAACACAAGCGGAACGATTGAGATGGACGGATTTCTTGGGGGGCAGCTTCTTGAATCTGCTCTGGCGATCCAAACCCTGGCCAACCACCGATTGGGCGCACAGGACCATTCATTATTCTTCAATCGTTTAATTAACCTCCAGTTCCTGGCCATGTTGTGCACATATATTGTCCAGGGAAGACCTCGGATTAGCAACATCATCAATACCATAAACAGCAGCGGTAGTCTTGTCTCTGATCGTCAGTTGTCGTTGTCATCGTTGCTAGGATGGAAGGAGTGCATGAACATTGTTGTCCAATCAGACGATTCAAAGGCAATCCTGGCCATTCGATCCCTAGCCACGGCCCGTGACAGATTGGGTCACGACTCCAAGTGTCTCGAAACTGCCAATCTTATTGCCAAATTTGTCCAACAAGGCTCAGGATGTAGATGGATTAAGGGAGGCACTGGTTGGGTATAATTATTGCTCTTATTTGATTTTGATTTTGCTTTTTGCTTTTTTACTCTTATTCGCTTTGTACATACACGCATTACTTTCTCTCTCTCTCTCTCTCTCTCTCTTTTCATCTACCCATATCGCTCCTGTTCCTGTTCTTGTTCTTGTTCTTGTTCTTGTTCTTGTTCTTGCCATCATTCTCATTATTGTTCTCTCTTTTCATTACATCTGTCTACCTCTTTTTTTTTTCTTCTAAAAAAAACAAAATAAATACAATACAATACAATACAATATATAAAAGTTAAATTATCATTGTTGTCCTTATTGGTATTATGATTTGATTTGATTAATGCATAACAGACTGGCCACTTTTTTTTGGCAACACATACACACACAAATATATCAAAATGAATATATACAGTGGCTCCACTCCCAATGTTCGTTTTCCAATGAGCTGAATTCGTTATTATCTCCGACTAAACTTCGTTTTTTTTAGAAGCCAAAATGCGCATTTTATTGGACAAAGTTCGTCTTTGTGAATTGGTAAAAGCCGTATTGCATCCCTTACAATTTGTTTTTTTTTCTTAGATAGCTTATTTTAATTTCAAATGAGTAGAGGTGTTATCTCGCATAAAATTTGGAGCTGCTTAAATATAAAAAGTTGATGTCCAACGTCGGAATAAATATCGTAATTTGAATGTTTACAATTTCTGTGAGAAAGAAAATCAAAAGCAGTGCGTTTCTTTCTTAATAACAATATAAAGACATCTTGCAAACAAAATATATAAAATAAAAAAAATTAATGCTTTTCATTGACTCTAATGCGACCGAAAATCTTTTTACTGGTGATGAAGAGTCGCAGAAAACTAAAGCCAAGAAGAGAAGTCGTAAATGTTTAAATCTTAAAGACCTTTCTAATACAGAATGCAAGCAAGAATTCCGTTTTACCCTTCCAGAGGTAAGTTTATTATTTACAAATAGATATATATATATATATATATCTCAATGTGAGCATATAAAGCCCTTGGTATACAAGTGATTAAAACATATCTGTCAATTTCTAATAGCTTCACATTAATTATATATCCTTCTTCCTATTGCCTACTATGTAACTCTGTACAACCTTTATACTTGTACAATTTTTTTTATTTCACAGTAAATAAAACCTAATTGTCTGTTTATCTTTAGCCTCAATATCATGTTCCATGTAGTTTAGGTCTTATACCAACATCTTGCTTAAACAAAGATTATTGGCATCATTTGTTGTAAAAAAAATAAAAAAAAAATGAAGCCAATATTTGGAAATTAAAGCGCCGTAAAGGGGGCCATCTCATGGAAAATTGAAATTTCTGTGAGTTTAATTAAAGTTCGTCTAAAGAAAGGTAACTTTGGGAGTGGAGCCACTGTATTCTAGACTTGATTCTTATTCTGGTCTTGTCTTTTTTTTTAAAAAAAAAAAATTGTCCGAAATTTTCGCACTTCATGATTGATTTTTGTGACAGAATGGGGGGATCACCTCATTTTCCAAGACTATAGCTATTTTCAAGTGAAGCTTAATCCAATTCAATACGTACAAGATCATTCCTGCATGTCTTTGTATATTTATATATTTATATTTGCAATGTGTAATGATGTTGCTGTCATGTTCTTATTATTATACTTCTTTTCTCTAATCTCAAATCCATATTTATATAAATATATATATATATAACTTCATTCGAATTTATTTGTTCCCTTTATACTTTATTCTTCCGGGTAACCATGGATCCGAACCCTGTATAGTGAAGTATAGTCGGGATGTCCCCAATTCGATCTGATGCGGATCAGCACGGCCTGGGCTATAAGATAATGTGTAGATGGGACATCAAACATCTGGATAGGAGCTCCCTCGATATCATACTCGAATGATCCCAACAGAGTAGAGTCTGGGTTCGGATAATCCCACGGAAAGCGCACTGGTCCAAACACGCCGCCGAGTAAACTACTGCCACTATTTTTCGTTTGACTTCCACCAATCGATTGTAGTCCCCAGACTTCGAATTCTCGTGGAGAAGTGGTACGATTGACAGTCGACGAGGTCGGGGGTGGGAACTCGACCGTCACGTGTTTTACAAGAATAGGCTGGCTGAGATGGATTCCCAGCGTACCTTGGGCCCCACTCATAGTCCAGCACGCACCCGGCTCGGTTCCGTGCATCAGGGCAACAACCGGCGCATAGTAATTGCGGGTGCCTATTCCTGTCAGACGCGCAATCTGCCGCAGGGCTGGATGTTGTGGGTAAGTTGTGTAGGTGTACGATGTCAGGCGACCGATCACAGAAGCACCACTGGTGGCAAGTGCATAGTCTGGTAAAGTATCCCATGGATTTAATGGCACTGGCCTTTGTCTGACTTGTTGTTGATTATAATGCTGTTGGTCTTGTGATGGTGATGATGGTGATGAGGATGAGGATAGTAATTGAGGATTGTTTCCAATGTTGTCAAGTAACTTCTGGACTTCTTCCCAATGATTTTGCAAGTAATTGGCTACCTCTAGAGATGCCCTCAGTTGATCGGTCTCGCGTTCGACCTGGGCAGGGATATCTTGGAGAGTCGATCTGAGTTGGTCGTTTATCTCTTGGCGGACATGATCTAGGGCTGCTGCATAGTCTTCGAGTTCTGTCCGACTGGCACAACGGTTGTCAATGTAAGAATGTAATTCCGGTAATAATGAGTCTGAGTTTGATCCGATACTGTTATCATAATCACTATTAGCACCATTAATAATAATTGTATCATCCGTAGCAGTAGCAATTGTAGTAGCAGGAATAGTAGCAGCACCAACAGAAGCAGTAGTAGCATCTGTGACAGTAGCATCCGTAACCGTAGCAACCGTAGCAATAGTCGGTCGAGAGTTCGATTGAACCTGATGGAGTCTTGATTGGACTTGTCGTTCGACTTCTTTTGAAATATATGCTTGAATAGAATCAGGATCCTGAATAACCAAAGGAGACGGCGATGGCGATGGTATTGATTCTGTTGATGCTATTGATGATTCTATTAATGATGTTTCTGCTGGTGATTGTTGATTATCATATCTGTTATTGTTATTACTTTTACTTTTACTTTTGTTGGTATTAAATTCGGCCAGAAAGGGTTTTTTGTGGAAAAATGGCCATATGGTGCGGAACTTGTCGATCCTGATGGGTTGATTGTCCAGGACGTGACGGATGATTGGTGTGCGTTCGAATTGATTGTCTGGAAAAGATGAGAGGAGTCCATTGAGAGCACCCGCAAGAATGAGGATAAATAGCACCAGACGGTTCCATCGCCAGGATGATCGAAGAGGTGGTTCAGGGCAAGGGTTATAGATTCCAAGAGCTTTGAGTAGATTGGTGAATGGCTGAATTATTGCGCGACCGGCGATCAGTAAAAGCAATTCTGTGCACCTTGAGATGATTTCCTTGACGATCCACAGGCACCAAAACAGTCGAACGAACACCATCAAGAGAACCTTGTCGTACACTTTTGCTAGTTTTGATTTCATCCACGCAACGCCCTCGAGATCACTATCATCGTTATATTGCTCGTCCTGGTCTTCATCTGGATTTATTGATTCGAATTCGCCTGGATTTTGATTATCGTCATATTGATCATATTCATCTTCCCCGTCGTCTTCATCTCTGTCTTGTTTTGCTTGGCTTTTTTTATTTGTTCTGGCTGGTTCGCCATTATAATCAATTCCATCAATATCCAGAATCTCTCCTCCGCTGGCTACCACGTTCCTCCGCCGGGCTTCTTCTTCAGGGTGTTGGGATAGCATTTCTTCTTCTTCATAAGGGTTCCAGCCCTCTGGAGTGGATAAAGATTGGGATAGAGATTGGGATTGTTGTGGAGTGTTTGAGTGACCGAAAAAGGCATCGATTTCTTGATCTTGGGATGCTAGTTTGTTTAAGAATACAAGAACAATAAGATAAGATATACGCACACGCATATAAAATTATAGATTATATATATAAAAAAGTTTAATTATAATTTAATTTTTATTTTTATTTTTTATAAGTACCTGAAGTAATAGCGTTATTATGATTTTGAGTATTATTGTTGTGGTTATTGTTCGTATTAATCGATGACCAGTGTTCTTTTGAGATTTTGGTGAATCTGTCTGACCATTGTGGAGATAGTTGGACCGGTCTTAGCCTTTTGGTAAGTGGAGTGTCGTCAAGCATCTGTTGCTGATGAAAGGCTGTGGCAATGTTGATTGAGGTGTCTCCACGGATGGGTGTACCCTTTTGGATTGATTGGTGGTTTTTGTGTGAGGCGTGTTGCTGAGCTCGTTCTGCAACAGCATCAGTAGGACTTGAACAATATGCACCGTGCTCTGTTTCGCGCCTACGAGGAGAATGGCCTAGATTGAATCCACTGCTCATCTTCGTTTTCTTCTTCGTCTTCGTCTTCGTCTTTATTTATTTGTTTGTTTGTTAGTTAGTTATTATGTATATATGTGTATATTCTTCTTCTTCTTTTTTATTATTTTATTTATTTATTTATTTATTTATTTATTGTACAACACAGAGTTAAGGAGAGGAAGTTGAGGTTAAAGTTGATGATTATAAAAAATAATTATACTCTTATTCTTATTCTTATATATAAAATTTATATTTGTTTATTATTTTCAAAGAGATATATACATTGTTCATACACATACACAGATTATATATTATGTGCACATATTAAAGACAAACAGACAAAGGTAGCCAATTCTTTGTATAATTTCTCTCTTATATATTTAGATATATAGTGTATGGCATTTTTTTTTTTTAAAAAAAAGAAATGATTTATAAAAGCTATAATAATCCTATCAATCTTGCATTATTTTGCTACATGTTTGCTGCTTAGATTCTATTCTATCATATATTAATAATAGTATATAAATTATTAAAATGAAGAGATAGAGATAGAGAGTGAGGAGGACAAAAGGTTAATAATAAAGAGGGAGGAAGAGAGGAAGAGAGGGAGAAAATATACAAGTTTTATTAGCAGCAGCAAAAGCAACAAAAGCAATAGTAGTAGTATATTTTTATTATAATGTTGAACAATAGAAAATCGTAGCATTCATATATATATATATAGGAGAGAGAAAGAGATGCTAGTACGTGACTGTTCAAATCCAACTTGACGTCAAAGCACAAAAGGGTGGCTTGCAATAACAAACTAAGCTGGGGGTTTATGAGATGAAAGGAAGGGGGGGGGACTTTTTTTTTTTTTTTAATTTGAAAGTGCAAAGTCTATCATTTATAGCTTTCCTCTCTTATATACACATATTTTTTTTTGACTCAATATGGACTATTCCGGATACAACCAAGGTGGTGACTCTGTAAGTCACACTACAAACTACAAACTACACAACATACATTACGCACTATGCAATGAGAGAAACGACATCAAAAAAAAAATGAACGAAAGAACGAAAGAACAAGAATTTTAAACCGTTATTTTTTGTTTGTTTTGTTTTTAACAGAGCAGCAAGAAGCAGGAGGTCATGGACCAGGTCCGTAGCGAGCTTGCCCTTGCTAATGCCCAGGAGTTGATTAACGTGAGTATAGATAATTTCTATAAATGTGTATAGGTATACATAAGAGAAATGGAACGAAAGGAAATGGAATAGAATGGTGCATGGGTGTATGTATATATATATAAAGGAAAATGGAAAGAGAGAATTACATATACATATCAATTACAATTTAAATATTCTTATTATTATTATTTTTAAAAAAAAAAACGTGAATTCAGATATAAAATATCTAAAATCAAATGTCAAATGTCAAATGTCAAATATATTAATATATAATGATTATACAGAAAATCAATGAAAAGTGCTACCTCAAGTGCGTTCCTAAGCCAGGAGCTCGTCTTGAGAGCAGTGAGCAGGCTTGCTTGTCAAAGTGCATGGACCGTTACATGGAGGCATGGAACGTTGTGTCTCGTTCCTACGTTTCCAGACTCCAGCGCGAGTCTCAGAACCAGATGGGAGGTGGCATGTAAAGCAAAACTATGCATAACACATACGCACGTCTATCTATCTATATAGACAATGTAGATACCTACTATGTATATTAAAATCAAGTATTTAATTAAGTAATATGTATCTACAAAAAATAAAAAATAAAATAAAAAATAAAAAATGATTTAGATTTAATATAAAATTATTATTTTGGTTGAAATTTTATCAACAGAATATATAAATATATATGGTACATTTTGATACACTTTATACGTTTAATAGATAATATTAAAGAATACAATCCAAAACATGACGGACACGATTTTTTTTTTTTTTTTATATATTCAAAAATCAAGACAAGATTAGATGAGAAATGTTTAATATATATAATATATATATATATATATATTTTTGCATAAAAGGTGTAACAAAAAGAAAATAATGGCAGGCAGGCAGGCAGGCAGGCAATGAATGATTTGATTTTTTGTATGTATATATTATATATATATATTATATACATTTATTAAAATAAATAAATAAATAAATAAATAAAAATGTTTTTATTGAGTTGAGTTGAGTTGAGTTGAGTTGAGGTTTTGAGTTTTTTGGTTTGAAAGTAAAAGGGAAAATGGGTATGTAAATTTGCTTGTTTTTGAATGAAAAATAATAAAATAAAATAAAGTAAAGTAAAATAATATGTAATTTGTGTTTGCTATTTACAGTCATCCCCATTTATATATAAGCTAAATATATATGTGTGTAATTTGATTTTTTTTTTTGTTTTTTTGTTTTTTTAGAGAAAAAAATAAAAAATAAAAAATAAAAAAAATAAAGGAATTTTTTTTTGTATGTTGTATGTTTTGTGAGTAAAATGAAATGAAATGAAATTGAATTGAATTCAACGTTTTTTGTTTTTGTTGTTGTTGTTTTGGTCCTTAAAGTACCATAGATGGTCTGGCATTAAAGTGAGCACTGGCGACAACTGGAGAACCAGCTACGACAGGTTGACAGCGGCGAGCAACCAGGACACCATGACGACGGCGGTAGAGCGGAACCCAGGGATAGGCATTGGAGGAAGGAGCTCGCTTGTTTCGCAACAATTGAAGGGCAGCTGCGGCGGAGGCTGCAGTTGTGGTCTTTGATGGTTTGAGAATGGACCGGTTTGTAAAGATGGTATTTTTGATATTGTTGCTTGTTGTCGTTGATGAAGATTTTAATGGCTGGGATCTTGAGGATAATGACAGGGATGATAAGGATAATGCTGCTGTTGTTGTTGGTGATGTAGAGAACATTTGGTGCTGCTGTTGCTGTTGCTGTTGTTGACTTGACTGATCATTTACACGACAAGCAGCAGAGCAGTAAAGAGATGATTGTTCAGACTATTAAAAATAAAATAAAAAATATATATTTTTTGATTAGAAATTGAAATTTTAAAAAAAAAAAAAAACTTCAGATTAAAGATGATGATCAGATGATCTCTAAATTATTATTTTTTGTGATTTTGGAGATCTAGATCATCACAAATTTTCTTTGTTGAGATGATTGATCGCATGAGATCGATTTTGTAATCACTTTTGAGATCATCTTATTTCTCAAGACTTTATATTCTCTCTCTCTCTCTCTTTTATATGGTTACAATGCAAGACAATGCAAGACAATGCAATGCAAGATAATGAAATGAAATGAGATATAATATTAGACGAAACTTACCATATTGTCTTCAACACGGTTGTCACAGATGATACACCAAGAAAGATCCATTTTTATTGTTTGATAAGTGAATAGATGGAGAAATATAAACAAGAAGAAGAAGAAGCAAACAAACAAGGAATAAAGGAAAGAAGAAGTAGAAAAGAAAAGAAAAGAAAAACAAAGAAATGTATCTTTATACTACTATTTGTCCTGCTAAATTTTATTTTGTTACGCAGCAAAAAAAGAAAAAGAAGACACATTTGAATGTCAGATTGAATATCAGATTCAAAAATTGCGCAATGAAATCAAGGTAGATTGAACTAGAAAGTTAAAGAAAAAAACAACTCATTGTTATTTTAGATCTACTGGTCCATCTACATAAATATCATATTAGAAAGACATGGATAAAAATTTTGAAATTAGAGTAATGAATAGTAGTAAAACTAATGAATGTGAAATCTGATTGGGCAATATATATATATATAAACATGTGTTATTGATGTTGATTATCAAAGATCACCACCCAATCAATCAGTTTTACCAGTAAAAAACATATTGCTTCTTCTTGCTGTGGTTTGCGTGTTTGAAACAACGAGTCACAGATGCTTTAGTTTCTATCATTTTCTTTTCTTTTTTGTTCCAAGAAAAAAAAGAAACTCTTATAAAAACTGCGCTTTAAATTACAAGGACAAAATAAAAATAAAAATAAAAATCCATGTTTCAAAATATTTTTGTGTATTAAAAACAAAAAAGGAAATTTGCGCATTTATTTTGATTTTTCAAAATCAATAAAAATTAAATTAGAGATGCAAAAATAAACAAGATCTGATGCAATTCTAGAGAATATGTATATTTTTAGAAATTAAATCAATATCTTTTTCTCTTATTTCCTTCTATATGATTTCAACCAATGAAATCCAATAGATTCCATACAAAACAAAGACAAAAAAAAAAGTATATATATAAAGTGTTGTTTTTAGTAACATCACGCCCTTATGCTTAAAATGGTGAGCAGGCCGATTACAAAGTGTATATATATATATATATATTTTTATTATCCAATCAGAGAGTTTGTGTAAACATTCCCCACGCCTCCTCTCTTTCTCTCTCTCTTTTTTTTTCCCTTTTTTTTATTTATTTATATTATGGTTTATGGTTTTAATTCTGTTATAAAATGGCGACAGTCAAATCTCTTCTTAATGTCTTATATAATTTCTTTTAAAGAAAAAACAAAAAAATTTATTCTCCACTTCCAAGTCCATTTGGTTTTTTCTTTCTTTCTTTCTTTTATGATGATTATTATTCTCACACACATTTTATATTTTTTTAATGGCCAGAGTAACCTACCTAGCTACGTACCAATTTTTGTGTCACTTTTAATAATCTATAGATTTGATCGATAAGAGATAGTAGATTACTATTTTACTGTATTCCTATTTCCATATATCACCATGGCATTATAGCACCCATATCACCATAGCACCATAGCACTATAATATATATATATATATATTTTACTATGGTCACTATAATTACCATTTCATCATTTAGCCAATTGGTCTTTAATAGTTCACATTCATTAAAGAAGTATATAAAATAAAATAAAAAGAGGTCTGTGCATTTCAATCCTTCAATTCTCAACAAAAAAAAAGACATACTTTATAAAAACCATTTACATTTGAATTTGAATTTACAATTACAATTACATTTATCCAATTTATTCATTTATACTCGTTTTTTTTTTTAAAAAAAAAAAAACAAAATATATTTTTTGATCGTGTTGAGACCAAGAAATACTCCGAGGCACGTTCATTGATGTGTAAGATTACAAGTTATAGCAAATATTATTATTATCATCGTTATATATATAAAAGACATGTATGCATATGTACTTATTTACATTACCTATTACCTATTTCCTACCAATCGATTGTATTATTAATATTTCTAATTATTTAATTGAATTGAATTGAATTGAAACTGATTTATATATATATATATATATATATTTCTGTTAATAAACCAGTCAAATGTACTTCTCTTTTTTTTTTTGAATAGCAAGAATAAAAGTGAAGAAATTGGATTGCTTTTATATATGATACAAAATCCTACTTTCTCTTTACTTGGCCTTGACAGATATATATATATAAATAGAAATTATATAAATAAATAAATAAATAGTTGCATGATGGGTACTAGGGTGATAAATCAAAATGTATATTTATATTTATATAAAGAAAAAGAAGAAGAACAAAAAAAAAAAAGATTCAACTCAGCACGTGTTGATAAGAATTAAAGAAGACATATAAATCTTAGTTTTGTGCAATCGCAATATATCTTTTTTGTACACAAAATATTGCGATGCTAAATTCATGACTTGCAAAATAAGAAGAAGCAGAAACAATTTATATATTATCCTTGGTGATATAAGCATTTTATATAAGAAAATATCAAAATCAAAATAAAATTACAAGGCCCTTTTTTTTTTAGCTGTCTTTACTTGCTAATTGATCTGTATTATTACCATTATACACTAAAATTAATATCAAATATTACATGTGCGTAGTTAATAGTGATACTACCATACTATTATGTACTGTACCGTAGATTTATTATAAGTGTAGCATATTTGGATATTGTCTAGAACCCTTTTGCTGGTATTCTTTATGCAATATGTACAAAGCGCCCCACATACACGCATCAATACATCAACACATATACGTACATATCTACGCACATCACCCTTCCCCCCTCTATATACATACAAATAAAACACACAAATACACCCCTCATTTCTATCTATCTATCTATCTATCTTTATTTATTTTCCCCCCTTTTTTTTTGACTTGTATATTTCTTTATATGTCCTGTTGTTTTGACTCTATATTTCTATGTATCTATATATCAATGTACTATATTTAACAGCCACAAAACAGCTACAAAACAACAACAACAATAACAACAATAAATGGCAAATGAGAAATTATACTAGCGTAGAAAATGCATGGTGCGACATGGCGCAGACAAATGATAGTTATGGCCCATTGTAATGTATAAGCCATGTCTCAATATTTATATATAGGCAGTACAACCTTTTATTTCGCTATTTCTTTATATAAGAAATATTTATATAAAGAAAAGAAAAAAGACGTGATACGATGCTCAAAATGGAATTTGTTCAGTAAGTCCCGCAGCACAAGAAGGGCAGCGGCGGGGCAAGTGACTTCCCTGTTGGCACGGACGAAACGAGGTTCCCAATTTTAGTACAAAACTCTTCCGCGGAATGAATCTCTTATAAAAGGGAGACATATTTTTTTCACTTTTTTTTTTTTTTCTTTTTCCTTTCTTATTTTCTTGTGTATTTTTGAATACTTATATTATACGCACAACACACAATACAAGAAAACATTATACTTCTTTTACAAACATAAATATATAATTTTCCTTCCTTAATTCATTCGCTTAACCTTTTTCAATCCAAAAAAAAAAATGACTAAACGAGTTCAATTTTCATGCGACGTAAAGTTTGTTAATACTTTTGACAATGATGAATATGGTAAGCCTTTATTTATTTTATATATAAATCTTAATTTCAATGCAATTAAAATCAAATCAAATCAAATCAAATCAAATTAACATTAATATTAATATTAATATTAATAACAAATTTGCTTGTTTAGATCGAACTGCACAAGAGGTTGCAAAACTCACCTACAAAGACATGGTCGAACTCCTTACCATGAAATCACAGTGGCGTCGAGAAATGGAACGCATGCTTGCCGAACGAGCAGCTGGAGAAAAGCGAGACGATGACAGGGACGAACCACCCCGTCTCTTTGTCTCATGCGAAATCTACACCTAAAATAACAAGAACAACAGCATCATATCTTCTCTTCTTCAAACCGGACTACCAAGAACGCCTTGATGATCTCAAACTCACCTCATATTATCTCACATCACATCACCTCACCTCACCTCACCTCACCGATCGACCGACCAACTGACCAACTAACTGACCGATGTTTTTTTGCTTGCCTGCCTGTCTTTTTGCTTGTTCAATATTTTATTATTTATATTGTCTGTCAACAACTTTACCAAGTCAAGGCACGCAGTCTATCTCTCTCTCTCTATTTGATTTTCTTTGTTTTAAACCAAAAATAAGAAGAAGAAAAGGAAAGATACAATCTACGCATAACACACACACTCACATACATACACACATACATACATACATCAACACTCACATTTACAACAATCCATTCTATGCCTATTTGGTATTCCTACTGACATCACCACCCTTTCTATCTATCTACTTATCTACCCATCTCTCTCTTTGTACAAAATATACACCTTTTCTTTTTCTCCTTCTATCTTTTCAACTCCAACTCCTCTTCCCTCCTCTCTACACATACATACATATATATATATATATATATATATATAGGCATTTCTATGTAATTCACCAAATACATCCCCCCTCCCATATTTATCCCATTCAATTCATGCATTCAATTCAATTCAATTCACAGTTATCATACATATATCCTTGTTTTCTTTCAATTTTTTTTAAAATATATACATATATATATATAATTATTTATTTTGTTTCTTTTGATAACAACAATAATAATCTTCTTCTTTTAACTCTATCATATCCTGTGATTCTGCTCTGGCCAATGAAAGAAAGAAGGAAAGAATGAAATAAAGCATATGTATTTTTATATCTATATCTACTATGTATCTGCAGGGGGGAAAAGAAAGAAAGATATATATATAAGGAGAAGGAGGAGAGAGATAGAGAGAGGGGGAAATGACAATAATGATAATGGTAATAATAATTGGTAATGGTGATTTTGAAAAAAAAAAAGGGAGGGGGCAGTGAAAGAGATTTTTGTTCTATAAAGAATTATAGAAAAGAGATCATTACTATTAATATTTTCTATAAAATAAAATATATAAAAAAAAGGTGACAATAATCATAATTATAATAATATGCAAAGGACCTTCTTTGTACTTTTTATCATTACTACGATTTATTGGTGCAAATCAAGAATATTTTCTATTATTGTTTTAGCTTTTAATCAATCAGTCACAGTTTGACATGAACCTTCAAAATATATACATATATATAAGCATTACGCCACAGAGGAAAATCACTTCAATATATGCAAGTCTTCTTATATTTCATTCATTCATTGATCGATTGATTGATTGATTACATGTCTAGGCCTTTATATTTTTTTTTATTATTCCGCCCATATTGAGTGTAACGGGGTCGGGGCCTCACGGTGGGGTCTTTAATTATTTTTGTTGCTATGATACTCTCTCTTTTTTTTTTCTTTTTCTTTAAAACACCTTGTAGAAATGTAGGTTGTTTCAAAAATTACCCAGTATATATACACACATATCATGTGGTATATATATATATATATATATATATCTTTTTGTATAATAAACAAATGGCACGGATTGATACACACACAGAACTTTGTTGGGAACAATGAACCAAGCAAACTTCTTTGTGTATCCGATTTTGAAGTCTCTTACTGTGCACAATCAGACCACTCTATAGATTTCCTTCCTGCCTTTATTTATTTTATTTTATTTTATGATCGCACGCACGTTTAAACATTAATCTTAAATAAAAAAAAAATAAAAAAAAAATAGATAAAAATCACACCATGGCCACGACTACAATAATAATCGCGACTAATAACCATAGCAATAAATCAATCAATTTGTGATATTATATATCACTTAAATTATTTTACCGATCTATTACTAGTCTAAAGAAATGATAAAATGATCATATAATCTTTCCAAGATTCTTTTAAAGGCTAAAATAAATATGTAATTTATAAAATTCATTATATTTATATTATATAATATAATATAATATAATAATTAATACTAATGATATTTGGCTTTGGTGCTCGCAATTAACAAACATCAAAGATACCAATACTAATCTCACTCGATGACCAAAAAAAAAGAAAAAGTAACAAATTCGAATCCCCCCTTCCTTCCTTCCCTTTTTATTTTATTTTATAGTTATTTCTCCCATTAATACATGTGTATTACAACAATCTTATCTATATCAAAGAAACACACAAACCAACCCAGCATTTTTTATTTTATTTTATTTAGAAAACGAACCCCGTCTTTTATCTCTCTTTGTGCTTGTGCTTGTGCTTGTGCTTGTGGCTGTGCTTATGAATGTTATACATTGTGTATACTTGCTTTTTATTTTTCATTTTTTAACTATTTAAATCTAATCTGTTCTTTATGTCAAAATCAGTTTTGTTTCAAATCTATCAAGAATCTTTTGATTATCTTTTATAAATATAATTATATATGCATGTGTTTTAATCGCAGATAGAATATATATATACATATATTATAATAGTGATAATCAAAAATAAAGAATTATAATTGGTTGACAGACTGCTTAACTGTGGTTCTTATGGAAGAGAAAGAGGGAGGGGAAAAGGAGGAGAGGAAGAGAGAATTCTTTCTTTCTTTCTTTCTTTGAACATTGATAAAAATAATTAAATATAATTTCTTATGTCTAAAAAAAAAGATACAAGAACACCAGGTAAATATGGTCAACTATGTTATGTTTTACTGTGGCTTGAAATGATTATTTTGCTGTTTTATAAAGTGTCTGGTATTATATTTGGTCTGTGGTAAAATATTATATCCACTCGGAAAGAACACGTCAAAATGATCTTTTCTTTTTCCTTTTTCTTTTGTTCTTGAATGTTATCCCAAAAATATATATATATATATTGTATGGGGTGCGACAGGTATCGGTGGTGAGATTAAGGACCATCATTATCATCATCATAATCAAGTTTTATTTATATATAAAAACAAGTATATATTTACTATTCAATAAATGTCAAATATTAACTCTATATAAAAAAAAAGTAAATCCTTTTTTTTGCCTTTTGAAAATATGTAATACTAGTTAATTCACGCTAATGTATATATATATTCAAGTTCATAAATATTACACTTTGTACAAACGAAAATAAAAACGGGAAAAAAATAGCCCCGAAAAATTGCTTATATGGGATGGAAACGTTTCAATAATAATTAGCAAGAAATTATTTAATAGCAAAAACAAAATGTAATAAAAAAAACACATTTCCTTATGGAGAAAATCTAGTTTTTTTTTGACAAGCTGTGCTAGTAAAAGAAGCACACATAAACGCACGCATAATTAATTCAGATACAAACATGAGAATCGCACAAGCAAGTAGTCTTGATGTAGTAAGAAGAACTCTAGGAATTTTCTTTTGTGTACTAGTAATCTACTTTAAGCCCATAACTTACCGGTCCAGGCGCGACACCAATCCGTTTGGAAATGGTTATTTTTTGGCAGGAATCTCTTACACATGATCAACGCGGGGAGACATAGAGATTTTTTTTAAAAAAAAAAAGAGAGAGAGAAATGAAGAGCGAAAGAAAAAGGAGTGGGGACCCAGCTCTATGTTAATTATCCGAATTACAGCCAACGGTAGTTGGATGTCCATTCTATGTGATATATCATGTTCACAACTACAGTTATACTTTATTTAAAGAAAGGAATACTTTTAAAGGCTCCTATAGATTCTTTAAAAAAGAATGCGTTTAGAATAATGGTCTGTAATAATTCCTTAACATATGGACTCCTTGCTTATATATACGCATGTATGTGGTTTATAAGCTGTAGCACTCTGGTTGCTCTATTAAGCTATTTATACAGTAAAACAAAGAAAATAAGTCGCATTTTTAAGAGCTCCTGACCGTTATGAGCCAACTTTTTTTTCCCCAAAAAAAACCGCACAGAAAACCACTCTTAGGCTATTAACCCATTAAACATTCTGACACTATTCTTTTTTTATAATGCATACTCAACTTTTTGTTTAAATATATAAAAAAAGCTGTGAAAAGATTTTATCCCAAAAATGCACCTTATTTTCTCGAATCATGCGACTTACAATTGTGCTTTACTGTATTTTATTCTTTATCTAGTATGAAATGTGGGGATTGTCTTTTTTTTTTTTTTTTAAAAAAAAAGGTTAAAAATTATTAGAAAGTTATGAGGGTACTCAATCATAAACGAAAGAACAATTAGTGTGGACGTGCTAAAAAGTTCAAAAGAAAAAAAAAGATGTTCAAAATTAGTTTAAATACATATTAGATAGAAATGAAGTGGACATAGTACCATCTCTTCCATCAAAAATTATGGTCTTCTTCTCAACCCAAGTGGCAATGGAAGAATAACCTAACCAGTCAGAGCCATTTGAACCTTTTAGTCTGTCTACACCAATCGTATTAAATTCGTAGCTTTGCATCCTGCAGTCCTCAATCATGCCTTGAGATCATTGACTAATAAAATAAATTTGAAACATCCGTACATTTTTATTTTGAGTACCCCTTATAGATTCGTACAATTCTTTTTCGCATCACTAAAGTAATTTATGTCCAATAATATGTTTTTGTAGTTTTAATATTTGGTGTGGACAGACTAAAAGTTCAAAAAAGGGTAAAAAAAGAGCAAAACTTTAAGTCATATCATTGGGCGAGAGTTTTAATTAATTTTACCCCTTTTTTGCCCTTTTTTTTGGAGGTTCAAAAAAAGGGCAAAAAAAGGGCAAATTTTTTAATCGACTCTAATTAGCTAGTTGTCTTCCATTGCCACTAAGATTGAGAAGAGAAGAATTTTTTTATGGAGAAGATATCCCATATGATGAGAGGTCTAGAAAAACTCGCAATAAAAGGTTCTCACTTAATGACAGAGACGGGATTATGCACAATTTTATCTAATATGTATTTTGAACTAATTCTGAACTTTTTTTTAAAAAAAACGGTATGGACAGTCATAAATTAGTCTGATTGACTAAGTTCTGGATGAAGTTGTTTTACCCTTTTTTTGCACTTTTTTTGAACTTTTAGTCTGTCCACACCAATTGTTCGCAGGTTCACGATTGAGTACCCCCTAATAAGAATACTTGTAGTTTTGAAACACGTAATATTTTATTTTCTCAAAGAAAATATTCTCCGTCTAAATATTACTTATAAATATATATGGTCTCTCGCAGGGAGAATGTTTCGGTCTTTAAAGCTATTATTCTATTTTTGAAAATATACTTCTAAAAATGGAAGATTATTCTGCTATCGATTGCGCTTCTTCACTATGCATTCCCATCCCGTTAGCACCTTACATATGACGCAGCGCTTATATGATTGAATTAACCTGACATTTAACTATATATGGTGGACTAACAGCAAAAAAATATTTCTTTAAATAAAATATCTCTTCCATTTATACTTTTTATCTTTCAAAAATATGAGTTCTCAAAACTGTATGGATATACACAGACATATACATCTATATAACCTACCTTTACAATTATAGCATCATATACTAATATAACAGTATATAGTCCTCAATAGCTGCAGAAAATACAAAACCTGAAAATGTGATAATGTTGGTGATAATCCATCGTCTCTTCAAATTATTGTCAACTGGCTTGTTGAAGAAGCAAACTACAATTGCTGGGAATGTAGTGGTCCCGGAGGCAAGACTAAAGCAGCTCTTTGCTCCGAGATCAAAGCGATCATGTTCGAGAATGGCATTACCAACCGGAGCAACAGTAGCATTCGTGACAAGATCCAGTACTTGCATGACAAGTTCAGAAAAACCAGTAATTATGTCAATGGAGTAAAGCAAAGGATGTTGGACGATCTACACGAAGACGGCCTGTCTGAAGATGAAGCTATTAAGGAATTTGAAAGTATGCTTATAAACTTAATTTATATATTAGCGACAGAGAGAGAAAATCTTCTAACTTATGACTCTTCCTTTCCGGTTTTCTGCTACTGTTTGAAGGGAATGTAAAATTTAAATTCCGTTATTACTATGATCTCAAGGGTGTAATGGGTAGCAGCCCATTAATTACATCTTCATTCTCAATGTCTAATTGCAATGGCATTGAGGGTGCTCAGGTGGATTAGTTGACTAGACATAATAGAATGGCGGAACAGAAGGCACTGAACAACTATTTGTGGTCCAAAGAGTTTTTTGCACTTTCTCAAAATCCCCAAAGACCTCCAAAACGTGCTCGAAGAACTGTAGAACCGAGAATTCTCGAGATCATAGAAGAGCCGACCAGAGCGAATCATCGAAATTCTGATTATATGCAACAGAAACTCAAATATGAAAAGGAGTTTAATGAGAGACAGCTGTGTGAACAAATGAAAATACACCAGAGTCGGATGGATCACCAGAAGGCTGTACACGATGACAATATTCTGATCGAAAATAAAAGGTTGGAAATCGAAGCTAAAATAGTGGAGAACAATCTTTTACAGACCAAGATTCAGTACATGCAGAAGTTGGAGGATTCGGGACTATCCAAAGAGCAGATCGCAAACCACTTGAGTAAAATGCTTTAATTAAATGTCTATATCTCCTTATTAACAAGCGTTTTTAATATATATATATATATATATATATATATTTATATGTGTCATTTTGTATTAAATAAATATTCAGAGGGCTTTTGATTTTTTTTTATTTGATTTGTTTTGTTATACCCTAAAGGTATTTAGGGTTGATTTAGGGTTAGTATCTCAATAATAGGGAAAAGTAGATACTGAGGAGGGGAGGTTATTTTTCTTACACTACCATAAAAATGAATTAAAATTCCAATTCATCACGATCGTCTAAAACATATATATATATATGAAGGTACTCAGTAAGGTTGTTCAAACAAAATCTTATGCGAGTCTTCGCTAATGATAAAATCTTGTAGTTGAGGTCACCAAAAGGCAAAAGTACAAAATTCGCACAAAATTCGTAGATTTCTATAGCATTTATAGAATAAGCTTTTGCACATTTTGATTTCTTCTTTGAGCCCATCTGCATCTAGGTTCTCGAGGAAGCCAAGTGTTCTTTCCTTTGACTCAAGATCTGGCAATACATTGCCACCCTTGTGTATGTATCTATTGGCTTGAAGAGTTTGTTCAAGCTCCTTCAGCGTAGCCATCTGCTCCAATTTTACATTAACTTCCTCGTCGATGACTTTTAAAATACCTTTAATAAGCTCGTATGAACTTGCTGATAAAGGCTCTACCAGTGTTTTTTTTTTCTTTCTTCGCGATAAATTCACTGATTTCACGCGATTTCTTCAAGGTATCAATTGTTTGTTGCTTTGCAATGTATTTTTGCATATAATATTGAGAGAAAATAGTGTTATATTAATTTATTAATAATTTATTCTATGATTTATTAAGAAGAAAAATAAAAACATTTTTATGTTGCATATAAAAAAAAAAGTAACGATTCAGCCAGTCAGAGAGCCGTACGTTTTTTGTTCGTCGCTATTACACTTTTAGCCCAATAATATTGTTTTCTGAATTTAAAAGTTGTTCGAACAACTTGACTGAGTACCCCCTACGTTTTTTGCTTTTCGCTATTACAATTATAGTCCAATAATATTGAGCTCTGAACTTAAAAATTGCTCGAGCAACTTGACTGAGTACCCCCTACGTACACTTTTTTACAAGTCGAGATTATTTATATTTTAGATTAATACTAGCCAATCATTTTGACTATTAAAGCCCAGAATTATGAGAATTGAAAGTTTGAGGAATAGTCAAGCCCTTTGAATTCCCCTTAATAATTAATGATCTAGTAATGAAATTAAATTTATAACTTTTATTCTTCTAAATTTTTTTATGAGTTTTTTTTTTCTTCTCTTCTTAAAAGAAAAACAATGCGCGATATTTTTTGCGCTTTTTTTTAAGAAAGAAAAACAGGGGAAAAAATCAATACATGTAATAATAATAACTTTTTTTTTTTTTTTTTTTTTAGAACCATGAAGAAATCCAGGACATTGTTGATTGAGACTCTGATTCTTCCAGGACAGAAGAAGGACTGACAGTAGTAGCAGAATCAGTAGCAGCAACAGGAGTCGACTCTTCTTCGACCTTTTCAACAGCCTTTTCGACAACCTTTTCACCAACAGACTCTGGCTTGCCCTGTTCTTCTTTTTCGTCGTCGTCGTCATCGATTTCATCGCCGTAAACGTCAGGATGTCTACGGAAACAGTCCTGCATGTTCTTGAACTTTTCTACGCAATCGACACCCTTTGGTTCAGCCTCGGAGTAGACAAAGCAACTGAATGCAGCCTTGAAGTCATCACCACAAGGGCCATTTGCCATACCACCCAAACCTTTTTTTTTTAATAGAAAAAGAAAAGAATATATATATTTTATTATTTTGATTATTATTATAATTGCATATATATATATATATATATATATATATAATAATTTTTTTTTTTGGTTTTAGTGTTTAATTCCACATGCGAGCATACAGATTTTATTATTTAACATTATTATTGTTGGTTTTGGTAATTAAGGCATAAATTGACACATAATTATATACCAAACGAAAGCAAAGATATATAATTATAAAGTTGTTACAAAGGTACAATAATAAAATAAAAAAAATTAAAGAGAGAAACTCACATGGGCAATCCCAGTTGATTTCACCGGTTTCGGGATCGTATGCTGCTGCCTGATCATTCTCTTCTGGGGTATCGACGGGCTTAACGGGTTCAACGGGAGTTTGGCTTTCGACGTATTCCTTGTCGACGAACAAGACTGTGTCTTTTCCTTCCTTTGTTCCAAATGACATGATATTATTAATTTAACAAAAGAGTATATATATATATATATATAAAGAGGGAGAGAGAGGATGTTTAATAAAAGTGACAGGTTCGTTCGTTGGTTGGTTGCGCAGGTGGGTAAAAATAAATAAATAAAATAAAATTGACAGCAAAGATATATATATTATATAGTAGATAGCCAGATAGATAGATAGATGGGGGAAGGGGAAGGGGGAGGTCGTGACTGCTGTTTAATGACTATCTTTCTTCTTTTTTTTTTTCTTTTCTGTCTTTGTTCTGAACTAAATTCGAGATTGCTGACTCAGCCAATCATTGATTTATAGTGATAATGATAGTATTAGTAATAAGCAAATAAATAAATAAATATAAAAAAGGATTCAGAATGATTTATGTATTTATGTAACATATATAGTTTTTTTTTAAGTAGACAGACATATATTGAAAATGAGATAGCTTTATGAGTGTGAGTGAGTGAGTGTGTTTGTTTTTTTTTTTATTATTATTAAAATTAAAATTATAATTATAATTAAAATTAAAATTAAAATTAAAAATATTATTAAGAAAATATATAAATATGATTTTATTTTCTGTAAATGCGTGCAAGCATGCATAATCAGATAAAGTTGAATATGAGAGTATGTGTGAGAGTGTTGTATGTGAGAATGGGAGGAGTGAGAGTGCGTGAGAGTGTGGTGCATACATGTATGTATAATAAAAATAAAAAATAAGAAAAAAAAAGCCAAGGATTTCAATATCCTTGGATGCAAAAATAATAGTAATAGTGATGGTAATAAAGACTTGAATGCTTGGTGTGAATAAAATAAGTAAGTGGTAATTGTAAAATTGAAATTGAAATTGAAATATATGTACGGGTAAATGATAAATGATAAATAAGGAGAAAACAGATTAATAGTAAAATAAGATAAGATAAAATGAAATGAAATGAAATGAAAAATGATAGAAATGAAACATAGGTTTTGTTTTTGGGATTTTTTTTGTGTTAAAATAATAACAGTAGTAGTAATATATATATATATAAAAGAGGGAGGAAGAGGAGAAAAATGAAGAGGAGGAGGAAGAGGAGGAAGAGGAGGAGAGATTAATAAGGTCATGAAAGTATAAAGAAAATATGCAAAAATATGTGTGTGTGTGTGTGTTTTGTGAGAGCTTTTTGGTAGTGAAAGTGAAGGTTGAATATGTGAGAGATGAAAATGAAATGTGGATGAAATGAATTGAATTGAAATGAAATAAATAAATAAATATATATATATAAAAAAAAGGGAAATGTTCATAAAAATATAATAATAAAATAAAAGATTACTTACTTTTTTAAGTGAAAGGGTGTATTTTTTTTGAGTGCTGAATATTAAAAAGAAAAGAAAAGGAAGATCAGAAAGCAAAATACGATGAAGCTTAAAAAAAAAACAGTGAAAGATAATGAAACATGCGACAATAATAATAATAATAATATGTGAAGAAGAATTAAGGAAGATCCCAAGTTATTAATAATAATAATAGTAGTAGTAATAGTAGTAGTAATAGTAATAGCAAAAATCAATAAAGAAAAAAAAGAAAGAAATGCTTGTTGTGGGGTTTGCTTTGGTTTGTCATTGAATTTTTGTTGTGCTTGTGGTGTATCGTGAGTATGTGATTTTTTGTTCTTGTTGTTGTTGTTGTTGTTGAGTGAATGTTGCAAAAAAAAGTCTTTTGTTATTGTCGATTATGCTGATGCTGATGCTGATGCAGATGATGAAAATGAAGATGATAATAATGGTGGCATTTTTTGGTCTTGTTTCTTTATAATTTTTTTTGTGGGTGTATCGAGTTGGTGGTCTGGTTGCTTAGAAGTCTGCGAGCCATGGGTGGGTAAGGATTTGGTGGATCGAGGGTCGTTTTGCGGGTGATATTTCAAGCATAGACTTAACCAAATGCATGCATTTCTCTGATACATTGATCTTGGGTTGAGCAAATCGACCGGTGAGTGTCATGTGGGGGCCATGGAAGGGAACCTCGCCAAACAGAATTGTGTAAAGAAGCACGCCAAGGGACCAGACCTCGGCAGGCTCGGCAAGATACGGCTGGCATTGTAGGATTTCGGGAGATGCAAAGGATACAGTTCCATAGAACTTTGTGAACAAGCACGGTCTGTTATCTCCATAGTGACGAGGCAGGATCACGGCCGAACCGAAATCAATCAGCTTGACCTGGTAGTTTCTGTCAATCACAATATTCTCGTCTTTGATGTCCCGGTGGCAGATTCCCAGTTTGTCCAGTTGTGCCACACAGCTTGCAATCTGTCGGAAGATGTTCTTTGCTAGAGGCTCATCAAAGTTCTGATGCTGCTCAATGCACTCAAATAGATCACAAGACGAGCGACGGCCAAAGATGGCATCTGGCTGATATCCTGCTACGCCAGCAGAGTCAAATGAGAGGATACTAGAGTCGTCAGAGTGATGCGAGAAGGTGGGTGAGTGAGCAAATGATGCTGGTGGTGTTGTTGGGGGTGTCATCATTGGGTTGGCAATTGATGATATATTGTTCATGTTGGTATTAGTGGTTGGGGCCCACTCACTGCCATGGAGTTCCATGACAAGATAGAAGAAGCTGTCATCCTGATAAGAGTCGATATATTGGATCATATTAGGATGGCGAACATGCTTGAGCACATAGATTTCCATTGGGATGGGACCCATCTGGCGATCTCTAATCCAGGCACTGGCCGGCACTTTGTCACGGAAGATAAACTTGACTGCACGCTCGATCCCGGTATAGCGTTCGTATGCAGACAGAACAAAGCCAAATCCACCGCTGCCGAGTTCCTGACCGAGCGCATACTTTTCAAGAAAGTCGGGTGCTAAACGACGGTTTCGAAGGTACTGGGATGAAAGTGTTTCCTGAACGGTTTGACGGGGTGTAGAAGGCGGTGATGGCATTGAGATTGGCATTGACTGGGGTTCGTAGAAAGAAAGAGGTTGAGTTGATATTGGAGGCAAGACTGGTCTTGGAATACTACGGGAGTTGTATAGTTGGATAGGTGTGGAAGTCATGATGATATTATGGTTATTATTGTTGAATTTGTTGTTGTTGTTCTTATTATAATTATTAGTGCAGTTGCAGTTGCAGTTGCAGTTGAAGTTGAAGCTGAAGTTGTTGGTTTTGTTGATTTGAGATAAGCAATTAAGTTAAAGAAGATGCAAATCAAACTTATTGTCGGTTTTTATATATACGATTTTTTTTTTTTTTTTAGATTTATTTATTTATTTGGATTTAATTATTTCTATACAACTAACTTAAAAATATTAGGACTTATTGAAATATTTAAAATGTGTTTAAACGGGGGGGGATTCTTGTGCGTGTGTGTGCGTGTGTAAGTTTGTAAGTTTGTAAGAGTAGGAGTTAGAGGAGAAAGATCAGGAAAACTAAAATAAAATAAAATAAAATAAAATAAAATAAAAAAGATACCCAGTCAAATAGAGAGACACAGAGAGTTTGATAGATAAAAAAAATTCCTTTCTCTCTTTTGGTTGAAGATCAACAGGAGAAGTATCATTGAATAGAATAGGTATTCAGACACCCATATAAATTCAAATTCAAATTCAAATTCAAATTCAAATTCAAATGTTTTGCTATATCTAATTATTTCAAATAGGGGTTTAGGTTAATAGAGATACATAAGATACATAGGTACATATATAGATATTAATATATTCATATATGATTTGTGTATAAATATATCGTTTAAAGTCAGACTTCAAATAAAGTCTTCATGACCATGACTTTTTTAAATGTCATAATACAATGAGGATTAAAATCGAGAATACATAACTACCTAAAATAAAGGATCCTCTCTCTCTATACAATAGATAGCCAAACAGATAACAACTCCTTTGATCTGGAATAAACCACCACACGAACATTAGACAAACCTTTTTTTTTATAGCTTATTACATACATACATACATACATACATATATATATATATATATTTCTAAAATAAACCCGTCGATTTATCATCCTCTACTACCAAACACTACTTGTACTTTGGCCTTCTATACCTCCCCAATAATCTCCCTCTTTACATAAATAAATACATACATTTATGTATTTATACATATTTGTGTACTTTGCGTCTATATGTCTTTATCTATACTTCTTTGATACAATACACTTTTTAATATATATTTATATCTTGTAGCCACTCCCTTTTTATTGTGTACATTATATAATAACAACCGTTGTCTGTTTTTTTTTCTCAAGATATTTGTTCAATTTTGGTAATTAAAATTAAAATTATATATAAATATAAAATGTATTTTTATCTACTAAATAAGTCTTATTAACAGATCAATAGACAAGCAATAAATTAGTACCAACGATAAGTTTTTTTTTTCATTGGTTACATAAGAAACTGATATATATATATTTAGAATAACAATAATGGCAGCAATTATAGTAATTATAACTGTAACTGTAATTTTAATTGTAATTGTAATTGTAACAGTGACATTGATAATATTGATAAAACTGATAATTTTTTTATTCGTAAAGATAAGAAAGATAACAATGATAATAAGTCAACAATCGATTAAAATGATTAGTTCTCAAGTTCCTTCATCTTGCTGCAGTAGTTCTTGATAACATCAACTGTCGAATCCTTGTCATACACACCATACCAGCCCCTCGGTTCGTGTGGTGGATCTATCAACAATAATTCAAACAAGGGAGAAGATTAATAATTTTTTAAAAAAAATGAGCAGAAATCATAGTAATAATTATATAAAAGTATATGCGTATGTGTGGGTACGAGAGTCAATTAGTGAGTTAATGAACAATCGAGCAATTGAGAGAAAGAGAAAGAGAGAATTATTGTGCGTGCGTGCTTGTGTGTGTGTGTGTACACGATGTATTTACTAAAAATGGAACATATCCGAGTATAAAAGCTGTCTTACCACCAAGCCAGACCATGCCATGCGAGTTGGGTTGATCTGTTGATCGGCCAATACCACTGTAAGCCCAGAAATTTGATCCCGAAAAGCTCTTGTTCTTTGCAAGACTGTAAATTTGGTCGTAGATTGCTTTGTAGTACGTGTCCTTGTGGCTCGTGGTGGTTGAAGGGTCATATTTGTACTTTAACGAGCCAGGGTTCTTCCAAGCGTCACGGGCCATGCCAAATTCTTCCATGACAATCGGCTTTGAGATCTTGTCAGCCCAGCCAGCTCTGGAAATCGTATAGTCATGGACATACTCCAGAGCACTATCCAAGCCCTTGGGATCACTTGCATTGTAGACACCCCAGCTACCAAAATGAAAATGAAAATGAAAATGAAAATGAAAATGAAAATAAAAATAGATATAAATGTCAGATAATGAACCAAATTAAATCAATCAATCAATCAATTAATATAAAAATAAAAATGAAAGCAGAAGCAAAGGTAATCAATATATTCCAATCGATCTTCGTCTTCTTCGTCTTCTTCATCGTCTCCACACGCGTAAATCACCAATAATGTGCACACAAGCACAAGCACACATTATGAAGGTGTGGGTGTATTTACGATGTAAAGCGTGTACAAAAATAACCATGCGAAATATTGCCAAAAAAGGCAAATAAAAAATGAGAAAAAAAATAAAGAAAGGGAATAGGTGGATAGAGAGGAGAGAAGGAAATAAAGGAGAGAGAAAAAATGATAGCTTGAATGGGGGTGTGGAGGGGGAGGAAGGGAGTTGGGGGGGATGAAAGGAGGTAAGAAATATATATATAAAAAGAATAATTTTATGGACAAAAATGTATGTACTTATATATGTGTGTGTGTGTATCCATGGTTATTGTATAACATGGAAACGAGAATAGGGATTTTGTATACAAATGTACACAGATAAAATCATAAAATCGCTTGTCAACTTACTTTTCAACCCAGCAATGGCATGTGCAATAGTCAACACTTTCTGGTGTGTGGGCATTCATAAAATCGAATTCGTCTACTTTACTTTCGATGCCAGTCGTCGTGAGTTGAAGGGGTGCACCTTTCTTGATCACATCGGCAGTTTGTTTATACCACCATGCAGGGCCCAACTGAGGCTCATTTGCAATCTGCCATGACATGATCACAGGATCCTCACGGTACAGCTTTCCGTTGATTGTATTGCGGCGAGACTGGACTGTCTTGATGTGCTGTTGATACATCGCATTGGCTTTGTGGCTTACACTGCTATCGTTGTAGAACCGTGCCGAAAAGTCGGTAAATATACCCCACTTGTCGTCTGCGTCAGGATAAGGAATGGTTTGGTTGTTGGTTACCCAGGCAATATATTGAGAGAATCTAAAATAAAGAAATAGTTGATATACTTTACATCAACACACAGACACCAAATAATAAAAAACAGTAGTAGTCATGGCAACAGTCCAAAACTTACCCTCCACTCCAATGCCAAAAGTTGTTCAATGTCACTATTAATATAATATAACAAATAAATAAATACTATTATATTAGCCACTATGGCCTTTGTGTATGTGCGTGGTATATATGTTGGTTTGTTTGTTTGTTTGTTTGTTTGAAGGAACAAGAATAAGAAAATTAAACTTACTAACAGCCGTCATATTGTAACGACCCATGGTGTCCAGAAGATAGTCCAAACCAACAAAGATGGCTTCGTTGTATTTTCCTGGAGCTGGCATGAGAGACGGACGCATACGATAGGGCTGGTCATCTGGACCCTCAGAAGCAGCCATGACACGGAGATTGTTAATACCCATAGATGCCATTTGTTTTATTTCCTTTGTCAAACGATCACGGTCGCCACCATTGCACTTGTCTGCTCCCAAATTCATGCCTTGCCAGTAATTGGCTCCAGCAATAAGATAGGGTTTTCCAAGACGAGTGAACCCCTGGCCGTCAACCTTCACAAACTCGTCAGTAGAACCAGACCCATGGTGACTGTGGTCGTGGCTTTCACCGGTGTTTTTGCTGCTATCATGGTTACTGGCTGGAGATCCTTCAACAGCCATCAATAGTCCCACCGATAAGGCAAGAGTATAATAAAGAAAAGGCCCTGTTCGCATCAGAAACCAAAAATAGAAATATGAGAAGTAGGGTTGAGATTCCCAAATAGAGAACTAAAGTAGAAAAAGAAAAAGGAGATTAAGATTAAGATTAAGATTAAGGTGAAAGTGAAGGTGAAGGTGGATGTATATGTGAATGTGGAGATATATGTAGATGAAAATGAAGATGAAGATGAAGATTAAGATGTGGAGGTGGAGGTAGAGCTGTAGGTTGTTTTTGTTGCTCTTGTTGTTGTTTTTTTTTCCCTACTTTTTTTTTTAGTTGATTTCAATTTTACAGCCTATATATATATATAACAATAATAAATAAATACGGTACATATCAGATATTCTCCAATAATTACCAAGGTTTATCAGTTCTTAAAGATGTCATGCTTGGTGTAGCAAAATTAATCTTCCCAGATACCACTGGGAAATTTTATATGGGGTATGTCTACCCCGCTGGGAATCCAAATATTTTGTAATACATCTCACAGTTGCTTAATAAGAAGTAAAATAAATCAAACTAGAAATTAACCCTTTCAAAGTCCAGATCTTTTTTTTTTTTTTTTAAAAAAAAAAAGTTGATCTATTAGAACTGATACTGATACTGATACTGATATTGGTATTCGATACTGATATTTGATATTTGATATTTGATATTTGATTTATGATATTCACTCCTTAATAAGACAATTTACAATATACAAAGGGGAAAATAATATAAAATATAAAATATATTATTATTATTATTATATTTCTAAAAGTAATATTAAACAAAAACTGCTACAGTTATTGTAAAGTTCCCTTTGGTCTTTTGGCAAGCGTCTCCTGTGAAATTCATAAAACCGAAGTTTCGGCCAGTTGTACTTTTACGATAAACTACAACTAGATCTTAAAGTTTATCAATACTAATTATTATTATTATAATAATAATAATAATAATAATAATAATAAGAACTTCAACTCCTTTATTTTATTTTTTGTGTTCTTTGCTGTCGAGCTAACATAGTCTGGAAGTATTAGACAAAAGGAGTGTATGTGTGTAGGTAGGTGCCTTGGCAGATTGGAAGTATGGGTAGGCTCGGTTCTAACCTATGTTACCTATCATACTACATTTATGCTAGAATGAAATTTCTACTTGTCACAAGAAAATGTAACTGTTATCATCATTTAAATCTTTCGACATTTGGAACCAGCATCAACTGTAACACATATTTAGTCGGTTTTATTAAGAGTTAAATTGGAAGACAGTAAAGGTTCCCGGAAATCTCCCAGTTAAGGGTTTCTGTTTTGGAACTTTGACTCTCTTGACTTTGTGGTTGATTATGATATTAATATTAATATTAATATATTGTGAGCAGTTCCATGGAAGAAATTGTATTATGTAATTGGGTTCATTAGTTAATTCGAGTTGTACATGATCACTAATGTTAGATTTGTAGTTTTTCTGTGATATTCAAAGCATAATAATGATAATTACAATAATAAGATGAATTCTTTGCTGAATAATTATTTCGTATGTCCATTCCGACCAAGCCATACTAAATTCAACAGAGAATGGGAAGAATTTATTATAGAATAAATGTTTTTTCCACTAAAAATGTGTAGACATCACACATCATTACAGCCATCTCCAGTGCTTTGAAATTTTAGACAAAAAGTGGATGGGGCCATCTCACCCGAGTGAACCCATTAGCTTAGAAAAATAAAAATAAGGAAAAGAGAGTTTTGTGCATAAGGAATCTCTAATTGAACAAGGTTTCCTTTACTTCTAAAGAAGCTCCTTTTAATGACAGAAATTTGTCTCTCATTTTATGTGCCTATTAAGGTCGGTTTATTCAGGATGAGTCTGTCTAATCGAATACATGACTCACACCAGAAAATAGTAACATTCATCCCCCCCTTCCTTCCTTCCTTCCTTTGTTTCTCCTAGACCTTTTATCGGTAATCGGGCTCTATTCCAGATCCATAAGAATTGAGTAACCATTCTACAAACCTCGCCCCCTTTTGCCTCCTGTGAATCAATTTCAGCTTTGCTTTGCTTTGCTTTGCTTTGCTTTGCTTTGCTTTGCTTTGCCTTGGGTTGCAATGCTGTATTTTGCTCTGGCTTCCCTTTTTTGGTACACAAGCTTTGCCCTAAAGAAGGGTAAATTTGACGGATCAAAGTAAACTTTGTCCAAATAAAACACATTATAACCATTATCATTATCATCAACATTAATATTAACATTATTATAATTATTATTTCTACAAATGAGCAACATATTAATTATTCTGTACTCACAATTTCTATATATATATATATATATATATATATTTACACACACACACACACACACATACACACACTCTGACTTATACATTTGATTTACTCCTGCAAATAATTTGATCTGTATTCATTTGTTTTCTTTATAGTACTGGGTTGGAAGGAAACATTATTGAGTTCATGTTTGATAGAGCACTCCCAGATTTCCTGACATTTATTTATATATAACAACATTCTTAATATACGATATAGTGTGAGAGTACAATATAAATGTGTGTCGATTATACAACATTAACATAGCCCGTATACAAAATAGCCACTCTATCCATTGATCTGTTGATCTATTGATCTATTGATCTATCTATCTATGTAGCCACTTTATGTTAATCTTTAAATAATCAATGCGCGCATTATAATTATAATAATGGTCAGAGACCTTTTTGTATGACACTTTGTGAGAATCAAATGCAATAAAATAATAATATAAATAAATATCAATACGCTAGATCCGGACACTTGAGACTTTTTGAGAAACAAGGTTTTGAACTGGTTTGAGGTCCACTGTTTGATAAAAGCGCGACACTCGTTTATTTATTTTTATTTTTATTTATAACTGTTGATCCTGATCTTGATTTTATAGCTGTAGTTGTTGATATAAACCCATCGATGGAAATTATGTTCTCCCTGGTCCTGAATATCGGAATAAGAAAGAACGAACGAACGAAAGAACAAAAGAAAGAAAGAAAAGAAAAGAAGCAAAGAAGCAAGGAAGAGAGTTCAAGTCTTGTCAATAGTATTCAGGTTTATTGTTGGTTGACAAACAGATCGTAGCTTAATATTACGCAAATGAATTAGTCGAGCCAACTAGGTCATTTGATCAGAATGTCTTGAAATTTTATCTGATTTTCTACGTATAATTACATTACATTACATTACATTAAAGCACAAGCATTTGTATATCAATACAAGCACATATACACATTAAATTTAAGATGTAAGAAAGTCCTGACAAACAGCTAAGCATATATCTATCGACATTTCCTAAAAAAAAAAAAACCTACATTACATAATTGCATTATATCCAAGGTTGCATTATTTTGTGGCGATGCAGCTTCTTCTACAAGAAGAAACCGTGCACTTGCATTACTTTAATAAGAAGCAATTGTCAACCCAACCACAATTTGTTTAAAGATCTACAGAATAACTTTTATTATGTATATACAAGATGTGGCAGACTATCTGTGGCGATTGTATGCTACCAAAATAAGAAATTTAGTTTTCATTAGGACCACAAAGCCTTTTTCTTTTTTTGGTAAAAAAAAAAAAAAAGAATTATGTTAATATTATAACAATTTCAGCCTCTCATTGTTCTTTTATTTGTTCATTTGTTAATTTATTTATTTTTTGTAATGAAGAAACAAACCATCTTTTTAAATTAACTGTGTCGATCAGCCAATAATGGAAAAGCATAAAACTATTGGTGAATTAGCATCCTGTCTATTCGAAATTCGCCTCTTTCTTTACTTGAAACATCTAGATAGTTCGGAAAAACCACAAACTTCTTTAATATCAATATCATTTTCTATTGTTAAAGACGTCGATTTACTCTATATATATATATATATATATTGTATTTTCTTTTCTAAGAGTAACCATCATTAGTACCTATAAGTTGATAGATATACTATTTGTTATTTATATAAGCTACATTGTTACAAATAAAGATATATGACGATGTAGATGTATAGTAAAAGGGTTAAAGGTCTTTCTTTCTTTCTCAGTAGTGTCAAGTCGTTCCGGACAATGCCGAAATAAACAGGATTGTCTAGACGGTCTAAACAATATATATATATCATTGAATAAATAAATAAATAAATAAATAACAATTTACAAACTTTGAAAAGGATAGAAGAAGGGGAGCTCAAGTGAAGTAAAGGAAAGGGAAGAGAAAGAGGGGTACAAAGAGAGAGAAGGAGAGAGAGAGATAAGTAGAGAGATGAGGGGTAAAGGTGGGGTTATGCAGTAAGAAGTGCCCATATATCTTACAAAACCTGATCTTCACACACCAGAAACGATTGCTTTGAAATCGGTCAGCATTAGATTGACAATCTTTGTGGTTTTAAGGCTGATGATCGTCCACCCCTATACCCCTACCTTTTTTCCTTTCAAACTACACTTACACCTACACCTACACACCTACACACACTTACGTACATACAGAGAGAGAGAGAAAGAAATAAAACTCCTATTTGACTATTCTACAACGCACAGACCTCTGCTGTACTCTTGAAGAAAGTAAACGTAAACGTAAAAGAAGACCCGACACACTATATGCATACATACATACATACATACATACATATATATATATAAATTATTGGTGTGTAGTATGTATAGTGTACAGATAATATATTTGTCTATTTGCCTATCTAATCCATTTTTGTAAGTTTTGATCGAATTTAAGAAAATCTATCAAACAAAGGAACTAGATTGTAAAAAAAAAATTCAGGAGTAAATTTTAGCATTTTCTCGCTTTCTCTATATTTTCTTCTTCTTTTTTCCTATCTACTTGTTTTAAGAAACACAGATAATATATATATTTATACATATATGAGAGTCTATTAAGATTAATTACACCATTTCTTTTTTAAACATCTAATATCAAATCGATTCCTCAAAGATCACGCATATATAATGAATTCTAATATACAGATATTGAATTTTTTTTTTTTTTTTTTTTTAAAAATCCTCCTTGAAAAAAATAAAAATAAAGCCAATTGGTAATACAACAAATTACCCATTAAATAATTATGCATTTGTGATTCCAGATTATGTAGAATGTACAAAAAAGCAAAGTGAATTTTCTTTATAAAGATTCACCAAAGCTTCACTTATAGTGCTTTATTATTATTTTTTTCTTTAAAAAAAAAAGAAAAAGAAGGGATTTTTATCAGAGCGAGTTATTGAAATGCAGTTGTATAATAAAGTGAAATAAAAATAAAAATAAAAATAAAATAATAAAATAATAAAAAAAAAAGTAAAGCGAAATAAAATAAAATGAAAGAAATAAGCAAAGTTATTGGATTTTGGATTTGTTAGTGCGAAACAAAATCGTAATCAAAAAACCAAAAAAAAAACCCCCCAAGTATTGCCCTTGTCTTTTTTTTTGATGTTGTTCTTGTTCTTCCTCTTCTTCTTTTCCCTTTTTTTTTTGATCCTTTATTCACCGTTTAGTTCATGGCCTCTACCATCTTGTTGATATCATCTCCCTCCTGGTCAACACCTTCTGACTTGTCCATGATCTCCTTCAATCTTCTCTGGCGCCATCCCTTAACTGGGCTAGAGAGCTTGAATGGGAAGAGGAACTTGTTGACGGCATCAAAGTGTTCTCCAACATTAACAATCTCGTGAATCATATCTTCCAAACAGATGATGTTCTGCTTTCCAAGGGCCTCCTCTACCATGGCGTTGTCTGAAATAGCAGTGCGCTTTCCCTTGACCTTTGCATAACCACGCTTGATCAACAAATCACGGACTGTCTTGAGAGTAGGCTCACCAAACACAACATAGGGCTCAATGGCCTGGAGCATAGGTGCAGACTTTTCGTTGAGCTTGACAAAAACACCGGTGTTGAGACTTGTCAGGCGCAATTTTTGGAATGCTTTGCGGACAGAGGGGTGGAGGGTAGGGGTGGACTTGTGGCGGAGGACAAAGAGCAACTTGTTCTCGTCAGGCACAGCACGACTCTGCTTGGCCTTTACACGCTGGCGGCGAAGACGGGTAGTCTCACGCTCGAGATCTCGGTTGGTGCGGATAAACTGATCGATACGCTTGAAGACTGTCTTGGAATCTTTCTTGCCCTGTTTACGGACCTCAGCACGCTTTCGTGCATTCTCAATGGCTTTCTTCTCATTGATCTTTCTCTTCTTCAAGAGGTTCTCGGGAACATAGATGGGGTTGGCAATGTTGGGTGTGCTAATTAAAAAAAGTAATCAAATGAAATCATTAATTAGCTTTCTGTACTATTTCTTTAATTGAATATTGAGCACATGGTAATGCAGTATCTTCAAAGTATTTATGTCCTTAATGTATAAGTATATACAAAACAAGAAGCAGTAATCCACATGTTCCTCAAGTAAATTATATAATCTTATTGTTGATTTGGAAAGTTTTTTTTTTTTTTTCTGCTGAAATAAGTTGAATCCCCCTCTTTGACAGATCCAAGCGATCTCAACCCTTACACAGTTTCCCTCTCTACAGAAACTACTTTGCTCTAGACTGCACAAAATAAAATAAAATATAAAATAAAATAATAAGGATTCTATACTTACTTGTCGGCCATGATGAGGTGTGTTAAAGGATAGGGGATTGCTAACGAAAATTTTCTTTTTTTTTTTTACTTCTTTTTTTGTCTTTCTTCCCTTTCACTTTTTTTTTGTGGAATAGACTCCGGGAGTAGAGCACGTGATACCAGCCACCGAGGTATTTTGCATGGAAAACTAATTCAAAAAAAAAGAGAAAAGGTGTATGATAAATTTAACTTTCTCAAAACTTGAAGCAGTCACGAATCATCCGGACTCTCCGGATTTGCCTCTGTCCGGTACATTTTATTTTTACTGTGCAATCGGGCATAAGTATCATGTTCTTGGATTTGTTTCAATTTCTTTAATTTTTTTATTATATATGGAATAATTATTTAACCTCCGATAATTATAGGAAAAAGGTTGTGAACCTAAAGATTGGATGCTTTTGGGATCACATGACTTTTCATTTTAGGCAAGACTATTCAAGTACCGTCTATTGGAGCCATTAAACTGTTTCAATTTCTTGAAAAAGTTAAATTTTGTAATAAATCTACCCGGACACCCAAACTTTGAAGGTATAGAACCTTTTATTTAGAGCAATTCACGAAATTCTGTTCGACAAAAATATTAAGATTACTCCACCCTATAGTTACGCTGAGTAGTTTATTATTAAAATGATTTTTACAAAAGTTATTAGCTTTTAAAAGCTACCCTTATATATAGATAGCTATCTCAGATTGCACCATTCACAATTGATCACTATTTCTTCTGTCTACACAGAATATTAGTTTCAGTAGTCTATAATACTAGTCACCAAGATGTAGGATAAAAAAAGCATTGTTCACTTTGATATCATTATCATTATTTGCTCATCTTGTATTACAACCATTACTCCTCCCATAATTCCACTTTTCTCTCTCTATGGCATATTTTTTTGCGAACACAAGAAGAGAAAAAGACTTGACCACGCGGCTCATTCTCTCTGCCTCTCTCTTTCTCTGACACAATTCATAGGCCAATATATCTATAGTTTCTGTTTTATTAGACTACAAATTTGAACAAGATTTGTAGTCTCTTGTTGCCATCTTTGAGTTATTTGTCTAAACGCCGATTACAGTACTTCTTTAATAGGGAAGTATATTTCTAAAACAAGAAACAATTTTTAATGAAGAAAATCACAATTTATTGGATGAGATATTTCCAAGTGGTCCAATAAAGTACTTGCTTAGATTATAATTATCATTATTGTTATATCTCATTTTAATAAATATAACAGTAGTCTTGAAAGCATGGATTTTGATTTACAAGAAAAGATAAATGATAGTGTTATAGTAGTCTTAATTTCTTATGAATTACACACTATATATTGTGCGCCATTAGTTTTAAAAATAAAAGATAAAAAGATATTTAAAATCATTAAGTAGCGTATATTATATTATAACAAACATATAAATTAAATTAAATTAAATTAAATGAAATGAAATTAAATGAAATTAACTTAGATTAGATTAAAATAGAAAGAAATAGTGTTAAAAGAAAACAAGACAGCAAATACAAACTAATTTAAAGATCAATAGATTCTGTGTGTTTATGTATATATATTATCTTGTCTTGTTGTATGGAATTATCCGGCTTGATCTGATATTGAAGTTTTGATAATTTTTGCTTGCTTGCTGCTGCTGCTGCTGGTTGACTTGACCTAGCCAAATCCTTAAAGCCTAACGCCGATTATATTTTGCATCATTTCTTTCTTTGGTTTTCTTTTTCTTTCTTTCCCACTGAATGGGCGTTGATATGACCCTTATTTTCCAAAAAGAAAAAGAAAATTTGTAGTAATTTGATTTGTTGATCTGTACATTACCAGTTACAAGTGATAATTTGATAGAATTCTTACAAAGTAATGCCATAATCATAATAAAGCTTGTATCATTTCCCTAATTCTACTGCAACCTACTAAACTCTTTTTTTTTTTGGTCGTGGAAGCACAACACTGGTTCTTGAGATGTTCAAAGTAAAGCCAAAGATAGAAAATAGAATTTATTTCAAACGGAAACATAATATTGAGACTGCATCACAGACAAATTACGCGTGATTTATCCACTCAGAAACAGTGGTGTATTTAGTGCACTCCGATATAAATTCTGATTGGTGCTGTAGACAAACACGTAGCTGAGTCCTGTGCTGAGAAAAGAAGCTGAGGATAGACAGTCAAGGCTAGACAAGTGAAAGACAGACAGACAAATGGATAGATAGATAGATAGATAGGATAGATGGAGAGGGGGGAAATTATGTACATATATAGTAGGTGCCAAAATTAAAGTAAAAAATATATAATACAACAAGCACTATTAAACCAAGCCCTTTTGCTAACTTCTTTATCTCTTTCTTTCTTTCTACCCTTCAACACTTTCCACCAATCATCTACCAAAAATGGGAATAAGTTTCTCCTCGTTATTCCAGGAACTCTTCGGCAAGAAGGAGATGCGTATTCTTATGGTCGGTCTTGATGCCGCCGGTAAAACTACCATCTTGTACAAGCTGAAGTTGGGTGAAATTGTTACAACCATCCCTACCATAGGTAAGTTTTAAAATATAATGAAAATAAAAAATAAAGACTTATCTGTTATATACATACATTATATATTTCTAAATTAATAATAAAAAAAAACTAATTGATGTAATAAAGGTTTCAATGTTGAGACTGTGGAGTACAAGAACATCTCATTCACCGTTTGGGATGTCGGAGGTCAGGACAAGATTCGTCCTCTCTGGAGACATTGTAAGTTGCAAAATCTTTATTATAGCTACTGCTATTTATTATTATTATTATTATTATTATTATTATTATTATTATTATTCTTATTGTAATTGTTATTATCTGTAGATTTCCAAAACACTCAGGGCATCATCTTCGTTGTTGATTCCAACGATCGTGACCGTATCTCCGAGGCTCGTGACGAACTTCAACGCATGTTGAATGAAGACGAACTCCGTGACGCATTGTTGCTTGTATTTGCTAACAAGCAGGATCTTCCCAACGCTATGAACGCAGCAGAGGTCACTGATAAGCTTGGTCTTCACTCTCTCCGCAACAGACACTGGTACATCCAAACTTCCCGCGCAACAAGTGGTAAGTTGAACTGTATATAAATATATACACTTTATTTTTTATTTTAGAGATGAGATCTAGTGCTATACACACACACACATATATATATACGTGTATTTGTATTTGTATGGGAATGGGAATGGGAATGGGAAGAGACAAAGACAGAGACAGAGACTAATTCTCGATTCTTTCTTTCAAAACAAAAAAGGTAATGGTCTTTATGAAGGCTTGGAATGGCTGTCAGATAACTTGAAGAGAAAGAGCTAAGCGAGAATATGGTGATGCTGAAAACGAAATAAGAAGAAGAAGAAAAAGATTAAACAAAAAAAAATTGGGCTACATAAAATTGAAGGGACAAGAAAGGAATGTTTTTCATTTTCGCGCTCTCTTCTTTTTCTTCTTCTTCTTCTTCTTCTTCTTCTTCTTGTGATTACTATGTTCAAACAAAACCTCCATACCCAAATCTACCTAAATACTACACAAATACACAAACACATAAATACACAAATTAACATTTATATATATAAATATAAATAAATACCTTTATAAATAAAAAGAAAAAGAAAACACTTTAAAGATAACTGCCTATCTATCTATATGTATTTGTGTGACAGGAATGGGTTATGTTGGATGTCATATTATATACCAAAATTATTATAATAAGAAAAAAAAAGTAGAAGCAAGAAATAGGGATAACGAAAGAGGGGAGGGGAAGGAGGGGGGAAGGGATTTATGCAGCTCAGGCTACAACTTCATTCTTTCGTGTCACTTTGCATATCCAGAGTCACATCATTTAGGAAGGAATATGTATAAAATTTTGACAAGTGCTTCTTGTGTACAAAGTCTTCCTATATATATATATATATATATATATTTTCTCTTTTTTTTTTGATCAAGCGATAAAGTAATTATATGTATCACAATTAAAGAAGTACGTTTTGGAAGATTTGATTCAGTGATTAAAATATAAGCGGAAAAATGACCAGAATTGATTTTCATTTCATAATCATGATAATGATAAAAGAAATAATAATAATATTAAAAAGAAAAGAAAAAGACTTGGCATCAGTACTTATTTAATATATCTTTACATATTATAATACCACTGACGAAATTGTATATTTGGATCAAATATACATACACTACAGACACAAGATTCCGAATTAGTGTTTACAAAAGTGTCTTTGTGTCTCTGTGTATGAAAAGGCAATATTTAATTTGTTAGATTTCTTTCATTGGCTATTAATGCTATAGGGACTGAAGAAACGAAAAGACAAACAGATTACATTAAATACATCCCGAATAAAGCCACCTAGCTGTGTTTGCTACCAAATTGCCCAATTCCTAGTAGCACAGCCGAGTATTCAAAACTTGGTATCCAGTTCAAAGATGGGCATATGCATCATTTGAATCAAGGTATGCCAAACCTATTCCTTGAATAAGAAGAAAACAAAGATATCGATTGATCTTTATGATTTGATAAAAGGTGCAATGACAATAAGACATTACTTTAAGATCTATCATACAATATGTACTATTACACTATATATACACTGTTTGATCATTTATCAATCTGGCAGCTTTGATGGTTGAAGTTTCTTACTCTAAGCAAAGTATTCTTTCTTTTACTTTATAATGTGATTGTAAAAAGGGGTTTGCTTGTGATGCAGTACATTTTATCAATCATGACTATTAGCCCAATAATTTAAATATTCATACAAGTATACGTATATATATATATATGTGTGTGTGTGTGTCAAAATATAATACTTGTAGAATAGACAATTTAGCATTATTATGATTTTCCTCGGCAAAAACAAGTTCAAACGACAATGTATTAATTGGAAAATTGACCTTGGGATTTCACAATAACGATGTAAATTTGGTAGAGAATATTATGTAGATTTATTTAAAGCTCGTTAGACATATAGACATATAGACATATAGACACATCCACGCAGCCGTGTAGTCTTTTCAGGTTTCTTATAAGCAGCTCCAAAAGTTTTGATTACAAAACGGTGAGTACGAATTGATATATAAATCGCATCAAATTCCACATAAAGAAAAAACAAGAGCCATATTAATGATGATGATAATTAAGAAACAAAGGAATAAAGAAACAAAAGTTTAATTAGGCATTAGCCCTATTTCTCTCTTTCTTTTCTTTTTTGAAAAATAAAAATAAAATGATTCGAATTTGATTATTGTAAACACACCTACTTGTAATTTTGCATCCAATTCGTTGATACAAGAACCTTGATATTATTATTACTATTATTATTATTATTACTGACGCGCTAATAAATAAAAAATATTTAAATATTTAAATATTTAAATAAATAAATAGATAAATAAGCATATTTTATACTCTTATTCTCAAATTCCTTTTCTTTTCCCTTGAAAAATGCCCATTTATCGACCTTATAACAAGTCTATTGTCTTTGCCATTGTATACCTTCTCGAATTCATAAAAAGAAACGGGCTTCCATTCGCGCACGATCTTGTCAAGAACAGCTACAGTACCCTACAGAACGTTTCTTCACTTGATAAAAGAAACCGTGTCTTTAACGACCTAAATCTTCTCTGGCTGCTCATATCTTTCGTTAAATCAGCATAATTAATCATTCTGTGTGTTCCTATCATAAAACACACATTTTGTTTTTATTCACTCTATTGTCTCGATGTGAGACTCCAAATGATGACAGTGATAATAGTAATAATAGTAACAACAATAAATAATCTACATAAAGAACAACCATGCAGTTCAACGTGAATTTTAATGCATACATATATTTAAAAAGAAAAAAAAATTAAAACGAAATGAAAGTAAAATACTATTCAAAAGCCTAATTACAAATCAAAAGATATATATATAGTCATTGGTTAATATAATCTTAATAAGAATACTAGCAATAATACATACATATATAAATTTATTAAAAAAAAAGGCTATCTTAAACATAGTAGTAATATACACTTTTTTTTTGCTAGTTTTGCTATTATACTCATCAGGATTGTGCACAGACGTATGTTTTTTTGATTACCGTATGTAGATCAGTACGAGATTAGATATTATGCACTAGAGAAAGAAAGAAAGAAAAAGAGAATCATGCAAAAATTACAGAAAAGATACTACAGAAATAAGTAAGCAAAAGTCTCCTAAAGGTTAGAAAGAATATGCAAAAGGGAGAACAGGGAAATAAAAGTTAAAATATTATATTATACTATGTAGTATAGCATAGAGTCTAGAGTATCTTGGTATATTAAGTTTGTGGTTAAAGACCACATCCTATCTGTTCACTTCTTTCAATCTTATATATATATATTAAATAATAGCAGATAGAGATATAAAGAACATTAAACCCAATAATACATACATTAAATACATTGAGTGTTGATTACTATTATACTGGTGGGCTGATATTCTTCTTATCCTTGGTATTGGTACTCAAGTCTTTTGCTGGTGCCCAACATAAACCTTATGTGGACGGGGGAGTATTATGTACATACATATGCTTGTGAGGTCTTTGCAAATTGGGGTGCGTTTTAATCTTTTAACCTTTCTATCTAACTTCAATTTATTTAATAAGAAATCCTTGACATATTTAAAGAGCTATGTATTGACCATTTCTTTAAATAAATGAATAAGCATTTGAATAAGACTAACACTGTAAGAAATGCCAGGTTTTCTTAAAAAACCTGGCAAACCTGGCAACTTTTTTAATCTCCTACAAGCTTTACCATGTTTAGGTTGTTTGCAGCTTAATTAGGCATATGAATACTGATATTGAAATAAAAGTTTATCACAGAAGACTCTTAAAGCTATATTAAGAAGTCAAGAACTCATAATCTTTATTATTGGTCCGGTAAAACCATTGATAATTGAATATCACGCTGCCCTTTTTTTTTTTTTTAGAAAATAAAGCACCTTTATAAGGCATGCTGTGACGTATAAACATTCATAAATGAAATCAATGCAATCAATGCAATCCAAGTAGTAAAAAACGATGCAGAATTTATTATGTTTTTATACTGATATTCAGTTATTGTACTGAGGCTTAGATTTTTCTCTTTTCAAAAGTAAACAACAAGTGCTTTTTAACTACACTAACATTTTTTCCTTTTCTTTAATCAAGATCATAAAATCAATGGTACATTTAGTAATTCTTATACTAAATAATATTGTTATAGAATAATGCTGCTATGTATATATGAATATTGGGGTAAATATATCAATGTTAATAGATTTTAATGGTAAATTACTAATCAAACTTCATTTTGATCATAATTAGGCTCGAATCTTCTAAACTATTAAAGGTATAAATGCCCAAAATGAAAGTATGAGTAAAGTGTAGAAACCATCAAATATAAAGGTTTGTATTATTTTATGCTCATTCAATACCAATTGTATGCTATTTGAAATAAATTCTTTCAGAATGCAAATACTAATTTTTTTCTTTCTTTCTTCTTTTTATTTATGTATAGGTTAAACGCCTTTCAGTTATTGTTATAGTTTTTCGGCTTGCTTTATACAAAGTGACTTTTAATTAGTTAGAAATACTGCTACAAGTTGTAGAAATACTTGTATGCATATTGTACCTCGTTAGCCCCGATATTTTCAATGTGAAAAATAAATAAAAATGAATTTTTTTTAATAAATTTGAGTGTTTGTAACCTCCTAATAAGGATACTGATCCCTAAATATACATTAAAACCATTATAACAATAAAAAGCTATCTACCAACGTTATTGGTTAAAATAAGACCTGAACCTCATTATTCTACACATCTGATTTGCTTAAATAGGTGAAACTGATTACTATATACTGAAGCTCTATTGGCTCAGAAGAATGTTGCCAGGTGGCACTTTTTTAACGATTTTTGCCAGGTCGGTGTTTAATACCTGCCATTTCTTACAGTGTAAACGCAATTTATTTCGCTGTTTCACTATTTATTCATGTATCATATGTATCTATATTATAATAAGCTAAAATACCAACAAAACAAGAATATTTAGGTTAAAGTTGAGATGAACATAACAGTTTTATTTATTTATTTATTAAACGTATCTTCACCTCCAAGCTTACTCTATTACTCATATCAGTACACATATCCTCCTTCCCCCTATATTGCATGTTTTAACATACACGCACACAGAGAGTATATATATATATATATACGCGTATATGTATGTATGTAATGCCCACCATTTTATTTCTACGCATCAAACAAGTCTCACCTTTCTTACACAACCCACTTTTTTTTTCCTTTTTTTCTTACTACCTTTATGACATAATATCCTTTCTAAAAAAATAAATAGGTAAAAAAAAAGAATAGACAAGTGCAAGAAAATGGCAATTGAAGCATCACACACTGAATAGTAAACAATGAAAGGATATGTAGTTAGGAATAAGAGTATAAGGAGGAGAGAAAAGGATATTCGGACAGACTCAGTTGAAGTCCATTATGGCCAGTGCCTTGTGTTGCCTTGAAATTCAAGCGAATCATCATCATCGTCAATAATTAATGTTCTAGGAAGAGCCACAGGCGCAGCTTCTTTTGATTCTTCAATTGTTATCATTGTTGAATTCGTTGTTTCTGTTGGAATCGTCAAAGTCGTAGTCGTAGTCGCAGTAGCAGTAGCAGAAGCAGTAGCAGTAATAGTACTAGTACTAGTAGTATTTGTAGCGGTGGTATTATTATTCTTATTAGCAGCAGCAGCAGCAGCATTTCGTTCTCGCTGGATATCTTTGTAACGTCTTCGCTTAGGTGGATTTTCGTCTTTGCTTGAGATAAACTGTGGTACATGACCCATATTCAACTGCAGACACATATTGAGATTTATGCAACGTTCCTTTTTTTTGTATATGCTTTTTCGTTTGGCGTTTGATGTTACAATTTTATGCAATTCATTATATATAAAGAGAATAAAAAGAAAGCCTTTTGCTCTTTAACTCTGGTTTCTTTTGGTACCTTGCTTTCTGCTGTCGATGGGACTGTGGTAGAAGGAAAGGCAGGTGGTAAAAGCGGTATCCGTAAAAGAGCATCTTTCCATTTTTGCTGTGACAAATGTTTACTTAATAATAGTTGGATTTTTACAGTAACAGTAACAACAATAATGCGTGTATATATATATATAAAAGTACTATGTATTGTTATAAAAAGTATTTAAGCTACTATTACTAATACTGCTTTATTACTATTTTAATTTTATATTAATTGTTGCCTTACTTCCGCATTTGCTTTGGCTTTTTGTTCTAATTCCTGTGCTTTTTGCCGTGCCATTTGAATACGATTCTCCCGTCGTTCTCTTTCTTCCCATTGTCGTTGTTGTTGTAAATAAAGTGAATGTTCTTCGGGAGTTTCTTCTACGCATGCTGTATTCTGATTTCTCTCTGTTGCTTCTGCAATTCTTCTCTGTTTACGTTTGTTAAGTTTGGCGTTTTTACGAAACAGATGCCGTGGGAGTCGCGTATTATCAGAGGGCATAAGAGGCAGAAAGACGCACAGAGTGAGAGATAGAGAGACTGAGAAATAAAAAAAAAAGAAAAAAAAGATTAAAGGGCAAGAAGAGCAGTGACTGCTTTCTAGACGGATCGGCCGGGACGCGAAGCCCAACGATATTTTGTGATTGAGATTTGGCAACTGTTGGAATCCTCCTTTTCATAGCCACGTAGAAAATGGTAGGGACCTCGACAATGACGAATAACAGCAGAATCTATCAGAAGAATCGATTATTATTATTACTGTTTTCGTGGATGGATGAATAAATGGATTGGATAGAGTGTGGATAGAGAATGAATACATTATGGATACATAATCAAATTTATTGATCATAATAATAATAATAGTAGTAATATCGGAAATAGTGATTAATTTTTTTTTTATTTTATTTCTTTTTATTTTCTGTCTATGCAAATGTACAGCCTTTCATTAAGCAGCAAAAGAACAAGGCCTACTTCAAGCGCTTCCAGGTCAAGTACCGCAGAAGAAGAGGTAATGTTCAATTGCTTAATGACGTTGAATTCCATTGACTAACATTAAAAATAAATAAATTACTTCAATTTTTACTTTTTGTTTTTATTATTATCTTTATGTGCTTGTGTTTGTGTTTACAGAGGGTAAGACTGACTACTATGCTCGCAAGAGACTCGTTGTTCAGGCCAAGAACAAGTACAACTCTCCCAAGTACAGACTTGTTGTCCGTTTCACCAACAAGGACATCATCTGCCAGATCGTCTACGCTAAGCTCCAGGGTGACTTTGTTCTCGCTGCCGCTTACTCTCACGAGCTTCCCCGCTATGGTATCAAGGGTGGTTTGACCAACTGGGCTGCTGCCTACGCCACTGGTCTCCTCCTCGCCCGCCGTACCTTGACCAAGCTCGGCTTGGCCGATAAGTACGAGGGTGTCACCGAGTCCGATGGTACCGTCTCCATGGTTGAGGCCATCGAGGATGGTCCCCGTCCCTTCAAGGCCTTCCTCGATGTTGGTCTTGCCCGTACCTCCACTGGTGCCCGTGTCTTCGGTGCCATGAAGGGTGCTTCCGATGGTGGTATCTTCGTTCCCCACTCCGGCAACCGTTTCCCCGGTTTCGATATCGAGTCCAAGACCAACGACGACGAGTTGTTGCGCAACTACATCTATGGTGTCCACGTTGCTGAGTACATGGAGTACCTCGAGGAGGAAGATGAGGAGCGTTACAAGAAGCAGTTCTCTACCTTCTTGAAGCAGGGTATCACCTCTGACAAGGTTGAGGATATGTACACCGAGGCTCACGAGGCTATCCGTGCTGACCCCGTCTACAAGCTCACCAAGAAGAACATCCCCGCCAAGCCCTACCCTATCCCCCAGCGTCTCAACAAGAAGCAGCGCGATTCCAAGGTCCAGGCCAAGAAGGACGCCTTCGAGAAGAAGCGTGCTCAGGAGTAACTTTTTCACCCCCACAAAACTTGAAGAAAATAAATGCTTGCCCTTTCTTTTTTTGTACAATCAACCTTTTAATTTCTCTCTTTTGCTGTTAAAAAGACCTTTATTCTTTTATCGTTTTCGTTCTCTTTATCTGTCTCTTTGTGTGTTTGTGTGTGTGTGCGCTAATAATTTATTATCTAATGTGGTGTGGTGTGCAAAGTAGTAGTGGCTCTTCATTTCTTATTTGCTTCTAGATACACTAACATTACGTGTGTGTAATGTATAGAGCGTGATTTAATCAGGTACTAGAGTAATATTCTCGATTATCTTGCTTTGTGTACAAAAGGGGGCTGACGTGTAATTTATACACATCATTAAGAATGCAGACTTTTGTATTCGATTCGACTCTATTCTATTTATTTATTCTGTAAATTTTACACTACACAAAATATAAGAAAACTATAGAAAGAAAAATAAAATAAAAATAAGAATTGAATCATAAAATTGGTTGTGCAAATTCTCGGTTTACAACTTTGTGCGCCTATTTAAACAGTAATTATTTTCAATATAAAAAATCTCGTCTGAATATAAGGTAAAAATAATAATAATACTAAAGTAAAAAAAAAAAAAAGTTAAAACTGCCCAGCCATTTTTAACTTCACTTGATTTACCTCATCTTTGTCCTTGTCCTTGTCCTTGTCCTTGTCCTTGTTCTTCTTCCTTCTTCCTTCTTCCTTCTTCCTTTTTTTCCCTTTTTTTTTCTTTGCTGGTTGGAATGTACCCCACACATAACGAAGGTTCTTATGGCGCACCTAACAATGGATACGGCCAACAACCACCTGCCGATGCATTTTCTCGGATGAACCTTGGTGGTCACCATTTCCGATTGCCTTCCTTACACAATTACCATCAGCATCAAGGTGCACCACAACTGGAACCCATAGTACATGAGCCAAGCGAGGTCGTGTGTGGCCCGTTACTGCGGTATATTGAAATTGACTACAGAAGACGTACCTGGCACGGTTCTAGTCTGGTTGTCTCGAATGACCAGCGTCCGCCCAAGTTGGAACTCAAGGTCCAAGAAAAGGATTCAAAGACAGTCCAGACCATCCAAGTCCAGGGCGAATTACTCGATGTGTTTAGAAATAAATACTATTTCTGGCGCTTTGCGATCAATGTGCCTTTGACGGATGAAGGTCAAGTTGCAACCTACACTTTGAGCTGTTTGCCCGAAACTCAGTCCTATAATTTCCATTTACCCGCCTACGACGAATCAATGCGATTTATGTTCCACTCATGTAACGGATTCTCGGACATCGCACAAGAAATCAAGGATAGTTTTGGAGAAAAGGAGGCACCACTCTGGCAAGATGTCCTTGACCGTCACGAAGTCATGCCTTTCCACGTACTACTGGGTGGTGGAGATCAGCTCTATCAGGATAGACTTATCCACGAAGAGTTCATGAAGCCCTGGGTCGAGGAAAAGGACCCAGTAAAGCGTGTAGGAATGACTTTGCCAGATAGTATGAGAGAAGGGTTCGAACACTTTTATTTCTGGAACTATGTCAAGAACTTTGGCTTTGAAGGCAATCCAGTTGTAGCAAATGCATTTGCTTCCATTCCCTCTGTCAATATGTGGGATGACCACGTGAGTTGCAATTACAATGATATCAATACCAAGCAATAATCAAGTCGAATCAAGTATCTAATCATCTTTACAATTTTTTTTTAAAAAAAAATATGCTTACCCACACACATATATATATGTACATATAAAAAGGATATTATTGATGGTTACGGCTCATACCCGGCAGACATGCAGCGCGCAGACTGCTTCACAGGTAAAGTATTCTGTTTTTAGTATAGTACTTGTTGCACGTTCGCACGCTCACAATTGTTTATATATATATATATATATTGTTAATCCAAAGTTCTATTTGCCAATGCAAGCCGTTTCTACTATTTATTCCAACACCACACTACAATTGAACTTGCTCCCAGACATGGTATGATTCGCGGTAGTCTTCCAACCTGTAACCATATTGTCACCACACTTGGTGCCGGTATTGGTTTAATTTCACTCGATGCTCGCGGTGAACGTACCAAATATGCTGTCTGCACTCAACAGTCCTACGACGCTGTGTTTAACACACTCCGCAAGACAATGCCCAAGACAATCAAACATCTTTTGGTACTGACAGGTGTGCCACTGGTCTACCCCCGCCTTACTCTATTCGAAAAAGCCATGGATGGCGCTGCTGGATTCAACCTGGCCACAATTGCAGGAAAAACAGGTGCCCTTGGAGATATCATTAGTGGCCAATTGAACCGCTGGAACGGTGATCCCGAACTCTTGGATGATATGAACGACCGTAAGTTTTGTAGTTATATATATAAGATGTGAAAACAAAACAAAAATGGCTAATATTTGATTGTTTTTCTATGAACTATTTAGATTGGACAGCAGCTAACCACGAAGTAGAGCGAAGGACATTTATTGAAAAGTTCCAACAGTATGCCAAGGAATATTCAATCCGAGTCTCTTTCCTAGGTGGTGATGTAAGTTGAATATATATATATATATATATATATTGGATTATGCGATAAAATTGTTATATGTATATATCATTATTTCTATCATCACATTAATTAATTAACTGTTTATCTATCTATCTATATATCTATATATTCATTTCTTTAATAAGGTTCACTGCTGCGGTGCTGGTCGCTTGTACTCCAAAGATATGAAGGAAAAAGAAGAAGCCGATCCTTACTTTATGGTCCAAATTATTTCTAGTGCTATTGTGAACATGTAAGATATAATTGATCGGGTCTTTCTCCTCCCCCAATGAAATAATATAATATTATCTTGTACTCATCTGTTTTCGTTTATTCATTCGTTAATTCATTTATGTCTTGTCTCAACCTTGTTCCAATGTAGCCCCCCTCCGCAAGCATTATTGACTGTCCTCAACCAAAACTCTTCATACGAAACATTCAATCCTAATGTTGAAGAAAAGATGTACAATCTCTTTAAATTCTCTCCAAACGGAAACTCTGTAAGTCATTTGATATAATATATGAAAATATAAAGATAACAGAGAATTTTGACTGATCTTTTGGGTTTATTTATTTTTTTAAAAAAATAGAGAAACAACAAAAAGTTGATGGGTATGCGTAATTACACTGCAGGATACTATGACGAAGATACAGGAAAGATGAACTTTTGGATTCAGGCCGAAAAGATTGTTGGAAAAAAGGGAACGATGGGTTATCTTATTGATGTTCCTAGACTGGTGTTTGGTGCGAATGCCGAAAATCTGCACAGATTCGATACTCGCCACCTCTTGTCTTTGCCTCACGAGCTTTACAATACTCTTGCTTCAGCTGCATCACGCGTAACTGGCCTAGTAGATCATGATGCTCCTCAGCCATACGGTGAAGCAGATCGTGTAGGAGGTTTTGTTATGCCACCGAGACATGATTAGACGAAGTTGGAGCTGTATTCAAACAGAATAATAATAATAAAAATAATAGTAGGATGTTTCAAGTTTAAAAATCTTGAAGAATTTAAGGTTTATACTTTCTATCTGCGCTTCATTAATTAACCAATAAAATATAATATCAAGAAGTATTTCAGATACTTCAACAGCTGTAAATCCTTTTTAGGCAGGTGACGTGAATTTTAAGTTCGCCGATGGAAATATTTAAACCTTGAATCCTTAAAAATCCAAATTTGAAACCCCCTATAATTAAAAAACATTACCAAAATGTGAACGCCAGCCTGGATTGGATCCATAACCATATAACCATGTCATTCACCACATATTTACTCACTCATTCGCTCTCACTATAATCATTTCTTTAATATGTTTTTTGTTGTCGCGAATTTTGCTTTTAAAATGAAAGGAAGGAAAGTAAGATATCCATTTGCCTCTCTTCTTTTCCTTTTTCTTCTTTTCTTTTACTAATACTCTTTTACTTTTGCTTCTAAAGAAACGTTACAATGAAACCAAATCTGTCGCAAGTAAGTTGTCATACAGCAGCATTATCTGTCTGCTGTTTTTGTTTTTGCTTTATTACTATTACTGTACACAAACAGGGAACACCAGCAACGAAAAACTTTAGTTGATATCTCAACAAACCTTCTTTGCTATTGTCAAACAAAAAAAAATTAGACAAGACGTAGATCGTATTCTGCCCCAGACGTCAGTTCTAGATCGTCACTTCCGTTCGGATTGACTTTCTTGGACCCTTTTTTCCTTCAGCACTACCGTGTCATAGGAGGACTAGGCAGAGGCGGGCACGGCTACGTGATGTCTGCTATACATCGCCAGAGTGGTCTATGTGTAGCTGTCAAATTGATCATCAAGGCTGATCTCGCACCAAACAGTCTAGTCAAGGATCCTGTCGAAGGTGGTCTAATCCCTCTGGAGATTTTCTTACTTCGTCCTCTCAGCCATCCAAACATTATTGGATATCGTGAGCACTTTCAAGACCGCATGTTCTACTATCTGGTAGTAGACTTCCATGGCATATCTTGGTCAACCCCAACGACAATCCAAATCCAAACCCAAATAGAGCTCCAAATAGCATCAAACCCAAATCTTCGATACTTGTCGATCATTCCTAGGAGAAAATATGACCTGTTTGAGTGTATCGCACGATATAAGCGCTTTCCAGAGCCTATAGCACAGCATATATTTAGCCAGATTGTAAACGCAGTATCCTATCTTGCACGACAGGGAATATATCATTGTGATATAAAAGATGAGAATATTCTTATTGATAACCACTTTAATGTATGTATTCAAGTGTACGCTTAGAGTATTAGAAAGAAAGGAAAAAGAACAGTAACAACAATAGATGTGAATTACATAAAACAAATAGGAAAGTGTTTGACTCACAAGCGAAAAACAATACAATACAATACAATACAATACATATATAAATATCTATGCGTAGGTCAAACTGGCAGACTTTGGATCGGCTTGTAGAATTCCTCGACATACTCTTCTCAAACAGTTTCATGGAACTATAACATTTGCTTCTCCAGAAATCTTGATGGGATGTAGATATAATCCTGAACCTGCAGAAATATGGTCTTTGGGAGTCTTGCTTCACATTATTTTGACAGGTGGATTACCCTTTAAATCGGCTGACGAATATATTTATTCTTTGTATGTTCCTCTGGATACCATGTCTCCATTGCTGGCTGATCTGATGATCTCTATGCTTCACAAACTTCCAGATCAAAGAATCTCTCTTGAAAAACTCCAACAACATCCATGGATATCTTCTATTATATAACATTGTTATCCCCATTTCCCCACACCCTCTTTCTACTTCTCTCTCTTCTTCCTTATTATTATTATCATGACTTTAATTTCAAGATGTTATATTGCTTGTATACACACCTGAAAGCCGTCAAGATAAATTTCCCCTTGAATATTTATCTTTCATCTCTTCTTCTACTTCTACTTCTACTTCTTTCTATTGAAGAATAACAACATAATAAAACATAAAATTATATTATATTAAAGTAAAAAATAAAGTAAAATAAAGCTTATTTTGCTTCTTCAGGTGGAGGGTTGGTTGCTGACAAGAAGAGGATGCCACCAAGAGCAATAATATACCTACAAGGCATTGTTAGTAATCTTACAAACACAAATAAAGTAATCTTGATTATTAATATTTACCAATATTTACGGAAAAAGGATTGCTCCTCTTGGATCTCAACGACAGTTCCTTCCTTGTTAACTCCAGAACTAGGCTGAGAGGCGGGTTTGTTTGTATTCAGTTGAATCAACCGAGGCCTATTTGATATGGTTGTTGTTGTATTTTTAGTATTATTCCATTGGACAACTATGCTTTATTTATTGTACTAATCTACACATAACTGTTGAACTTACACGGGACCTGGAACAGGCTTTATCAATTGAATAGTTGTCTTGAACGCTTCACCAACCAAAGGAGTCTAGTATATATAAATATATTTAGTACGCTGACAATATTCATTTCCTCTATATATATAAAGAACTATGAGATAAACTGAAAAAATAATAATATTACCTTTGTCTCTGTGCAAGCATTCTCTCCAGCATAATAATCAACGTGATAAACCTCGCCCTTATCGTCTAAATGAATCTTGAAAGTATCTTGCCAGTCATTAGCCACCAATTGACGCTATTAAAAATTAATATGATTGGGAGTGTATTTTAGTTATCGTTATAATAATAATATAACATTTTCAGAATACACATACACACACATATATATATATATATATAGTTACGTCTACACTACTTTATGCTATTTTATATTATAACATTGCTGATTCTTACGTAGGGAATAGAAGACATCATCAAACGACCAGTGCTGTCATCCTTGATCTTGAGCTTGTAGAGCGCTTTAGCTTCGGGCTTTACGAGAATCTCATGTTTTGTAGGTGTGTATACAGGTGTGGTAGAAAGGTCTGTAATCTCACCACGCTTAATGTAATCACCATCCTGAATGTGATAGATGGACAGCTAAATAATAGTATTGGTAATATTTCAATAAATAAATAATATTAGTAAAAAGGTATGCACGACCAGTTTTATTTTCACTTTTTCTTATTATTTCTTTTATATCTTCTTCTTGTTCATATATTTTTGTATACCTTTGCTTGAACAGAGACGAGAGAGAAGAGGCATAATGCCCAGACAAGACTGGCATTGAAAGAAATCAACTAAAATTCATTGGTTGAATGAGATGATGTACCGAGAAAAGAGAGAATTACATCCCTCCAAGACAATATATCCATCTATCTATGTTTTTATATATATTTTTTGTTTTATTTTATATTTTTCTTACTGTCATGGTTCTTAGTAATTTTTTTTAATAAAAAATAAATAAAAAAGAAACAGCTCTTCCTCTTTATCACCCAGAGCTTGCTCTAATACATCTTTGTCTTGCTTTCCTTAAAAAGATGACCTGGGTTTAAATATATAAAAAAGACCATCATTGGATTACACCAGTCACAGCACTCTTCACTTTTGATTAGGGCAAAGAACGTGTAGATATATATATATAAATATAATAAGAGCCAGAAATGTAAATAGGCTACTATGGCCAAGATGGTTTGAGAGAAAAAAAAAGTAAATTGATAGTAATCACCAAGTAATATATATTTTTGTTGTTATTGATTTCTTATAGTAAATACAAGCTATAACATAATAAACACTTTGCTTGTTATGAAATACAGATATAGGGGGGAGATAGAGAATAGAATAGACAGAGAGAAATAAAAATGAAGAAGAGCAAAAAGTAGATAAACAAGAAGACGGAAGATTTACATTACAGGGAAAGGATCAGTAAGGATTGTAAGGTTTTTGTATTGTTTCTTTTTTTTTCTTTTCTTTCTTTCTTTCTTTCTTTCTTTCTTTCTTTCTTTTGTTGTTGTTGTTGTTGTTGTTGAATGATTTGGTTTCTATTAGTGGGGTTTGTGGATTGTGTATGGTGGTTGATTACTTTAGATTACGCGTGTGTGTATATATATATATGGGTGTGAGTACTTAAGTGTGATTGAGTGAATGAGTAGGTGGTGGTGGTGGTGGTGGTAAAAAGTTGTTGTTTTGGAAGGCGGTTATTAAGAATGCGGTAATACCGAAAACTCACTGAGATCACTGTCGACAAGAGAACAGCTTACCACCAAACGAGACAATGGTCTTGGTGGTTCGGATGTTATCCGGATTGACCCAGCACTGACAGGTCGAGGAGTTCCTATTACAATCGGTTTTGAGACACAGCTACGACCATGGCGACTATAACCACGGCGACGTTTGGAGTAAGTTGATGTGGAATTGGATGATACAGATAATTGGCGACGTCTCTTTTTGTTGTTGTTGTTGTGTATATAACCAGATCCGATATCATTTGGATAGTTTTCCTCGGGAGTGTGCCTGTTGGAGTCATTTCCGCGAATACGGAGGTTATAGGGATGATTAAAAGGCTGTGGTGATGGTGATGCAATTAGGGATGGGGTAGATGTCGAGGCTGTTTCAGCATTAGAAAGGTTGCTATCGCAACTACTGAGGGATGTAGTATCGTCAATATCCATAAGCCATCCATAGTCTGCTTCTGAGACTGCAGAAGCTAAGGATGGTGAGTTTGGGGTGGCTAATTGGATTGAAAATATTTGATAGAGTAAATAAACATATAGATAAATTGGTGGTAGTTTAAAGAGTATATTTATATATGTATTGACCTTGTAAGTTCCACACATCGGTGGTGTCTTTCTCGGGAGTGGGATCACCGATGCTGTCTATAGATTTTGTATGAAAAAGAAATATTAAGATAAAGGAATTCAACACGTGGAGAAGTATGTATATATAGGCTGTCTGATTTTATTTTCTTCTTGTTTCTTTGTTTTGTACTAGTCGAAAGATTACTTTGAAATGTCGCGGATGGTAAGCAATTGTGTTTGTGTGGCATTGGCTGGGTGTCTTTAGAAAGCCTGGTTATTGGAATTAGATAGTCTTGATTGGCTGTGTCCATTACAAATATAAACAGGCAGATAAAACAAATAATTAAAATCAATAAAGAAGTAAATTATATAAAAAGTAAACGCCGCAAACGCGGTGTATTTAAGAGAAAGAGTATATCAAAAAAAATGCTTCAACCAAAACAGTAACATCAACATTAACAGTAGCAGCAGCAGCAACAATAACAACCTCCAAAAAAAAAAAAAAAAAAAACAGAGCACTTTTTTTTGTGTGTATAATTATATTATATATTTGCCTAATTAATATCTAATTTATGGTGAATCCAACAAGTAATGTCACAGCCAATCGAAATCAACATCATTGGTCAATTAAAAATGATGCCACAGGCCAATCAAAATCAATTTCATATTTTTAGAAATAAGGTCACTTGCCATTTTGCTTAGAGCGTCTCCAACAGTCACTTTTATCTCAACTTTTATGTCAAATTTAACATTTTAGTTAAAAGTGATACCCCAACAGCTCAATTTATTTTATTTTACGAACAATTTACGGTCTTAAATTTTATCTCTCTGCTAAATTTGATAAGGATTTAAAAGTTTTAACTGAAAACCCTTACAAAAAAAGATAATTTGAACTGTTGGGTTAAGTAGATTCTTTCTTTGCCAGCTTGAAGGTGTCTGGGTTTTATGAAATATGAAAGTTAGCTGACTGTTGGAGAAGCTCTAAGCTACTTACAGTAGAATGACTACAGATGAAGCTGGTTGACTCTAGTGAATGACTAAAATTGACCGAATATATATCCCCCTTTTTGATCTGTTTCTGTTTCTGTTTCTGGTTTTGAGTTTAGGTTTGGTTTTGCCACAGTACAATGCATTTTCATTGTGTAAGGGAGCGAGAATCACACATGTTCATGACTGAATGCCAAGTTCTACCATATGAAGATAATAACGATAATAATAAAAGTAGTAGTAGTAGTATTTGCTGTTTTTCTTTCTTCAACTTCTTTATGACTATAATGATTACCTTGCCTATTTGTTAGCATATCTGTCTACCAGTAGCCTGTACAAAGGCGATAGATACATTAACACCAATACCAATACCAATAACAATTGAAAATGGAGATTCAATAGGAAAAAAAAATAGTAGTAACCCTAACAATCACAAGAATGGTAAATATAGTAATAGCAATAGAATAAGGCACTATGATACAGACTTTTGTAGCACTTTTTGAATGCTACATAATGGCTTCTTCTTTTGACTTTAGGAAAAATTGTCTTTTTTACACAAATGAAAAAAAAAGGTCAAAAGAGAGAGAAAGAGAGAAAATATTTGTATACAGCTTTGCTCCTTATTCTTCTTCTTCTTCTTATTCTTCTTCTTTATTAACCCTTTATATACATATACTATACACACATATATACATACATTATATATATACATTACATTACATATACACTGAAATGTATGTACCTACAATATTCTCCTTGGTATTTTCATATTATTCTTCATTATTATTATTTGTTATTTATTACAAGTTTGTCTAGTTTTAAAGATTTCAACATAAATATAATGAATTTATTATATTTATAATTACGATCGAAATTATCCTTCTTCTTATCATTAATGACAGTGGTAGTTCTAGAAATATTGTAATAAAGATCTGAAGTCTTGTGCTTCTACAGTATAGAAATTATACGCATAAAAATGTATATGTGTATGTATGTATCTGTATCTTGGCTTCTAGTCAACGGGACATGCTTTTTTGTGTCTCACCCATTTTTTTAACAGTGGTTGCACAACAAGCAAAATAATAATAATAAAAAAATAAAAAAAAATAACAATAATATCTTCACAGTCTATTCAGGCTCTTTCTCCTCTTTACTCCTTCTTATTCCTGCACCTATTCCCTTTCCTTTTCTCTCTTTCCTTTCCCTTCCTTTCTTCCTTTCTCTCTCTCTCCCTCTCTCTGTATTTAATTCTTCAAAGGCAGGCCTGCTTTTCCTCACTTTATTATGGACTCATGCTGCTCAAGGTTCATTTCGTTTCACTTTACTTCATTTCATATTCTTAAAACATTTGTTGCCTCTCTCTCTCTTATTTCTTTTATTTTCTTGTGCCAAACCTGCAACTGATGAAGATGAGATGTTATATAGGATGAGCAAATGGTACATGATCACCACCAACCTCTTATTTGCCTGCCTGGGTATCGCATTTATGGCCTTTGGATTACTAGGCTACAGAGATAGCTTCAAGGGAGCAACATTGTTTCCACATATCATTTTTACACGTAAGTATTTCATTTTTCAGTCAATTGTATTATATACACAAATATTGAGCTGTAGATTCAAAACTTTGCTACTAAAAAAAATCTATATATATACATGTGTGTGTGTGTAAAATAAAAATAAAAAAAGCTATTCTCTACTTGATTTGGATAGCACGAGTAAAACACCATATTTATTGCCTTTGTTTGTTGTGGTAGTCATGGCTATTCTTGGTGCAGTCATTATTGTCGCCGCCTTGTTCGGTATCCTCGGTGCCTATGTGAAGAAGAAGTCGCTTATTCTGGTCTACATGGCTATTGTCCTGATCGCTCTTGTCTATCAAGTCGTGATCGGAGTCAAAGTATATCAAAAGGCTTCCAACACTATGCAATACCTCTCCACTCTCTGGAGCTCTTCTAACGTTCACTACAGAACCCATATTCAGGATCAGGTACACACCCTTATATATATATATATATGTCTAGACATATACATACATACATACCTTTTAACAGAAATCAATTAAACCAAACATTTCCTATTTTTCTTTGTTAAAAAAATCAGTTTTCTTGTTGTGGATTCAATAATGTGATGGACAACCCTGCAATCACAGATGTCTGCAATCCACAGCACGGCATTGCTTCAGCCCCTCCTCCCTGTTTTGATGCCCTGACTAGCTATGTGCATACTTCGTTTAAACAGGTCTACCTCGTAGTGTTTGCCGCTCTGGCAATTGAGATCCTTGCCCTCTCCAATGCCATCACTCTCCTGTGCACCCAAGCAATGGACCCCGATGATGAAGAGCGCAGACGCCGAAGAAAGTCTGGGATCCGTTTAGACGATCTCCAGTCTCCAGACACACTAACCGGTCCAAACAATCATTACTATGATGAGCCAAAACGAGAGAATCGCAAACCAGATACCATCAATGACAATCGCTACGATAGTTACGATCAATATAAACAGAAACAATCCAATACCTACGGCGACAAGTACTATTAATCATCAAATTCACACCCAATCTTACCTTACCTTACCTTACTTTACTTTATTCTACCTACTCGTCTACTAGTCTACCCGCCTACCTATTCACTTGTCTATCTATTCGCCAATTCTCCAATCTACCTATTCACCTTACATTTACCTTACATTCACAAATTCACATTTTACTTCCGATCAAATTCCTTACATACCCCACACTCAAACTCTCAATCTTTCGTCTTTTGTTTCCTCTTCTTTTCCTCCATCTTTCCTCCTTGTGTATCTTGCGTCAAGTTAAATATTCTCTCTAAACATCCCACCCACCTCAAACAAACAAACAAGCAAACAAGCAACATCCAAAAAAAAACAAACAAAGCAAAACAAAACAAAAACAAACAACGCATATCTTCAAGTGTTTAAAGTTCCCTATTATTTCTCTTTTATCTTATAAATATATCTATATCTATATCTATATCTATATCTATTTTTTGTAGTGTAATATTATTTATTTTTCTCAATTCTTCCTATATATTTATATTTATATATACAATTTTCTTTTGCGTGTTAGTCTGCCAGATGCAGCAACAACACACAAGGTTCGCTGTTTTGCTCCTCTTTCCCCCCACTAGCCAGATCAGGTTCAGTCTCAAATAAACCAGCCACCCTATTTGACTGCTCGGTTTGATTTGGTGTGCGAAGTTCACTATTTGGAGATATCGAGGTCAGATGTTCCTGATCTTCATCGTATTCAGTGTCATCTAGATGAATCGTTGGTCGAGTAACAGGTGGTTGAGAATGCGAACCAACCAATCGACCTCCAACTACCCACACATCCAGTCCATCTCGTGATGACCTCGTTCCAATACTCATTTCTGATATCCAAATTGGCTCATCCGAGATGGACTGGAGATCTACCGGAGTCCAAGTGTTCAAGCGAGTATTGAAAACACAAAGCTTGTCAAGTGGGTAGTGCATCAGCACTTCCTCATCGTCGTCGTCTAAACGTACCGTGTGACCACCAAACACGATCAGTTTGTGGTGCCAGACTATCATGGCTGCCTGGAAACGATCTCGGGGATCTTCTCCAGAAGTAAGCAGGATCTCTGGAGTATTAGGAGCGTGTCTAGCGATAGGATTGCGTAATTGTTCTAGGGGCAGTGATAGTCTAGACGACCTCAGTTGCTTTTCCCTCTCTGGATGTTCGTATTTGTACCACTTCCAGGTATCACAGTCAAGACGGAAGAGATCATCATAGACAATGTAACCGTCTTCTCCCAGCTGGGCCCCTCCGTGTATGTATAGATCGTGTCCAAGAACAGCAGTCGCGTGTCCAAATCTCATGTGGGGGATGTGCCTACAAATTTCAACGTTTTTCATTATTAGACTATTTTTTGTGAAATCATTTAAATATCAATATTGACAACTTTACCCAGTAATTGATGGGGACATCCAATGATTCATTTGAGTATCATAACAAAATATATCATTCTCTCCTATAGAAATTCGAAAATCAAAAAGCATGAGAATAATTTCAATAGTGTCGATCGCGTCCTTTATATATACATATATATATATACCAATAAATTTATATTCTTACCAACAGAGTTGTAACAGAGGCCGCCAAAAATAACAAGGTATCTGTCCTGGATTACATCGATAGAGTGTTCGTGGCGTGCTCTAGGTAACTCTCCAGTGGAATTGTCGATGGACCTCACATTAAAAGTATGAGTATCCATTACCAATAAACCATTAGACAATGTCAGAGAACTTGTCTCTCTTCCACCAAACATGTAGATAGAGTGACCAACTTTGGCGGTCTTGCTGATCAGGGATTCTACTGGTATGTTGCCCAGAAGATGCATAGTGTGGTAGCTCCATTGACCGGTCTTGATATTAAAGGTGTGGCAAAGAGAGTCCTTGTGTCCTAGAGGCATATATAGTATTCCTCCTATGACTGAACCTGCACGATAATTTAGCACTGCAGACACAGGTGCATCTAAAGGAGTCTCATCCACAATCCTTATTTGGCCATGTACTCCAACAATATTCTTGATCAAAGTTGCTAAAGAAGGAACAAGATGTATACAGTTAGTTGGCTATTAAGAATATATATATATATATAATAGTTAATTAATTAAACTATCAAAATGGAGAGGGGGTTTTGTTTCTTACACAACTTCTTGCATGTGGCCGATAGTCTTACAAGAGATCGATGGTCAAGGTAATAAATTATGTTTAAAGTCAATTCTAGGCTGAGGTCTGATAGTTGTTTCATTGCAGATTGAGAACAATTGTATAGAATAATACGTAAATGTATGGATGTCTATGTATAGGGGAAACAAGGGTGAAAAAAAAGAGGGGGATAAGGCTTTTAATAAAGAAATATATATATATACGTATATATACGTATAAAGAAAAAGATATATATCTAGTTTAGGATTCTTGTACTTACGTCATTGTAGCGTGACGTTTGTAGAGCCTTCATACTCAAATAAGTGTTTAGACTTTTATTATTTATTATTTATTATTTTGTATTGATTAAAGAGGTTTTTTATATATATCTTATTTTGTTTTACTTTAGAGGGTCCGTGCTTTTTTTCTTTTTCTTTCTCTTATATTCAAATCGATCTCTTTCCCAAAAAGGAAAGCAATTTTATTTTTGCAAAAAAAAAAAAAAAAAACACTAGGAACAACGCAAATTCCAAGAGATTCAAATCACACGTGAAACGTTTACACACACACATGGACACACATTCGTATACATTAAGATTGTTACTGTAATTGTAACTGTAACTGTCATTGTCATTGTCGTTGTTCTTGTCATTATATTCATAGACCGACTTTTAGACTTTAGGCTTTGAGCTTTTGTATCTTGTATGTAGTATGTGTTGTGCTATTAAATATAATAATTAAGATACACTGTATACAATAATATTGTTTCGTATGTATCGGTGCGTAATTAAATTTTTATAGAAAATTTAAATTTAAATAATATATATATATATAATAAGGCTTGATATACTGTATAAAGAGAAAGTGTATGTGCAGTGTGTGTATGTGTGTGTATGTACAGTGGGGAGATCTAGCTAATCAATGTCATCGATTGAGGGATCCCCTTCAAGGTCACACACCACAACTTTGTTTTCAAATTTCGACTTGGTTATTTTTTTTGTGGATCCCATTTTTGTCCTTTTTTTTTTAATTACCCTTTTGTACCTTTCAATCACTTTTATTCCCAACCCGGAGTATGGAGATATGAACCTGAACGACGAAACAAAGCAGAAAAGAAACAAACCTTGTAAGTCAGTGAAGTCCCTGGAATCCCCCACCAAAAAGGAAAAAAAAAAAAAAAACTCATCAAAAGACGCCCATTAGGTGAACAATGTCGAGGTCAGCGAAGAAAATGTAATGCCCTTCCGGGAATGCCATGTGAACGATGTATCAAGATGGATTTAGAATGTGTTTACAAACACACCGAAAAGCCAGTCATACCAAAACTGGCTGTTTCGTCAGCTAAGAGAAACAAGGTTATTGAAAATACCCAACACATCCAAAGACAAGTATTGGGCATGGAGCAACAACTGAGGGCTCTCAAGGTCATCATTCAACTGGAAGCCGAAAAGGAAAAAGGCACGTGTGAGGAGGTCCAAGGAGCTTGCTACTGCCTTGACCCCTCTGATTGCCCTCATCTTCAACCCCGAGTTCCATCCACAGCACCTGTGGACTGGCAGGTTTCTCTGCATCGAGGCAAGAACGGAATCGTCTTTGAGACATCGATCAAGACCATGGCAGACGTGGCCACCTTATTCACCGAATCTCTCCGATACTTCTCTATTCCGTCCCTCCCAAATGGTCCAAAATTCCCTGCAGAGCATAAAATCCGTGTCACCCACAAGATGCTCCAAATAGAGCAACTATTCCGTGTAATGTTCCGTCAAAAAACGCCCGAACCTGCTTACCGTCCAATGGTTCCAATCGTCCACTCGGACTGGATACGCTCCGCCGCAAAACTCCATCTAATCGATGCCTACTTCTCGTGTGCAGGCATGATCAACCCTGTCTTTGTAAAGGCATACTACAGACCATACCTTGCCCGCAATCCACATGGAATGCTGGCCTCAGCGATGGCTGGGTTTGCTGGATATTCACAGTGCAGACACGTGCATCTCGAAGGATTCGCCTACCCACGGCAAGAGCTAGCAGAATCATTCCGCAAAGAAGGAAGAGAAGCACTAGAGGAAGTCTTGTTTGATAGCGAGCCAGAAATCGAGACAGCTGCCACTCTAATGCTCATCGGTCAATGTGCTCTCATAATGCTGAGGAACCAAGAAGCCCGAACTTGTATTGGAATGGCGTGGCGCATGGCGGCTGACCTCAAACCTCGGTATTTCCCACTTATTGGCCATCCAGATAACAACTTGTCTGCCAGAGCAGAAACTTGGCGTCGTCTGTTTTACACAGTCCGTTTTCTTGAGCAGAATATGCTGATGCTCTACGACGGTATCAACGACATATCTTGTCTAGCCATCCATACCACAATCGGGTACCCCACTCTTCTGCCGTGCGAAGAAAATGATCCAGAAGTAGTCAATGCTGTGAATGTATACCACCACACTGCCCGAATGGGAGATTGCCATATATCAACTCAACTTGATGCCGTGGGCTATAAATTATTTGCTGGTTACCTAGACAGTGTTTCATTTCACGCCGTCCAACGACTCGAGAGCACGCTCTTCTCATTTTGGTATTCACTTCCGCCTCATTTTCATTTATCAGAACAACCGATGGAATACTTGCAGCTGGACCGAATCCAGCAATGCCCAGACAACTACATTCTATATTTGAATCAGCTTTATTACATGTATTGGATGACATTTCAAGCCAAGCTTATGAAGGCACCATCTAGTGATGATCTCAAAGGGGCAAGTCTTGGCAACATGGATTCTCGCCGTGCGCTCGTAATAGTATCAATCTGCTGCGACGCAGTAGCAAAGATATTTCAGGTACTCTATTGTCGTTTACCATGTATGGTAGAGCTGCACTGGTTGCTGGTTGCAGGAGATGCTATGGGGCTTCTGAAGGATGCAGCCAACCGTAGCATACGCACAAGGGCCCAGTTGAATTTACAGACGACTCTCCGTATTCTCGGGAGTCGAATGCAGATCGTCCGAAAGAATACCCGAGTTAATATACCCATCCAAGACGTGCCTTCCTCTACAGGAAGGATTCCTTTGACTTCGTTTAATAACCAGAACAGTAGAAACCATGTTGGGCAATCAGATAATCTCGATAGTGCTTCGATGGAGTTCTGCCACTCTACTGGGTCGGTAGCAAGAAGTTCATCACTAGATGGCTTGAGTACAAGTTCTAGTATAAGTAGCTTAGCTGAATACGATGAACAAGATCAATTTCCTGAGATAGATACACCTGGCATTGTTCGACAGCCTTCTCCTTACTTTGGCGAAGTCAACAAAACACTTGAATTGCATTATGCTAGTTTTGGATACCCAGGTGCTCGCGATGCACCTCATCATAATCTACATTAACAGTAACATCAACAGCAGTAGCAACAGCAATAGTAACAAAACTCTTAGTTTTCTTTCCCCTCTTCTTTCCTTTTACTACTTCTTTGTGCTTTGTACATACTCATTATCTTGCTAATTCTTCAACTTGCCCCATTAAACATCCTTCTTTCTTTCTTTTTCTTCTTCTTAATAAGCATACATATATAAAATTGTCATACTTATTTATGTCTAATGTTTTGTATATTTTCGATGAATATATATGTATGTATGTGTATGTGTGTATCAGAATGCTTTTATGAAATGGCATGCACCATTTGAATGGGTCAAGAAAAGAGGATGAAAAAAGTAAATAAGATATCAAACAAGCCAGATATTTTCTGGCTTTCTTGCTTTCTTTAGTGTCTATAACCAACCAGGTAGCCAAGAATATTAGATAGGCTGACAATCCCAACCAGCTTATTTTCATGGTCAACCACAATTAGTCTATATACACGCTGTTTGCGAATAATCCTGAATATGGAATCAAGTGTGTTGTTGAGAGTACAAGTGTGAACTCCTGGATAATCCTTTTTTTTTAAAGGACAAAATAAATACTTTTGTCAGCCATCTTTTATACTACGAGATCCAGAAATATATCCCATTTATATATTCATTTATATATTTATTACCTTTGGTCTGGCTTCCATGGCCTCCCCAACAGGAATATCAAGCTCGTTATATCTTCCCGTCCGTGCTATACTCTATAAAAAAGTATAAACATATGAGAAGAAAAATGAAAGAGGTTGATTTTATTGTCCACACACACACACACACGCACATATATATATATATATAGCTTACCATTACATCGACTGTCTCATATACATTCAAAACTACATTGTTCTCATCAACAATCGGTACTGCGCTCACATTCTTATCCACAAACATATTGATAACTTGGATAACAGGTGTTGACAATGATGCTGTGGCTATATCTTCGTAGGTACCGACTTTCAATTCTGACAAGGGTTGTCTCAATGCTTGTGCATCTTTAAACTTTTGAATTTACATATTAAGCAAAGAAAGGAATAATAATAATAATAATAATAATAATAATAAACATACATTTAATTAATATTCATTTCTTACCCTCCACCAACCTCACATTTCTCCTCTTCTTCTTTTGGTGTTCGCACAATTTATATATATATATATTACTTACATTCATGGCAATAAATTTGAGAATTCGATACTGTGTCAACACGCTCACAATCATTTCAGTATTCGTATTTGGTTCTCGGTCTAACAAAGGTACCCGGTGCACTCGACTCTCAGCCAAAAGCCGACAAGCGTCATACAAAGTCAACATTGGATCCATAGATACCAGCTGGGATGTAGGTGCGTTAACTTGCTTTTCAACGTCCCTTAAATGGGCAATTTCGAATTGTTCGATATCTTTCAGTGCCTCTTCGACCGAATTGTGATTGTAGTAGTACTGGATTAGGTTTATGAAATCTGAAACAGCCAGCATACCCGCGAATCTCTGGGTTTTGCTTTCCCACAACGGAGCCGAGACAATACCTTTATAATGATAATTATTGTTATTGTTATTATTAACATCATTTTCAGAGGAATAATAAAAGAATTTCAAGTGTGCATGTATGTGTACTAGCACAGAATATATATATATATATATATATAAGCCGAGGAAGAAAAGATAAAGATACAAGTTTAAGATATAGTTGAGTTTCCAAGAAGCAAAAGAGAAAGAGTGAAAAGAAAGAAGAAGTAGTGTTTGGGTACCATTCTGGACAAGAGCAAAAAGTGCTTTTTGGACTGGCATACGAGTATCAAATACAATAAGACGGTAGCTGACAGGTAAAACATCGTAAGCAGTGTGCTCTTTTAGAAATGAACGCATGAGAGCCTGGATTTCATTTGTGGCATTTGCATCAGAGTTTTTGGCAAATGAAACATGAGGAGAGGAATTCATTGAGAAGGACATTCTTGGAATGATACAGTAAAGGTAGTATATATATATATATATTTGTGTGGATGTATATATATATATATGTAAATGTATAATTGTAGCAAGTGAATTGCCCGCTTGAGTTTTCTCTTTCGTTTCTCTTTCTTTTTAGGATTTTAATAGTGCGGCCGACTCATGTTATGCGCGGCTCTTTAAAAAAATCATACAAAAAATGAAGAGAAGAGTTTAACTGGTCATTGGTGATGTTGGGTTGCAAGTCTTTTTTTTAAAAAAAAAAATAACGTTCTTAATTAGACACACAAGCTTTGATGTAATTTAGTGTGTTAATCAAATCAAATGCTCCATTGTGTGCACAAAATGAATTGCTCTGCTACTAATATGATTATAATTTGAATGGCATGTGAAATTATTGACGAGAGATGAACGAAGTTAAGAAGTAATACGAGCCTGATAATAGTGAAGTATTATCTCAACTATGAAAAAAAAGTAAGGCTCACACACTAGATTTTCAAGTCCAAGAGAATAGGCATACCCGAATAGTACTGTCACTGGTGCTGAGAAAGTGGAACAGAGAAGGAAAGAAAATGGCTGGAAATGGACGCAGTAGTGATAGCTCTTTATCAGCTGTTTTTTTTTGCCAAAGGTTGTGCAGGTTATGAGGCATTGACTATTTCTCTCTCTTTTTTTTTTCAGTTGGTATTAGAATAAGTGTAATTAGAAGAGAAATAAGGGTCAGAAAGAAGAACAAGAAAAAAACCGACGTATGAATCCTGTGAGAGTCATTATGGGAGAACGGCCATCCATTCGGACTAGGGCCACGAGAGGATTGGAAAGAGAGAGAGATAGTCGACAACCGCTCAAGAAGTATAATCTGAAGAAGATAGCATAAACTAGGCGAACGATAATTATAAAGTAATATAGAAGTAACTCAATATACTGCCGGAAAAATATGGATGTGGTTTCAGACATGTCAGAAGGCTTGTGACAAACGTTGACAGGTAGTCCGTGATTGTTATGGTTTCTTTCCGGTAATAAATCGCAAATTCGTGATGAAGATATTTCATTTTAAGATCCAATATGGGCATGTCAAGGAGTGGGGAAAGAATATTAATGAAATCATAACCGTGAATGTTGATAATGCTGACAGCTATAAGAAACAAAGAGTCCGGACAGGGAAGATGTCAACCATGTTTCCGAAATTTGCATGGACATTGATCATATTACTGTAGAGAAGAAGAAAGGGCACAAGAAGGAAGTAAGGTATAAACCACTTGAAATTAATAAATAGCTGTGTATAGAAAAAAGAGAGAAAGAGACATATTTATAAAGACCCCAAGGGAATTAAAGTTATAACGAACAAGATAACAAAGTTCCTTATACATATGTTCTTAATCTAGAAACAGATCAACATATTTGGTACATGGATAAATCAAAGGGGAGATAAGCAAGCTAAAGTCCAGCTATAAATCTGCTTGACATAAAGATAGATTGGAAAAGAGCTTGTGAGAGGACTGAGGCAGAAACAAATCATACCTAAGCTTGAAGTTCAATAAATTATCAGGGCTAATTTTTTTTAACACAGATGAGTTGATGAATAAATTATTACTTAACTACTTCTAGAAGGTTATGTCTATATTCCACAGATATTCCATTTGTGAATTTCAATAATTTCGATCAGCACAAGCCTTTTGAATGTGTCGCATCTTGGAAATATCGACCAATAAACTCACAGAAAATTCCATAAAAAATTAATAACGAGTAATTAAAAAAGAAAAATAAAAATCGTTTAGTTCCACCAAAATATGGTTTACAACTGCGGAGTCAAAGAAGTAAGAAGATATGTGGAATGGCTAGTAATTTCTGTTACTGTTAGTTCCCGTAAATTCATTATATAGTCAATATAAATATAAGCATCAATATAAATATTTTTATTTGAGGCGACGAGGGTAGGGGGGGGGGGGGGGGGAATATTTGTAAAAATAAATAAAGGAATAAAGGTCTAATATGTGTATCTGTTTTGATTTTGATTTTGATTCTGATTCTAAAGCCTCTAGAAATTAGCAATAGTCTATACATGTAAATATCTATACTTATTTACGCATTAAACGGTAGACGTGAACACCAGTGTTTTCAAGGATTTCAGCATAAGCTAGCAAGCTATCAATGTTATGGGATCTACTCGAAATTCCGGTTTCTGTGGTCTTTTCCCATTCGGCCTGTAGATCTTCTGGCACAGGGGTCCCATACTCGCTCACACGAAAGTGCTTACTGCACATTGAAAAGAACATGTCTTCTTCTTTTTGGGTGAATCCTCGGCGCTTGTATCCCAAATAAACGATGGTTTTTTTAGGTGTGCTGATATCACACAATGTCTTTATCAGAAGAGGGAAATCACTTTCATTGTACAGAACATCAGATGCAAGAACAATATCCACTATATTGTTGTCTTTGGCGGATCGGGCATTCGTAGCTGATCCCCACAATAAAGGTTTAATTCTGACCTGCTTTATAGCGTGCATATGGTTAAGTTGTTCATTCTCTCGGATGATCGATGTTGCTTCGGGTATATCTGTGAGTGTGATTGTCGGGGCATTCATGCCTTGACTTTGGTACAAATGAGAAATAAATAAACCAAGGAATCCAGTGCTAGAAGAAATACCTAGTTTAGTAACAGAAAGAAAAACACCGAAACAAAGAAAACCAATATACATATATATATATAATCCTAAGTAGACTCACCCTGCGCTCAAGTCTATGATACGTCTACCCGCAAGGCCCTGAGGATTGTTGATAAACCAAGTACTAAACATATTGGAAAGGACAATAGCAGAGTCCCACAGTTTTCCAGGCGTACCACATCCCCATCTCTCCTTGAGCAGAAAGTAGCGGGTTATCCCATCGCCAGGATAAGCCAATGCACGGTGATTTTGATTTGTCTGAAATTCTTCGGGACCCCAGGGAATAATACTTTCGTAAGCACTTGAATCAACTGGCTTGTTAGTAATAGAAATAGGTCCAATAGCCAATGGGAGGACATCCAGGTTCTGACTATTGTGATTCTGGACAGAAAGTGACAAGGAACTTGCTAAGGGACGGATATATAAATAAAAAGGCTTTTTTGGCAAAGAATCTATTGATCCAGATCGTATTCTATACTCTAAGCCTCCAAGAGCGCTATTCTGGAACCCTGGCCACGGTGCTTCCTTCATGTCGCTCCACTCGCTCCAGGTTAAACCTCGTGTATCGATTTGAATCGACATGTCAGTAATCCATTCTTTCCTCGGACATTGCACTAGAGCAGACACTTCTAGATTAAGGTTGTTCATACTAGCAATGTTGGAGTCCAGAGAAAGACCCATCTCAGTTACGGTGTGGAGATGAACTTTTTGCCAAGTATCTGGCAGAATCGTGCTTGCAACATTGCGTTCCAATATCAGTCTATGTAATGTTGTGCTCTTTGAGAGTGAGCGGTAGATTGTTTTTTCAAAGTCAAGGTTGTCGGCTTCGATGATTATTGATTCGTGATTTTTAACAAGGTTATTCCAAAAAGCCCCATTCGCACAAGAAGCAATCTTTGCAGGACTGAGAGGTTGGAATGAAAGCATGTTCTAAGCGTTGGGTTTTTGCGGAGATAAAATATCAAGTTATAAGTGTTTGAGATGGTACTATTCTCTTGACTTAAATATAATTATCAGCAGAAGCCCCTAAAATACAAAATATTGTGTAAATGGAATATGAAACGACAGTAAAGAAAAAATCCTTACGCTGTTTGTTGACAAAGAATAGAGAATATGGCGAATTTAATATTGATTTTTAATAATAATAATAATAATGAAATGAAAATCTGTAAATTCAAGGCCTATTTATATATTCATTGTTCAAACGAACACAATTATTATTTTTAGTAATCTTATCTTAAGAGTGACGAACACATACGTCTACAATGACAACATTGAAAGCACAATAATATTAAGAGTAGTTCATATAGAAGAAATACTTTCTTTATGTATATTTCATAATATGTGTATGAAAGTTTATCAATTAAAACAATCATACACATATGTAGATAGAAATAATCAGGTTAATCAAAATTATTGTATAATGCGAAATCATCAAAAAAAATTTGCTTTTTAAAAATTCTGGATAAATGAAGTTTTCGATAGCTATCCTAATCAGTAGTGCATATGTGCCCAATAGATAGAGAAAAGAATATAATGCATCTTAACATTAAATAGAGACACTGATTCTTTTGGTACTCTCTAGTAAATAGGATTTATTGAAATATTATAATGAGCATATTCTATATTCGTTAATAGCAGTAATGTGTACCATAGTTAGAATATAAAATTTACGAAAATATTCTGATAATAAATTTACCAATGAGCCTGTTGAGCAATATCTCACATGTTTTCGTTGACATAATCGCAACATCCATTGGATAATTGCACTGGCTTTTGATCCTTAGCCTTTCCTATATACATTGTCTTAATTGTTGCCAATTTAAAATCCATGTCCAAAAAAAAAACAACAAAGAAGCTAGCGAGTATCCTTGATTCCAATCTTTATATATATTGCAATGACAGCTATTAATCTAGTTTGTAAGCATACCTTTCTTAGGTAGTATATATATAATAATAATAATAATACTTTTGACTAAGTGTTTGAAAGTAAAGTAAGTGATATATTCTAAAATATTTTATATATACAATGAGATACATAAGTATTATATCAATCTACAATATCCAAATAATTGAACCTAAAATTATACTTTTGGATGTCAAAGTTCTTTTTTTTTTAAAAAAAAAAAATTAAATAAAACACATTTCATCCAATAATCTTCGCATTAACCCACAATTATTATATAAAAAATTAAGTACCTAAAATTGTTGAAATCTTTTATTATAATCAGCAAGAGTGATATATAATATATGAATATCCTTACTAAAAATTCTCTCAATTATCTTCATTCCCTTATAAATGCATTACTGTATTTCAACTTAATCTGAAAGTAACATTAAAATTAATGCTAGGATTTAAAGAAAAATCCGAGTTTTAGACAAAGTGCTATCAGTTTTTTTTTACAAAAAATAATTTAATTAGGAGTTTTAATTTCCAAGTTTTTACTTTTTAATATCTTAGTAAATTGATTACCCACAATAGAAGTCTCATTGATATACATCTTAGTGGTCATGGAATTCTTTATTAGAAAGGGTATTTGTATCAATTTGGGCCAACAAAATCTTGAAAACGAGTCGTTTCAGACCAAATTGTTATAGCACAAAAAGGATATGACATATTTTTATAATACAAATTATATTAAAGTAGAAAACCGGATATACAACATCCAAAAAAAAAAGTCAACAGCAAAACGGGAATTTAAAAATATAAACTCTGATGTTTAAAATATTTAAGTTACGAAAAAACAAAGTCGAAAAACGTAGTAATGGATACATCGTTACAAGTCGATACCTTTTCTACTGTGGGAGCGCTATTTATTCAAGAAAGTCAAATATTATTGTTTACATATATTGTAACATATATCACATGTAATTCAAATTACTGCTGCCAATGGTTGGCTTTCATTGTATAAGTATATAGTATACGTGTGCCTGGTGTGTATACCACAAATATAATCAATTTAAATAAGTATAGCTCTCTAAACTCCAAATTACTGAAGAGGGTTCTACTCTTGGGTACTTTATTATACTCAAAGTACTTGAGCATATTTTACAAAAAGATATTTTACCCAAGAATATTAAGAGAGCTAAGCAGGTTTTTTTTCGCTATTAACTATTATTGCATGATAATAAAAGCATTGCTAAATCAAATTGTCAGACATCAAAAACTGGTGATACCCCCTAGTAAACAGTATCACCAGATAATATTATAATCATTGTATACTATAGTAGAAAAGGGGTGAATCTCAATATATGGAGCACTACAGGAAGAAATCTGTCAATTTTTTCCAAAAAAAAAGCAGATTTTTTACCTTGCAATGTGTTCTTTATCAAGGTACTTTCACTCGTAAGTCTCACATTCTCGATAAATATTTAGACATTTTTATTCAAATAACATTTAAATATGATTTATTAACTAAACTGTTGTCTTTAATAACAGTAATGGTTTTCTTGGGGGTAAACAATCAAAATAAACTCTGGCCGATTATCTGGATTTAGACATTTTAATACATCAAATCAACAGCCCCTATATTCAAAAGTGCTATGCGAAATTATGCAAGAAACGTTCTGAGTTGGTCTACCCTGAATTACACTACGGGAAATGAGTGACGATTCAGATTGCGATTTTGAAATATACTCATAATGTTTTTCAAAATTGCCACCGGAATTTCCACTTTTTCTCCCATAGTGTTAGTTATACTTCTACCAAATTATAAATTTATTGAGGCCAAGGTATTAATTTATAATTCTATAGCGCAGAAGACGTACGTTCATCGACCCTGTGAGGATGTGTAGCCCTTGAAGTTACGACAAAATAAACATGTACACGAGCAATGCAAAGCTACGCCCCCAAAAAAAATAAATGTTAAAGCATGGTGTATATATAAATATACAGTAGGCTTATACGAAGTCATTATTATTTTGAATCGATTTTTGCAGAAGATTCACTTATAATATATATATATATATATATATATATATATTTATAAGTAAAATATTCTTTTTGCTTTATTTAAAACTCTTTTATTATTAATATTGGAAAATATGGAAAAAATATCAAAGTGTATATTTGAGTCAGAATATGCTTTTACAGTTTCTAAAGCTATTGTAGCGTCTGTGGCAATAAAGCTGGCTTACATCTTATACTCTGTTTTTTGTAAAAGCCAAAATGATACAGACAGTTGGAATCGTGAAGGATTCAAAGAAATACCTTCTCCTCCTGAGAAATACCCATACTTTGGTAAATATTACTTACAAAACAGATTTATCCGTGTAAATAGATACTAAAGCAATTAATACATGGCTCTTAAACACAAAAGGGCATATACTTTCTCTAGGAAACATGCCTAGCCTCCAGGTTGAGAAATGGCACAAAGAGCACGGTAAGTCAAATTGTACTCTATGTTCTCTAAAAGAAAACAAATAACAACTCTTGAAATCAGGTCCAATTATACATCTTAATATGGGAACCGCACATTGGGTTTTTATAAATAATCCACAGATTGCTCATGAAGTGCTTGTGAAAAAAGGGGCTGTCACATCTGAGAGGCACAACCATAAATTTGCATACAATATGTACAGTAAGAATGGCAGGTAAGTTGCAGTAGATATTTTGTAATGCAAATCTTATTTTAAATGTATTAGTGGCATTGTATTCAACAGAACTGGGAAGAAGTGGAAGAATTCCCGAAATATCGGTGAGTCTATAAAAGAAGATATATATATTGGAACTTTGGCAGTTCTTATTGATTCGAAAAACAACAACAACAACTACAACAAAACAAAGCCAACTCGATCCTTTCTCCACAGAATATAAATCGAATTACAGGTGGCCTCGAACAATCTATTGATTCTAGCCTTGAAACTTTAAAAGAAGAATCACAAAAGAACGAGCCGGTCTGCCTATTGCCCTACCTAGAATTAATTACTTACGGCGTTATAATCAAAGCAGTTTTTGGAAAGGATGTGGCATCTATTGACGACCCTCTTCTTAAGAAGTTCATTTACATTTCACGGGGTGTAATGGAGCATTCTGGACCCAAAGGAAATATTGCATCGGTTTTGCCTGGATTTTCCTGGATCTCTCGATTAACAAGTGTGGAAAAAGATATGCATGCAGTTGTTAACATTAGGGACGTCTCTGTTAAAGAGCTGCTAAATGACGCAGTTTCTGGAGAAACAGACTGCCTGGTCAAACATGCATTCTCCGTCAAGAAAGAGAATAATCTGAGCGATACAGATATAATTGTATTAGCATGCAAGTCTCGATAAACTTATATTAAAATACACTTTAATTGATTTTAATTAATTTTTTTTTATAATATTCATTAATATTTAGCTGATCTTATTGTCGGTGCCGGTGATACTACAGCTTCACTATTATTGTGGCTATTTGCTATACTGGCAGAATATCAAGATGTTCAGAAGATAATATGCGCAGAGATTGATACATTTATGATGAAACATGGTCGGATACCTTCCTTCTCAGATAGATTGGATCTTCCATACACTGAAGCTGCTCTTCTAGAGAGTGCCCGCTTTAGATGTGTTAGCAACTTTGGTGTCCCTCACTGTGTAACAGAAGATGGCAAGTGATTCTTACATATTTTTCGTAAGTGAAGTCTAACAATAAGTTAAGTACAGTCCAAATAGATGAGTACTGTATTCCCAAGAACACGCTTGTTGTGATTAGTATGTACGCTATGCACATGAACCCAGATGTTTATGAAAATCCGCACAAGTTCATGCCCGAACGGTTCTTTGGACGTACAAACAGTTGGAATACGTCTTCTAATGGCAGCATCAAAGATCGCGATATTTATATGTTTGGATGGGGAAGGTGGGTTTATACTAATGTATACACCGTATAATATTCATTAAGACTGTATTATGTCCCTTTCTGCCTTCTTTAATTTAGACGCATCTGTCCGGGTATTCATTTGGTAAAAGCAAAACAAAAAAAAATGAATATATATATATATATATATACATAAATAGACTGAATTGGACTTAATTTGTAACATAAAAGTAAAGGAAAAAGAATATTGACATGTTTTATAATGTAGACTGAAATAGAAGTGTTTACTGTATGCATACGCTTTCTCGCAAGATGCAGTATAGAGCCACCGATCGGAAAAGATGGGAAACCAGAAACAATAGATCTGCATGAGCTTTTGGGCGGAGGAATAACCTTTACTCCTAAAGAGTACAAAGTGATGTTTATCCCTAGAAATGATTCCTTACCAATATAAGTCTCCTATTCACCAAAATACGTATCAACTCCATATATCAGCTCAATGTTGATTATAAAGCTATTTTTAACCTAACTATCGATTCATAGATAAGTATTTCAGATTAATATTATGCTGTGCTTTTTATTCAAATGTATCACAAATTGGGGTTCCTTTTTTTTCAGAGTTGGTTTGTTTGAATACACTATATTTATGAAATACACCAGCCATTCAAGCGATATACACAGCTAAGCAAATGTTGATCAAAACAATAAGAAATACTTGAAAATATCCTGCTGTGATAGAGTACATTGCGTGACCTAATAAGCTTAAAGATGTGTCTCACAATAAGAAAGGCTGCTTTTATATACTTGAAATTTACATGTTGCATAATACTCATATCTCAGCTTTCATTGTTTCAGTTTTTTTTTAAAAAAAATAGAGAATTGCTTGTATTTACCTGATGAAGACCTTTTTATATTAAAAATAGAGACTTTAAAGCGAGAACAATTACTGATTTTATGTAATAAAAGTAGAAGGCTTATATTAATAATCTTGAGACAAGTTGGCTGAAATGTTTGAATTTTATACTATTTATTTCTTTAAAAAAAACCTGAGGCTGAGTGGGTAAAATAATCGAACTCCTTTAGTATCTACTACTTTATTTAGAATGCTGATTTTCATTATTAAATAATATCTATGGCAAGGGTGTCTTTTGTCTTGGCACTTCCGCAAGCCTTTTTCTTATCAACATCTTGGCAATAAATAAGAATATAGGAGCAAAATATTGATTTAAAGTAGAAAGGGTCGATAGCTCAAACTGGTATTCTTTGAACCTGGGAACATAAAACAACAATCAAGATGTTGATATAGAAGATTACCCGGTATTTCTTTTTTCTGGTAAAATTTAAGTATATCTTTACCGGGGTTGTGCCAATTAGTCTATAAAGTATATAGAGAAGTTCGGTAAAATGAGGCAGTCCTTGAGTAGAGATATAAAGTGCCTGGAAACTTTCTTCTATATACATATACATATATAAAGGAATAGAAGAAAAAAAAAACGAGCTAAAGCAAAAAGGACTTGGCGCGCTCCATGTGACGGTTTACCGAGAATAGAAAAAGGCATGTATCCGCTTGGCACACTTAAACTCTTCTTTGTTCTTTCTTAATGCCATCCGCAACATTACCTAGCGCGCAAGACAAAAATGTCGTCCGCAAAGCAATTCCAACTTCTGTAAGCCTTCGTCTTCACCTTACCGAATGCTACTTGCTGGACTTACACTAACATTTGATTCTATAGAAAATTTTGATGGCAGCAGTTGCTCGTCTGTACATTGCTAGCCCAGACCCAAATAAATGGACATACACTGGTCTTTGGGGAGCAGCAACATTCTGTAAAGACCAAAAGAGGAATAACTCTTATTTCATTCGTCTAATTGATGTAGAGGTAAATGGTCATCTCATAAAGATGTGTTGAGTTTTAAACAAGCTTTATAGAATAATACTGGAGTTCGATGGGAGCAAGAGCTCTATGAAGACTTTGATTACGTCAAGGATAGACCATTCTTCCATACATTCGAAACCGACGTAAGTAATTACATTTGCATTGGCAGGTTTATATGAACTTTTTTTCGGATGAGCTAATATTTTTCACGCAGGATTGTCTCGCTGGCCTGGAATTTGTGGATGAGGATGAAGCCGAGACATTTTACAAGAAATTAGTAAATCGTAATACAGTCAAACTCAAAGGTATAATATAGAGTTATATCATTGAATACCCACATGCTTACAGTGACATATAGATGATACGCATTCAAAAGCTGCTCTATTTGGAAAGACGCAAAAGAAAACCAAAGTAGACAAGAACCAAATAGGCATGCCTGCAGACTTTCGGTAAGAAAATAATGTGATACTCGTTATAGAATAAGTGGGATGTTGACTGTATTTACAAATGCATATATATATATCTTTGTGTGTGTGGATTTGTGAATATTTAGACATGTGGGACATATTGGATATACACCAGGAAAAGGTTTCCGGGTACAGAACAACGATCCAGAGAAAAGTGCTATATTTGACCAGCTAAAAGAACTCGGAATCACACCAGAAGAAATCGCTCAAAACGAGGACTTCATCCAAGGGTTTCTACAGCAGCATGATTCTACAGCATCCTCTTCAACCCCTCCTCCACCTCCACCGCCAAACCAAAATTCACTAGGATCAAAACCACCCTCGCCACCCTCCACACGTAAATCAGCTCCTCCACCCCCACCTCCTCCAAGTAGTAAGTATCTATAATATGTATGGTGTAATGTATAAATACTCATGTCGATATCATAGGTCGTAGACAGCCACCTCCACCACCACCCCCGAGAAGATCCAATGGTACTACCCCACCACCCCCACCGCCAGTTAGAAGCCACGTCCCACCACCACCAGTATTACCATCACGTACAGCACCAATGACAGCACCACCACCACCACCACCACCACCACCAACTCTTCCAAATCGTGGCGGACGACAAGTTCCAGTACCACCACCAATGGCTCCTCCTCCTCCTCCAATGATGGCACCACCACCACCACCGCCTGCACCTCCAATGGCCCCACAACCACCTCCTTCAACTATGGCCCCACCACCACCACCACCTGCACCTCCAATGGCTCCTCCCCCACCCAGCATGGGAGGAGGAAGTATTCAATTGCCGCCTACAGCTGCAGTTCAGCCAGAAGCTCGCAGCAACCTTATGGAATCAATTCGCGCCACTGGCGGGTTTGGTTCGCTTAAGAAAAGTGGACACTTACATAAAGCTGACGCCGATGCCACATCTCACTCGTCGTCTAATGGTGCTTCAATGGCTACTGGCGCAGCTGTTGGTGCAGCTGTTGGTGCTGGTGTTGCAGCCGGTGCAAACGGTGATCTTGCGTCAAGTTTGGCTGCCGTTTTGAAGCAGAGACAAACTGCTATGCAGAGCGATGATGAGGATGATGATGACGAGTGGGAATAGATGTGCGGGTATACACTAGAAAATAAATGCAAAGAGTAGTATGCATAAAATAAAAGGGGACCAATAAAAAATATATACATCTAAACAATAATAAGATTATATTATCAAAATCACACAATCTACCAGCATCCATGCTCATATTATTTGAAGCTCTATTCTTTTCTCAATGGAAATACATGTTTATACGACACTTACAATGTACTAAGTTACTTCCTCATATGCACATACAGCCCTGATATTTCAACGTTATAGTAGACCTAGATGGATATAATAACTTGTAGCGATAAAACGGAAAGAACACACACACATATATATATATATAAAGTATTTAATCTTTTCGACAAATCCTTGTACTTTATTTATTTTATTATAAACACTGTAATTTTATTTGGCTCCTGCTCTATTTCCAAACTCCTCGCTAGAAATCACATTTTAATGGTTACTTCCAACCTTTCACACATAGTTGTATTTACACTATTTTAACTTACTTGTATTCACGCCAGATCTATTATGAATCAATAATATATGTTATATAAATAGTTAGGGAAAAGGATGCTTTTTATTTGTTTATTAATTAAACTTACCACAGGTGCAGAAGTACATGGAATTAATCCAACTTCAGTCACTACCAAAGTGATATATTTTGAGGGAGTCACATCATACAACATGTTCAAAAGTCTGAGGTTATGCTGATCTCTCCAGTTGACCAGAGCAAACTCTTCTGAAGTAGGATTACTCTGATGATGTGAATTGGTAATGGACTTTGTATTGACGAGGGCATCAGGGTTACCTACAAACCGCAATAGTAAGACCTCACCAGTAAGTATACAAATTAAAAAAAAGGGAAGTAAGACAGAATCAAGCTTTAGAAACCCACCCAATTCATTCATAACAAGTGAATCTACTTGAGTGCGATTGACGAACTTGTATGTTTCACAGCAAATCATAACAGGTATCTGCCGATCACTAGCAGCCATTGCAACCATTGCGCTACCGATACGAGAATATACAGCTCCATTGTTTAGCAAGGCGTGTGCACCCATTACTACCTTTGTCACTGATTTAAGAGCAACATATATACTTGACAAAAGATAATATGTGCAGTCTATTCCAGCAGTAGAAAGACGCTTCAAAAGATGTTTGCCTTTAAAAACGTAAGTAAATTAATACACCTTTCTTGCTTTTTCAAGTTTTCATGATAGTTACCTTCAAATAGAGGACGACTATCGACCACAATAACCTTGAACTCAATGCCCTCTTCCTTTGTCTTAAGCAACAGGGCTTCAACAATCGAAGACTTTCCATAAGTCAAGATCACATCCCCATCATTAATCTTTTGAAGACCATATTGAACAATCAATTGATCAGCAAGAGTGATCCGGTCGCGAATGAAGTCTTCGATGTGCTGAATCAAACGAGTACGAGACTAAATTTTGAATGATAAAAATCAATACCCAAAAAGCACACACAAACACACACAAAATGTCTTGTAAAGTATATATACTTCTTCATCAGTAAGCGGTGGATCATGCTCAACAATATCGGACATTTCTTTCTTTAACCAACGGATACATTCTCTCATACTAAGAGACATGGGGCGAGTAGCCAAAAGATAGGCAATATTAGGATCAAGGTGTTTTTGAATGTTTCTAGAGAATGAAGCATCAGCCGGGGGGCGATGGTCTTCGATAACCTTTATATACATATTTAAATATTGTTATTATGGTGTACAAAGCCAGCCTTCCATCATTTTCCTTTACCTTTGCAAATGTCTTTAGCATGGCCACACATCTTGCGTTAGATCCAACAATCTTGAACTCAGAAAAATATAGTCCAAGTGTAAGGACAGCAGGATGAAGTTCTTTGTTGGATGTATCAGGTTTCTTTGGAACGTCCAGATGCATCAACCAAGGGACTTGGTTTTGGGAATGTTTGGGTGCAAAAGATTTTTTCACTTGTTTGTCTTCAGTCTTTCCGGCCAAGGGTACAGATGCCACGGTAGATCCACCAGATAAACCAGAAAAATTAGTGCTATTGGTATTGGTATTGGTGTTGGTGTTATTGGTATTGGTATTGGTGTTGGTGTTATTGGTATTGGTGTTGGTGTTATTGTTATTGTTATTGTTGTTGTTGTTGTTGTTGCTGCCAACAGAATTTCCGGATACTGACTTTCTACGGCTTCCTTCTGCCTGCTTTCCCGCTGGCTTTGAACTACCTGAAGCAAGTCTACTTTGCTTTTCAGCTCTTTGCTGTTCCTGAAGAGCGCGTCTCTCGGCCTTGGTCATATCTTTTTGTGATTTACGACTAGGATTGGTATCAAGCTGAGTTTTGCTCTCTCTCCTTCCGTGTTGCTTTGATTGATCCTTGTTAGTCTTTTCTTTTTCGTTCGGCTTCTGGGCCTTGGTAGTTGCGTTGGCAGCTGCAGAGTTTGACTCTTCTGAAAATTGACTTTTTCTGAGACTAGATGCTGATTGAGGCTTTCTATCGTCATTAGATAACCAGCGATGCTCATATGAAGAGCTCATTGGCTGTCCAATGTTAGGAGAAGCTGGGATTTTTGGGGATGCATTCAAGATGGTCTAGAATGAAGCATTTCATGAATTTATAAGGGGAATAAGCAGTTTGAGCCATCTTTTTATTATTTTTATTAATAACAGTATTACTATCACTACTATTACTAATACTTTTGGATATTAAGCTATATGTTTTTATGAGCAGTATGTAAAATTAGGTTGGCTACTAACAGTTGGTTTTGTAGAACTAGAGTCCATAGTGCTTTTTCAATAGACTTCTTCTTTCAGTCTGTTTCCTACAAGCTAATAGCGGCCCAATAAGAAGAAGAAAATCCAATGCAATTAAGGGAGAAAACGAATAGAATTTGCCATCCCTCCAGAATCGCCTCTCAAAAAGTATATACAAAAATGTCGAGACTGTCATTTTGAAATATTGAGGCGCAGCAAAGAAAACCACAGGCCCTTTCACAATGGTTTTGTTGAGAGCCATTAACACTACAATGCAGATCATTAGTATTAAATCTTTTATTTATTTATTTATTTATTTAATAAATAAATAATCCAACATTTAAAACTACCAATGAAAATAGCAGCAATGAAAAAAAGAACAATTTCAAAGCGCCAAAAAATGATTGAGTTTATACTATTAAAAGTACCCAAATTTCCGTAATGCTCTTGATTTGTCAATCGTTGTCATCTAGGATAAAGCAATTACATAAAACACGACCATATATAGAAGAGTATTACAATTGATACAGACGGACCATAACCTTCCAAAACAAAGTAAAAAAAGGGTATTAAGAATACAGGCTCCTGTAGATCAAATAGGGCTTTCATGCAAAGTTGGTGAGTTTCCAAAATAGTATTTTATGTACATTACTATCTAAAGCAATATTGAAAGCTGAAAGGATCAGTTGGAAATTATCAAATGTTTACCAATAGTTATAATATAGTAGTAGTGGTAGTAGTATGTACAAGAATTTGTATACTGAGTATTCAATTAGCTCTTGTGAGTACTGAATAACCCTTCAAGCTTCGATAAACTCAAGTACATGAGATAACTGGGTTTGCAATTAAAGATAGGTTTAGGATTCTGAACTTTACAATAAAGCATCTTGATAGAGAAATAAAATAGAAAAGCTATGATTAATTAAATAAGTTTTATGTATTAGAAGTAAATGATAAAAAGCCCAAATATGTACAAAAAGCTCTAATGTTAAGCTTCAATTGAAACTAAAACTGAAAAATACAAAACGCGTCACTTATTCTTTTTTATAAAAAAAAACCTATTCTGGAGAGAAGCAAATTGCAGTATAGAGAGTCACGACGACGAAGAAGTAGTCGACTTCGTCCCTTACTACTCCTTCACTTGTTCAGTCATGTGGGAGCCTAACGAACAATTACTCCTTCGAGCACCTGTGCGTTACAAAAAACATGAAGGAACCTTGTTCGTTACCCCTCGACGAGTAGCATGGCAGCAACAAGGATTACCTCAATTGAATCCATCAATACACTATGGCGAGATTGGATGTGAGCCTTTCTCTATGTACTTTACTTGTATACCATCCTCAAATATACTTACATATATTATAACCTACTTTGTTATTATCGTTATCAATAGCTTTGGCACAGACGCCCGAGTCATCCGCAAAGGTCTTGCTTAAGATAACGGCGACAGCGCCAACACCTAAAGATTACACATTCCACTTCATCTCACCTAAAGCCTTGACAGAACGAGAAGCTATCAAATCCCAAGTGACAGAACTCTTAGCACGTGCCAGAGGCTTAATGGCCACCAATACGCCTGTGCAAACATCATCAGTCTCTTCATCTGCCCCATCGCCAGCACCATTTACCCCACCAACCACAAATTCTGCAACCACAACAACTGCGGCTCCGACGTCAAACGACGCTGGTACACCCCATTCAATTCAATCTATAGCTTCTCCTCTGCCTGTATCATCAAGCTCTACATCAACACCACCACCACCACCACCCGCTTCTTCCAGCTCCACAAATGCCTGGCGACACGAAGAATTCATGGCTAGAAGACAGCTACTGTCAACTAGTCGAGAGCTCCATATGTTGCACATGGAATTAGTGGTTACAGGAAAAAGTGTTTCTGAAGAAGACTTCTGGTCAAGTCCATATGTTAAGCGAATACGTCAGAAACTGAAAAAGGATGCAATTTCTCGTGAAGGAAGACAAAAGGGGAAATCGTCGAAAATGGTTGAATTGAAGCCTGGTCAACAGGAAGGATCAGATGTCAAGTATACCTTGACAAGTCAGATCATTCACAACATTTTTACAGAGTTCCCCTCTGGTAAGCTTCCAATTGTCGAAATTAGAATGGGATTGTTTTTATATTTGGAGAAATCAGTAAACTAAATTCGAATTTTCAACTGTGCGTATATATGTATATATGTGTATCTGATTTATGGGTGCGTGTGAATAGTTAAGCGGGCCTATGATACAAATGTACCTGATAAAGTAAGCTATTTTTCTCTATATGTAACTTACAAACCAGCTTACTTTTAAAGAAGTCTAACAAACTATATTAAATCTGTGTTTTCTTGTATAGCTATCGGAACAGCAATTTTGGAAGCGGTTCTTGGCCTCAGAATTCTTCCATCGCTCACGGACAGGAGGTCGAGCTCAATTGACACCTTATGACGATATTTTTGATCGATGTCTTCAAGAAGAGGATGATGGTAGTACACCAAGTCAAACTCTATATTATCACATTCTGACCTTTAAATATATCGACCACAGAAAACTCAAAGGCACCAGAGATATTAGATAAGATTAAGAGAGTCATTGATTTGACTGCTACAGAGGAGGACCACGGTGAAGTAAGGATTGTAGCGTGAAATATTGCTAGTGTGCTGATATATATATGTATATGTATATACGTGTGTATGTGTATGTGTGTACTTTCTAGTGCGGTAATGCACCAGATTATGCAATGAAGCCTGGAGAAAACTTGCAAGTCCTGTCATTAATCAGACGGTTCAACAGACATTCTATGCGTGTTCTCGAAATACCTTCTACGTAAGCAAATATCTTGAACTCAAAGAATTATAAACAAGTATTAACCGGTTAATATATATACTTATATATATAAATTCAGTAAATCAAAAAACGAAGAAAAGTCAGTTGATGTAAGATAATATATTGGGAAGACTTTATTATTAGAGAACTAGTCTACTAACAGATGTATTTTATATGCATACTCTAGGATGACATTGAAAAGGAAATCATAATATCTGACCTGACAGACGAGCCACCTCCAGAGAAAATTGTTCTTGATATTCAAGACACACGTCGTTACTTTGAAAGTCAAAGTGGCGGACAGAATAAAATGCAATTACAGGAAGAGGTAAATCAAATGATAATTATGATAAATAGCATATTATACAATCTTTATTTTATTGACCATTTAATTAAATTATTTCTTTAAAAAAATTGACTTGAAGGAAGGAGATAAATTATTACAAAGTTTCAAAATACATTTTCAAGATTGGCAACCCGAAATGACAAAGGTAAATATATTATGCAGTACACCTCCCATAAAAAAATCACCCAAATAACCATTATTCTTGTTGTTGTTATTAGCATGTAATGAAACCAAAGGTAGCCGATAAGGTATGTCATGACCTGACAATGACTATCAAACGAAAGACTCGACACGATTTACGATCATCTGTAACAGGTTAGTTTATATATTTTATCTACCACGAATTTTACTCATATATCCACCATATTTTGATCATAATTAGATGCCAAATTACCGCCTCCCGTTCAACAGAAGATTCAAAATTATCACTCGGCAACTAATGAGATTTTACGACATTTTTGGTCTTCGTTTGATCCCTATCGACCAGAAAAAAATGTTCGCATGGTTGAGGGTTTAAGGAAGCAGCAGGAGAAACTTAAAGAAGTGTTGACTGTAGTCAATAGCTACCAGGGTGATGTAAATCGATGTAGACAGGTATGATGTTGGTTTTTTTTCTTGATGGTTTTCTATAGAATCAAAATATCTAATATTCTTTGGTAGACTCTGATGCCTGTGATGACTGCAGTAGACAGAGCGCTAGAAGCTGCAAAAAAACGGGGAATGAAAAGACGGTAAATGTGTATATAGGTGTTTGCACACGGTATTGAAAAGCTATGATATATACCAAAATAATAATAATAATAATTGTACATTTGCACATAAAAGACAATAAAAAGAAGTGAAGAAAAATCAAATTGAAAGGCGTTATATGACACCCGAACGAAAGAAATTACGATATTTTAAATATTATCAGATAAAATACAGTATACAGTATCTTTGTAGAATCCTGACAACTAGCCTTTTATTTATGAACTTTGATCTTCTCAATTAAATGATTGTTAATATATATATATTTAAGGCTCGGTGAGTACTATATTAAAGAAGTTGTCTCTGCGTGGATTATCAAATAAAGCTTATCTGTACACCTGCTAACCTTTATTAAATTACGTGAATATAATCTAACTGTTTTTAAAACTAAAGCCAAAATATAGCTTCATATACCTATTTTTCCTTCTATATATCTATCATTATAACTAATATCCATATTCCAACTAATTGAACTGCATATGTATATATACAGTGTCAATTTGTTAATTTGCTATATTGAATTTGATATGATTTTTATCCAAAATTCTATTTTATGATAAAAAGACTTTAATTTCTTTCGTTCTACTGTTGACAGTAAACAATTTTACCTTTAGTCAAAGAGAAAGGGCTTTTTCCTTTTTTTTATTTTCTTTAGCATTGTACCTACCAAATGATCTTAATACCCGGTGGATATAATTTATATAGGATTTCTGGAAAATTCACAAAATAAAATAAAATGACCTTAGTCATCCCAAATTCTATACAATAGAGACTTTCTTGCTGAGAACTGTAGAGTTTAAAAAATAGTTGGATCGCTCTCTTAAAAAAGTGCTCTTCTCCACATTTTTCTCAGGCACCTTCACTATATTTTATATTATACTATGAACATTGAAGCTCTTTTCAGCGTCAAAGGCAAGGTTGTCCTTGTTACTGGTGGATCGCGAGGTATTGGAGAGATGATTGCCACTGTAAGTTTTGAAAATGCTGTGAATTTACCAATCTTAATTTTATTTTATTTTATGTCATCCAAAGGGATTCGTCCAGGGTGGTGCTCGTGTCTACATCAGCAGTCGCTCATCCAAAGCATGTGACGAAGTAAGTTCCAATCAGTAATCAGCCAACAAAACTCATCAAATCCATTTAGGTTGCTGCCAAGCTGACTGCCCTTGGTCCCGGAGAATGCATCTCATTACCTGGTGATCTCCAAAATCTTGCTGATCTCAAAGGACTTGTTGCTGAATTGACCAAGCGTGAAACTCGTAAGCGTATATGCATAAAAAAAACAACTCAATTATTTTGTGTGAGTGCTAATTAGATATATATATATATACATACCCGTTTCAGACCTCGATGTCCTCGTTAACAATGCTGGAGCTACTTGGGGTGCTCCCATTGATAGCTACCCCGATGCAGCTTTCCAGAAAATCATGAACCTCAATGTTACTCGTATCTTCACTTTGACCCAGGCGTATGTTTTAGAATTAAAGGAATATAACCGAGACTAACAAATATTTATATATACTGTATTTTTTGTGTGTATCAATAGATGTCTTCCTCTTTTAAGAGCTAATGCTTCGGCTGATAGCCCATCAAGCGTAATTAACATCGGTTCTATTAATGGTGAAAGTGTAAGTATAATTATATTAAAAAAAGGGTTTTTACTAAAGTTTATTATTTATATATTTCTAGGTTCCCGGTATGGAAACTTATGCCTACTCTTCGTCCAAGGCTGCAGTTCATCATTTGACTCGTCATTTGGCTAGCACTCTAGGAAAAGAACATATCCTTGTAAATGCTGTTGCTCCTGGATCATTCCCCTCCAAGATGATGGCTGCTACTCTTAGAGACTTTGGGGATGAAATCATTGCCAAGGTCCCTGTTGGCCGAGTTGGTACACCTGAGGATGTAGCAGGTAAATAGAACGAGATGTACTAGATTAAGTAAATGAGAAGCTTACATGTCACTACTAGGTACTTGCATCTACCTTGCATCAAGAGCTGGTCAATATACTTGTGGAAGTGTTATTGTTGTTGATGGAGGTGCTCTTCACAGCAGCTCCAAGATTTAAAACAAATTTTCAAGAATGTATACAATAGTTGATGAAGTTATCTATCTTAAGGACTAATATAAATACATAAATTTTGTACAAAATAATTAATAAATACATAATAATGTGTTTTCAATCTGTTATCTTTTTTATTGTCTCTAACCTTTTAATTTGATAATACAATATATATAAGTGGAGGATTTGACTTCCAAGACAAAGATCTATATCATAAACTACACGATCTCTAATTGAGAAATATGTGATATTAAGCGATATTTGCAGTATCGATTTTTGGGCTGTTTGATATTAATATGTAAAACTATTAAGTAATACAAGATATCGCCCTTTCTGTAAGGGGTAATAAAAGGTTGTGAAGTGAAGTCAAGGAAAACACTTTGACATAAAATGCACAATCTAATGCACCACAACAATCAGTTGTACATAATAAAACAACTTTTAAGCAAGGAAGAAGTAGTTTATTTTATAATAGGGTCGATGAAGATATTTAGAGACAATAATTATATGGGATAGAGCCATGATTTCAAACTAAAGAAGGCGGGGGTATGTATCCAACAAAATATTGAACTCATTTGCATAAAACACTGAAGACTTTGTAAGGGTGATACATATTCTCAAAGGCTTGGTCATGAGACCAAAATAATCGACACTATAAAAGACTGTTAGAGAAAAAAAAAGGGCAGCCTGTATTTTTTTTATCAGAATGCCTATTACCGAAGTTATTACAAGTCGTCCACCAAATGACCCTATTGCTTTTAATAAGGAGATTGTGACAATTATTTCAGAAATTAGTAGAAGACCTCCAAATGCAAGCTGAAAGAAATATATGTTATCACAAATCTCACATAAGTCTAATAGTATTCCTACAGTTATGTCTTGTCACTGTGAATATAGTAGATTCTATATATTTTGGCTGTAGCACTGCTGAATCATTTTTGGTAAAAGTCAATCGTATTGGTGGAATAAGCAAGTATAATAGCTATATTGAAAGTCAAGTTCAATAGTTATTAATTGTATATGTTTCTATAGATCCAGAAGATAATGCGACCACAACTGCTCGTGTATCTGCTGCAATAAAAAAATACATGGATATTGACAATACCCATGGAATCTTTTTGTTTACTGATTACCCTTCCACCAATGTGGGCTTTATGAATAAAACTCTTTAGCTTTACACTTATAACTAATTATCTACTACTTACTTAGTATCAATATCGATATATATAACATCCAGAATTATTATACTTATAATATTTACATTATAAAACAAGTTTTGGTTTCTCCTTTTAAACATAAAATTTTATTACCACTAATATATTTTGAGCCAGATTCACTATTAAATTAATAATAAGTTGATATTAAACTAAACCAAGAGACTTAATGTGTATTCTAGACATAAATACCCTGTAAGTATCTAAGTGAGGGTAGATGGTATTGAAACAAACCCTAAGAAATATCAAGTCAGTCTTCTCTAAAGTCAATGGCCTGTATAGTATATGACTATACACGATTCTTGATATTTTTTATTATTAGTATAATATATCGGTGTATATATCTATATTTCTTCTCTTAATCCTTTTGTTTCTAAATCCTATAAATCCTATAGCAAAAAAAGGACAACTTTGATAGGTTTACGAAATTCTTTTTTTTTTCTCTGGGGCTTGAGGGTAAGTCTAGGGTAGCATTTTGGCTAGACAATATTTTTCATTTTTTCTATATATTTCAACATCCCCCTCTTGCTTCATATTTTTTATAATGTTCTTTTAACATCATGTCTTTGATGTCAATGTAAAATTTCATCCCACTCCGCACAGTACAAACAAATCCAATAATTCACTGAATTATTCAAATAGTGCAATGCCTTATCATAAAGACATCTTCGGAACGCCCGGTAATAGCCGAATTGAAAAATCACCTTAGTGTCGTGTTCGTCTAGTACCTATTTGCCCCTCTGAAATTTATTCGTTGTCTTGCACTTGTTATTCTCTTTTTCTTACAGTAACTCTTCAGGGCTATTTTATCTTTCTTACATTACTTATAGCTTTAATATCACAGCTGAGCCTCAGAAATTGTGACATTTTATATCACAATTGGTAAATGATGTGTTTGGAGTCGAGGAGAATAGGAAGATCTCTATTCCATAAACAATACTTAACTTATAAGTCATATCTTTCAAAAAATCGGATTTTTCCATATAAATTACTTTATAAGAATAATAACGATATAAAAATAAAAACTAGTTGGAATATTATCTCAGAAAGCCATAACATATTATATTTAGAGTTTAAGAAAGGTGATATAAATGAGGGCTGGGGACTTGCTTGAACTTTCCAGGAATTGCGGAGAACATAAGAACAGTGCTTGGGTGTACCAAATTTAACAATAAAAGTATATTGTGTTAAATGAATAAAGTCAAAAATTAGATGTACAAGGAAGTGCGTAATCACACATTACAAACAGAAGAATATTGAGGAGACTATCAGAAAATAGCCCTAGGAATACCCCTTGACTTTCTATTGGAATCTTCTACTGTTCTTATTTTTTATATATACTAAATACACTTTACTATGCTGAATGATAAACTTGTGAAACCAAATATGCAACAAGATCGACAAAGCTTGTAAATATGCTCTCATAAAAATGCGAGCGCGCTCAAAGTTACTACCAACAGGCAAAAAAAACTCGTTTAATGATTAGGTATTTTTCAGTCTATTAAATTGCAATTGGATTTGGTTTTTTCTGGGTCCCCAAAAATATATTATATTTGACGTTTTTGATATAATTTATAATATATGTAATAAGTTAATAGACATACACATATAGCGTTTTATATTGTAATGAATGAGAGTATTGAATCCACAATATTTATTGAAGACAGTATTCTAGAAGATGGTATTCGAGAATATGCTACAAGTATCTTTAGCAGTTAGAGTTAGATTACTAATACAATACAATTAGAATATTGCTGCGCCATATCCAGAACATATAAAAAACCTCAATTAGGTCAAGCAAAATAAAGACAGTCATTTCTTATCCCATTTCTGATTCTTACCATTCCCTATCCATAAACACAACATCTAAATGTGTGAAATATTACATACATATAATATTTTATGTGTATTCATATATTTTCAGACACTTAGCTTTTTACAAATATTAAGTACGAATAATTCTCGATAAAGAAAGTTTCTTATGTCTTTCCTCTCAAGATAAGAAACAAGGTTAATGAACGCCAAAATATCTAGATTATTATGATCATGAATCAGCTGTTTATTCAGAATAGGAAATATACGTGTTCGACTAAAACATTCATGAACATATATCGTTTTATTAATCAGTAAAAAAAAAGCCTTTATTACTAATCAATATAAAAGAATCTCGCTTTACTCTTAATTAGCTGATTCTATAAACAGACAAAAAAATGCCATTTTTCTTTCTTATTTTAAGTGTTTTTACAATCGTATAATATACCTTTATTATTGCTCTTTGCTTATATTCAGTTTCACGGCAAAAAATTCGCTTCTTGGATTATACATTAAACTATATATCTCGTATTTACTATGGATAAAACAATAGTAAGTTGGATATATGCTCATAAAAAAAACAGAAATTATCGACTGGAGGTGTACCTAGAAGTTTTCTGCCTGCTGTCATTATGAATAGACAAAAGAATTAAACAAATATAACCTTTTTTTTTACATTAAAAACATTTTAACAAAAAAAAAGTCGTTTACGAGAAAAGACTAACAATCTCTAAAAAACAGATCCCAATTGCATACAGTGCAGACCAAACATACACAGGCGCTGGAGAACCTCCTTTCTATCAACCTCTCTTAAGATTATTTAATAAAGAATGGAACTATAGCAAGACAAACCTTATAGGAAAAGTAGCTATAGTTACAGGTATGACTAGTTTAGCTTACAAAATTGTCTATGTGGTATTAACTTTTGTCTTTGGTTTCTTGCTGCTTATATAATTAGGTGCCAACGATGGAATAGGAAAAGAATCTGCCATTGATTTAGCCAAGCGAAATGCCACTGTCATCATTGCCTGTCGTGACTCTGAAAAATCAAGACAAGCACTAGAGGATATTCGTCTTGCGTCTGGAAGTGACAAAGTTACTTTGGAGTATGTAGACTTTGCCAGTCTACAAAGTGTCAAGGACTTTTATACAGCTTTTATTGCCACCCATAAAAATTTACATCTGCTTATTAACAACGCAGGAGTATTCAATACGACTCGCAAAGAAACCGTGGATGGGTTTGAAGGCACCGTAAGATTCATTTTACTCACATCAAAATATTCAATTGTGTTAATATTCAAATTACTTAGTTTGGCGTCAACCATGTTGGTCCGTTCTTGTTAACCGAGCTCTTATTGCCTACTCTTATTGCATCCAAGCCTTCAAGGATTATCAATGTCGGTAGTGCTGGAATGCGATGGGCTACCATCAATTTCGATGATATTCAACTTGAAAAGAATTTCTCAGGGTTCGGTTCCTATGGTCAGTCAAAGCTGGCAAATGCTCTCTATGCATATCATTTGAGCAGAAGATTATCAGGCAAAGGTGTTACAGCTAATGTGCTTCACCCAGGAGCAGTAAGAACATCGATCGCAGCCAGAGATAAAAAATTGCTGAATACTATTACAACAACGATCTTTGGACTTTTTGCTCTGTACACAAAGTCTCCCATTCAAGGTGCCCAAACAATACTTTATCTCGCCACAGCTCCAGAAGTCGAAGAAAAGAGTGGCCTTTACTGGGAAAATTGTGCAGTTCATTCCCCCATAAACAAACTCGAGAATGACGAGGATACCCAGAACAGATTATATGAAATCAGCAATCTTCTTGTCAAGAAGTATATTTAGTCTCCTTAAAAGAATTGTAATCCATATATTTTTTTCTCATCAGCAATAGCCACTTTTATAATATAATATAATATAATATAATATAATATAATATAATATAATATAATATAATATATTTATTTTGTAACTATCTTATATTTTCCATATAAATATGTATATATATCTTAATTTGCTTCATTAAATACTACAGCACCATCCTCTCCATCAGGAACCATTCCTTCCTCATCTTCTCCTTCCTCGTCATCGTCATCATTGTCTCTCTCTTGGAAACGATGGAAGTTACCAGTAGTTCCCAATGCGTCTGCTTCAGGTGAACTCTCGTGGTCATCCCCATGAATTGACTCGTCATCAGAGGACTCGTAGTCTCTTCCCATATCCATAAGAATCTTTTGTGTTTTGTGCTATTGGATTATGTGTCGTATTAGTGAGACAGCCTATTAAAACATCAAGTAGAAAAAGGCAATAGTTTACCCCTCGTGCTCGTTCTTCTTCAATATCTTTCTGAAGACGTTTTACGATATCAATCATTTCTCCAAACTTTCTCTTTCTGGAGCTTAATGCTTCTTCTTTGTTAAGCTTTTCGCGTCTCAGCATATCGATATCGCTTTGTAATTGGGCGATTGACCTGTAGGATCAACAGCAATACATGATCAGTCTTACCTTTAATATTGCACATGTTGTCTTAACCACCATCAATGTTATTATTATTAAACTTACTCATGGTAAGCTTCTCTTGTCTCCAGCTTGAGAATTTCGCGAGCTACTTGGTCATACTCTAGCTTATTATCTCGAACCTTTTGAGCCTTTTTTAAGTCCTCTTTCAAATCAGAGATTTGATCCCTTGCTTCAGCTTCTTTCTTGACTAGAAAATTATATGTGAAATTGATATGGTGCATTGCAGTCTTTATATATATTCTTTAGGGTCGTCTTACCTGTGTCTTCAACAATATCGGCATATTTGGTAATATCTTTTGTATTTGCTTCTTGAATGAGTGGATGTCTCTCAATGCTTGTCTGGTAATTGGATATTTGAATCAAAAGTGCATCACAATTGCTCTTTCTAGTATGTAATGCGCATCAGTACATCTGTTTATGTTTAAATTGATTATACAAATAAAAATAAAGGACGTACGCCGATTCTATAGATTCATTTGGCAGATGTGCCAGCCATGAACTGACTTTCTTCTCTAGATTTTTTACTGGCCGGTCATCCATCGCCAGCCGTGTTTTGAGCATTGATTCTGACATTAGAGGTCTGCATAAGTATGCGTTGCAGGATTTCCATTCGATGAAGCTACCAGGTCACCTTCGTCCATTTGATATAGGGTTGCGAGAAAGGAGGATAAAAAGTCCGATCAGCGTAAGCCTCAATTTGAGAAAAGAGTCGGCCTTGTTTAAGCGTACATATTGGCCATGTGAACGTGTATATTATCAATATGCTTTTACGCCCCTCGATATACATTTTTTTTTTCAAGAAAGAAAGACACTTCAAAAGTTCATAGAGTATATATTTTTGAGTGAATGCAACCATAAACACGTAGACTCACAAAACATTAAAGGTAAAAAAAAAAACTTTTATAAGTAACCATTATTTGTCAATATTTAATTAATTGATGGTCGCGACTCAAGTCATGATCTACAGTACACCTTTAAACGAGATATAAGCAACATAGCTAGTGTGCTTCACAAGAAATTATTATCAATTTACAATCGTAGTCTCTCTCACAAAATATATTCTAAAACTCTCAAGAAATCTAGGCTGCTATGTTTATTGAATAATATTGAGGTAAAATACAAGAAAATATTAGTTTATTATTAAGGGTTAGAGACTTCTTTGACTTCAAAAAGCATTCCATTGTTGATCCTCAAACGGTCTAAAAGTACATTTCCGAAGGCAGTGGCTGGTGTAAGGATACCTCCTTGCTTTCCTGGAAGCGTGTCTAAGCTTTTGATGATACATAAGGCAGATTCTGAAACCATGCGGCAAGTATCAGAATAACCAGGATCTCCAAAGCCTGGAGAAATAACATACGAAAAGATCAACACTCGTACGTTCAATAACAAACTGTGCTTTCTCTAATTTTCTTCATACCTTTGACAATTCCTCGAACTTGGACTGGATCCTCGTATGGCTGTGTTTCTGCTGTAGCCAAAAACTCAATCGACGAATATCCCTTTGCACGCTCCTCAGGTGTAGGTCCTGTTCCACTATCAGGCAACATCTGCTGAATCTTTTCGAGACAAAATTGAGATTTGGTCAATAGACTTATAAGTGGTAGCAGTACGAAGAAGGCCACTGAGAAAAGCATAGCCTGGATAAATGGCATAGATTGGGTCTCATGATAGGTGAATAAACGCCCGTAGTCTTTGCCACGCTTATGCTGAATATCCCAACTACGCATAACAATCTTTTCGTTCACAACCGACATAATGAAAAATGTCTGCCATAGTCCATGAAAGTCTCTGTCACGATGTGGCCATGGCAGCGAAGGTTTGGCCTGTCCACGCGAGGATGATAATAAGTATGGATCAACCGATTGAGGACCAGTGATGCTTCTGTCTGACATAACGGTTAACCCGGAATGGATGGTTCCGGCTGCGAGACCGCCAAAAATGTCTACTACTGACATTTTTACACTTTCTGTAGCTAATCCATGCTGCTTTCTCAAATGCTCCACAACCCTTTTTTTGTAAGAAAAAAATGTTACTCTTAAGAACAGGCATAGTAATAGATAACTTTGGACATAGCTTACATGAATGTACCCAAATCACTTGGAACAGAATCGAATCCGCAGGTGGGTACAATCATAATATTTTCGGCTTCGGCCTTTTCGTGAAAGCGTTTAATGATCTGACGAATCCAAGTGTATTCGCCTGTTATGTCAACATAGTGCGTCTTTTGTCTCAAGCATGCTTCTACTACTGGAGTGCCATACTTTGTGAATGGACCTATTTAATGATGTGATATTAGTATAATGCTATAATACAGTATTAAGCAAGTTAAGACTATATAACTTACCGACTAGATTGATAATAACACGTGTCTTTGATAACAAGGTGTCCAGAGAAAGTGGATCATCTGTATCAGCTATAAGAAGATCAAGTGCCTTTATATATATATATTAGTAAAAATGCATGAAGGTTAAGCTTATATACATTCAATTGATCGTATATTCAATACACAATCCTGTATTTCGTATTTACCTTTGCAGACTCATCCAACTTTATCAACCTCTCCTTCACTTTTTCAAGTTTGGCAAGACTACGACCACCTAATGCCCATCGGATAGTCTATTTTTAAGAATTAATTTTTATTATGATAATAGTCGGTATTTAATATATATATATATTTGTTCTGTACATATAAAGTTAACTTGCCTTGTCTCCTATTCCAAGTAAATACTCTGCCGTATAAGTACCCGTAAAACCAGTGGCACCAAAGACAACTTTTTTTTTATGAAAACGATAATATCAAAGTTTACATATTATTTAACCAGGTCATTGAGTTAGGATTTGTTTGTCGGAAATTTAAGGTCCTTGATGTGTTTTGTTATTGTTACCAATGTCGTAAGGACGAGAATTGTAGGCGGTAGGCATGATTGATGATGATGGAATGCAACGAGACAATGTCAACGATGGTTGATGTTATAAAGAAGTTGCATTGTGTCACGTGTCTTTATCGGGGCTTTGTCATCCCCAAACCTCGTTCTTTATCGCTTGTTTAGTAGCGCGATTTACTTTATATTTTATACTTTTTGTTCATGGGTTTCTGTACGCACCAAAAATAAAGCCAGCCGTCATTTCTTATTGACAAATTAGTATTTTTAATTCTCAAATACGGCTAAACCATGATACAATATGGTAATCGGTACAGTTAAACCTGGTAAAACCTCTTTATAATATTAGATAGATCAGAATCTTTATCAAACAGTCTGGTTGCATACACATAAGATATATTACTGTTTTAAATAAATAATCATAAAACACTATTACTGCTTGTATTAAAAATACCAGCTTCAATGCATGACCATAAACAGCAAGGTTTACGATTTACTTTGCTTATATCAATGTCCTCAGCAGATTTTTATCAGCGATGTACATATATGAAATGACTGCAAATTTACACAACAGAAAAAAGAACAACTTTTGATACTTTGAACTCATGCTTATCAGAATCAGTCTCATTAATACTAGAGTCAAATTCTTTAAACCATATTATATACACCTAGGTGGAATATATTGTTCAGAAAAGGTTATCTGACTTTCAGTATCTTGATTCCATATCTTTTCCATTGTTTTCTTTTCTTATTTATTTTGCTTTTGTCCCTGAGATTATAAAGACTTTAATGTCGAAGATCAATGTATACATAGTATTCCTTGATTATTAACATTAATTTGTCATTACATATCATGCAAATTAAACTGATGACAATTTAGTTTTAACCAATAGTTTACAACAGCACTATGCTACTCTAATTAACAACCAGACATACATATATCGATAATTACTTTACTATTAAATAATATATACCAATCTTTCTTTTTCATAATTTCGATAGTTAGAGCAAATTATGCAGATTTAAGTTTCTAATATTTCTTGAATATTATCCGATTAATAAAGCCAAGATGTGTAAAGCAAAAAAAAGGGAGCGCGCATGCTTAATATTCAGTATAAATTCCTAAAGTAACCTTACATTGTACATTTATTTTTGTCTTAAACGCACTTAATATATTTGAAACGTTATCTTGAAGAAAATTATATTATACTTTATAATACGGCGAATGAGAATAAAACAAGCGAAAGATTTTATACGTATTTTGGATTGCAAATAGAGCAACCCTGGCCTAAAGTCAATAAAAAGCTATTATTACTATCTTACTTTGCTTTGGTTTATTGAATACTTTATTAAATGCAATAAAAATCATGGAAGATGAGATATTTTAAAAGTCCAGATACTCTTTTTTTTTTTCAGTAAATGCCTTGCTTTAATATTGTCGTGTGATCTACTTACATAAATATATATATATATTTATCACTCTTAACAGAAACATTTTGCAGTAATATGACCGCCCTCCAGAACAAAGCTTTGATTAACAAACTACTGTATTCTAATCTTTCACTCCAAATTGAGGGTTCCTGACCTGGTATAATTGAAAGTAGGCAATTATATTCTGGGATTCCTAATGAGGGAGAGATTTTGACTATAGCTATTAATTTTGACTTGCTTAAAAACCTCTTTATTCATTATTTACACCATTTCTTCAAGAATATTTACTAATTCTCCCTTATATTCAAAGCTGCACTATTAATATTGTAAGACTAATATGCATACAAAAGAGGTTTCTTTTCTTTTTCTTTTTTTTGCTCGGTACATTTTGGTTTAGATTGTTACTGATAAAAAGTATGATTTTTTATAAAAACACACCAAGTTATTATCCCAAATATTATCTTGTACACAACCTAAACTTAATACAACATATCAGGTTCTTGTTATAAAAAAAACCAAAGTCCTGGCATAAAAAAAAATATGATAGTTTCCTGCACCTGTACTTTAATGATAATGTTATTCTGCAGTATACTGTTAATTTTTTCCCTCTCATTTAAACTGAATTCTTTTAATAGTAATAAAACGTAAGGGCATGTGCTTATTAGATATTCAAAAAGTAAATGGCTATGAGCTCCTAACAAAAAAAACAAAGTCGGGCGAAAATAAGAAAGATATCTTGTATTTGTTTATTCAAATAATAAACTAATGTGCCTTGATTGCCTAAGGAGGACAGTTATTATTGGATACAATAAAATTATTAAATTTATTAAAGACTATGTATATTTGCTTTTAAGCCTTGATATTTTTTGTGGCAGCAGCAACTGCTTCCGTAACACGCTGGATAGCCAAATCCGCCTCTTCCTTAGTGATATTGAGTGGGGGGACAATTCTGAGAGTTTCGTAAATGGACGCTCTAAGAACAATGGTATCAAGTCTGAGGGCCTCCATGCGCACGGACTCTGCAAATCCAGCAGGAACTCCAAGGAATTCAATACCAATCATTAGACCTCTACCACGCACATCTACTGTGGCACCTTCAGGCAATGCTGCAGGAAGATTTGTAAGGAATCCTGAAAAGAACTGCTTGGATCTATATATATATGTATAAGAATTTAGCTTGTATTCTACTGTTTTTTAAAAGCCTAAATGTTAAAGAAACATACCTTTCGTTGCAATTCTCCAGTAAGTTTTCCTCATCAAATACACGAAGAGTTGCATTTGCAGCTGCACATGAAATAGCATTTCCACCGTATGTACCGACCATGGTTGCAACTGGCTGGCAGTCCATTAAGGATTTATCAGAAACAATACAGGATAAAGGATAACCAGAAGCGATTCCCTTTGCCAAGATCATTATGTCCGGAAGAACGGAAGTGTGCTCAATGGCAAACATTTTACCAGTACGCCCAAAACCAGACTGAACCTCATCACAAATCATCAAGATATCATACTTATCACATATAGCTCTAACACCTTCCATATAGCCTTTTTTGATGTTAAAAGAAGAACCGGATTGATGTTAAAATCTCGAAATATTGGTTTTTTTTGAATTGTGGGAAATTAACCAAAAAAACAAAGTACCTTTTGGTGGTACAACGTAACCACCTTCACCCTGGATAGGTTCAATTAGGATTGCAGCAGTATCTGTTGGAGCAACACGTTGCTTGAAAAGAGTCTCCAACTGACAGAGAGCATCTTCGCCGCACCGTTCTGGAGTAAATGTGGTGGGGTCAGAAATATAGCCAGGCGTTTTTTGATAGTAAGGATAAGGTGCTACATGAACACCAGCCATAAGAGGGCCATAACCAGCAGAGAATTGGCTGTTCGAGCTGTTCAAAGATGCTGCTCCGTATGTGCTGCCGTGGTATGCTCCCTGAAATACAACAATGTTGTACTTCTTTGTTGCATGTCTGGCCAGTTTGATGGATGCCTCTACAGCTTCTGACCCAGAGTTCCAGAAAGAAAAGCTGTTGAACTTGGGAGACGGAAGCTTAGGCTTTAAGTTTTCAATTAGATCAAGCATTGGCTTGTGAAAAAACATGTTCATCTGGGCATGTGGTATATTTGCAGCCTGCTCTTGAACCGCTTTAACAACAGTAGGATGACAGTGTCCTATAATTATTTTAAACGTTTGAATTATTTGGTGTTTTATCTTTTTAGATTAGTAGTGATAGTAGTGGGAGTAGAAGTTCTTACCAGTATTGGTGACTCCATAGCCGGTGGAGAGATCGAGGTACTTCTTTCCATCAACAGTCCATACATAGATTCCACTTCCTCTACAAATAACGAGATCTGTGGAACGAACTGCACCTCTGGTAATGTGCTGAATACCAAACTGTGCAAGATTTTCTGAGAGAGACATTATAATTATCCAAAATACGAATACTATTCAATCGACACGTTTTAGTAGAGTAGCTTTTATACCTTTCTGACTTTCCACTTTACTCAATAAATCCAATAAAACTAACCCCTTAACCCTTGAAGAAAAAATTACTGACCCAAAAATGCCTGTAACCAATAGTGATACAAAAACTACAAATTAGAAAGTAAAAGCGCAGGCAAAACTCTATAATGCCTTCTGTTTACTCTCTTTCTGCATAATAAAGTGTACTGTAATTGAATTTTATACTCATATTACTAGGGTAAGTTTTGATGGCTGCCGTTGTTGGATTGGAATATTAATAACAATAATAAAAAGGCTTGTGGGTACAGCTATTTGTGCAGAATTTTGTTTTTTTTTAGAAATTTTATTTGCCTGACTAACCCCTAGTTTCATTACTGCCTTAGATATATTATGGCGTAAAATAATATTGGAGACTCCGCATAGAAACCTTTGTTAATCCTTTTGTTTATACTAATAGTTGTTAAATGCACCACAACTACACCAGGCTTTTCATGTTTCACCTGTTCTTAATCGGTAAAACAAATATTGCTTAAAAAAGATTTGTTATCGTCAAGGATAGGATATTCTTAAGGATACTAATTGTAATGTACACATTAACTAAACAATAACCATATAGCTTCATAATTTGGATCAAGAATCTTAGCTAAAAGAGTCTGAACGCCTTACAAATATAAGACAATATTAATTAATATTTGGCTAAATGTCCACATAGTATTATTGATTTAAGCGTAATAGCTTATTAGACGGCGTATTTCCGCGTTATTGGCAAATGTTCAAATCTGGGGGTTTCCTTTAATATAAGCTTCATTTTATATTTACTCATACATGAGAGTATTAGCTAATAATCATTAGCTAAACATATTAAACATTCTCTTTTACAGTAGATAGTCATTTATACAATAAGCAAGAGTTATACGTACAAGAGAAAAAAAGAAATTTTCAAGGCATAATGTGTATATTAATAATATACTGAGAATCTAAAGCTACAATTACGTATTCTGGGATCATTTGCATGTAGGCACCAGTTCAACCTTTACTTATTTATAGACTTAGTTAGGTTTAGATGCATATCACAATATATAAGTTTAGTATCGAACTGCCATCTCTTGAATACTTTGAACATCAAAAATGCCTTTAGTTTCAGAGTTCTCAATACTAGATATAACCGCTGCTGCTACTGTGTTAATGTGGAGAGGTGGTGTAGTAAGCACTTTTCCGAATGGCAGACTTCTTAATCCCTTTGAAATAGGGCTAGTGATTGTGTTAACTAGTTGAAGATTTGTTGCCATAAAGGCTGCTGCTGGTCGCTGGTCACTGTACATGAACCCTAGGCATGATGACAATAATATTAATCGAGAACTGTAGTCTATCTCGTGAAAAAGTGAGCTTTCTTCATTGAGTTTTCTTACCTGGTCGAAGGACAATTGAGCGTATACTACGGTGAGAAAGTAAAAAGGATTCGGCTTCACGTTTGGTTGTTATGTAGCGAGGATTGACCAGTGGAAATACATCAGAAGCAGATATGTATACAAAGGAATCCAGGGAAGGCAGTCTCATGACCTCTTTGGCAACAGAAATGGCTATACAACAGATCAGATATAGCATGAATCATTTGGGCGTTCGTACCTGTATCCCTGTTCATAGTTTCATATGTCGCAGATCCTGCTCTTTGTTGGTTTTTAGGATCCAGAGGATTCCCATCGTCTTTCATACCAGCTACCTCAGCCAATACATTTGCTACTCCCTTGGCTGCATCACATGTTGTCTTTGCTTGAATTACAGCCTTGTAATCACTTTCTAAAAGTATCCCAACTGTGTGAACCACATCAGTAACACCATGAAGCACATCTTTAAATGTGTTCGGCTCCAATGAATTTCCAGACGCCCACTTCACATTTTCTGCCCATTCAGGCCTTCCTTTTTCGCTGAAAGAAATAGGCTCCCCTCTCCGACTGATATCGAATACATACAAGCCCCCACGCGTCAGTTTACATACACAATACGTAATATTATCAAGAGCAAATTCATAATTCACCTTAAACTGATCGTCTCCCACCCTTTTCTAACTGCCATTTGACAAACACTCTGACCTAGCATAAGCAATGACGGGTTTGGATAAAATGAGTTTGGTACATTACTGACAATTTAAACGCATAATTGCACTTTTCTATACATACCCAAGAATCCGCTCCCACCAACTACAAGAAGTTTTCGAGCAAAAGGTTGTGCCATTGTCAAGATTGTAAGGGTGCTTCTAATGACAATGCACTACAAACAGCATAAAACTAACACAGGGCAGGAAAGCCCTGATAAGCCACGGAGCCCCAAAGGTCGGATTTTCACCTCCGAACAAACTGTCAAGTTATAGTTTTTTTTTTCGGTTGAATTTCAGACCATCCCCCTTTTTTAAAAAAAAAATATGTAGTGAAGGTCAAAGACGTTCTATTACACGATAAGCGATTACGTGAAATAGACAGTGACGGTATACTGTAATTAAGATATGTTCACTTTTCCTTTTACATATCACAATGAACAAATCATTCTAATAAACTGGACATTTATATTTTTAAGAAGATAGTGCTAGCTGCTATACTGGGTCATGTACACAGCTTGTTTGGAAACCCCATAGAGAACTCAAATGCTTTGACTAGTAGCCATCCCAAAGTCCGGACTTGAAAATATTCGGGCATGTATATCATGCTTAAAGCAAATCGACCAGTGTTATTTGCCTAACACTAGAAACAAGCTGTCAATGAAGGAGGCATCCAATCTTTAATAAAATGTGTTAGTACTGCCGAGGAAAGTTAATGTATGGTTGAAATAATCATGTGTTCAGTATTAAGGAGAGAAATGAAGCAGAAAAAAAAAGCAGGACACGATACATAAGCTTATACAGTTATTTGGTGAAAAAGAAGAGAAAAAAAGCAAAGTATAGCACAGCGTCAGTCTCTTGATCGAAAAGTCAAGATGAGTTACTTTTTATTCAGATTGTTTCTGACACTCGAGAAGATGTTACGGATTGTATCTTTAGTGGAAGAAGAGAAACAGCTGATAAGGATAGTAACGAAGAAGACAGAGAAGACGGGTACAGAGAGAATGATAAAAATAATGACAATAACAACGATAGCGACGATAGCGACGACGACGAAAATAAAAGTAAAAGATGTTACCTTATGTTTATTTGTGCTGACCTGTTGTTTAATAATGAATATTTTACAAAATATCTAGTTAAATAAGGTTAACCTTTGATTGGTTTTGATTGGCCTAATTATTCAAGTAATGACAGCCCAAATATGATTTCGTTAAACATTCATACATTCATTGTCCCTAAAAATTATAAGAAGTCTACTTTTTCTAATGATATGGCTACTATTTAATAGTGAATAAAGTCTCAAGGAGAAAAGAAAAGGAAAGTGAAAACGGATCGAAGGTTAATAGAATAATGTAGCCGGTACATGTTAATTTATTGAGATAAAGTTTTTAGGTCATTTACTCTTTTTATTATTTCACAGTTTCAATAACATCAACAGCGACAACACAAATAAGAGCAAGAGCAGTCGAGTCACTGAAAAATAACGTCTATGTCTACAATCCAATGTTTGTTTTTTCTTCAGTTGTTTCAATAATACTTTTCAGGGTAGTTAATGGTGAAATTATATATTACCAGCAAGTCAATTTAGCTTTAATTAACTTTAAACTTTTGAGTCGTTTCAAATGCTGTAATAATATTGACAGAAACATAGACAACAATCCTTGTCGCGCCTAAAGACGAGAATATATGTATTGTGGTTTTTAGAATTGAAGTAGGGTGCCATTGACCGGTCTTTTCTCGCCTCCAATCGTTAATTATAAGGACACGATACTTAGAAATAGTATAATTTGTGTATATTACACATAAACATAATAATACTGTAATATATTTGTTACTTAAATGTAGCCTGAAGATTTACTATATATAAATAGCACCGTGTATTATTCATGAATTGAATGATTTATTCTGTAATATCGCTTTCACTTATAAAGCTACTTTGGGTCATTAGGAACCAGGTATAATTGCTGAATGCTGGACAGCAACCATTTTTTATGAGACCAATAAATGATAAAAAAAGGAGGATATTAAATAATCATAGTCCCAGAGAAACGTCGTGGACGAAAAGAAAAGCGCCAGGTCCGAATAATTAGCGTTACTTATTTATTTAAATACTAATGTTGTTCCATCTCAATTTATTTTCATTCGTTCTCAAGGGATTCCCAATTGCCTGGTTTTTATAATCTATCTGTATTTCAAGCAGAAACATTATAGTTACAGGTTGTAATGTTCTTTTAGTATGTATATTTTACAGAAGAAATAAAGGTATCTATACGTAGTTGGAGCTAATTTAACCAAGTGGATCAAATGCATTGAGATTGTTAAGTTTATGTCCAATAGATCCATTATTAGACACGGAACTGTTAGATTGAACTGGTCTACTGGACATAGGCTGCAGTAGACCCATTCCACTTGTATTTGATTGTTGCGGCACAGGAGAAGAAGCAATCAAAGGCATCATTGATCCACTGCCTGTACTAACAAGAGATTGCAATGCTGCATAATTAGAACCTCCACTGGGTTGCTTAATAGAAAGGTTTGCTATAGAGGATAAAGGAGGCACTGTAGTCTGTGATGTGTTGTAAGAAGATGGTCCAGACAGCATGGGGATATTTTGAGGTGCTCTGTTGGATGGAGGTGGTGCCATTGTCCAGCTATTATTTGATGAAGCAGGCGTTGGTCTGGAGGTGGGTGCTGATGGGGCAAGAAGAGGTGCGGGCTTTGGCACCGATGAAGGTCTATGATTTGAAGTGGTTGTTGCAATAAATTGTGATGCTTTTGATCCTGACTGATTGTTGTTTGAAGACCACCCACTGTTTCCAGAAAACACAGAACTTGTTGGTGCAACTGGAGTAGGAGTAATGCCAAGTCCTGTTCCGTTGCTATTGCCATTTGTCTGAAATGCACCAAAAATATCATCATTGTTTTCTTTCACGGGCTGGACTGGTTGTATTTGTTGAATAGAATGAAGTTGCTGTACTGGTTGTAACGCCTTTCCTTGCACAAGAGACTCGAACGAAACTGTTTCATCTCCTACTGTATGATTTATATTATTTGCTAGGGCGCTGTTTGCACTCACACTTTGAGTCTGATCTTCCAAGGATTTGACCTCTTGAAGATGTCTAGTGTGAGACTCTTCAACACGTGTTGTCAACTCTCGGATAGTTTTCATGAATTTCTTAAACTTGTATAGTAAAATATTCGTTCCTTGTTAGCAAATAGCATAATCGTTTCTGCTTATTTAACAATGAATCTACCTGGTCAACATTAAGCAACGGTCCAAAACTCATTTTCCACAGCTGTGGCAATATCTCTGTAGCAACAATTTCCTTATCCAAATGATTTCCCATTTCATCATACACTGCCAAAGTTGCCAGCTAATATATATTAAAATGTTAATTACGTTAAGTGAAAAATTTATTGGCAAGTACCATCACTGCGGGTTCCTTTGTTTTTATGTTCTTGAGCATTGGGACCAGTTTCTCTTGCATAGTGAACTAAATAATCGATAAAAAATATTGGTCACTTATTTGATTCGCTTAAACGATATTATTTATCTTTACCTTGTCGATGGTCTTTATCATGGCGTGAAAGCAGATCAGAGTACTGACTTTTACGGACAAGATAGTTGTCTGAACAAACAAAGCCTACACAACAAATGTATATTTAGTCTCATCCTTTTAAATCTTATAATATTATATATACCTGGACTCGGGGAAATAATGAACTTTTGATTGTTGTGTAATCGAGAGATTCGCATAAAGAAGGTACAATTCGTAAAGCTTTTTCTTGTACGGAAGGCGCAGGAGACTCCAAACAAGCGTACAAAAGAGGCATAACATCTATATAAAAATTAGACAACTTCATCCATCCATATAAATGAGTATATCCAACCTACCATCTCTAAATACTTCTCTTGGAGTTTTTTGTTGAAATACATCTAATTTTTCCAAGAGAACAATCATATTTTGTGGTGGATCTCTAATAAGAAACACAGGTTTCAGGGAAGGCAGTACCAAGCTGCAAAATTCTTCTTGTGTGAGCTCTTGAGTAATGAGTAGAATGTTTGGCACAGTATATGGTAAGAGCTGATGGTCTTTTAGCTCTTCTATCAGAGACGGAAGAATCTAAATAATTTAGATATGTTAGTAAATACATTTTCATTTATACAACTTTTGTAATTACCTTGCGTTTTAATATTCGATTAGGAAACTGACTCAATACACGCGACAAGCCCTTCATAAATTGTGCCTTTTCTTCGCGTGTCTTTTCCGGAAAACTCTCCATAAACTTCATAGTTGAAACCAATAAGTTATCAAAGTATTTCGACTTTTGGAACTCTTCAATTGTAAGACGTTGCGAAGGCTGCCGAGCTAAAAGACGGCGGATGACTCCTATTTTATATTGTAGCCATAAGATACCCATAATATTATACCTGGTCATAGTAGTGTCTTTTTTATATATTATGTTATGTTTGCTTTACCTTGTAAATGTGGAGGCATTTTACTGAAATCTAATGTTTCGATCGCCTGTATTTTGCGTTCATAAGTCCGCCTATTGTTAAAGGTCTGTAGTAACGATACTCCTTTGTTGTGTACAGCATAAGCAATACATCCCAGAGAGAATATATCATTGGCCTGAGTTATCTCGTTATTTAATACATATTCGGGCGCTAATTATTTTTGTTATTATTTTAGAAGATGAGACTTTTTTTAGTACTTTAGTGGTGCTTTTTGGGATAGCTATTCTCTTGCTTGCCTGCATAGTCTAGGTCTATTTGACATTGGTCAGGTATGTACTCATTATAGTCATAGCCATCTGCTGAAGATTCCGTTGTATTGTTGAGAAAGATGCCAAATCCCAACCTAGAATATAGTAAAATATAATTAAATAGACATGTTATATACAGAGAAGTATAAGATAATACCCTCCAATCTTCCAGTCACCCTAAAAAACCCCATAAAGATATTAACCACATGTTTATAGGAACGAGCTACTTGGTGAGACATACCTTGGAATTAACAAATACAGCATCTGGTGTCAGATTGTGATGAACAACCTTGGCATCACTCAGAAACTGCAGACCTTTTCCAACCTGTAGCAACCCTTTCTGTATCTAATAGACACCACATATGTCATTTCTCTCATTCGTAAACCAATTGATCATATCACTAGTTAAAAATACCTCTAATTCATCCAATTCAAACTCTTGTTCTGACTGCGATGAATAATTATCAGCGCTTTTTACTAAATGCGACAAGGCACCATAAAGCGGCTCTGTGGCAAAAGCAATAGAAGAGCGGGATTCTGTAACAGGTTCAACAACCTCAAGAATAGATGGATGTCGTAAACGTGCCAAGTGGCTAGCCTTTATTATGAAAAGAAACATTAGGCTGAGCAACTCAAGAATCTAGACATCATTGCCAAGCAAATCGAATCACTTGCCTCTTTTTTTAGTAATTCGTAGACTCTCTCGGTATCATTTCTCGATGCTCCTCTCTCGCGCTTTAATGTTGAATCGAGTGCTTTCTTTTCAAAAATCTGCAAATAATTCCCAAAAGAATCAAGGCGTCTAAAGTAGTATGGTATTCTTTTTTTTTCTTTTATTCAAAAAGGATACGAATATTGCCACTTGTTTTCCGGTTGTTTTTCGTACACCAAGATATATCTTCCACAACCCCACTGACGATATCTGAGATTTGATTTCGTATCGAGAAGTTATGGAATTTGTAATCGAATTGAGAAATGAGTAAAATGCTGAACTCATGGTATGACTAAACCTGGAGTAAAAATAGGAAAGGTGTATGCATGCGAATATATTAAGATAGGTAAAGTCATGTGACCCAGATATTAATGCCAATGAGAACCCTTCAAATTAAAATTTCGTTCTTTGTTCAATTGATTCCCATCATGCGTGATTTTGACATTGCAAGCTTCCGAGACCGACCACTTAAATTAAAGAAAAAGAAGAAACAAAAGACCAACCCAGGAGTAAAAAAAAGAGTAAAAGATTCCTTTGTCGATTACTTGGAGAAAAGTAATAAATAATTTCTTTTGCTTTGTTTTCAATTCATGTCTTTATTCGTTTTTATCAAAACAATTATTAGGCTTAGATTCTGAATCTGATAAAAGTAGTTCAGAAGATGACAATGAGAGAATTAGAAAAGACGCTAGCAGAGCGCAGGTCGCTTCCTCATCGTCGCCCGAGCTGAGAAAGGAATCATTTGAAAACATTCAACAGGATTCGCAATCAAGTCTGGAAAGATTTAAACAGAACGAAGATATATCTCAACAAGTTCAATCTACTCCTGATACTGAGGGAATTATGTAGGGATTTATACAGTCATTTTTATTTTGTTTCAACAAAGCATATTTATATGTAAGATATAGGCTTTTGTCTGACGAAGAAGCTAGTGAGCCTACACAAATGACTGTACAATCCTCGCCGTACTCACGATCTCAATCTCAATCTCAATCTCAATCACAATCTCAATCTCAATCACAATCGCAATCGCAATTGCAATTACAATTACAATTACAATTACAATCACTATTACAATCTCAATCTCAATCTCAATCTCAATCTCAATCTCAAACTCAATTGGAATCCCAAACATCACTACCACAAACACCTACCAATGATAAAAACGATATAAAATCACAGACTGAGTATACGGACGATCTTGATGATCTTGATCCAGAGCTTGCCAGAATTGCCCAGAGTACTGATATATCATTGGCAGAGATAAATAACAAGTCTGTAGAACAAAAGGAAGAACAAAAACTTCGACCTCAAAAGATCCGGATTAAAATCCAATATATCAATACAGCAAAATCTACAGATGATGCTGCTAAAGGACTTGTTCAAATGCTTCAAAAACCAGTACGCTTTGTAATAATGGAGGTAAAGGTTAATATGTAAAACGGTACATGTGTCATTAAAAACTAAGGTGTTTTTATATATTATTAGAATGATAAATTTGAAACCCTATTTCGACATTTTTGCAAACGCAAATTTTTAAAGCAAGAAGACTTAATATTGACTCATAAAAATGTTCATGTACTTCTTTTCGCAACTCCTGCAAGTCTTGGGATGTCATCTAATGTGGAAAACACGCTAGGTATAATATATTTACTCTAAATACTCTAAATACTGTAACTAAACAAATACTCATATATATCTTAATAAAGAGGTATACACAAGGGCTGGATATGACGAAAAATTAAAGCAAGATAGAGAGAAAAGACTGGAAAATCAGAAAAAAGCAGGGCCGTTACTTAATGAAGACTTCTTTAATGGCTATCGGGCTCAAGCGGAACCAAAGGAAGACGAAAGTGATCAAGGAAAAATGCTGTTAACGTTACGTGACAAGGAAAATGTCGATATAAGTTTACGAGTGAAACAGGTAAGAGCATACAATCCAATACAATTATAGCAAAAAAACTAATGCTTGCTTTTTAGACAACACAAATCAAAGCCATAATTCATCAGTATTGCCATATACGAGGATTTGGACCGGAAATAGAGTCTAAAGTTCGGCTCTCATTTGATGACGAAACACTTGATCCTAATACAATAGTGAAAGACCACGAACTTGAAGATGATGACATGCTTTCGGTCCGAATGTAAATAATTTGATACGCCAGAAACCATGGAGACTTCTATTAAGCTATGCATAATCCTTGATATCTTGTGGAGACGTTTCAAGTACACAAGCTCATTACAAACCTAATAGCCTTTTATTTTTTGATGTCATAAACCAAGAACCGTCTCGGAAGTTGCATTGATCACTCAGCTACAAATCGTTGGATAAAACACATAAAACTGAACATTATGAAAAATTGTTACTTGTATTCCATAGTGCAAAATATATATCTTTTTTTTTAGTTTCCCTAAGGTGAATTTTGCAATGTTTATATTATTCCTTTTTAATAGTATTAAACGTTAGAGAGAAAGTCCGTCGATTTCTTCAGAGTCAAAATCCAATCTAAAAAGTATATATATAGTGTGAGTAGATACTACTAGAAGTAAATTATTATTCACCTGAGGGCTAGAATCTGTTTCACTTCAGTAACAGTAAGACGCCAACTGACCGGTCCAGCTTTGGACCCCCAGTATTCGTATATTTCAGTGGGCTATATTTGTATAGAAAATTAATACTCCTATATATCACTAGCTAATGAGCCGCAAATAAACAGTTACCTCTTCAAAGTTTAGTAGAGTAGACATCTGATTCAGTCTTGTAAAGCGATCTCGTGAAAGCCACTCAATCATAGATGTGAAATATTGAATTACAGATCTTAAATCTTTATCAAAACGCAATGCACCATATTGATTGAACCGAGTTTGAGAAACAATTCTTTCCCATTGAAGGGTAGTTGCGTCCAAAACTAATCCAGCCAATGTAGAGAAGTTGGCAGTGGTCAAGGTATTGCGGTAGAGCTTGATAAGATTATCAAACCCATAACGGAATCGCTTGAAAAACATATCTTCTGAATCTGCCTCGTTGTACTCTTCTTCTTCCAACACATACTTGACCTCACGGTAAGCTTCCTGGAATAAAGGTCGTACTCTAGGTTTGAGGATCTGTATCATAAGTTGCTCCATGCCACCCTGTTTATTTTTTATTTATTTGTTTGTTTGTTTGTTGCATTAATACTCATCAGTTCAACAGGAAAAGTGCATATTAAAATTCAATTACCTTCAAAAGTCTTTGAAACTTATCTGTGATAGACCCGAGATCTTCCAACGCTTTTTCAACATTTTCCATGTCTTCTTTTGTATTTTTCCATATGACTGCCTTTGTCTCAGTTCTTAGCTCTTCTACTAATCTCAAGGTGTAGTCGGCACTGACATTCATGTTGTTGAGGACAACCTGAGCTGCGTAAGTTTCTAACACTGTACGGAGTTATAAGGGAGGTCTTTACCATGTATGTTATCTTGGCTTGTTCGAGCAGTTTTTCTGCATTGCGACTTCCAGATTCATGACCAGAGAATGTTGTAGCCATCTTTCTTTGAAGTACTTGGATGTATCCAGTGTCAAGTGTTTTAAGAACAACGCGCATAGTTGCGCTAACAACCTCTGGCTCACTCGTAGTGATACTACGTTTTAATACTTTTTTAAGAATAAAAAATACGTCGTCTACACATGTTGATGTAGGACCAACAGCCGGATCATAATCATCGAGTTGCATGGCCTGTGTGAAAACAAACAACGATTAGATATTTGTTAAATGTTGATACATATTACCTTTTCAATGTTCCCCTTTAATAAATACTCATCAATCACAAGATAGATGTTCATCAACTCTTTAACGCGTTTAGTCAACCCAGAAGACAGCAGAAGACCATTATCTCCATAAAACCGCTTATCTTTTCCATTCATTATAATATCCTGTTGTTTTTCATCATCTGCCATGGTTTCCATCTCTTCAGTTGCTCTTTCATGAATGAAACTATGAAACAGGGCACTGCGCTGACTGATAAGGGATAGCTCAAGCAGGCTTATATCCAGTTGCCGAGGATCGACAAGCGATTGCGTGGTATCACTCATCATAGGAGATTGTGTAGCCAGTGTATTTGCTGATCGGTTTACATTGTTTAAACGCATTTTTGTAATAGAAATGCTTTGGATCTCTACTAACTATTTGTTGTGTAAATTGTGTTGCTTGCATTTTACACACTTACCTTTGATTCTAACTTGCGTGTTTGTAGCAGACGATCGAGGATATTTCCACTCTGTATATCTGCTTCTTCCTGGAGTCGTTGAAGTACTCTAAGCATTTTTCCACTTCCGTAATGCTTCTCAACAAACGGTTGGTGTTGATCTATTAAGACCGCAATATTCTCAAATAATCTTGTCATGGCATCTGCAAAATAAATTGGTGCGGCCGCTATATATGAACATACCAGGTTATTTTACATATCCGTAGTCTCATATAAATCTTCTTACTTTCACCAATTCGAAGTTCCTCTGCACAGCGTGCTTTGATAATATTGCAAACAAAGCGTGAATATTTGTCGAGTCCTTCGGTTTGACAGTGAATTAGAGGGAACAGCTTAAAATAGCGCGTAATATCGGCTTCGTTTCGTTGAGCCACAGCATCATCAAATCTTTGAGAGAATATTTTGAATAGACTGGCTTTGGCATCTGCGAGAGTTTTGGCTGGGTGATCAGGATTTTCAGAGTTTGGCTAATATTATACACCTTTTTTTTTAAAAAAAAATCAAATTCCCCATAGTTATACAGATATTTTTTGTTTACAAAAAAAAAGGTAGCTTCTGAATGTTAAGATCTAACCCTTGACTTACTACTGTGAATTCTGCCAGAGACCCTTCTAGTATGGCTTTGTCAATACGTGAGGCACGTTGAAGCAATCCAGCTGCCTCGTCATAATCTTTCCGACGGATGGCTTCTTGAACTCCAGCCACACAATACTTTAATTCTTGTACGTCCTCGACATATTTTATCGCTTCTTTTGCTCTTGACTATCAGTATATAGTATTAAGCATCAATGAACTATTTAAAGATCTGCATTATATTGTTAAATTTACCTGTTCTTGATCCAGCTGTCTCACTTTATCACTGATTTTCTCTGCTAAAACAGATGTTCTTTGAATAGTTTCGAGAATTGTTGAAGAATTAGATTGAAGTGTAGACAATTGGGGACTATAATATACAATAAAAAAAGCAGAATAAAAAAGGGCTGCTTAGTGTCTATAAACTAAAATGCAGCTCTTTGGGCAAGATTTTGGAATCTACCGAAGTCCATCAAGAGTGCCAAGAACATCAAGAAGTTCTGTTTCTTTTGAAAGCATTGCATCTAGTGCTGCATCGATGCGTGTTTCTTCTTCATCGAGAAGCCTGAGGCTTTCTCTGATGGTATCAATGTTTGTGAGAGTTTCGAGATTCTGGGAGAGTACAGTGTTTTCTACATCCCTTTGGGCTTCTGTAGTAACTGAACGCGGTGCGTCAGATGGCGAGGGGGATTGATAAATGGCGGATGGCATATTGGTCGAACCGACTTTGATGAGGCGCTCTCCCTGCATCCATCCATAAGGTAGTTCCGCCACAGTCACACGCACACAAGTTCCATTTCACAAGTTATAAGTTGTGCCCAGACAAGAAGTGGTGCTTAGATGATAGAGAGGCCCTGGGGTCCCTGTGACCCTTATTTTTCTCCTACTACTCCTGAGCAAGAGGTTTCGAGGAGTTGCGCTTTGGCAAGAGTAGTGATATATGTGGAGTGCATGGTTTATGAGTATGGAGGGTGACACAGGCCAGGAGGCTCTCTCCCCCCACCTGCTCCTTTATGAACACATAGTGTTGCATAAGAGTGTCAAACTTGCTTTGCTACGTAGCAGCCACCGTAAACTTTGTTTCCATTTGGGTCTCAAAAGGAAAGCGCGATGCTCAAATAGCAAAGTATCCCAACTTCCATCAGGTCCTTCTTATATCCCTTGCTTGATTTAAACATTGGCTTGTTTCGCTCCATCTCTTTTTCCTAAACTTCACTCCTAATATATATATATACATATTTTATTTTATGACTGACACAAGCAAGCGCCACAGAAGAAGAGCATCTTCAGATAAATTTGTCGCTCATACTATGCCTGCTCTTCATCCAAGAAGTCATTCTCTATCATCCCGTGCATTCGCTCCAGCAGAAAAACCTCAGTTCGTAAAGGCACACCACGCCTATTTTTCTACTTCTACAGGCACAGAGATGACCCTTCAATTTCCTAAGGGAGCCATTATTGAAGTCCTTCACCGGGCAGATTCAGGCTGGTGGGATGGTAGATACGATAATATGCGCGGGTGGTTTCCAAGTGAGTACGTTGGCCGCCTAGAACCAGCTCACAGCCCGGATAACCCGATACGACTGAGGGGAGAAAGTTGGGACGCTTCTGAAATGACGTGTGATCCTTTGGATAGATTTTATCCTGTTGTGTCACCATTTCACAGTAAGAACATAGCGGATGAGGTACAAGATAGCTACAAGATTGACGGTCTATAAACAATTTAACATTTTTGGTGAATATTTTTTTTTATTTTATGCGTATATTTATTTATTTATTTATTGTTGTTATTATTATCTTTGCCCAAAATAAGCTGCCTTTAACAGCAAATCCGCCTCCAGATCAAGACACCACCACAAGTTTATGCTACGAAAAAACCCTTCGCTTCCAAGAATCCCGTCGATCGATACACAGCACAACACAACAACCACCCCAGGGCATTGTATGGAAAGACCAGGTTGAAGAAGTTTTCCTGGGAATTTCTAGCCTAGCAGATGCTTGCGTATCTCTACCGCCTGCCAGTTTACAAATCAGAATATTTAACGTTGTTTCGTCTATACGTGTTGTCCTAAGGAGCATTGATCATGCAGCGACCTCTGACGAACTAAGACAGCAAAAACGAGCTGTACTTAATGCACTATCAAAGATTGTTCAGAATGGGAATGACCAAGCTAATAACCAGCTTGACAGAAACCATCTTCAAGCACTAGTCAACAGTCTTTGGGTAGAGACCCTTTTGCTAGAAGAACTTTTCTGGAATGAAAAAGATAGCACATCTACGGCCGCATTGGAAGATTTATCATCTCCGGACGTTATACCAAATAATGAGACACAATCTTGGACTATTCAACAGCTCTTTGATCACCGGGATAGTATTAATGAGCTCGTTAGTATTGGAATCACTACCCTGGATAACTATCTGACCATTCAGAAATCACAAGGACAAGCGAGCGAAGCAGAAGTAGGTAGAAAGCAAATTGAGTGATCCTGCATAAATTACACACTCCCCCCATCTGCCCCCGCTCCCGCCCCTTTCTTTTTTTTTTATATGTCTAAATATGCATTCTTCTTTTTTGCTGACCGTCTACATAATCCAAATGGCATCAATTATAGTTTCAAGCGGAGAAGAACATAAACCATGAAGCCCTTAATAAGTCTAAAGAAGCGTCTAACCTTGCCATTAATAACATTGCAGTGGCTATCCAGAGTCTTTCACCGCAGATGCAAGAAATGTTTGATAAGGCGTGTGAAGAGCACAGACAGCCCGGAATCCGGTGGAGTACAACGAGTACCGTATTCTCAGAAACTTCAAAGCACAAGACATCCGATGAGTCGACTCTCATGAATGATAGCAAGACATCAGAGGCAAGTTTATAAATAAGGAACAAATCAAAATAGAGTGACAAGCAATGCAAGGCAGGCGTACCTAATGTCAGCCATACTTACTTTCAACATTTCAGCAGGTTAAATCACCAGCTAACACTCTTTCTAAGCCATCAAATACAAAACCTACCATCATAACACAACTCTATCACAATTATGGAATTCACCCAACTACAGAGTCATCTTCTGGGCTGTGGAAAAAAAACATTGTTCTTTCACCAGAGAAAGCAGCGCATGTTCAAACAAGAGACCGCCCGAGTATTCATTTCCCCACTCCAATGAGTGGAACATTGTCAACACCAATAATGAAATCTTCTCAGAAAGGATCTGTAACACACACAAAGGCCCTGTCAATATCTAATGTTGAGCATATGCTGAACATGACCCCCTCAGTCTCAACATCAACGATAGACCAATCTAAAAAGAAGACCCATCGTCCCCGAGGTCTAAGCGTCTCATCGCTTCGAATATCTCTAACCCATCACAGTAATGACAATCTTAATCCTGTATCCGTACCACTCAGTACAATTTCAGCTGAGTCTTTCAGATCTCGTTTATCAGCATCATTACGGTTAAGGAGACCGAACCTAGATCACTCTGACAAAACGAACCATGATACATCAACGAAACATCGGCAGAGTGAGGAAATTACCGTAGGTTCATGGTTTTTCCATAATAATAAACTATACTTGCCGCTCTCGTATTCTTATTTCCTTTGTTGGTCAGATAAGCGAGTCCAGGATTTCTCTAATGTTAAAGCAACAAACTTACCAAGACACCCAAGTAATCCTCAATTCAGAAGGGCAGATCTTGGGTGCTACAACCCGGGCTCTAGTGGAGATCATGACTTTACACAGTACATTACCAGGTAAAATCTGCAATCGGTAGCTTATATCGATGTATTTTATTGAACTATTTGTTTATTTATTTACGGATTTATGTATTTATTTAAATATTCTAAAATTAACTTGAATTTTATTTTATTTATTTTTTTATTTTATTTTTGGTTATGCTTAGATACTATATTTTGTCGAGCTTTTTTCTATAATTTTAGGTTGTTCATGAGCCCTTGTACTCTGGTTGTGTTACTCGGCGAACGATTTCATCTCAAGTCTCCAAAGATAGATGATACCGTTGTCTGGACACAAGAAGAACTATTGTTTTGGGAGACTCGTATAATTTGGCTAATTCGATACCGTGTGTTTAATGTCATCAAGACTTGGCTGGAGGATTTCTTTGATCTTGAGGCTGATTTGCCAGCAAAAGGTGTGTTGATGCAATTTGCCACGGTAGACCTTGCCCTCAATATGCCTGAACATTCTGAACAGTTAATTGAATTAATTAACAGAAAAGTAAGTGCTTTGTCATTGTTCTTTTATCTCATAGCTTATAAATAAAGGGTTTCCGATCTTTAGTTCGATACTCAAGAACATCCCGACGACTCTCCAGAAATAGCTCATGAGCATGGCCGCTCGAGCCCAGAGCCCGATTCTCCACCTACCCCACCACACAATAATTCGAGAAAACGAAAGACTTCCTTTCTGAGTACTTCGATTCTAAACACCTCCAACACCAGTGAGCGCCCATCCTCCCATTCACACTCCCATTCACATTCACATTCGCATTCACCTGCACCGAACCTTGCTCGACCCCTGCGAAATGCCTTAAGAAAGGCTCTCCACACCCAATCCCCGCTACCAAGTGCGACCATCAGCCTTTCTCATATTGATCCTCACGAAGTAGCAAAACAATTAACATTAATGGAAAATTCACTATTCTGTCAAATTCCTCTTAAGGAATTTTTGGCTCCCCAAGAATCCAGGAAGAATCTAGACAATACCACTCACATCAAAGCTATGATACGACGCAGCACTAACCTAGTCTATTGGATATCGAGTACTATTCTTGATGAACCTGATATTAAGAAACGAGCGCAAGTAATCAAGTACTGGATTAAAGTCGGGGACGTAAGTTATTATGATGATGATTAATATTAGATGTATTATAGTAAAATTTATATCATGTATTCAAATACAATTCTGCTTTTATTTACAGTATTGTTTACACTTATCAAATTACAACACACTTATGGCAATTCGGTGTTCTTTAAATTCTTCTGGAATTGCTCGATTGAAACTTACTTGGGAAATCGTTCTTCGGTCAACTAAGCATAAAACAATGCTTGAAACAACTTACCGTGTTGCCGATTCCCAAAGAAATTTCGCTAATTATCGGAAATGTCTCAAGAACGCCACTTCTCCATGCTTACCATTTCTTGGGATTTATCTCAGTGACATTCTATTCCTTGATGAAGGCAATCCAGGGTATCGTGTTTCACACATAAAACCACACCAGCAGTTTGTGAACTTTGATAAATATATTAAGCTGTCCCGTGTGCTCGCCGAAATTAAGCTTTTTCAAGTCCCTTACAAACTCAAACTCATCGAAGATGTCCAACGTTACCTTTTGCACTGTCTGGAAATGGATATCGAAACCGACGAAAGCTTGATTTACACAAAGAGCCTAGAGGTTGAACCTAAATTTGTTGACCCAGCAATCATAGCTTCATAACAGAGAAAGATGCTTACAAGCTTGTCAAAATTGAAAGCTTTTATATCTTTTTGTGCTGGTCCTATTAATGTATTTTTCAAATTTTATATTTTGCTTTATCTAAATACTTTATAAACCTCACGGAATAATTGTAGTAAAACAAGGAAAGAAAAAGCATACACACATATTCATGTAAAATACTATTGGGCCCAAATGAAGCTCGATTTGTATGATATTCAAATCAAATCAAAACAGAAAACAAAAACAAACAACGACGAGCGTAGGAATCATATTATCATATTCTTTTTCACATTTTATTAATTGTTTTTTGTGTATGTATGTGTGTATTTTTTGTATTTTAGCTACACGGGAAGGAACGACTTCCCATAAATTATTAAGAAAATGCAAGCGAATAAACAGTTTAAAAGCATATCCAACAAAAATAGTTTATGTGTGCTTTATAAGAAAAACTGCCGTACATCTGATACACCAAATGATTCACCACACGTAGGGCATCTTCTTTGACGTGTTTCTAACCGTGCATCAATACATTCTTTACAGAAAGTATGCATGCACCTTGCCAGCAGACGTGTTCTGAAGCGAGTACGACAAGCACTACATTTCAGTAAAGCCTGGGTAGTAGTAAATAAATTAGCAAATATAATCCTGTATGTATAAAATAATGGTTCATAGCCTACTCTTAATTCTTCGCACTCTTCCGCAAGTTGCTGTTCGGCAGGGTTGTCTCCTTGAGAAATCATGTCCCATCTACGCTTCATTTTCTCGTAATCTTCATCCACACGTTTCCTAAGCTGTTTTTCTTCATCAAGAGTTCGAACTCTTTCTTTGAGAACCTTTTGCAGCTAATAAATAGCATACATACATGTCCAAATATTAGCTCAATTGAATAGATGTTCTCTATTTTACATACTTCATGAATTTGTGTATCATTACGCTCTAGATTTATTCTATATTCGCTATCTTTTTGTATAAGATCGTCCACTTCAACACGATATCGTTCTACGGTTTTTTCTGCCTTTCTCACACTGGTCTCCTTTTCTTCCTAAGGGCAAAATAAAATAAAATTAAAACCAAATTAAATTAAATTTATAAAAACACCAATAAAGATTTTTGGACTTGATTGTATTCATGCTTACCACTTTAACTTCTAATGCCTTCTCTCGTTCTTCCAATTGGCGAATATGCTCCATCTGTTGTTCGCTCGTTCGTCTTAGAGAGGTAACATTAACCATATGCTTGTCTTTTGTAGCTTTTAAGGAAGCAAATGTTTGTGCATATTTCATTTTCTACACCAGAAAGAGATAAAATAAATATAAAAATAAAAATACATGTTAATGTTAATTTCAATGTTAATGTTAACTTTAAATCAATGATAATTTTTTGTTTTGCTTTATTTACCTCGGCTTGCAATTTCATCTTTTGGTCTCGTCTTTGATTCAAGTTAAGAACCTTTTTAGAACTCTGGTCTTCCAATCTTCCGTATATTGCTGCCACGCGATCGATTTGTTTGAGTAACTGACTTTCATTCTATTTCATTTTACCCGTGTATTAGAATTAGCTTATTTCTTCTGTTATTATCATCAAATCGGTTCCACTTCGAAACTCTTACATTTTCGAAAAAGTCAATCATAAGCTGAAGCTTATCTTTTTCTTCTTTCTTTATATCAAGTTCTGACATCAATTGTTGTATATTTTTCCTGGCATCCGTAGTAGGAAGCGTGTGGTCTTTCCACTCACGAAGCAGTCTTTGCTTGTCCTCTACTTCTTGCCTCAACTCATTCCTAATTTTTTCAAGGGCAGGTTTGTCTAAAGGTTCGTCCGCTTCTCGATCTGATAAAGCTGTTACTATCGCTGTAGAATTTCTATAAACGAATTATACCATTTTTAAATAAATAAGATATAACCCACAGAGCAAGATATAGTCTTACTCCAACTGCGCTTCGATTCTTTTGTAGGTTCCAAGTTCTTCTGCAAATGGTCCTGCCATCTGATCGATTTCTTTCGCCTCTGATATTTGCTTCTGAATAGCTATAATACGTTGCTACCAAACAAAATAACACAATAAATCTCAAAGCTAATCTTACATAATTATAGATAATAATTCTGTTATGGTTTTTTCTTACCTTTTCTCTTTCTGCTGTTGTCATCACATGTTCGTTTATTTCTCTCTCGCGTACTTCTTTTGTACCCTGTTCATTTAACAACATCTGAAAATGGTCTCTTTGACTACGAATACGGGAAAGGTCATTCTCAAGGCGTCGCATTTCTGCCTCCATTGCCATGCTCTGAGACAGTTTTTCCGATTTAACTTGGTCAACGAGTTGTCTTCTTTCCAGTGAGATCGCATCTAATTCACGTTCCATTTGTGTTCGCATTTGTTCGAGGTGATAAATACGTGCTCTATAATGTTCAGTCGAAAGTTGAAGGTTTTTGTAATATTCAGTTTCCATCAGCCGTTCTTCGTCAATCATCGAAAGTTGGGTCTTTAAGCGTTCGGTATCTTCCAATAACATTTCACGTTCGTGTTTAAGATCTTCTAATTCTTTCATACGCGTGTCTACAATCAGTTGATGTTCGGCCAATTGTTGTTTTACTGCTTGATCAGCAATTGATCCTGGCTAGAAACAAGTACATGAATTTACACTCTCAAATAAACCCTTTTTTCTTCTTCTTCTTTTTTACTTTAATATATATTATTTATATCTAATACTGACTTTGTTTGTTTCTGGAGCAATCATCTTTGGTGTATAAGTAGAAACCATCTTTTTCGTGCTTGGTTCAACTGGATCGACTTGTTTTTCTTTGTTTCCACCCAAACCACCATAGTTCAGGGATGCTACAACTTCACTCTTTGATCTATCATATCGTTTTTCTGCTTGCATAAGATTTCCAATTGTTTCTTCTAATTCCTCAATAGTATCTTCTACTTGTTTTCGCATAGACAGAACGCCTTCAGAAGCGTGTTCCGATTGACGTATAATACTCTTCTCTTGTTCCTGAAGTTCGTTTAGCACTCGTTGGTTGCGATCGTAACATATATAAAGATCTTCCATATCATTCTTGATCCATCTTGTCATGAGTGCTTGTTTATCTGACATTTCTAATATATTCATATACAAAAACAATGGGACAATTAATTGAATAAATAAAATGAAATTGGATATATTCACAGCACATATAATATAGATGTGTAAATATATCAGCATGTGCATGTATGCATATATACATATTGATTAAGGATTGATGTCTTGCCTTGGACTGATTTAAATTGGGTTTCGAGTTGATCTGCGCGATCTCTCCAGGTATCAAATTGACCTAGTGCACGTTCAGTGAGAATTCGAGTGGCCTGTTGGACAGTCTGTAGTTGATCTCGCAATGATGACTCGTTTGGCTGATCTTTAGGTAGCTCTGTATATATATTGTGTTAAATGTCGAAAAAGAGAGGGAGAGAGAGAGATAGATCTGCGTAAATATCATGGCGATTTTGAGTCATACCAGGTAAAGTAGAATCAACATTAGCAAGTGATTTTACAAGGATCACCAGCTCATTTTGCATCTAGAATCAAGATACAATCAGATCATTGCTTTCTGCTTTGTTTTTTTGGTTATATGCGTGATGATTCTGATTTGCGTACCAGTCTCCATTGGACACGTATAGCTGCTCTTTTGGAATCGTCGTCATCAGACTTTTGCTCTGTGGACCTAGCTTTTTCTTCTTCAGCTGCAGATTCTTCCTGTTGAATGAATGAGTGATGGCAACAACGGAACCTTGACTACCTTTGATCTTTTCATGCGTTGCAAGAGTGTATCCTTTGACAGACTGCCGTATTCTTCCTAGTAGTGGCGGCAGATACATGTTAATGTGTTCTTTTGGGGGTTTATACCATTAAAAAACGAACTCAAGTTTTCGTACATCAGATTCATTATCAATATTATTTTCAACAGAAGGAGGAATTGTTTGAACAGGAGGTGGTGGTGGTGGTGGTAGTGGTGGGGCAAGTGCAGATGCACTAAGATTGTTAATGCTTGTAAATCGTTTTTTTAACGGTGGTTTTGTGGGGGTCCCTGGCATAGAGACAGGGGCAGAGTTTTCTGCATCTTCAGTCCAACGTCGCTTTTTCTCATGAGCAGACATTATTGATAAGAAGAACAAGAAGGCGTGTCTTTTGCGTTGTGTATAATTTAATCACGTGCATGAAACGCTCACAATGTCTGTGGCGATCAAGGATTGTTGTCTATTGAAGCTGGATATTTTTGTTGGTAAGATCAAATAAGTCTATATCTACACACACACACACACATAAATATATATATATAATGTACGAATATGTTACTCGCGTGTATTGGTTACTCAGAATTGTTGTATCAAAAGTTGTTTATTATTATTATTGTTATTGTTACTATTTTCATTTAAAATCTGCGACACCAAGCATATTTACTTTGTGACAGTAACGACAGCACGAATACTATAATAGATATTTTTTAAATAAATAAGAAATCAAATTACGGTGAGTTGTGTAAATCTCAATTAGTTATAATAAGTCAATCAATTGTCCTTACCAGTCACCAGAATGCATAGCATCAAAAGCCTTGTTGATATCCTTGAAATCAAAGGTATGGGTGACAAATTCATCGACCTTGAGCTTGCCATCAAGATAATCCTGTACGAGACTACCCATCTCAGACTTGCCCTTAACACCACCAAAAGCAGATCCACGCCAGACACGTCCGGTGACGAGCTGGAAGGGACGGGTGCTAATCTCCTGACCAGCAGCAGCGACACCGATAACAATAGACTCACCCCAACCCTTGTGGCATGCCTCAAGAGCAGCACGCATCACATTAACATTACCAGTGCAGTCAAAAGTGTAGTCAAGACCACCATCGGTCATATCTACAAGGACCTGCTGAATAGGTGTATCGGGGTAATCCTTGGGGTTCACAAAATCAGTGGCACCGAACTCGCGAGCAATCTTCTCCTTCTTGGGGTTCACATCAATAGCAATGATACGCCTATACATAAAAAACAAATGTACGCTTTGACTTAGACACCTTATCTACAACAGTCACGCAATAGTCACTTACGAGGCACCGTTGGCCTTGCAACCCTGGGCGACACTCAATCCAACACATCCCATGCCAAAGATGGCAGTCTACCATGATTGCGTTAGTCATCAATACACCCTAAGATAAGTAAACCAAGTCGCTTACAGTAGAGCCCTTGGTAACCTTGGCGGTTCTTGTAGCAGCGCCAAAACCAGTGGTTACACCGCAGCCCAACAAGCACAACTTCTGCAAGCTGGGTTTAGGATCAACCTTGACAAGAGATACATCGGCAACGACTAATTTTTTGTTATTATTGGATATTTAAGTTGACCAGGATTTTCTTTTTTCTTGTTGTTGTTCAATTGCTCTCGGGAATTTTTATTTGAAATAAATGTATCTTACCGGTATACTCGGAGAAGGTTGACGTTCCCATGTAGTGGAAGATAGGCTTACCCTTGCAGGTGAAGCGAGTGGTCTCATCAGGCATTAAACCACGACCCTGTGAATTATCAATAGATCACTGCTGTATTAGTCACCTAAATCAGATCTACAATAAAGGCTTTTTTTTTTTTTTTTTACAAATTTTGTCCAATGAATTTTTTTACCTGGGTAGCTCTGACAGAACCGCAAAGGTTGGTCTTTCCACTAAGACAGAACTTGCACTTCTTGCACTCCGCAGTGTACAAAGGAATAACATGATCTCCAACCTGGAATTCGGTGACACCTTCACCAACAGACTCGACAACACCGCCACCCTCATGTCCCAAGATAACAGGGAAGACACCCTCGGAATCTATGGGCTATTATTTAGTACTCTATTCTTTCACATCAATAAACCAATTATTTTTACTTACCACTTCCAGACAAGGTGTAGGCATCGGTGTGACACCTGAATTATAAGTACATAAACCGAATAAAGGCTTTTTTTTTAGTACGTACATACACATATAGAAACACACCAGAAAGGTGAAAAATGAATTGTAATAGTTGCTTACACGCCAGTGTAGTGGATCTTTACGCGAACTTCGTGGGCCTTTGGGGGAGCAACCTCAATATCCTCAATGGCTGTAATAGAGAATAAGAAGGTTAAATTGCGTTAGAAATAGTATTGATATGTACTTACACAAAGGCTTCTTGGCTTCCCAAGCGACAGCAGCGCGGCAGTGGATGACCTTTGAGACGTGATAGGGCTGTTTAGATATATGTCTTTGTATTGTAGACTTTCTGGTTATCTATTGACATACTTTTCCTTCAGTAGACATTTGAGTAGCTGTAAGCGGATGAAAGATGAATTGTAAGAATCAGTCAACGAAGACGCGCCTTGTGAACAACTCACAACGTCATCTTTGATTTGGAAATATGATTGGCCGAAACAGTCCGAGAAAGAGAAGCCGCGGTTGTTGTTTACAACTTAACTTCTTAATTCTCCAACCCCAGCTTCTTAGATAGTAAAAAATGCATTGACTTTGTTGAAACCACTGTGTATATAGAGATATACAGATCTATTGTTTAACTTCTTTGTTTTTTTTAATTGGTGGGCGAATGTAAGCTACAGTGCCAAAGAGAAAAACATAATTGTTTATATATATTTTTTTATTTGTTCTTCTATAAGGATGACAAAACGGACAGGAGAAGAGAGGGTGAACAGAAAAGGGTGGCATATTAAAGAGTGACGGTCTCATTTTTCTAACTTTTGTATATATGTGTGTGTTTTGTGTGAGTGTGTATACGTGTGAGTGCGTGTTGGTACGTGTGAAACCGTTGATTTTTTTTTTGTTTTGTTTTGTATTGTTTTGTTTTGTTTAAAATTTAAAGCTATTCAAATAAAATAAAATAAAAATTGAGATTTGATTAGATCAAAATATACCATTAAAAAAATAAAAATAAAGTAGTGGTATTATCTTACCTGAGGCATCACAGGTCTGTTGCTCTCGGCAGTGAAGCGAGTGATAGCAATACCAACACCCTCAATCACAGCCAACAAACTACCGCCAACAACAGCAGACACAGTAGCAGCCTTTGCACCGCCACGGGCAGCCAAGACACCACCTGTGAAAGCACCCGAAAGAATCGAGTTCCATGGGTCCTCCTTTTGTCTGATACCCTTGAGACCACAGTCGAATGTAGAGAAAAGACCACCCCAAACAGCGAAGTTACCACCCAGTACAGGTGCGCGTGCCTTCATGGCTGTGACAGCACCAACCAAACGCTCGCCCTATTATAAAGATAATCCAATAATACACAAATGCACGCACGCAATATAATATATTTAAGACAATGATCCTCATTTCATTTCATTTCATTTCATTTCCTTTCATTTTTCCTTTCTTTTCTTCTTCTTCTTCTTTTTTTTTAGGTTCTTGCTTTGACCTCTTTTTCTTGTCGATCCCGTATTCTTTCATTCACAACGCAAACAGTAAAAGCTAAAACTTACCCTTGGGGAGTTCTTGGCTCCTTTGACAGAATGCCAGATACCACCACCAACAGCACCCATAACAAAGGCACCTCCCAAATCATTTAGGATGACCCAGGGACTACATGTCATAAAACAATCACAATGTTCTCCATTAGATACCGCTTCTGTATTTTAGTCTAGAAAAATATATCTAATTACCAGGGATCTCTCGAGTGATCTTGCGAAGAATGGCCCATGACTACTGTGTACAAAAAAAAAAGTGTGGAATGACAAGAGGAACACACACATGGAAAGGTCAGTCAAAGAGCAAAGCCACCTGACTGCTCTTTCTTTCTTTTTTCCCCTTCTTTTGTCCCTTTCTTCTTCTTCTTTTGAACATACATTTCTTGTGTCTGTTTGAATGGACAACCTGTTGAAAGGGGAATTTGGGTTGGAGGTTTCCTCTACTGGTTTTCAAGTCGAATTTCTCATTTGAGCTTGGAAAAAAAATAGACGGACTTTGAAGCCAGACTTCATTGTAGCAGGGCCAAGTTTGAACGCTTAGCTTAAGTGTCAAGTCCGGTGGCGGAGAGACCGGAAGCATGGGTAACCCGGTCCGATAGATTTATTGGTTTATTATATTATTGTTTGCTGCCTTGGATCAAAGAAGAACCCCTCCCATTAACTATATTGGTTATTTTGTATGTAACACACACACACACACACACACATAAATACATATACATGTATCTATTTGTGTATATGTTAAGGTAGTTAAAAGCAAGTATACAAGCAGAATGTTCTTTGAGGCCTCAATGACATGTAGAGCGTTAAGAATATTATATATTATATAAAATCAAACAATGTACAATGGAGTCCCAACCCCTCCTATGTAAACCCTTCCAACCTCGTGTATTTAAATTGAGGGGCTCGACTGGGTAGATTATCTAGCAATTGAATACAAAATAAAGCAAAAAAGAAAAAGAAAACTTGGATAACCCTTTGAGGGACATGTTTGTAAAATGTAAAATGTACATTAGTGATCGCCAAGGAGGTGAAAAAGTATAAGATTCTGCCTTGGATTTTGTAACCCCTTTCTTTTTGGGAAATAGAAAATAAACCTTTTATGTATGCATTTAAAGCATAAAACCAAGTTATCGAATATTCACCTCATGCCTATTTGTGGCTACACACCTTCAAAATACCCATTTGTCTCTGCTTAAACTATAAGATAACTGTAATGCAGGAGACGATAGTTATTGTATGATATGACCATTAAAGTTGCTCTAGACAGACCCAAATGCTACTCTAAAATCATACTGGCATGAGGAGATACTTTATCTCTCTATTCTTAATAGTAGTATTTTGGCCAAAAGAAGATTGGCAAAAATGCCATGTTTTTTTTTTGAGAAATTACTCGGTGTATCAATACTATATATCTATCATAAAGTGTGAATATTAATCAATTCAACACCAAGCCAGGCTTATGCTCACTTTACTAGATAGTCATCTGTATGCCTTTTAATTTAAACGAAAATATCAAACAAATTACATAATGGTCTTTTATTATTATTTTTATTGGTTTTTGTTGAAAATGTTAAATAATGATTTCTTGCATTTCTAAACAAGTAGGATATCTACATCAGACTGATATATAAATCAGAAATAATGCATTTTTTGTATCCCTCTGCCCTCCTCTTCTCTTTCTTTCTTCCTTTTGGTGGCTAATTATTTATGAATTGTATTTTGTTGACTATTTGTACCATTAAAGATTGGCTTATAATATGCAATGTAATCTTGGACAACGGGGGTGATAGATCAAATATTTGTTGGGGGTGTAGATTTTACTGGGATGTAGCTAGTAGATGTAGTATGTAGCCTATGTAGGGTCTCTATCAAGGTTTCTGCTGCGATAACTAATGACTCGGTCTCTGATATTCCGTTCAGAAATCAATGTTTTTCCCAAGGGTGTAACTCTTGTTCCTCAATTATCGCTTATGGATTTTTCAATATATCCTCTTAAACAAAACAAAGGAAATTTGGCTGATTTTATTGACAGCCCTTGTCCTAGTTTCTTATTGTACTTCCTGCAAATATTGCAACACTTTAGGTGATATTGGCAGCCCCCAAGTTTTATCCTACGGACAGACTTCTTAGCCCTGAACTGAAAATCAGTCTCAATTTTTTTATGATACTCTTTTTACAATTTAAATCCAATCATAGTTTGTTTTTTGGATGAGTCAAAATTAAATTCCAAATATTTTGCTTTACTTCTTCAAACTAACTAATGATAATAAGGGGATAATAATATGCTCAAAACTCTTACTTGTAGAACTCAAAGGCACCAGAGAATGGCAAGTCGCACACTTTTCCAACGACTAAACTAGGAATAAAGAGTAATGACTCAGTAAAAAGATAAAGACTTTTCACTAGATTCCTCTATACCAGGTACAATTGACATTCATTCTCTGCTTCTGGAGTGCTCCACAAGCAAGGGTACCCACAACCAAAAGTACAATTGTAAAAGAATTATTAATATTTCTGTTGGAAATCCCAATTCCTGTATTTTTTTTATTATATTTTTATTATTCTGTAAAGTGGTATGTTCACCGTTAACTCTAGCACCATTTACATATAAAAAAAAACTATTAAAATTGAGCAATCGATCCGTGTAAAGAAATACAAATCTGTTAGATTTAAGAACATTAGAATGTCTTAAAATGTCGTAAATGTTGCCTGTCAAAAACAAAAAGTAAAGATTTGCAATCAAATGAACTGATCTGCAAGTCTCTGTTCGTTTCCATTGAAACCCCACCAATATAACCAGTCCAGGCTCTACTAGTCTTTTACGAACCAAATTCCTCTCATTTGTATTGTTTAACTCTGTTACGTTTTTTATTTCCGTGGTTACTTATGTGTTTCGAAGCAATTGATAAAGAACCAATAAATAGCTAACAAAATTCGGTAAAGACTTGTATCCAAAAACCACTAAAACGATCTGAATTGAATGGAGCGAGATTTATTTATTACAATAAAAAAAAATATGCTTAAAGCTGTAAGACGCACAAATTTATATAGTGATTAACATATATATATATATATATGTTAGTCTGAATCATTATTATTATTAGTAGCTTACAGAAACCTCTGTATAGCTTAGCCTCTGTGAAGAGCAGATGATGTATATTGAGTTGAATCGGGTACCAGCACCAGCTGAACCAAATATTATAGTCATGAATATATAAAAGAATTGGTCTGAATGTCTAAAATCTATCAAGTTAAAAAAAAAAGGCTAGTGTGTCTTGTGGCTAAATAATATTCCGGTATAATGTATCAAACATAATCAATAGACACTTTTGAAATTCTGTAATTCAACATAAGTTTTCTTTGTCAATCGAAAACTTGATCTAATTTCAACATTTGATTTTTCTTTAAAAAAAAAAACATCGTATTAATTGTTAATAAATCAGAATTATAATTTAAAATAGAATATGACAAAAAAAAAGTTGAAATGCACATAATCCTTCATGTCAGTTGGTCTTTAAAAAAAAAGAGAGAGTCATTGAGCTCTTGATGAAAAGACATGCGATAGGATGGGTTAATGAGCCAAAGAGCAAAGACAGTCCAAATATTATTTTATTTTATTATAATTATTATTTTTAGAACTTACACAAGTATTCATTCATTATTAAACCCCCCAAAAAAATAAATAATCATAATAATAAAACTGGCCACCTTTTTTTTTTCTGCTAAAATTTTCGTCTAATAATTTTCGTCTACCATATGCCTCGTCATGTTGTCATTATAGGTGCAGGTGTCATGGGCGCCTGCACAGCATACTACCTTACGAAGAACTCAACAGACGTCGAGGTGACCTTGATAGAGAAAACCGACATCGCCTGTGGAGCAAGCGGTAAAGCAGGCGGTTTTCTGGCCTTTGACTGGTACGACAAAGAAGATACCAAGTGACGAGACCGTTATCCGCGTCTTAAAATAAGATACCTTTTTTTGTTAAAAAAAAATCAATAGGAATGATGGAGCAGATATTGGAGAGCTTTCAAGAAAGTCTTTCGAACTACACGCCGAACTTGCACAAGAACTTGGAGGAGAAAAGTTTGGTTATCGTCCGGTGACAGCATATTCAGTACTCATACAAGCTGGCAAAGCAGGAGGGAAACGAATAAACGAAGTTGATTGGCTACTTGACGAGAATGTACGGACAGTAGAATTACTTGGTACCAAGAAGACGGCCGCACAAGTTCACCCTGGCCTTTTCACTCGACACTTGCTTGAAGTGGCTCAAAAAACGGGACGTGTCAAGATAGAATGTGGACAGGGTGTAAGCGAACTGATCTACAAAAACAAGACTGTTACAGGTGTGATTCTAGAAGATCGCCGAGAAATCAAAGCCGATTCAGTGGTAGTGTGTATGGGTCCATGGAGCGGACAATTACCACTAAAGGGTCGTAGCAAGCGTGGGCAGCTTCCGATTACTGGCGCACGCGCACATTCGGTTATCCTTCAACCTGAATACAAGTTTACCGCTCAAGTCCTTTTTACTGCTGTGACTGAAGGGAAAAAATCCCATGAACCAGAGGTCTATCCACGCCCGGATGGCACGGTCTATCTTTGTGGAGCAACTGATAATGAACCTCTTCCAGCATCTGCTGCTAATGTGCCAGTTGACCCTGCTGCAACGACGCTTTTGCAAAATTTGGCAGGCAAGATATCTTTGCAACTATCCACTGACAATGCAACACTCTTGACCGCCCAGGCATGCTATCTCCCTATCTCTCGCGACAACACTCCACTCATTGGCGCCCATCCAGCCTATGATAACCTATATATTGCTACAGGTCATTCTTGCTGGGGAATTCTTAATGCTCCTGCCACTGGTCTAATGATGGCAGAACTATTGGTGGATGGAAAAATAACGTGTCTGAGTCCAAAGACTGCCAAGGCTGTTGATCCCAAAGACCGATGCTAAATTTGATCACTTGGCGTTTTTGGTAACTATCAATGGGTTTTCTATCCGCAGATAATCGGTTTTCTTCTTCTTCTCCTTCTTCTCCTTCTATTTCTGTTATACACACACACACACACACGCATATAAGCGCTGGTTCCGCATCTCGGCCAAGAAAGAGGATATACCACAAAAAAGGGACAAAAAATGAGATAATGAAAGAAAGAAAGAAAGCAAGCAAATAGGCTTAGATTATCTTTATGCTTATTTCAATTTATTCTTACTTATTAATGAGATGTTCAATCATTGATATCTTTAATTCTCGATCAAATTAAGCTACTGTATTGTGATCCATTATACCAGTACTTTTATGAAAGCCTTGTTATCTAATATATTCCAATAATTATAATAACAACAAGCAATCATTTTTACAGCTAGCAGAATCTAAATAAGAATAATAAGAATAATAATAATAATAATAATGAAACTTACATTTGTGTCTACAAGCTTGAATACAACCAAACCATTACAGTTAAAAGCTTGGATTTAAATGACTAGTTATTCCAATACTTTTTTTTGAACCACTCACAAAATGTATTTAATGCATTTATCTATCCTAGCTGCCATTCGATTCATATCTGGACTAAACACTTCTTTGACCAGTCAAACAATACATTTGATTCATTTGATTCATTTGATTCATTTTTCAAAGTATTATGTTGATTGGTTGTGCGGTATTGTATTGTTTTATCGGTTACTTGTCTGACCTATAAAAATGAATATATATATGTTTTATAAAAAATAAAAAATAAAATAAAATAAAAACCTTTCTTTGACATATAACTACACTTGGGCTAAATTATTATTATTTTCTTATAATTTTTATTGGAATAAGATACATCCTAAATTACTTTTTTGCCATACATTTTATATTCTGTTTTTATCTGTGGAGGACAGCCTTTTTTCTTGTTTTTATTGAAAAAGGGAATACGTAAACCATTGGAGCCAAAAGCAGATGATACCGTCAATCCCAAGATTCGGTACCAGGGTCTGCTTCACATCATGCTCCATATCTTCATTATATATAGTTATTTTCGTAAAGCTTCTTTCCGCCGTTTCTTTTCTTTCTTTTTCTCATTTATCATGCATTGGCTGGTCCTTGCTCTATTTCCCCTTCTTATCCACGCACAAGCGTCTGATGAAAACCCATTTCTATGGTAAATATAATCCACAGCATCTCAAGATTTGTTCTAGTCATATGTCTATCTATATACATATACTCACCCATACATTCAATTATTATCTCTAGGCAAGTAACAGTTCAGTACGATATTATAAAGTCAAATATCACCCAGTCCTACGTAGTCGACACTTCTCAAAAACTACACAGCCTTGATTTCCAGACAGTCTATCCACTAAACGACTATTTTGGTCACAATGAGGTACGCCTAAAAGCTACATATACAAATGCAATTCCATTCACTGTCTTTATCTCTAATATGTATATATATATATATATATACGGTTTTACTTATTTGGTTTCTTACTCATGTACACACAGCGATTAGTAATGGACATGGGCGATGCATGTACAAACACAACCCTTGACGACTTGGAACACCGCAACGGAAATACTCCCACAAGCCCATCAATGATGTCTCAGCCGTCCATTGGACTTGTGCAGCGTGGAGGACGTTGTAGCTCTTGGAGAGAAAAGATTAATACTGTTCAAGCTCTGTCAAGCGCCTATCGACTCCAGATTACAGCTGTACTTATTTACGACAACGTGTCCTACAATGACACTGTTATTCAGTCCGACCCTACAACAACAACCGACTATCCAGTCTGGGATCCCGCTACCCTTCCACCCGAACGCAACGTGTCCCAAATGTCCGAAAATGACCTTGATCTCAAAACCACTTTTTTAGCCGTTTATTTTGTACCTTTTTCCTACGGCGCTCGGCTTCTCCAGAGCCTTGAGAGCATATTTTCTGATCAAGCCATCAAACAGCAATACATCCAAGTTACAACATTCCTCGGAGAGACATCTTTTGTCACAGAAGGTGTGGCCACCACAAACACTACGTCCAACCCTCACGATGACAGCAATCGGGATGATATATGGTCTTTATTTTCAGGCACAAGAAGTTACATTATTTATATTGTTGTGGCTATAGCCGTATTGATACTCGGTAAGTTTAATATAAAGAAATTAAAAAAGAAAAAAAAAAAGAAAAGAGGGATAAAGTGGCGTAAAGGTGTATGTGGGTTATTCAATATCTCTTTATGACATCGTTATTTTCATTGACTATGTTTATGTTACTCAAACTCCCCCAATTTCAATTTCTTTAAGGCGTATTTTTCATTCGTTTCTTCATTGTAAATCGTATCAGGAGACAGTCTGGTAGTGTAACTAGACAACTTGAGGAAAGTCCCCAGGTTACTTTGGCTATTATCCCAATTGGTTCCGAGACTGAGAGACCACCGGGAACTACAATTTCCGAGAAGAAGCTCGAGAAAATGAGTCCTATTCAAGCCTATTCGAATGAAAAGCTTTCAAACCCTGAAGATACTTTGTGTATCATTTGCCTCGATGACTTTACTGATCTATCTTCCGTGCGTACCTTACCGTGCGGCCACATCTTTTGCGTTCCATGTATTGGTAAGACCTTTTTTTTTCTTCTTCTTCTTTTTGAATGGTTTATATGATGTATTATGTTTCTAAGCAATTTTTTCTTTTTTAAAAAAAATTAACAAATTAGATCGTTGGTTGACAAAAAAGTCTGGTGTTTGCCCAGTTTGTAAATTCGATTGTGCAAAAGCAACTGACCATATAAAGGATGAAGAAGAAGAAGAAGAAGAAAGTTCAGAAGAAACCAAAACTTCCTGCCCTACACCCTTGCAGTAAAGCGAAGAGAATGGTAAAAAGATCAAGGACGAGCTTTTTCTTTTTAATCTTTTTTTTTATCGTTATATAAATCTTCAATTCGACGTCTGGCTACCCATTATTCATTATCCGTAAAAGAAAGAAAGAAAAAATGGAAACAAATCTATTTGGAACATACATTATTAATCTCTAAAACCATGTACACTATAATCAAACATATAACCAATTAATATCTACTTTTATTTTTATTTATTTATATATATATATACATCTACATCTACATACTCCCCCCTCCCCTCCCCTCCCTTCTTTTATTTATATACATCTTGTATTATCATTTTTTTTGTATAATCAAATAATAAAGTCAATAATATCATTATTCATTTTATTCAAGCAGGCTGTGTGTACTACTAAACAAGCTTAATGTTTTCTAAAGACATTCATGTATGTATGTACGTAATATTATTATTGTTATTTCAGAAAAAAAAACCTAAACTCAAAAGTAAAAGTTAAAAGGTCTGAGGACATGCATACTCATTCTGCAGTCTTTATCTCAATCCTTTATTGACACAACATACAAGCCGGTTTGCAGGGACGCTTTTTTAAAGGGTTCGCAAACAAAGCATAACAATAATTGTAGCTTTGTACATAGATGACCTTTTCTTTTTCTTTTCTAGGGCTTATTTATTACATAATTTGTCAAAGGCGCAGTTTTCTATATAAATATGTGTATATTTCTTGCTTTGCCTGTATTGCTTTTCTTTGTTTGTTTGTGTGTATTTTTTTTTTCTTATATATAATTTAAGAAATTTAACAGCAGAGATAAAAGATATGATTTAAGCAAAATTGGATACCAGATTTGAATAATGAATGCTTTCAATCTTTCCTATTCTCAAGAATAGTGTTGCGGCCTTATGCGTACAGAAAAATCATACCCTGTGCTTGGGTTAGGTCGTCATAGTAATTAGCATCTTGAGCTCTACGCCCTCGGGAGCCTGCTCTTTGGTCTTGGCGTTCTCTCTCAAGGTTGTCTTCATACACATTCCACACCGGATTCAGACAAGCTAAATTGACCACCTGTTGAGTAAGTGATTTTGGTGTACGACCCGATGAATCTCTCAGCCTCTTCTTGTTGTTATTGTTGTCTTCCAGGGCTCGGTGGGAAA